GATGGCTCTATAGTCGATGCACATGCGCAACGACCCTTCCTTCTTCTTTTGGAACAGCACCGGTGCTCCAAAAGGTGACTTCGATGGCCGCATGTAGCCTGCGTCCACCAAGTCCTTGAGCTGCCTCCGCAATTCTTCTAACTCCGGTGGCGACATGCAGTATGGTGCTCGCGAAGGGGTCTTCGCTCCTGGCTCCAACTCGATCTTGTGGTCCACCTCTCTTCTTGGTGGCAGCTTCTTGGGCAACTCTGATGGCATCACGTCATCGAACTCTTCGAGGACGCCTTTGATGATGGAAGTTGTGATTCCCGTTGAGCCTTCTTCTTCCTCCATTTTCAATGACACAAGAAAGGTTGGTTCATTCTTCTTGAACCCCTTCAAAACCTGCATAGCGGATAGAGCACTATGGGGGCCATCTTCTCTCAAGAGATGGACCGCATGGAACTCCCCCTCCTTCTCCAAGCACATCGTGTTGGAGTTGGGCTTCAAGAGCACTCCCTCCTTGTCGAGGAAGTTGATGCCGAGGATGACTGGGTGATCGTCCATGGTGACAACGGAAAAGTCGATGAGACCTTCCCACTCGCCAAGCTTCATTGGCACGTTGTGCGCAACTCCATGGATCGGGATGGACTCCGAGTTGATTGTCTTGAGCCTCCCTTGCCCCTTCTCGTAGGCAATACCCAGCCGGTTTGCCTCCTCGATGCGAAGGAAGTTATCCGTGGCACCGGTATCCACCAAGGCTTTTGACTCGCCTTGCATGAATTGCGCCAGAACATAGCACCTCTCGCTCTTTCTCTCCTTGACGTTGGTCTTCACCGCGCCAAGCTTGCGAATTGAGCCAATCTTGGCCTCCGCCGCCTTGGGCTCCTCATCTTGAGCTTCCATGGCTGCCAATCTCGCCTTTCTTGGGCAATCCCGCACTCGATGTGGTCCGTCTCAAAGGAAACAAGATACCGGTTTTGGTTCGTACTTACCCCCTTTGCTTGAACCACCTTGGTGTTGTTGGGTGCGAGAACCCTCCTTGAAAGGCTTCTGTTGTTCTCTACCCTTCTTGGGCTTTGAACTCTTCTCTTTGCCGCTGCTCTCTTGCCTTTTGTACTCAACAAAAGACTCCGTTGTGGCCATGGCAGTTGCAAGGTCTTGTACTCCTCGACGTTGCATCTCCATCTTGGCCCATGGTTGCAGCCCATCAAGAAAGTCGTGCATGGCCTCCTTGTCTGTAATGTTCGGGATCTCTAGAAGCAGCTCCGAGAATTCTTTCACATATTCTCGAACTCCACCCCTCTGGGCGAGTCTTCTCAACTTCGAACGGGCTTCAAACTCCACGTTCTCTGGGTAGAACTGCTTCTTGATTTCTCTCTTGAAATATTACTACGTTACCATCACACAAGTACCTCTTTCGACGTCCGCTTCATGTCGCCTCCACCACACCATTGCAACATCGACCAAGTATAGTGGAGAGGTACGAAGTTTTACCTCATCCTCTTGGATGTCGGATTCCTTGAAGTACTGCTCAAGACTCCAAAGGAAGTTCCCTAACTTCCTTGCGTTCCTTGAACCTCCGAAGTTCTTCAGTCTTGGAACATCAGCACGTGGGACGGATTGCACCGGGGCTGGTGCACTAGCCATGGCTCTCTTCACGAGAGTGACCTCACTCTTGAGGTCTGCAATCTCCTCCTTCACGCCGACCAGCTCAGCCTGGACATGCTCTTTCACAACTTCAATCGCGTTGTTCATGGATTCGGAGATGGTGTTGGTGATGAGAGCCACGAGCTCTTCTCGCATCCCCTCATGGTTGATCTCCAAGCTTGTCAACCTACCAGCCATTCCTTGACCATCGCTTTGGACTTGGGCGAAGTTAGCTCCCATATCCTCGATGGCGGAGACATCTTCGGAAAGCTTCACCTCCATCCTCGAGACTCGCCTCTCTAGAGACTTGAGAGGATCACGAGTGCTCGGCGTACCTTTTGTTCTCGCACCTGGGGTGGGCTCTCTTCCACGTTGCTTCTCAACGTCGTCATTGACTTCTGATCCTGACATTTTTGGTGAGACTCTTCCTTTTCGTCTGACTATTGCTTCTACTTTGCTAGCACAAAGCCGAACCGGGCTCTGATACCACTTGTCACGACCTTACTCTCGATCGTGCGGCCCTAGCTCTCAATTCCGTTAGAGCGCTAGGCAGCCTTTCTCTCAACCAATGCAGTCAAAATCGGGATTTTGATCGTAAAATCGTAGGATTTTAGGATTTTACTTAGAGATTCCGATCATGATTTTACTATAAAATCCGTGGACCTTAAAATCGTTCAAAATCGTACCAAAATCGTTAAAATCCTTAAATCGTACCAAAATCGGGATTTTGATCCTATGTGAACAAAATAGGGAGCTTAAGCCAATTCAATTGAAGCAGAATTGTTTCGGTGGAAATGGCAATGACGGGAATCTTCTCATATATTTTTCCTATTAAAAGAACATTTGAAAAGAAGAAAAAATAACTAATTAGGGTTCGGTCAACCCCTTTCCCTTCTCCTTGTTTAACTCATCGGTAAAACAATTGTCAGAATATTGTAAGTGCGTAAGAATTAACATCATTATTAATAAACTATTTGATTAATGAATATATTTGTACCCAACCAATGACATTGATTATTTTATTGGATTTCATTTATTCTTAGTTTTAAATCATGCTTAGTAGACGATGTTGGGATACTACTTTGAGTTAAACTACCTAGACACAACATGAAAAACAAGAGCCAAACCCCATGAGCTCTATCCGTTCCTCATAAATTATTTTGAGTTACGCATTAAATACCAATTAAAATGATGATTTTGGAACATTAATCTTGAAAATTATCACTTTAAATGTTATAAGTCGTTGTGTTATTAATTATTTACCTTATTAATATTATTATATGTTTATTTCTATATGGTACTTAAAAACCTACGATTCTACGATTCGATTTTACGATTTCGATTTTACCCCGATTTTTTATTTTCGGTAAAATCCCGATTTTAACTGCTTTGCTCCAACTCACTTGCAAACAAAGAAACAAGAACAAAGACAAAGGAATTGGGAGAACTCTCTAGTGTGTATTACTCTAAAAAATGATGGAATGAGTTACAAGTGAGGGAGATGGCTCCTTATATAGGCATCTCCTCATACAAGGCATCAATGCCCCTCATAATGTCCCTCTACATCAATACACCCCATTAAGTCCCCCCCATTATGCACTCTATAAATGTCACCCATTATGTGACTCATAAGTGCACCATTAAGCTCTCTATTAAGGTGGAGAATCCTAGGAGCATCTCTATGCTACTAGTCTTCCATACATGTCACATGTGCAGCTGCCATGTTGTCACCTTGTTGGCGCCATGTCATCTGCCACATGTGACAGTGCCCATTGGTGCCTATCAAAACCCTTAGGTAACAAAGAAATTTGTCACAAAAAAAATTATTGTTCTTCAGTCTTGCTAATTGGGGACGAATGTTACATTTTTTGTGACGAACTAAATTTCAGATGACATAATTTTCTTGTTAAAATCCACCTGTCATTCATATAGCTCAAGTAAAAATGTAAGTTTACATAATATCATGTGCCTACACATCCAAGAACATGAAGCATTTCAACTGAAGTGAACACATGCTCCATCTCTCTAACATATAATTAATAGAGAGTTAGATTTCGGGATTGACACATACAAAATATGGTCACAAAAATAAGACAACGTGTTTCAAAGAGATTTACATCTTCAACATAGCACGCTGACACAAAGCATGGCCATTGACTCCTCCCTAAAGCACTCTCATTACTCAAAATCAGTAGGCTATCTACCTCACCTTGGATCTGCAATATAAAACTAGCACATTGTAAGCACATATATAAAGATATCATGTCATAAACACAAAGTGCAGCTAAGGCTACAAATCTCATAAGATAGAAAAACCTAGCATGGCTTATTTTTTTTATAAATGTGAATCAACTTCTTTAATCTCAAAAAATAAAGAGAATACCATCGAAACTTATACTAATGACAATCCACATGCCAACTATTATCTACCAACAACCTCATGTTCTCTATGAGCTCACATCTTTTTATTAGCCCTTAGTTGTTACTTTCCACAATTACACCTCTTTTCTATCTATTTATTATGTGCGAAAGAGAGGCAAGTAATAGATAGGGAGTTGCTGATGTGTTTCCAAAGTAGAGTACATGCTGCAAATTCATGCATACCAATCATTGCTTCATTAATCTAATGAATTGTAGCAGGTGGAAATAAAGTTCATTTTCCCTTCATTCTTGAAAAATGACAAATGTACTAACTCAATCGTAGACAAATTATCCCTATCTCTAGACATATTCTAAGCTCAATCATAATATATAGACTATTGAAATGGATAATTTCGTGTATCTTACCATTGTCCAAGGTGACTGTTCCTTGTTTCAATAATTGGCAGGCTATGTTGTCATAGAATGCACCCTTCTTCTCTAGTTCTTTCACCCTATCCATTGAAGAAGCCATTTGTTCATTATGATTGTCCTCGAGTTCCTTCATCTTATTGTTGGTAGAAATCAATTGTTTCTTGTAATTGTCGCACTCGTGCAACAACAAGCTGTTTTGCTCTTCTAGTCTCCTGTATCGCTCATATAATTCCTTGTATGTGGCCTTTTTAGCTGGAGGAGGTGGACCATGTCCGAGGCTTTCCCAATCACTTGATTTGGTTCCTAGGACATCATTAAATGCATCATTTCCATTAATAGGATGGTTGGTGTCTTTGCTTTCATCCACCTTTGCTCGCATCTTCTCCTGAAAATATGATTGTTGTTATATAATAATATTAATATTCTTAATCCCCTCATATCATAACCATTTCCTTTTTATTAGCTTTTAAAGTAAGCACTTCACCAAATTACAGAAGATAAAGTTAAAATGTTTAGTTTTCATTTATCGTGAGGTATAGACTTTACATATATACTCTCCATATACTAAAAGCTCCAAACTTATAATATATATATATATATAAGGAAAACTCACCTCCAGATGGCCATAAGTCATCCATTATTATAAGGACTAAAATATAATTAAAAACCTAACTTACGTGTGCTTTTTTCACATTGTTATTGATCCATTTTCCATCCTTACTTCTTGTCCACTCATAGAAATCCATCTTAGTGAAGTCATCATTGCCTTTAAGCTTTTCACGTGCTTTCTACATGTTTCAAACAACATTATCTGTTCATAGATAATATAATTCATTATAAACAATCATCACATGTTAAAACCATAGGAAACTACCATTTCATGAAGCGAGGGCACAAATGCATTGGGTCCTTGGTTGTGTGGATGCTTTAACTTGCTTCGGTTAAATGCATTTTGCTTACACTTAGCCTACAATAAACAACTTAGTAAATCTAAGTTTGTCAAAACCAAAAAACCAGTTACTAGAAAATATAAAAAAGTATACCTGGACAAGTATGTCATCCCAATAATCACATAGATGTTTCCAAGTATCCTCATCAATATTTTTTGGTATAGTTTCTCTTGCCTTAGCCCCACCGCCACATGCTTTGTAATCATCATGTAGCCTACCCCTTTTGGTTCTAACCAAGCTTTGGAACTTCGCCCAAATATGACCCTCAACCTCACTCATGTTGGTGATGTTCAAGTTTACCTACATTAAGATACATAGCCAATATTAGAGGTTCAATATTATGGCTTCCATGTATCTTACTACTGCTACCATTCTCCCCTAAACTCTCATACCCAGTTCTCATACAAATGAATTCAGAAAATAAGGGAAAAATTCCCAAAATGCACATGTTATTAAAAAAAATTTCCCAAAATACATACGTTATGAAAAATATTCCCAATCTACACATGTTTGGACTTCACCGCAGCCGTCAACCGCAGTGAATAACATCACCGCGGCCGTCAACCGCGATGAATGCTTCACCGCCATTGCCCGAAGCGGTAAATATCATCCTGTCCATTCACCGTTGGTGTCCCAAGCGGTGATGGCCTAAAGCGGTAAATATCAACCCTGCTTTCCGACGACCTCCCCAAAATCTTGTTCAAGCTTCAAAATGACCCTCGCAACGAGCCGGCCTCGCCTGCTCCAAGTTCTCCTCTCTTCTCCATAACGCCTGCTGGAAATCCAAATGCAAAGCCACCATCCCCGCCGTCGTCACCTATCTCCTACCCTCTCCCCGATTCCACCGGCGACTGGTCTGCACTCCACAAGCTCGTTGTCTCCTGTCCCGGCCTCCTTCACTCTGGCGTGCTCTTTGAATGCTCCAATTTTGGCCTCGATTTGGAACTCGGCCTGGATGAGAATTTCCCCAGACCTTCCTCAGATTTATCGTTACCCAAGGACCGGCCACCTCCGCCTCCGCCTTCCCAATCATCTTCCGATGCCAATTTGGACATTGCCGATTGCTCTTGGTCGTTATTCGACGAATCTGTATCACGATGTGGTCTACAGCGTAGATGAATCATCCGAAGGTCCTTCGGACGCGAGCCGAGAGGTCGGCGGCTGCGGCGCCACTGTTAAGATGGGAACAGATGCGCCACTGTTGGGGAGGTCGTCAGAAAGCATGGTTGATATTTACCGCTTTAGGCCATCACCGCTTGGGACACCAACGGTGAATGGACATGATGATATTTACCGCTTCGGGCAATGGCGGTGAAGCATTCATCGCGGTTGACGACCGCGGTGATGTTATTCACTGCGGTTGACAGCCGCGGTGAAGTCCAAACATGTGTAGATTGGGAATATTTTTTATAACGTATGTATTTTGAGAATTTTTTTTAATAACGTGTGTATTTTGGAATTTTTCCAGAAAATAAGATGGTTGAAGTTACTTACTGATAATTTGGCTAATACTTCAGGAAGAATTATCTCTTTCAAATCCACCTTGGAAATAGGCCAGACATATTCATTGGCAATTTGTCCAATTTCACTTGAATATTTGTTGCTTTCATTTACCGTTAAAGGCATTCCATAAAATGGATCCACATGGATAGTCATTTTGGCACCAACTCTTTCATTCAACTTGTGCAATCCAACACCTTGTGTAGGTCCTCTTCCTTTCTTCTTTACATCATTCAATTTCAAGTTAGACAGTTGGGAAAGTGTAACCACAATCAATCACTTTTCTCATTACCTTTTTTTAAGAACAAAACAGCAAATAGAATGATATTAAGGCTTTCTTAAACGTGGTTGTTATCCCCCCCATCCCAGCTAGCTAAGGCTTCACTATAAATAATGTCACAGAATATATGTTGCTTAATCTAATTTATCGACAATATTCCTAAAGCCTAAGAAAAAGATGATCTCAAACAATCCCTAGATGAGACACCTATTCGTTTTCCACCTGAGTCAAGACAGAGTTCTCTGTACTTAACTAAATAGGTAAAGCTCACTTTGCAATGGGATTTCAATTTGTAAGACACCCAACCATTATTCAAATAGTTAACCCTCAAATTTTAGTTCTCTTCTAAACCAAACACAACTCACTGTGAAACACATTTTCATTATAGATATTGAATGATGAGTTTATTAACCCACTCTGCTGTGATGGATGGATTAAGCAAAATTAGGGTTAGAGTCGATGGGGAAAGAGTTCGGGAAGACGAAGAAGGGATGAAATGAAAAGCATAGAATATGAAAGCAATTCTTACCTGAGTTGTTGAGCCGGAATTAAGCCCAACAATCACCAACGATGATACAACTCAGAGAAGAGTAACGACAAGCGACGAAGGGTATCACAGCAGCCGTAGCTAGGGCTGGAGGTTTGGTTATCGGTTGCCGGTTAACCGGCCGGTTAAACCAATAACCGGCGGTTACCGGTTAACCAATAACCGAAAATTATATGCTTCGGTCGTCGGAGCTCCTAATAGGTAATTCGGTTAACCGAGTAACCGAAAACCGGTTATCCAGTTAACCGACAATAACCGAAAATAACCTACCGACCACCCACCTCACCAAAACGACGTGAAAATACCCGGTTATAAAGTTTATAACTTAATGTTGTTAAATTTGAGACATTAATTTGGTGATTTAGATGTATTTTCTGATATGATCCCAATTGGATCAATCCACAATTCAGAATTGCTTGTCAAAGAAGCTATCTCACCTCACTTGAAGAATTCTGATTTTTGGCACAGTGTTGAAACAGTTTCAGGTAGCCTACTTTGGAAGCTTGTATCTCACAAATGGCTCAATGGAAATTGAAGATCAAGAGTTTTTTTTGCAGATAAAGTTTCCATGTTTCCAATGGTATGCTTTTTGGATCCAGATGATGTCATTAAGATTGGTTTCCAAGGCCTCAAAGTTGCTACCTCAAAACTGGAAAACTGCCAGAAAATGGTTAAGTCTGGAAACTGTTTTGTGAAGCCTACTTTGGAGCTTGATTCGAGGAGTATGGATCTGATTCAAGTCCAAAGGCTTCCACAACATGAAACTAGGTATGTTTATGTACAAAGTGAAGGAATTGGATGAAGGATTGGAGTTTGGGAAGGCTTCGAACAAAAGGCGCGAAGTTAGTACGAAAGCTGCCTTTTGACTGTTTTGCGGGCAGATTACTTGCGCGCCAAGAAAGGAAGTTTATGGCCGAATTTTGAGTCCTTTTTAGAGTTTGTTTTTACCTTAATTGTTTCCTTGTTCATCTAGATTTGTATTAGGTTTTATTGGCTATAAATAGCCCTCCATTTACGTTGTAAAAAAATAAGACTTTGTTGAATAAAAATCGAAACCGTTTGGTTTGTGCAAGTTGCGACTTGTTTTGGGTTTGGTGGATTCCAAACTTGCTGAGCTTGTGTATCGATTGAATAGTCACTTCAATCGTGGTCGAGCAACTACCCTTTTATACCAATCGAGCTATCCCCAGGTGTGGATTTGTCCTTTTGGTTCCGTTTTATCCAAGTTCGTATTAAGAACGCATTGTTCTTGATTCGAGCTCAATCGATTCCTCGATTGAGTCGTTAGCTGCGTGACTTTGATAAACATACACCCCCCAGGGGCGTATTATTTTCTATGCAAAAGTGATTGAGACTTTACTTTGGGTGTGATTTAGATGTAGAAATGTAAGTTAGAACCTTTCATTTTAGGCGATTCTAATAATTTTACCCGGTTAAAACCAAACCACCATCATTTTTTCGGTTATCTCGGTTAACCGACCAACTAACCGATAACCGACCGGTCGGTGTTCGATAGGGGGAGATGGTGGTTCGGTTAACCGGTAACCGACCAATCGGTTATCGGTTATAACCGAACCGAACCGAACCGAATCCACCCCTAGCCGTAGCTTGTCTTCCAAGGACGGAGCCAGCTTGCTGGGCTCCCCCTAAGATGTTATATAAGGTATAATACCGAGTATGTTGCAAAATTTGCAACTAGCACAACTGGTTGGAATGTTTGTTGTTGTCACCTTATATTGCCATTGGCCGGGGTTCGAAGCATGGAGAAGGTAAGTTTTTATTTGGCTAAATTGCAAGTTTGGTCACTCGAATTGCTACAAAATTTCACGTTTGGCCACTCGAATTCGTTTATTCCATTCGTAGTCACTTAAATTAGTTGAATAGTCCAAGTTCGGTCACTCTCCGTTAACTTCCGTCAGACTCTGTTAGTGTCGTCAGTTAACTTCTGACGTGGCTAACAGAGATGCCTAGTCACCCAATTTTAATCCAAGAAAAAATAGAAATTGACCCGCCACGTCAGAAAAACATGCCACCTCATATAAACACAACCCAACCCACCCAACCTAAAAAACCATTAACCCACCCAGAAATCGAACCCGTGACCCATTCACCCTTCTTCTTCTTCCTCTATACCCTGCTTCCGCCGCCGCCGGGGAACCAAAAAAGCCGGTTCTTCGCCATGGTCCAACAGAGGAATTCCCCAAGAAAGACGTGGAGCCGAGCAGGTGGTTGGAAATTAATGGTCCAACGTCTTCCATGGTCCAACGTCTTCCAAAAGCCGGTTCTTCGCCATGGTCCAACGTCTTCCATCACAACAATCACCCCCCTCAACGCCATCCCGAAACTCGCCCCACTCCTCATCTCCATGTCGTCACAATTACAAATACCAAACTCCACGAAATGGAAGAGGATTAATCAACTGCAAGGCCGTCCCTGGAGAGTCGAAGACTCCGACGTCCGAGAGGTAATTAAAGCTTCCAAACCCCACTTCGCACTTTCCTTTGTATTTAATTGGGTCGTCCTTCAATTTCCTTACTTTTGCCCAATTTGGGAACTTTCAGGTCGTGTTGTACAGGGCGGGACTAGTGACGGCAGCTACGTCGTTCGTGGCTGCTACATCGACGGCGTTTCTGTCGGGCGATTCTTCTCTGTTGAGCTCAGCAATCGAACAAAACCTCGACGTTTTTTACAGCGTGGGAGCTGGTAGGCTGGGAAGCAGGGTATAGAGGAAGAAGAAGAAGAGTGGATGGGTCACGGGTTCGCTTTCTGGGTGGGTTAATGGTTTTTTTTTAGGTTGGGTTATGTTTATATGAGGCGACATGTTTTTCTGACGTGGCGGGTCAATTTCTGTTTTTTCTTGGGTTAAAATTGGATGACTAGGCATCTCTGTTAGCCACGTCAGCATTTAACTGACGGGACTAACGGAGTCTGACGGAGGTTAACGGAGAGTGACCGAACTTGGACTATTCAACTAATTTAAGTGACTACGAATAGAATAAACGAATTCGAGTGACCAAACGTGAAATTTTGTTGCAATTCGAGTGACCAAACTTGCAATTTAGCCGTTTTTATTTACTCCTTTTCTGATTTCAAGTTCACTTACTCCTTACATCTCTTACATCTTTCATAGTTATTCAATACTTCAATTTTACTTTTTAAATTGGATTATTGGTAAAATATGTCCATCTATTATGTCATTTTATCAAACATGCATTTTTACTATTTTTTACATCAAACATGTCTTTATACTTTAGAAAATTTATCAAACATGCCCTTATGTTAAAATTTTCATTCAAAAATCGTGAACCACGACCGAATTTTGGTTTGGGGGACACAAATGTCTAAAATATCTCTAATAATTTTACTTTAGAATTTTTTGGTCCTTTTGAATAGCCAAATAATTCTAATAATTTCACTATGATGAGACCCAAATAAATAAAACAGGGGACAAAACTGATGTAAAAAATAATAGAGGGGCATGTTTGATAAAACCACATAATAAAGGGCATATTATACATATAACCCTTTTAAATTTTGCAAAGAAACCACTCATCATTATGGTAATCTTAATTACATTTGATGCAAGAAATATAGCAAGAAAACTCCCTAACCATTCATTGTAGTAACCTTAATAATTACATTTGAATGTGATGCAAGAAAATGTTTGATCTAATCCATAAATTATATAATTTTTCTTAATTTTTTGAAGTTAAATCGTCGTTATTAGAAAAAAAAAAGTAATTGTGTTATAGTGTTTTTCAAGATTCTAATGAATATTTTCTTCATGAATTTACAGAATGTTGTGCTAAATTGATTTCAATTTTTGATTTCATTGCATGTCCTTGTGACAATAATTGTTTTGATTGCAATAAAAGGTGGTATCTTATCCATGAATTATTAATCGCCTATTTGTTTCGTAGTGAAATCATCGATTATTTGTGTAAATCTACGAAAAAAATTCATCAACTTAATTTTGTTCTTCATTATGTCATTAAAAAAAAAAAATTTATCGGCCCCCCCTAATTTCAAATCCTGGCTCCGTCCCTGTTGTCTTCTATTTTGATCGACAAAAAATAGAGAGAGAATGGTTTTGTCTCTTGGCGGAGAGATAAGGATAAGGTGGGTGAGTTTTGTAAGGTTGAGATTTTTCCTATTTTCCCCCGAGGCAACTAACGTGTAAGCTGGCGGAGAGGGTTAGATTATCGAGTGTAAGCTAGCAATGTTTATTCATGTAAGATAGTTTATTTTATTATACTTTCATTCCGTGGGAAACCAAAAGAATTGGATAGATTATACATGCACTGCACCCATGGTTTCAGATGGTAAAATATAAAAATAATATTAAGTTTAGTTATCCAATCCTATATTGAATCTAACTATTTTTGAAAAAAAACACAACTCATCCCCAATTATTTTTTATCAAAGAATAAAAAGAATTTACAATAAATAATTTTATGTCACCATTGTTTTTCGTCACGCAAGCTCAATCACTATATGTGACGAATAATTTTTTTCATATAAAAAAATACTTTAGGTAACGCTCAATTTCGTTACATAAAAGTATAGTTTTGTCACGTATGGTATTTGTTAGAAGTCAATCAAAATTGATATCTTTCGGTGACGAGCAAAAAAATTCGTCACATAATGTATATCTTTTGTGATGAAATTGACATCATTACAGAAAATACTTGTCACAGAAGATGCAGTTTGTTGTAGTGAGGGGTGTGCTTTAAGTGTGGCGAAAGGTATTTCTTTGGCCATGTCTGTGAACAAAAGAAGCAAATCAATATGTTGCAAGCTACAGTGATGATGGACCAGTGGAGGAGTGCACTGGACCTGAGAAAGAGGAATTACTGGGTTCCAGTTCTGACTTAGTGCCCATTGAGTTAGAAGAGGTGTCTATGCAGGCTTTGAATAGTGGGGCTTGGCAAATTCATTGGTTGTCCAAGGAAGAGTGAAGCAGGATAGGGTCTTTATTTTGATAGACACTGGGAGTACACACACCTTCCTGAGTGAGAAGAAGGCCAAGGCTCTTCAGTGTCCATTGGTCCAAGCAAGCAACCCCTTACGTGTTAAACTGGCGGATTGTACTACTCTTTTAAGTCACTTAGTTTGCAAGGGATTCTGTTGGGAAATGCAAGGTAAAAATTTCACATATGACATGAGGATCTTGAGTCTGGGTTCTAATGATGTTGTTCTGGGTTTAGATTGGCTTAAAACCATTAGCCCAGTTACGTTTTATTTTGTCAATCTCCAGTTATTCTTTGCCTGGGAAGGGCAGGAAGTTGTTCTGCATGGCATTCAAGATATGGCTCAGTGCATGGCCATTTCTGGCAAGAGCTTCAGAAGTTGATGCATCAGTCAGAGGCTGTCTTTGTTGGGCAGTTGTGGAGTATAGTGGTTGATGAAGGAAAGTCCAACAAGAACAGTCCAGTGCCTGAGTTCTTAGCACCAGTTCTGGAGGAGTTTTCTGATGTGTTTGGGAAGCCACAAACACTACCACCTGCTCGTGAGTGTGATCATACAATTCCATTGAAGCCTAATTCTCAACATGTGAGCTTGAGACCTTATCGTTACTCCATTCCTCAGAAAATGAGATGGATAGGTTTGTGAAAGATATGATGGAATCACAATATATACAGCCTAGCTGGAGTCCTTATGCATCACCTGTGTTACTGGTACTCAAGAAGGATGGATCGTGGAGGTTTTGTGTGGACTATCGACAACTTAATGATCTGACCGTCAAAGATAAGTTTCCAATCCCAGTTATTAATGACTGTTAGATGAATTAAGAGGGTCTAAATTCTGTACAAAGTTGGACTTATTGTCAGGGTATAATCAAATTAGAATGCATCCTCAAGATCAACACAAGATTGCCTTTAGAACTTATCAAGGGCACTATGAGTTTACAGTGATGCCGTTTGGATTAAATAATGCTCCAGCTACATTCCATGCATTGATGAATAAGATCTTTGCACCTTACCTCAGGAAGTTCATTCTGGTATTTGTTGATGATATACTGATTTACAGCAAGGATCAAGCCAGCCACAGAGAGCATGTGACAGCAGCACTGTCTATCCTCAGAAGCAATACACTGTTTTCCAAGCCCTCGAAGTGCTCTTGTGGTAAAACTCAAATTGACTACATGTGATATATTATAAACCAGGAGGGTGTGACTACTAATCCGGCTAAAGTGGAGGCCATGGTGGTGTGGCCTGTTCCCAAGACTGTCAAAGAATTGAGGAGGTTCTTAGGATTAACTGGTCACTACAAGAAATTTGTGCACAATTATGGGGTGATTGGGAAACCACTCACTGATTTACTAAAGAAGGATTGTTTTCAGTGGTCTGATAAGGCTCAGCTTGCTTTTGATTCTCTTAAACAGGCTATGGTGCAGGCTCCAGTATTAACTCTTCCGGATTTTACTAAGCCTTTGTTTTGGAGACTGATGCAAGTGGGCATTGGTGTTGTACTGTCTCAAGAGGGTAGACCTTTAGCTTATCACAATCAAGCTTTGGGCCCAAGGAAACAAGGATTGTCGACTTATGGGAAGGAGTATTTGCCTGTGATTCTGGCTGTCACCAAGTGGCGTCATTATTTGGAAGGGAGACAATTCAAGATTGTGACTGATCATGAGAGTCTCAAGCATTTTCTTGGGCAGAAAATACACACACAGATCCAAAAAAAAGGGGTTGGTTAAGCTCCTTGGTCTGGACTTTGAGATTCAGTATAGACAGGGCAAGTTCAATCAGGTTGCTGATGTCTTGTCTAGGCATCCTAATTTTGCTACTACCATGGTTGTTCAGGGAGAGTGTAGGCCTATTACTGTTGTACTACCTGCGTGGTTAGCTGAGTTGGAATCTACTTAAACAGGGGATCAGGAGGCACAAGCACTTCTCTACCCAGCCCAAACGTCCCTTTTCTTCTTCTCTCTCCTTTCAAAATACAATCCATCTCTCTTTTTTTGTCAAATAAATCTTGTTAGATTTACAAGGTAAGGATAAGAGTGGCTACAATAGATCAACACACTCACTTATCAAATTACAGATAGAACAAATAGGAAAAGTCAAACAACAAAGGTAGTAGACCAGGAAAATCATAAGGCTTGTTTCGCCACTGAATGGGCAGCCTGATTCACATCTCGAGGTGTGAACTGTAAACTGACCTTAGGCAACTGTAATAATAAGGCATGAACCTCATAAAAAATAGCACCTGCACGAGCATCAGATATGTCGCGGGGGACTAATTTGTCAATAATAACTTGGGCATCCCTCGTAAGCAGAACCTCCTTATCATGCCAATGCCACCGTTATAGCAAATACAACGCTTCCCTTATCGCTAGCAGCTCAACCAATCCTGGGTCGGAGATACCGCGGGAGAAAAGAACCAAACGCGAAGGACGGAACAACTCCCGTAAAACCGACTATACCAATGGCGCCAGACTGGTGGTGAGAAGTCACACTATCAACAGCCAAACGAAAGCCCCGATAAGTGCCACATAAATCGTCCGGAGAAGCCCTGTTGCGCGGCGCCATGATTAGTTAGGGTGGTGGAGCGACTATGGCGAGGCGGTTGGAATCTTGATGGGAATGGAATTGACCGCGAAGGATAGGGATAGTGAATTGGGCATACTGTGAGAAAACAACATTATTACGCCCTTTCCATAGACGCCAACAAAGAAGGAGCCAGTCAGAAATGGTAGGCAGAGCACCATGGCACAACAAAGTACACCAAAACAAAGCAAAATGAAAGGTAGGTGTAGACACCAATTTTTGTCCGGGTCCAAACAGATTTAACTAAATTTTTGTTAAAATTTACTATAGCAAATCTTAAATGAACTCCTAGCTAAAACATATTTATAGTGATTGTGATTGGTTATATTTGTCACAACTCAATGGAGATTAAGCAATAGCAAATCTCGATCGGTACAATTTGATAGGGAGAGTCAACTTGTTTCAACTCATTTGAGTAGACTTGTTTTGTTTTGATTATACGAATTAAGCATTCGCATTGGTACAATTTGATAGGGAGAGTCGACTTGTTGCAACTCAATTGAGTTGACTTGTTTTGTTTTGATTATACAAATTTAGCATTCGCTCAATTTATTCATCGCGTGAATTGACTAGTTGAATTGGACTTTGCGAGATTTGGGCTTTGGATTTTGGTGCGAAAGAAATCAATAACAAATCTTTTTTTATTAACAATTACATTATGATTAACAATTGATGATAATAATTACATTACGATTAGAAATACAAACTAAAAATTACAAGTACAATTACTAAATAAATATTAAATGATATATCACAACTAATTAAAATAGTTCTTACAATCAATATTAAGCTAAAGAGCTCAAGTCAAAGCCCAAGCACAAAATCAACTAAAGTCAAAAGTCAACTTGGTCAAGCCAGTCAACATGAGTCAAAACCAGTCAACCCGGTCAGCTCTGACCCAACCAGACCGGTTCAACAACAAAAAAAACACAAATACACTGTTGAATACTTGTTGTCCAAGAACAAAGAACAGACAGATTAGAGAAGAAAACATACTTAGCCTTCCTCTGAGTTTTCACACACAAAGAGAAGAAAACTACAATTATTCACACTTCCTTTTACCCTCCTAAACATATAGACAGCAGAAAGAGCAAAAACTCTGCCGTCAAATCTCTTCTTCCTCTTTAGCCGTACAACCACACAACAAATCAAACAAAGGAAGAAGGAGCCATCAGGAAGAAACAACAAAGGCAGCGACGAGAAGGCTTGGAGAAAAGGAGGCAAAGTCATCCATTCATCCCAAAACAAAACTACAACCAATCAAGGTTGGTAATATCGAATCCCCAATCAAATTATAAGCTGACCTTAAGACTCCAAAAGCAATCAAGCTCAAAGCAACCCCATTCAAATTACAAGATGGTTAGTCTGACCATGATAGCAAAATACATCAACAGATCTGATTTATTGCTTTCGTTACAAGTTCATTAATTTTTTTTTTATTATCTGTTTTAGCCTTTTCATTGACTGATCTCCATTTAATTATTTCGTTGATTAAGCACATCACAAGCAAGTACATATTATATGTACTTTCCAACTCTGTGTTCTTTGCTTCCTAATCTCTTGATTATTTGATTTATTTAGCACTCCACCATATAAATAACTAAATTGACATCACATCCATAAGCTACCAAATCTCAATCTGGAAAACAGTAGCAAGCAAGCCAATAAACACAAAGACTCAAGCCTTTTTGAAATACCTTTCTTTTGTTTAAAGGGCTCTCCCTCTATTTCTGTTTCTAAATCCTCCCTCTATTTTCGACAAAACCAACAACCAAATACAGCACAACATACCACTTTTCAGATTTGAACCATTCTTTGAATCATCAAAATCAATTAACTTTCCCAAAATACACAACCATGCACTTCTCAAAATATAGACATGTAAATCCGGTTTCAAACAATTCTGATTGACATACCAGATTTAGAGAACCCCCAACAAACTTCACACAATTACCATATTCAGGAACCCCCATCACACACCCACAGTTCATCAAGTCAACCAATTCCTAAATCACCAACATAGATACCCATATTTCCAATTACGACAAAGAGAACTCAATCACAACCATTACCCACAACAGACAATTCCAGCCTCAAACTGTAATCAAGCATAAAATCTCGGTTTTAGAACCATAACCCCAAACCAAACCTCATTTCAAAACCCATAACTTCAGATCATCAAAACCTTCACCTCATCAAACCCAAAACTCACATAAATACTACACAGAACTTCAGATTAGCAAAACCCTCCAAACAAGCATAGATTACCATTTAACTCGACCATGAAATCTATGTTTAGTTTTAGAATCCCCAAACAGGTCTTGAGATGTGTTTAGGGAGGTGTCACCTGTATTTGCCAATGTTCTCGACAATCTGCATTTCAAAGCAAAAGAGCTAAAGTAAGAACCTATCAACCATAATTCCATCTAAAACAGTCACCATGAATCCCTCAGAATCCAAAATTCATTAATGACAAGAACCAAACTACACTCACCTCTTCGACGTGTCAGTCGGCGGCAGCGTCACCCGAGCTCCCTCAGCTTTTCTTCCTAATACCATCACCGACGACCTCATCGCCATCTAATTCGTCGACCCTCGTTCTCCCTTCCCTCGATTGATAACGAAAAAAAAAACAAAATAAAAGGGTTCAGAACCCAAAAGATCTCCCCAATTGGAATCAAAACCCTAAAATCGACATGCAATTAGAAAAGGGCGATCTTACCTCTGTTGCCGTCGTCGGTATCGTCATCGGCGTGTATCATAATCCCCCTTTTCGCCGTCGTGGTTTCCTTCTTCCAATCTCCTCGTCATTTCCAGAATGAAAGAGAGAGAGAGAGATGGCCGATCGAGTGCGAACAGGAAAGAAGGAGAAGGATTGTGTTGGATCGTCAATTTTATGAGGGATTTTGAGAGAAAACGAGAGAGAGGGTAATGCAAATCGCTCCAAGCGTTATTTATGTCACCCTTTTATTTGCTTTGTTATTTGGTTGGGAATGAGATATTTTTTCAAATATAGTGTCGGAAGCAAGGGGAAAGGAAGACGGAATGATCAACCGCTTTTTTGCTCGGAAAAGAAATTTTTAGATGTGGGCCATTGAAAACTTGGTGGCCCCGACTCAGCAACCAAGTTGAGCTGGAATGCTCGCATACACGGAAAATTACCATAAGATACCCACGGTTAAGTTTATGGACGGAAAATATAACGGTGCAACCGAAAGTAGTATTATGTGATTTAGTTGCAACTAAAAAATGTTAAGTGGTTAGCATGCAACAAAAGCAATATTTAAATGGTATGCGGTGCAATTAACCCGCAAATCGGCAGAGAGAAGAAACGAGGGGAAGATTGAGATTAGAATGCGGCTAGGGTTCCATTTTCGACCCCTTCTCCGTTATTTTTTACGTTGCCACTTGCCACATTCCCTGTCCAAAACGACGTCACTTTAACTTAAAACGAAGCAAAACAAAAATTAGTCCATCCCATGATTCGAACCACTAACCTTAGGATCGTTATAAAGCTCTCATAAAAAATTTAACCATTAGGTTAGTGGCCTGCTAATTATTCATATATTAAATTGAATGATTCTTAAATTAAATAAACTTAATACGTAACTTACACTTAAGTAAGATAAATTACTTGGTCCATCTCGTGGAAAAAACTTCTAACACTGATTTTTATAAGAATCGTTAACTTCATTTGAAATAATTATCTACATACGTATATTTCTTTTCTAAAAATTCTTAATACAAAATGTTATGGTTAATAGATTGTGATAGTATTTTCTTATTAAGTCTCTTTTAAAGCTATTAACCATTCAGATTAAAATTTCGTAAGATGAAAATTTCTTCTATCCTACAAAATATCAAAACTTAAACACGAGTCAATAGAGCGTGTTTGGTTCCTTTCTTTAAAAATAAATCAACATAACCGAACTACGTGGACTTTGATCCCGACCACTCGAGTACGTAGGCAACCAATAGGTTCGAGTCCAACTAATCTAAAACCTTTTTCATTCCCACTATGTACGTCAATAGACGTAAAATCCAACTAACCAAAAATATTTTCTTTACTATCGAGATTTTGCGTTAATAGACGGATAATCTAAACGCATACCAATAAGCCTATTTTAACTCATTAATCCAATTGGATTCCAAGATACGTAATTAACATTTTTAAATAACAACTACCTAATGAATCAAATCTTATAATTAAATATGTAATAAGCCAAATAATAATAACACACCCAACCCTAAATGATTATCGATTTTAAGTAGTACCCATCTTGGGGCGTTGTGGGGCGTGAATACACTTCTCACACGTGACTGTACTCCCGAACCCAGAACTCTAAAAATTCGCAGACCCGAACCTGGTTTCGACCCTAAGGTTGGAACCGGACCAAAAGGTGTTCGACCCACCACAAACTAAGGTTGATGGCGACTCCGAGCATCATCGCAACGGATCCCCCGATCTCGAGGAGCGGTTGCGACAATAGGATCAAAACCCGGTGGGAGAGTGAGGCCAAGGGCATTACGAAGGAGGATAGCCATAGGACGACGAATAAACAGATGCTCTAGAGATTCCCCATCGTCGGATTCACATATGGGATAATTAAGCGGATGCAAAATTAAGAAATTGACGACAAATTAGAGGAGATATACGAAGGTGAGGGGAGATGAAGAAGAAGAGGGGCCATTGATGAATAATGAAGAAGAAGGGGCTACTCTTGTAAGAAATAGTTAGGCGAAATCGGAGAAGGAGTAAGGAAGAAAGGAGAGAAAGGACATAGGGACACATTTGGAAATAGAAGGAAGAAAACGTGGTAATATCAAATTACTAGGGGGAGATGTAGTATTCTCAATTATAATGAATGTGGTAATTGAAGTCAATTTCTTTTTTTGAAAGTAGTAGTTCATTAAGAGTGCGAACGGGCTGAAGCCCAAACGGAAAAGTAGCAGATTACAATCAGATTTGAAAACCAAAACAAAAGGCCTCAAACGATCCGGGTCCAGAACCCAATAGGGCCCACACCCAAAGCCCAAACAGAACATGAATCAGCTTTCAAACCCTAATCGAAACCTACTCCTCTGCAAATCCTCAACCGCCGCAGCTTTCAAACCCTAATCGAAACCTACTCCTCTGCAAATCCTCAACCGCCGCAGCCTAAGACCAGCATCGCCTCCTTGATTCGCTTGTAGCGCAACTTCCCACCAGCTACGCCGCCATGCACCAAGCAGATAAAACATCTTCCACCAACCCGGATGGAGGGACAATTCCACCCCGAGCCAATCGCTCTCCGCTTCCCGTCGCACCATCAAAGAGAAGACATCAGAGACGATCGGTCGGCCGGTGGAGGAAACAGAGGAAAGAGCACTTTTGTCTTCAAGCTCATCTAGCCGTGTCCGACGCCATACGGTTGCATCTTCGAAACACCATGACCTGCAAAGTGAGACAAGGAGTAGACTAGGGATAGACGAGGAGAAAACAAGTCAGATCTACATCAGATCTAGCCTCCTCCGCATCTTAGATCGGTCACCATCTCCAGATCTGTAAACAAACAAATCAGAGGCCAAAAGTACATCCCACAGATGGGGGAGAAAGGAACCCTAAAATGGGATGCAAATCACCCAGGAACGGGCAGAAAACACAACCAAACAAGGGAGAAAAGGAAAAAGAAGGAAGGAGAACAAGTAAAACAGGAAGTGCAATGAGAAAAGGAAAACACAGAGGGGCAGAGGGCTGCCGCCGGTCACCGGAAGGGCGCCGGCGACAACCCCTCGCTGTCAATACGATTAATCGCCTAGAGAGAAGGCAGAGAAAAAAGAAAAAGGAGAGAGAGACTAATTGCAATAACAATTAAGAGAGCAGAATTGAAGTCAATTTTCATGGTCCAATTCCCATACCCTTTTTGCTCTACCAAACGTGGGTTTTTAACTTAATTACTTCATTATGTGGTACTTGGGTTCAATTACTGCATTACATTTTCACATCCAAACGACCCCTAGGAATTAATGTGGAAAGCAAGTAAACGCTCAATTTTAAGGAATTTAACACTGGAATGAAATTGATTTGAGGAGATTATGATTTATGCAAACGGAGCGATTGAAAGTAAAAGATAAATCGTAAAGTAAATGAATTGCTTAAATATAAATTAGCAAGTGGACTGATATAACTGTACGGTGATTGAGTATATATTTGAAAAATATGACAGCACATCTTATTGAGAAGGTGGGGAAGTAGAAGCACCAACCTGTTTGGAGTTTATAGGCCCAAGAATGGCCTTTTGGTTCGGTTATGGTTGGATTTTTGTTGGGCCGAGTTTGGTCTGTGTTTGGGCTTGAAAAGAGTCTGGCCTTATGCTACTTGGACTTGAGCTACTTTATTTGGGCTTAGTCTGTGGACCTGGAATATGGGCTTGAAACTGACTGGTTTTCTCTTCGATTGCAGGTCTATGGTTTATAAAAGAGTGATCTCCAAATCAAGTGTTAATTTTAAGTACATGTAAATCAACTATGTATTAAAATATTTGCTTCCATTATGAAATATGATCTTTCTTGTAATGTTTAGCATAGACATTTAATGATAAAGCTTATGTTTTCTTTATCCAATTCCGCCCACTTTCATTCATAAGAAGCCAAACTAAACTCCATGCCTCGAACTATCTCTTAAATGTTGCATACTTAGAGTGACAAATTCGTTATTATATTCAAATCTTGTATAGTTTATGATTTGCCATGCAAACAACTAGTCCAGGCCCAATAAGTCCGCATCAAATAAGGGTATATTTGGTAATCATCGGTCCACATTGACTTGTCACTGCTAATCTCAACCAATTCGTCCAAAATATACTCTTTAGTTAATCGCTATAGATTTCCCCATTTGGGTTTTAAGAAGAGTGTTTGATCGAACAAAATGTGGTGTCTACAAATACGGAATTATATCATACCAAAAATTGGAGATTCTGTAACCGTAGTTGCTGGAAGCAGGTTGAGAAGAAAAATTTTGCTTAAATTTGACAGAAATGGGGGAGAGGCTACGTAGAAATTGGGGGAATTATTTTTCCAACAACTACGTGGGAGGGGGGATTTATTTGGTAAACAGGGTGCATTCACCGTCGTTGCCCTAAGACGGTGAAGGTTAGTTGGTTGTGACCTAATTATTCACCTACCAGGGATGGAAAACATGACAATTATTCACCGTCGTAACCTAGCGCGGTGAAAAAATCACCGCTTTGTACTACAACGGTGCAGTGTTCCCTGTTTTTTATTAAAGCGGTGATTATTTGAGTGTTGTTAACAAAGGCGGAGAATTTTAGGCGGTGATAATTTCACCGCTTTTCTGATACGTGGGAAATAGCTTCACTGCGTTAGACAACAACTTTGAATGTAAAACATGCGCACTTTGTGAATTTTGTTAAGAACCAATGTATTTTTGGATTTTTTTCGAATAGGATAGAGTGTTACAAAGAAAGGATGTTGGAAGTTGAACCGAAAAATAGGATCCTGGGCGTGGGCCGTGGGACGTGGGCCGTGGGCCGTGGGCGCTGAAGAGAAGGACGAGTTGGCGCCAAGCAATGAATTTGAAGTTCAGAATTCTGATATGCTGCGTCGTCGTTTCAAGCTTGGACACTTAAGTGGACCTTCTCCTTCAATCCACACAATTTACTTGACCGTCGGCCCCTCTCTCTCTCTCTCTCTCTTTCCTTCCCGCTCTTTCTCTTTCCCCTCCCTCTCTCTCTTTCTCCCTCCCATTCACCAAGAACGGCTCCCTGCCCAAACAGCCCAACTAGTAGACGAGTATTCAGATCGAGAGCCAAATTGAGATCACCTTCTTCATCGTCGTCAGATCCCGCGATGGTTCTTGATCTGCCTATGTTCGGCGTACAAATGGTAATGGAAGATTACGACCTTCTCAGAGCTGGCGGTCAGTCGGTTCAAGATTGCATCAACGAGGAGAACCAAGGTGGCGCTGATCCATCTCGTGCACTGGAGTTGAATCTGAAGGTTGGCCAGTTAGCGGGGTTCATCAAAGACCGCTCATCTTCGTTCAATAAGAGGGAGAAACAGTTATGCGAGCATGTGGTTCAGCTTATCCATACTCATAACGCAAAGATTGACGATGAACTACTGATTCTGGGGCTAATCCGACCCACTACAGCAATGAATTTTATCGACGGGGGTAAGTCGTTCAAACACCAATCTCCCAGTTCTCCACACCTGATGGTTTCTTTCCGATCTTGAATCTTTACTTTCGGTTTTTGCAGATCAGAATTTCGTCCAAGTAATGAATTCATTCTTTGGATCATATGAGGGAATCCAACAGAGGCTGAATGAGATTCTCAATGAACGATCGGAAAGGAATGAGGCTATCGCGGTTGCTCAGAATTTGGCCGCTGACCCACACATTAGAGCAGTAGAGGCGGTAAGGGCGAATGATTGCCAAGCTAGGATGATAAATGGTATAAATCAGTACAATATTTTGGTGGCGGGGCTCGAAGTTCACAAATCTCACATCTGCCACCAGTTACGCCGATTGAACTACGCTATAAGGGAATTTCTTATTCCCCTGCGAGTTAGGGTTCCGGACTTGAGGGTTCCCTCAGTGGAAGTCAAGAACCGTCTCCCCCGTGGAGCAGGCAGGGGCGGGGGTAGGGGAGGTGGTGGCGCAGGAAGGGGCGGAGGTGGGGGAGGTGCTGGCGTTGTTGCAGGAAGGGGCGGAGGTGGCGGAGATGATGGCGGTGATTTGCCTGGTGCAGGCATGGGCCGAGGTGGGGGAGGTGGTGGAGATGCTCAAAACCAAAATCAGATGCAACTGGACGCAATGGTGCAGAATTTACTTGATATGGATGTGGACGCAATGGTGCAGAATTTACCGGATGATGTCTATGATATGGATGTTGCTGATGCTTTTGGTCAGGGGGTTGTGGAAAACATTCATGGTGGAGATGCTCAAAACCAAAATCAGATGCAACTGGACGCAATGGTGCAGAATTTACCGGATGATGTCTATGATATGGATGTTGCTGATGCTTTTGGTCAGGGGGTTGTGGAAAACATTCATGCTGGAGATGCTTTTGGTCAGGAGGTTGTGGGGGCTGACCAAGGTGGCGCTCAAAACCAGATGCAAATAGACGCAATGGTGCAGCATTTACTAGATGATGACTATGGTGAGGATGTTGATGATGCTAATATCAATCAACTGGAAGCTGAAATGCAGTTGCTGGTTGCTGGTCAGGGGGTTGTGGGCGCAGGTGGCGTGGCTGTCCAAGGTGGCGCTCAAAACCAAATGGAGCCGAATTTACAGGAAAACATTGAAGCTGAAGAATGGGCAGAGTGGCAGTTGGATTTACTAGGTAATGGTGATGCATAATGCATTTGAGGTACTCTCTAGTGTTGTCATGTGATGGTGATGCATGTTTCCCAGCTTATGTTTCGACTTTATTTGAACTGACTTCATCTTTAGCTTGGTTAGGCCTTTGTGATTGCACTTGTTGGTGGTGATGTTCATCATTGTGGGGCATGATGATGTATGGTTGGTGGTGACCGGCTTAGGTGCTAAAGCCTGCAATGCGCACCTGGAGTACAGGGTTAGAGGTTGCAGGACTAGGAAGTTTAATACTAGAACTTGAGGATCTGTAGCTTGCCTAGATGATTGTGTTGCTAGTTGCCATTTGTTCAAAGAATACATCAGTAGGAACTAGGAGCTTCCTTTTCTGTTTGTACATGAGCTTCAAAGTAGAGTTTTGGAACATCAGTAGCAGATAGAAACTTCTTTCTGAGTTGAGTTTACTCTGCACTTGATTGTACAAGTTTTAACAATTTGGTATGTGCAATAGACCTACTTGGAGCACTTCGTCTCCGGTGCACCATTCTGATGCAGCTAGCTCTCTGCCTGCTTGCTAGTTTTGCATTTTTCTCTCGCCTGTGTTGTGTTCTGCATCAAAATATGGAATTGATTGGTTGTGGTGGCTCCTTCTTTTAGGGGTTTTGCTTTTACATTTGGCAACTGTTGCTAATAAGTTAGTCAGTCTGCTATGGAGTCCTTAGCTTGAGTTCAGAACAGGCTCAAGCCTAGTGCTCCACTATCTTCTTGGATGTGTGTTTTGAAGTGGCCCGCTGTTACTGTTCTCCCGTTGGCAGAATGTGGCTAGGGCTATCTTAAATGATGTTTGTTGGGTTTTCGGGGATAGGTGAAGTTTCTAACCGATCCAGAAAGGAGAACAAGCCAACAACGTCCACTGTATTTCTCTCCTTTCGGAACAAAGGCACAAGGTCCACTTGGACTTGTCTCTTTCTGTTTTTCAACTCATGACAACGTCAATAATACTTAAGTCTGCATTCCAAACATCCCTTGATTGTGTTCGTATAGCGTGTGGCGCGCGGTAAGGTCTTTGCAGCTAGCTCACCAATGCGTCGTACTTGTGTTGATATATATCGAGCATGAATGTGAGGATTTCTTTGTCTGGTTCACCGTGCATCGTCGTTTTCATGCCTGATCATTCCATCTCTAGTAACTTGAATCTGTCTGTGATTGGATTGTGACCATTGGGGGAATATGGAAGCTTGTAGTTGTTTGACATTGTGTAGAGACCTGCTGCAATGCAAAGCGAGGGAGAAAAGGCAAACTGATGTTGAAACTTCAGTTATCAGATGCGACAATGTGATACTCAGTCAAAAAACGCAAAACTAACAGAACCATTACATGTATGTATATGTGGCCAACATAAAGTCCATTACATTATTGCAACTTGTGACTGTGAGTTTGCTTGCCAATGTGAACTTGTCATAAGATGACTAAAGATAATGTAACTAAGAACCCCACATTGCCAGGACAGCAACATTTATCTAAAACTGTAGAAATGTAACCGGATTCACTATGAGCCCTCTGCCCTTTGATTTTTTTTGGCTACGGTAGAATGTATTAGATAGGGAATTACAAGGAATTGAAAAGAAGATAGCGGAAATCAGCCAAGTGCTGATTAGCCTATGCAAGAGCTGTTTTCGCCACGCAATGAGCAGCCATGTTAGTTCTACGGGGAGAAAAAAACAAAACGAATATACGCGAAGGATGCTTTCATCAATTTGATTTCTTCAATTATCGCCCCGCCACGATTGTGATCCTGTATATCTTCCGATGCTCGCCGAATCACCAGTTGCGAGTCCCCACAGAAACAAACAGAAGAAATACCACAAGTTAAGCACCAGTCCATTGCATCTCTTAATGCTAGAAGTTCCAATATAAACGTATCAAATAGACCGACGTAGTACTTATTCGTATGCACAAGTTATCGATCCTCACGGTGAGAAGCCTACGAACCCAATGCTGCCACCCATATCCTGTCGTGTTGCCCTTTGATTAGCTCGACCAAGAAGTAACAATGGCCTTTTACTTTTCGTTGTTAGGGTCGTTGTTACCAATTAACCTCCAACAATACAAAACTGTCAAAACACACCCTTTTACTTTTCCAATTTTACAAACAAGGATAACGTGTTACAAACTCCCCTTCTCTTCAAAACAAACTTGTCCTCGAGTGTGAAAGTCAGAGTTGTTAATAGAGTTATATTGTTAAATAAACTTTTCGATAGATGAAAATGAAGATTTTGAAATAATTTTTTTTAGGGATAATACCCTAGTTTGGCCCGAAGTTTAGCGTAAGTGACAATTTTGGCCCCATTTTTCAAATAAGACATTTATGACCTACTTTTGAAATTATTAGACAAATTTGGCCCGCCGTTTGGATTGACCGTCAAACCTGACGGTCAAACATTCTCGACTTTATTGACTCAGCAAAAACAGCTGATATGGCAATGACATGGCTGCCACGTCATTTTCAAAAAATTAAAAATAAAATAAAAACATGAAAATGAAATAAAAAAAATAAAAACATGAAAAATAACCCTTGAACTTGAAGCACTCTCCGTCTCCGCCCTCCGCCCTCCAATCCTCCGGGGAAAACAAAGAACACCCCTCTGCCCTCCAATCCTTTGATTGCATCAATTTCAATCTCAGGATTTTTCGACCGTCGGTGGGGGAAATGGCAGATTGGATTGTGAAAGGAAGCAGCATTGGCAACGAGAGATGAGAGGTGGCGGTGGTCAACGGAACTGGAAAAATAGATGAGCTTCGACGAATGCCGGTAGGCGACTGAGGCAGGGGAGATCGACGGGAGACTTGTCTTTGCCTCTCTGCTCGCCGAAGACAAATTTTGTAGGCGATTACAAGCATTCAGACCACCGACCCTCCTATCTCTCTTCCCCCGCCGTAACAACTCTAGATCTGACACAAGATCTTGCACCACTTCAACTTACAGACGCTCCTTCGCCTCAATGTCGCTGCAGATCCCATCTTGGAGACTGGATGGGCTTCCAAGGGCGATGCCGACGACTCGTCAGATTGCTTCCGCCTCCCGCGCCGGACTACGCCTCCCTCGATGAGAAATTCGCGCGTGCCAAGACGAGGGACTCACCGTCCTCATTGATTTCGACTGATAGCAGCACAACAGTAAACGCCAAACTGGAGGGGGAGAAGCAGAGGGATTGGAGCTCAACGAAGCATAGAAGCGGCGGGAGGCAGTTAGTGGAGGCAGTGGGAGAAGGGGAGTTGCTAGGGAGAGGGAGGCGAATCGTCGTTCTGGAGAAGATAAGTAGGGTCGCAGTGGCCAATGGGGGTTTCACCGGAGATAAGTGGAAGAAGACGATTGGATTTGCGGATCGGATGTATTTTTTTTTTCTTCTGAAAATGACGTGGCAGCCACGTCATTGCCATATCAGCAGTTTTTGCTGAGTCAATAACGTCGAGAATGTTTGACCGTCAGGTTTGACGGTCAATCCAAATGCCGGGCCAAATTTGTCTAATAATTTCAAAAGTAGGTCATAAATGTCTTATTTGAAAAATGGAGCCAAAACTGTCACTGACGCTAAACTTCAGGCCAAAGTAGGGTATTATCCCTTTTTTTTATGTATAGCTATGTTTGTCGGACTTGGATCGTGGTGATTGGTGAATTAATTTTTTTTTATGTATAGCTATGTATAATTTTTTTTTTTTACTCATATCAATTCATTCGATGACTCTCGTACTAAATATTTGTATTTAATGAATTAAATTACTGACTCAAGTATTTTATGTATTAATTTATTTCTAGGTAACAAAAACAAGTAGAAAGTCTACTCTACCATACTCCTAATATAGCCTTCATTTCCTATTTCTTTTTGTTTATAATCTATGATATCAACTCATGTGTGTCGTAAATATCTATTACTAACCTATCTATGAAAAAAAAAACTCATTGGGTGTTGTGTCACATACATTCTGCTAATTAGACGGTTCATTCAGTGATAAAAAAAAAATGAACACGATTCATCCATTTATACTGAATTTACCATTTTATTCAATCTCAATCGGATGGAATTTTGATACGTACAAAGATTATAAAAATAATGTATATATGCCAAAATACATTTATTTATTTTCTTAAAATGAAGGAACTTTATGAAGGGGATAAACCACCAATGTACAACTTGTGCTAATTATAACACTTAATTTTTGTATCTCAATTTCGCCATCCTAATTATTCTTCATTTCTATTTTTTTTGTTTACTATTTTTTGTTGTTGTTTATAATCTATAATCTCAACTCATGTGGGTTGTTTCACATCCATTCTACTAATTAGAAGGTCCATTCAGTGATACAAAATCAACGCAATTCATCCCTTTTATACTGAATTTACTATTTTGTCAAATCTTAATTGGATGTCATTTTGAAACGTAAGTAGGTGATAAAAATAACGTATATATGCCAACATATCTTTATTTTCTTAAATATTGAAGGAACTCTATTAACAAGATAAATCACCAATGTACAATTTGTGCTAACTATAGCACTTAGTTTTGCCTCTAATTTCACCATCCTACATCTTGTTTTTTTGGGTACTATTTATATATACAAAAAACGGGCACAGAAATTGTCTACCCAAAAGAATGTCATCATACTAGCTAGACTTACAAGAAGTCAAAACTCCCTATAATAAGATTGCTTATGTGGCTGACCTTAGATTAGGATTCACATTATGTACCAAAAATTCGAGTTCAAGTTTGATTACACCTTCATTAATCATGCACCTCCAAGAGAAGCCGTTGGGATAGAGGTAGACCCATGATTCCACAAGTCTTTCAACTCACCTCTTATAAGCCCCAACACCACGCAAACCCCTATAGGGAAAACGACATGACTTGTAAATACTTAGGAATAAGATTGTGTCGATAACTCTAGTTGTTATAGATACTATATCATTTACCAACTCACGATTATTTGATAAAATGAGCTTTGATTTTATGTCAAAAAATTAATTAATCATAATAACTTGAATTGTTGAAAGAGATTAAATATGAATCTTATACTATTTACCAAAATAAATGGCTTAATCACTAGGAAACTTGCAAATATATATGATTAGGGCAAAGTATCAAAACATAAAAAATATCAAAATCGAAGTATCAAAACACCAAATAAGTACTTACGGAATACTTATTGGGCTAGCTAACTGTTGAAAAGTTGTGATTTCATATTTTAGCTTCGTATATATTTTTAATTTAAAAAAATACAACAAATCTACATAGTCAGATTGATTTTAAACCTTCACTTTGTTTGAAGTGACCATGGCTCAAATCTCAATATGTCTATCTTTTTCTGTAAATAAATAAAAAATACAGATAATTGTGAAGACAAAAATGTCCTTCCTAATTTCTCTCTCATTGTAGGAAATTTGAAAAGGGAGATTAAGTTTCAAATAATTAAATCATATACCCTAAATCTATAGAACTTAAACCCTAATATCACATATACTAAGAACATAATCAACGATCCTGATTCGCCAAGATGTATACAACATACCATATGCACTATAATAGGATTTAGAGAATTATGATATAGGGTTTAGTTACGTGATTAATCTATGGTCTAGATAATGTTATTTAACTAAGGAGATGCAATAACCCTCAATCCATCGAGCGTACCATAGAATTTCCAATGTATATACACATACCATTGTTTGTTAAATTTAGCCAATGATAATTGGCTCATTTGTCAATGGTATTTAGTCTTTCAATTCTACGCTTATAATTGTCAACCATTAGAGAAATTGTTAGCCAATGATTTTTGGTCATTCACTTATAGCATTAAAAATGTCTCGTTACAAAACCATAGATCACAAATGTCAAATTTTATGTTTTGAAATAAAATTGTGTATAGCGCTTTTGTAAACAATCTTTGTATTCCTACAAACTAAAAAGTCATGTAACCTACATAGACTCAAAATGTACTATTTTATTCTTGGTGAAGAATTGTGTGATCAGAGGAACTCACTTAGTTGATTCATAAAGCTAGGTATATCATGATGATTCACTTTGTAAATAATTACAGTTATTAATTCATTCGATGATTAATTGTTGAGGTGGATAGTCCTATGATTTTGATATATTTCAGTATTTTCTTTCTTTAATTCAAAAAATACATAAACATTGTTGTAGTCCAGTTGGTTAGGGATATTGACTATCAATCTGAAGGACCTGAGTTCAAGTCTTTGTAATGACATTTTTTTTCTCGTAAGAAGATATTTAAGCTCTAAGTTGAACTTACAAATTTACCCCTAGCTACAATTAAGGAGAGTGCAAGGAATTTGAAATGCTCAAAATCTTTTGAAGAATGGCTATATATTATAGAGGGATAGATAGATAGATAGAAGATAGATAGATAGATTATTTGACAAGTTGGTAAACAATTGAACAAAAACCAATTCCTCCACTATGTTGGAGAAGTGCCCTATTTTGTGTTGATTGTTTTCTTTGTTTCCTCAATTATCTTGTTTTTTGTTGTCGCCCTGTTTTCTCTCCGTTTTATACCGATTAATTTCAAATTTGAAATATGAATGGTTTCGTGGTGTAGTTGGTTATCACGTCAGTCTAACACACTGAAGGTCTCCAGTTCAAACCTGGACGAAGCCATACTTGACACTTTTTTTTAAGTCAACTAAACTTGCATGATCGTTTTCGTTTTTCATTTTCGCATTGCCTGATTGAGTTTTAGTGATAAGTCTAACACACTGAAGGTCTCCGGTTCAAACCCCGACGAAGCCATAGTTCTAATTTTTTTTTCTTTCTAAGTCAACTAAACTTGTATGATCAATTTCATTTTCACATTGCTCGAATGAGTTTTAGTGATAATATTAATAGATCTCAATTAGCTGATAGTTACAATGTAACTTTTACCTTTTCCAAGTCAACTGAACTCGCCGCGTCGCACCCGACGCTCCAGTCTTGGCAGTACAAGGCGTCGGCGTCGGCGATCACATGGAGATCGAAGAAAGGCCTGGATATTTATAACTACGAGGAATTTTACAATGTTATATAACATTGGTGCTATAGGTTTTGCCTTTATGATACAATTTGAAATTGTACATTTAATGTTATGGTACAACTTCAGATTGTATCTATACGTTTTGTACAAATTCTTTTATGATACAAACTTGTACCTTTATGTGATGGTACAACTTGAAGTTGTAAAGTTTTACCATAACATAATGGTACAAATTCGTTTGTGGTACAACCTAACTTATGCATTTAATATTATGGTACAACTTCAAGTTGTACATTAAATCACACATGCTATATAGCATAATAGAAGTGCTCTATAACTATGGTTTGTATTGTATATAGTTAACCTAAATCAATTTATAAAACTCTCTCTTGCGATCGTTTGGAGAATTGGAATCTAAATCTTTGAATTCTAAACAAATTGCTTATTCTAATTTTTCTGATTGTTGAAAAGATTTTGAAATTTTCATTACTTGTTCAGTGTTAACTCAATTCATTTTCCCATAACCTGTTACCTTGCATGCTTCTTGAAGCATTTATAATAATGTTATTTCAATGACTAAAACATCAATGGTTTCGTGGTGTAGTTGGTTATCACGTCAGTCTAACACACTGAAGGTCTCCGGTTCAAACCCGGGCAAAGCCATATGTTTTATCTTCTTTTTTTCCCCCTTATAGCGTTCCACTAGGCTTGTGACAAGTATGACTAACTCGAAACGAAAGAAGAAGTAGTGGTCAATGGACTTTTTTGCCCCCCTTTCCAATGTCCCACTAGGCTTGTGACAAGTATTACTAACTCGAACTGAAAGAAGTAGTAGTGGTCAGTGGACAATGGGCTATCGTCCTGTGTACTGATTGCTTCTCTTCTTGTCATGCTATACTTCACCTTCTTTAATTTCTCGATATGAAAAGGTAGTAGTGGTCAGTGGGCGATGGTCATGTCTACTTGCCAATCCAATGGACACACTTTGCATATTGGAGAAGGCCCATAAGCTCATGTCACAGGAAAGAAGACTACATGTTTTTCAAAATTATTTTGAGTATGATTTTTGTTGTACCGCGGGCTGATTTGAACTTGATATTTTTTTTCCTAGTTTGGTAAAAAAAAAGTGTGTTTTTTTAAGAGATCCATGTAGTTCTAAATATTTTGTATATTTTGTCATTTGCATTGCATCTTAAAATTAAAATTAAAATCGTCTGCTAGGTTCCATCTATCGTGAGGGTACCTACGTGTTTTTTTATTAAGTGAATTCAATGAGGAATAGTAAAATCATATCAAAAGAGTTGTACTTTGTATAATTATGTGATAAGATATTTTTTTTGGTAGAAGTGATAAGATATTTTATGCTTAAATTATAATTTAATTGTGATTTAACGGTTACATAATGATAAATATTATATGGGTTTGAGCTCTAATACAACTTTTTTTCCCAAGAGTAGTATGGGACGTTTTGGCAAACACTAAATTCAATAGTTTGATTATTGGGTTACAATTTTGTTGATATTTTTATGAGCCTCTTAACAGGGACTAGACACTATGAATATTTATAATTAACATATTTGAATTCCATATCGTGATATATCTTTTTAATAATTAAAATCAACGATAACAACTAAGAAGCCCAAAAATCAACTCATAATTGGAACAAAATCTCTCCCCGAAAATAAAAATAAAAACCCTCCCAACTTTCTACCCGCAACTCATATCATCACACTACTAACCTACTTATACTAGCAAGCTAGCACTACGATGAAACTGAAAAACAAAACAGATAACTAAAAACAAAAAACAAAAAATTCTCGCTACATGAAAGCTTTCATTCTCAATAATATCCTCCTCTCGATCAATCAAACCGATGACGTTCCGGCAGTCTCGTCGTCGCCGAAACAAGCACGGCCACTATGATCACTCTTGTCCGCCGCCACGGACACCGACGGCGACGAAGAAGAAGGAGACCGATGCTCGCCGTCGTCGTCCATCTCGACGTTGCCGAACGTACCCAGCACCTTGTCGCACACCGCGCAGTGCCTGCATGCAAAAAAAAAAAAAAAAATCAAAAGGCGAAAATATTGGTTAAGTAATACTCCAAAACTCGTCACTAAAAAGCATATGACCCGTCACTATATGTGTATACTCACGCCTTGTTGCCCTTCTTGACGACGGACTGGTATTTGCAGCAATGGTTGCAGTACTGCGTCATCTTTAGCGACGGGATGACAGGAAATTTTTTTTAGCTCGTCGCGAATTCGTTTCTCGACGGTTGCTTGTTGCTATTGGGTGACTAGGTTTATATAGTGATGGAACTGTGGAGCAGAAGAGGAAGGAGGCGATCGGTTCATCCATTATTGTCGTTGAAGTTGCAGAGAAGCTAATTAGTGCATTTAAGGAAGTTTTAAGTACTGTTTAGTTATGGAAGTTGAGATTATTCGTAACCAATTAAGGCATAGGGTACAAGATCTATGTAGAAAAATATTTTGTTCCCCTAATTCAGACCGTACGCAGATGGGGAAGCAAGCTAATTAGTGCCGTTCAATATAGTGGCATATAGTTATAAACACACTTTAATAGGAACTATCTATTTTTTTTTTTAAGGGAAAGGAACTATCTAATTAAGGAGGAAAGGGACGTCAAGATAATTAATTGTTTTTTTTATTAATAAGTTAAGCTTCTAATTTCTAGATTTGGACCTTCATCATGCAATTTTCGATGCAGAGTTTTTCCTAGTATAAGGTGGGGGACGATATTATGGGGGTTTTTGTGTGACAGAGATATAAGTATACCAAGAACTTGCATGTCAAATCTCGAAATTGAAAAGAGAAATCAGTGCACGTGCACGTTGGTTCATCAGTAGTCAATTTGACGATAAAATAACTTGTTTTTGTTATGATATGGGCAACAGTTGTTATTAAACTATGGAAATGAAAGACACGAAATAGAACAAAGCACGTTGTAATGAAGACACGTGGGAGTTACGTTATACGCTTCGTAGAGAAATAAGTCATCTAAAAATGTGAAAAATGAAGAGAAATAAAAGATACGTGATTGAAGTGAAAATCGTATTAGGAAGGAGAAATCAGTGCACGTGCACGTTGGTTCATCAGTAGTCAATTTGACGATAAAATAACTTGTTTTTGTTATGATATATGGGCAGCAGTGTTATACTATGGAACTGAAAGGCACGAATTAGAACAAAAGCACGTTGTAATGAAGACATGTGGGGGTTACGCTATACGCTTCGTAGAGCAATAAGTCATCTAAAAATGTGAAAAATGAAGAGAAATAAAAGATACGTGATTGAAGTGAAAATCGTAGTAGGAAGTTCTTCCAAGTGAAAAAACAAAAGCTCCCAGCGAGGATCGAACTCGCGACCTTTCGCTTACGAAGCGAACGCACTACCACTATGCTATGGAAGCAATACATGTCTACCTCATATACAGTTGCAAAATAATTTCCTTGTCGTTGAACATATAATACTTACAAGAAAAAATGACATTGCACCCATTTAGGTAACAAAATGGGACTTCAAAAAAATATGTATTCAAAACCATATTCTCGCACTGATTTGAAACCTTTCAAAAGAGTCTCCGTTTCATCTTCAATCGATATAGAACAAAGTATTGTGTGAGTTCTTCCATCACATACTTAAGTGTCCATTATGGTTAACAATCACAATACTATAAGCCACCAAATTGGAGTTGAAAAAAAAAAAAAACCCGTCACTGTGAATCACCCGTGGCTGGTTGCTTCCAGGTGGAGCATAATGAGACTGGTATGGGCTCATAGCATTTCTTCTTCTCCCACCAAAAAAACTGTTCTCCCAAAAAAAAAAAAAAAACATTTATTCATCATTTTGGACCAAAGTAGCTACCTGCAACTAGTGATGGCAATTTCAACCCGCCCCGCGGGTATTATCCGACCTAGCCCGCGATGGGGTGGGTATTACATGACCTGCAGTAGCGTGGGGCGGGGCATGGGTATCTACTTCCGACCCGCCCTGCCCCGCCCCGTTCTAGACTCATTTTATCTCAATTTCTTACAATATCTATACATATTTCTCTTATTTTGACTTTTATTCAACTAGTTAGAGTCGATCTTTCAACTTATTAGGCTCAATTATCCATTCTATTATCAATATTTTTCATTCTTAAAGTGTTTTTCCTTACGTTTTATTGTAAAAAGTAAAATTTACTTGTATTTTTTTTTTGAACAATATGTAAGAGTGGGTCGACCCACCCCGCCCCGTACCCGCGCGGGTTTTATCCACCCCGACCCGTAGTAGCGTGAGGCGGGACATGGGAATTGAAGTTGCCATCACTACCTGCAACGATGGAATTGGTAAGGGCCCATAGCCTTACAATTATGCCCACCTTACTCTACTCACTCCATAGTCCATAGTGCAGGGCCTAGAAATTGGGCTTTTCCGTGATAGAAACCCGGCCCACTCAAAATTTGGCGTCAAAACCTCGCACAAATTTTGTTGCGCGGTCATTTCGATCATACGAGTGTTTTAGCTGTTCAAACCCCTCGTCCTGGTCTCTTAATTACGAGCTGAAACCCTTAATTACTTACTCTGTCACATAAATGGCGATCACATTTCCTGGCAAATTGTTTCACCCCAACGCTAAAAACTTAAAACACCCGCGACGAGAAGATTTAATCACCCAAAAGGAAAATTCAACGAGGAAGAAAACCAAAACAAAAAACGAAATTCTTCGTCCTCAATTCATCAAAAATGCCGCAACCATTAATTCGCGTCTCTCTGCACCTTATTAACTCTCTCTCAAAATCGCGATGATCGGGAAACTAATCCCCAATCGTCATCAGGATGACGATTGCTCGCTGTCGCCATCGGATTCGGAACCGTCGGTGTCAGTGTCACTGACGGCGGCGGCGGCGGCATTGCAGACCCTCTTCGATCCCACAAATCCAGACTTGACGACCGCCATTTTCTGATTGGCGCCGGCGGAGGTGGTCCGATCGGCCAGAACCTTCCCGCAGGCGGAGCAGGATCTGTAAATTTCGTTTGTGGGGTTACGAATCGTCACCCGGTGGGCAATTGGGATAAAGAAAAAAAGGATTTTGCAGAGGGAGATTGTTTTAATTGGCTTACACGAAATCGCCTTGGCGCATTGTTGAGCAGAGTCTGAGACAGTAGCTGCACCAGAGCATATTCCGTCGGAGATTGATCGATTGATTGATGGGTGCTGCTTTGGCGGCGGATCGGTGGGGGGAACAGTGTAGGCCTGTAGGGTTTTTTCTTGCAGGTCTTGGGTTTTGCACTTTTGCTGACCAGCGACAGCAAAGCTCTCTCTTTTGTAGATTTCTAAAAAGGGAAGAACTATAAAACAAAGAGAGAAGAAAGGGCGCAAAAAAAGGGGAGGGGTTTGGGTTTTAGGTGTTGAACGTTCCATTTTCAAGGGAGGAAAATTCGCAAATCTAGATTTGAAAAAAAGTTAGTACTGTTCGACTCGACTTCGATCTAAGATTTCGATACCATATAGTAGCATGGACAATAATTCGCATAGAAGATCAAGAGAATCTTCGCCGAAAACCTTTGCATGTGCAGCTTCTCAATTTCTCGATAAAGAGACATGACCAGTAAGGTTCGTATGTCGTCGGCCTAGTACCTTAATACGATATAGAACACAACACATCAGGCAACGAAGAAGAACAAGGAGAAGTAACATAAAACAGATTACAGATTAAAATCTACGGAAAGGCACTTCTTTGCCTTCACTGCAAACACAAATTGAACTTAGCAATGCTACTCCAGGCAGACAAGACATAAGAACTGCGAGCAGAAACCCGAGTTATGTGTCACTGATCTACTCAAGGAACAATTAGTGGTACCAACCCCAACACCAACACCTGCTTATACAACAAAGCTATATATAGGAGGGCTATTCAAGATTCCAGCATTTGTCCATAATTGAGCTCTCAGAAGTATGTAGGCTTTGTCCTTTCAACAGAGAAGCAAACCGTGATGATATCGATCTCACCACCGCTATCCTTTCCACATTACAATCACTCCCTTCAACCTTGGGTGCGGTCCGCCATTTGTATAACATATGCTCATTTACAGCACAAAAGAAGAAAAGAAATGAAGAAAGAAAGAAAAGCACCAAATTAGCAGCGGAATTCGCTAGGTTCTTTGTCTAACCCTCCTTTCGTTCGTGGTGGTCTCGCCACCGTCTGAAAGTTGGCCCCAGACGCTACGTGACTTCCCACCTCCGCTGCTGCAATCATCCTCGCATCCCGCCACCGTCTTCAGCAGCTCTGACTGCAGCGTCGGGCAGTTCTCTTTTAGGTATTCAAATCCATCAGATCGCATCACGGCTGGAGAAAGGAAAACACGTACAAGAGAATGAGATGGAATAACAGAAATCACCAAGTCGATGAGATAAACTGATGAGCTCTCAAGCCCTGTCCCTATAAGATTATAACTTCAGCCTACATGACATAATACAAACACCTCAAGTACATGCACCATGTAGGTCTAGGGTTAGTGTTATGCATCGTGTAAAGAGTATTAGAAATTTCAATGTGCATACATCTCTTAATAGTTTAGTGTAAATAGCTGGCAGTGTTACTTCTAGCTCAGTTTAGCATATTTCAGAGGTTATATCACAGAGCTTCTGTGTGTCCACCCCATAATTTCAGACTGAAGCCACAGATGAGACTATTCCTCTCCTTACATTCTATACACCAATAAGAACAAACGTTCACTGAGAAGAAGACACCTACCTGCAAGGTTTTCAGCAGCAAATTTTAAGCAAACAGCCTTTAACTCTGTAGCATGGTAGCTGTCCGCCAAGGCTAAAATCCTAGCAACTGAGGCGACTGATATATCCTTGCATAGATGAGACTCGCACATCAATCTGAGCCGATCCAGCCCATACCTATCTGCTGCTGCTAATAACTTTGCTGTCAAAGAATCTGATATAGAACATAGACCAGACGAGCTTGATGCAGTATTACCCACATCTTCAGTAAGTGTGTCGCGGTAAATGAAGTGCAAGATGGCCTGTATCCAGACAAAGAAAAAAGGTTATACAACAGAGCACATGCATTCAGCTTTGTCGCAAAAACATGATAACAGCATAACATAAGCGTTCACCTTGAATACATCGGGCTCTAGGTCAGTAATGACTATCTCTTCACTATCTTCCGCACAGTCAAAGAATTTGGAGCGGAAGATAGGAGATCTAGCAGCCAATACTAACTTGTGAGCTTCGAACTTTTCCCCTGCCACATTAAAAGTAACATCTGAACCTTCCATAGTCTCGAGAAGCGTGCCAAAATGTGCTCCTATATCAGACTCTGGAACCTGGATAGAGTGTAACCGGGAACAATCTACAGCAGACACCACCACTCCCACAGTACAGTTGATTTTTAAGCAATCATTCTTCAAATAATCGGATGTCTCAAGCATAGCGCGTCTGAAAAATCTCTTGTATCCCCTACAGAACAAAAGAAAGGAATTACCATCAAGCTACAGAATCGAAAAATGAGCATGTCTGTAGCACCAAGAAATGCCACCTGACACTCTTGCCAGTAACAAAAAGCCCATTGTAAAAAAAAAAAAACAACAACAGAAAGCCAAAGAGGGTCAGCATAGAGTGAAATGGACCAGTAAGAAAGGCACACAGGACAAGAACTAGTAAAATTTTCAAGAAAAAACTGTAAAACAGATTTGGATGAGACATGTCAGAAATTTCAACCACGGAGGAAATGGATCACATTGCTGTTTATAACAGTAAATTATAAGTTGGGTACTGATCAGTTTTCCCTTGATGGGTACCAGTGATTGGCATGACTCATGAGAGCATAATTTATTCACTAAATAGAAGTGAAAGACCTAGCTTGATTCCACATTAACCATAAGCAGAGCGGCCACCAAGTGTAACCTTATAATGTATGGCCAGATGGAGTGACCATCATAGAAACATTACTCGGAGCAATCTGAAATATCTCTATGAACTGATTCCACACTTTCTATAAGTCTACCATGTATAAAAGTGATCTCTATTTCTTTATAATAATATATCTTCCGACCTTGGAAGCACCATCAACTTCTAGAAGGCGGGGTTTATATAGAGCTACTAGTTCAATTCCTGTGAGAATAATGAGATCCAAAATGCATGGACATAAATTGAACCCCCGCAACATGAACTGTCGCCTTGGTGGGGAAATCTTGTCAAACACAGTATCGAAGCTCTGCATTTGAAGAATTTATTTTACTTTGAGACATGGTAGCACTCTTACTAATATTAATGAGGAGTGAACTAATTATCCAATTCGTATCTTATCCCAGTTCTATTCTAAATGTTCAGGAAAATCCTATTTATCATGTGCACCACTCTGCTAGAACATTACTTTCCTTGTTACATGGATTCCCAGGAGAACAACAAATTGTACTGCCCAGCTGACCTCTACAACACCAAACTGGGAACAATAAAAGCTACAGTCCATCCAAACTCTGCTAGTAATCAAAGAGAAAGAAACCTGATCCCATTCTTATACAACAAGAAGTTGGGTCGAGAAGGTTGAAAAACATGGTGTGGCAGACTGATATTAAGAGAAATGAGTCCTGCCCAGTTAAGCAGGCATAAAAGGCAATTTCCTAAAAACTAAAAGCAACATGCCAAAAGAGTTCTCCTTCAAATCTCAAATCACCTCAGCCAATCTGGTTTCCAAGAAGCCATAGATCTCATCCTCTAGAATAAGCGAGAGCCTTATCAAGAAACAGTTAAATCTGCCAAAACAACCATTGTTCAGTCGGCTCACAAACATGCTACCTAGAGCTACATAGAAGACCACAGGACGCTCAACGACCATCCCAAACAAACAAAAACTGCCCCGGAAAACAAATATCAAGCTCCCATTTTTCGAAGTCCCTTAAAGAATGTCAAGTAAAAAAAAAAAAAGGAAACTTACCACATGCTGCCGCGATACTTGAGCGTGTACGGGCCGCTCTCGAGGGACCGATCGAAATGGCTGTGAACCTTGTGCTTCCCTTTCCCGCTCTGGTCAACCAGCGTCAACTCGAACAGAGCCCTCACGTCGGTCCCCTCACTGGCCAAGGCGATGAACACCGAGACGTAAGCGGAATTGTCCTCCGGATTCTTGCCGTCGGGGTAGAAATAGATGGCCCACTGGTACCCTCCGACCGTGAAATTGTCGCTGGCAATGTGCTTCCCGACGCCCATCCCTTTCGCGAGCGAGTAGCCTTGGATCACGAACCGGTGCGACCCGTTCACCGTCTGCGTCACCGACCGCGACGACGTCGGCGACAGCACGGGGCTCGTGTCGGGCTTCGCCATCGAATTGGAGCGACGAATTGAACGGCTGCCGTTTGAATCGGTTGGGATGGATTTCTGGAGAGGAATCTCTGATTGGAGAGAGGGAATTCGTCGGTGCTGGTGATTTTGAAATGTGGGATTTGCTAGGGTTTTTCCTCTCCTCTCTGATTTTTCCCCTCTCTTGGTTTAAAATTGGAAGGTAACTAACGATATCTTGTGCTTCCTTTCTTCTCTTTTAACCTCCAACCGAGTTCGCGGGTTATTCCGTTTTAACTGAGTCCGTGACCGACTCGGTCTAATGGGGACTAAAGGAGGAAAGCTATAAAAATGAGGGACTCATTAGTACTTTCGATTCCGCCGCCGGTTCCTATCCGATGGGATTGAATTGACGCACCAGAAGTTCATTTTCTATTCCTTGCCCCTTGGCAGCAGACTTGTTCTCTGTCAAAGCTTACTACTACCTTCTCCCGGCTTCTTCCTGAACCGGAGAACACAAAGTCAGCGGCCGGCGATGATATCGACGGAGGAGGCTCTCCGGATTGTTCTGGGAGCAGCTCAGCGTCTTACTCCTACGACGGTGCCTATTCACGAGGCCCTAGGTAAAGTTCTAGCGGAGGACATTCGAGCGCGCGACCCTTTGCCCCCTTATCCTGCTTCCATAAAGGTAATGCCGCTGCCTGCCAATGGAACTTCGCTGGTCTTTTGGTTCAGTTGAAGGAATATCTTTGTTCGTCGCTGTTGGTGTGATCGGCGAGGGTTTTGGTCATTGCAGGATGGCTATGCCGTGATTGCTTCCGATGGTCCAGGGGAATATCCGGTGATTGCCGAGTCGAGAGCTGGAAATGATGCGGTTGGAGTCACGCTTACTCCTGGGACTGTTGCGTATGTTACAACTGGAGGTTGGTTTAGAGAAATGCTCTTCGTTTGTAGGCTTGCTGAATGTGTTCCTTGGCTTCTTGTCGCAATGGCTGCATTTCCTTGAGTGCATTGCAAGCTAATCGAATTGGGACAAACGAAGGTTTTAGCTAATTGCAATTAGGAGATATTCCATATGTTGCCTTTCTTTGGGTTGACATATGTATCTCCAAGTTCCAATGGGGAAGTACCCCCCATACAAAGAAGTTGAGATGCTAAGGCTGATTCCAAGCAGCATTATGTGAGGGTGAAATCTTATGTGTTGTCTATCTTTCCTGTCCAGGACCGATCCCTGATGGTGCTGATGCAGTCGTTCAGGTTGAGGACACTGAAAAAGTTGAGGATCGTTTAGATGGATCAAAGCGAGTAAAAATCTTGGTGCAGACTAAAAAGGGCATTGACATTCGTCCGGTGGTATGCTGCTTGCTTAGTGAGTTTAACAGTTCTAGACAACCTTTGATATCTAGTGGTATCAAAAGGCAAACACTATTGTCACTGGGAACTTTAAAGCTAGCATATAGTTTTTGAATCTCATTTTGCTTCTGTGTTAGAATAAATTAGACAACAGAAGGAGCTGTCCAAGATGCATAGGACTGAGGGAAAATTGAATTGAAATAGATTAAAAGGGAGGGTCTCCGTGGATGATTTAAATCTGGTGTAGGAACTTATCTTCCGGTCTTCTTTACTGGGAAGTTTATTCACTGTTGAGTTGGTTCGACCTTATTCTTGAATACAAAATAAGTTTGTTGGTGGCTAGTGGTTATTTAACATCTTTTTTTGCCTGATTCTGAATTCAGCCTTATTTAATTTTCTGGTTATCAGGGTTGTGATATAGAGAAAGATGCCACGGTATTAAAATCTGGAGAAACACTCGGTGCTTCAGAAATTGGCTTACTTGCTACTGTTGGTGTGACAATGGTCAAGGTAGTGTTTTGCTTCTAATATTTTGTTCTGCTAATTATTAGCTATGTCTAAAGGGGGATTGTTACTTTCAGATATTTCCTGCTCCTACAATTGCTGTGGTTTCTACTGGAGATGAACTTGTGGAGCCAACAACTGGGTGTTTGAGCAGAGGCCAGGTACTGTGTTCCCCATGCTGCTTCAAATGGATAGTTGTATACGTGATTATTCTAGTAGAACATAAAAGCAAAGTGTCAATGTCTATGATTTAAGTAAACTACTAATTGTGTAATGGGCAAAGGAGTCAGTCTGGGAAAACTCCATTCGTTTTTACATTTTGAGGGACGTGGGAACTGGGAAGTGCAGTGAATGGTAAACTCGGATGCACTAAGATGTCACCTTGTGGTCACTGGGTATTTGTTTGTCAAGCTGCTGTTTTTCTTATGATTAGCCAGATTACTTATCAGATGTTGTTCAGTCAGCATTGTTTGTCCTTGAACCAAAGTTATTCCATTTCCAGTCCCAAGTTAGCACCTGTGTGAAATCTGACAATGGTTTCATCTGGCCTAACAGCTTTATCAGTTTGATGTTACTGATCAAAACTATGCAATATTTTTCACATTTTTATTCTAGCTGTTGAGGCACGGTGGACTGAAATTGGTTTTCTCTAGATTAGGGACTCCAACCGTTCTACCCTGCTTGTAGCTGCAGTTCAGCAGCAATGCAAGGTTGTTGACCTTGGAATTGCTGGGGATGACAAAGAAGAACTTGAAAGTGTCCTGGATAAAGCAATTGCCTCCGGGGCGGATATTATCTTAACTTCAGGAGGTGTTTCAATGGGGGATAAGGATTTTGTAAAGCCATTGCTTGTGAAAAGAGGGGTTGTTCATTTTGACAAGGTAAGCATAGCGACTCAGTTTCCATTTTCGTTACTTACATTGCTCAGGTTCAGTTTCTTCCTTTTCCACTTTTAAAATCAGTGGGAAGTCCCACATTCTTAGCTTAAGCGAATTTTTCTTTATGCTCGGACTATGGTATGTGTGATCCTTAGGTTTGCATGAGACCCGGGAAGCCTTTGACTTTTGCTGAAGTCTCTCCAACAGTCACTACTGCGCCCAAAAAACTTCTTGCATTTGGATTACCCGGAAATCCTGTGAGCTGCCTAGTTTGCTTCCATCTCTTTGTGGTCCCAACGATTCGCCGTCTTTCTGGATGGGAAAATCCTCACCTTTTGAGGTTGCTGGAACTTTTAAAACTTTGTTCTCTCTCTTGTACATGCTCAGATTTCAAGCAATTATTAATAGCATTGAAATTCATGGATAGATTCTTAGCTACACCCTTCATGCTCTTTAAACAGAGTGCATGCTCGTCTTAATCAACCTATGAAGACTGATCCAGTACGGCCAGAATTTCATCGTGCCACCATCAAGTGGAAGACCAATGATGGGTCAGGGAATCCAGGGTTAGTTATCTGGTGATATTATAGTAGAAGTTGTAGTTATTGAAATCTTTATAAGTCGATCACTTGAAATAAAATCCATGAACTACAATTTTTCGTTGGTATGCCAGATTTGTTGCTGAAAGCACTGGTTCCCAGATGAGCAGCCGTCTCTTGAGCATGAAATCAGCTAATGCGCTGTTGGAGTTGCCAGCAACAGGAACATTATTTCCTGCTGGAACTTCTGTCTCGGCCATTGTAATCAGTGATTTAAGCTGTAATGCTATTCCTGACGGTTGCATCTCAGTAGATTTAGCTCCTTCCCTTCAAAGTAAACATAGAGAAACATTCACAGCTTCTGAGGTCAGGGTGGCTATTCTAACAGTGAGTGATACTGTCGCATCAGGTGCTGGGCCTGACAGAAGGTGCGAGGGTTACTACTTCTTTATTATATCTCTTGAAGTCATTAGAGATCCTGATTCACATATTCCACTTGGAACTTGATGCAGAACTCATTTAAATTTTATCATTTCCCTTTGTCGAGGCCCATTAGAGAAGATCAGTAGTCTCCTTATGCGGCTAGTGCACTGAGCATTATGATGAGTTTACTTGAGACTGATATCCAAGGTTTTGGACACAAGGATTTTTTTCTCCATAGCATAGGCTTTCAGCTAGAGCACTCAGTAGACTCGGCTTGTTGCTGTTGCTTATGGTCTTGTGGATAAGTGATGAAAATTCCTTTATATAACCATAGGCACGAAGCGAAGGAGAAATGTTCTCGCTTGATGGTCATCTAGGCCAGTTTGCATGTATGTAGACTTTTCCTTATTGCATCTGGATACATCTCTATGAATCGTTGTTTCAAAGAGGTCACTTAGTTGATGCTAAACCAAAATGAGCAAAGTTGGTTCTCCCCATGAATAAGTAAAACATGAGTTGAACTTACTCTTTTGCCACAATGTTTTTAAATTTACAGAACTATTTTCTTTCTGCTGACAAGTATCCAAGGTTTTGGACACAAGGATTTCTTCTCCATAGCATAGGCTTTCAGCTAGAGCACCCATTAGCCTCGGCTTGTTTTTGTTGCTTATGGTCTTGTGGATAAGTAATGAAAAACATTGGAATTCCTTTATTAACCCAAGGCCTGAAGAAGAGGAGAAATGTCCTTGCTTGATGGTCATATAGGTCAGTTTGCATGTGTGTAGACTTTTCCTTATTGCATCTGGATACATCTCTATGAATCGTTGTTTCAAAGAGATCACTTAATTGATGCTAAATCAAATGAGCAAAGCTGGTATTTCCCCATGAAGAAGTTAAACATGGGTTGTACTTACTACTTTGCTACAGTGTTCTAAATTCACTGAATTATTTTCTTTCTGCTGACAAAAAAGTTTATCATACTATTTAGCTGGCCATAGCAAATTATTCTGGACTTAAAATTGAAATGATTCTCGGTAGGTAATTGGTATTTGAAGCTTGTATAAGATATGTAAGCAGTAGCCTAATTCTCATTGATTATGATTCTTTGGCGTGCAGCCGTGCACATGCCTTGCCCTATGCTGTGGGAAGACTTGCGGTCATATTGTACAGAGTTGAGCTATCAATAGTCGATCAACTTTTATGTGTGATCCTAGTTTCTCATTTTGTGAAAATTGTGTTGAGATCTGCAGTGGTCCTAGAGCAATTTCGGTTGTAAATTCCTCTTCAGAGAAGCTAGGAGGAGCTACAGTGGTATCAACCGCTGTGGTCCCAGATGAAGTGGGTAAAATTAAAGATGTTCTGCTGAAGTGGAGTGACATTGATCAAGTGGACCTCATTCTTACACTGGGTATGAGTGTTGCATGTTTACAGTTCTATTCCTTATTTCAGATTTCCTTGCATAGGCGTTTCTTTGTTCACTTCATTTGATCTTATCTTTTGCCAAATGTATGTGCATAAAATGTAAATGAAGGTGGTACTGGCTTCACCCCAAGAGATGTGACTCCTGAGGCAACTAAAGAAGTGATTGAGAAGGAAACGCCTGGCCTTCTGCATGTAATGACGCAAGAGAGTTTAAAGGTAGGAAATTGTGCACTCTGTATTTTTCTATAGGGCAATAGAATTAATCGATTTAGCAAAGTGATAACTGACAACTTAGTCACCAAGCTCATTGCTTATAGCACAAGAAACTACATTTTCCATTCTTTTTCTTCTCTGAAACTGTAAAGACTTTGATACTTCTCTTTCTCGCTCTGTTTCAGACTGTACTTTTCCTTGTTTTTACACAGAAGTTTTGACCCACTTCCAATTTTTCGTGCAGGTCACACCATTTGCCGTGTTATCACGCGCTGCAGCAGGTATAAGGGGCACAACACTGGTAAGTCACTCGAGCTCAATTCTTTATGTAAATCCTTCTGACGAACTGCGCTTTAACGCTTCTTGGCAACTTAAGCTACTACCTATTTCATGACCAATCCTGAGTGATCCTGGATAAAAATTGTGTATTGCTTGAGCTCGTTGTTACATTGGGAATCGTGCCAATATATTATTTCACCTTGATGGAGCAGTGATGATGTATTGACCCTCCTATCAAATCCTGCCTTTCCGTTACTCATTCTGTTACGTTGGATGTTGTTGTTGGGTAATGCAGATAATCAACATGCCAGGGAACCCAAATGCAGTTGCAGAATGTATTGAAGCACTGCTGCCAGTGCTGAAGCACGCTTTCAAACAGATTCGAGGCGACAAGCGGGAGAAACATCCACGTCACCTCCCCCACACCCAACAACCATCTGACACGTGGGAACGCAGCTTCAGTGCAGCCAATGCAGCTGCTGCTGCTGGTTCTGCTTCGGAGCCTCCTGCTAGTTGCTCTTGCTCGCATTGAGAAAGTCCCTCCCATTCCCAAGTTGATGTGTGAGGTTTGTGTTTTGTGCTATGAATGTAATATAGAAATAGAATGGTCACCTTGGCCCGGAGGGAGAGTAATCTATTTACTGGGATTTTAAAGCTGTGCATTTTGAAAGTCGATGCATTCTGAAATTCACTTACTTGGACCTAATAATTATTCACAATGTTGATTTATTTGTATTTGAATGATGATTTTGCTTTCTAAGCATGAATGGATAGAGACATTAGCAGTTTAGCACTCACCAACTACTTGACTTTGGTTATTGTAAAAAAAAAAAACTACTTGACTTTGGTTAGAGGCTTTCACATGAAATTTTGGTGAACTTTTTTTTGGCCCTACTTCACCTACTCATTCTATGCACACCAAATCCCAAACATCTAGAGCTAAACTAGAGTATGTGATATCAATAACATGTAACGATTAAAGCTTTGTGGCTCGGATAGATAACAATACTAGATGCTTATCTCGTGAAAGATACTCGTAAGATCAACATTTTAACCAAGTAAAAACATCCAATGAGTGTTTGTAAGGTTATGTAGCTAGTTCTGAATGTAAAGATTGATTTGTTGAACTGGTTAGAGCCACATTCATAGTTATTCTGTCAAATTAATTTTATAAACTCATCTAACTCTCTAACTAATTTACTGTCGTCTGCTACATAAGATTGAAATTATCCGAGAACTTATGTAAATACTCGTTTTATTTAAGCAAATTGCAATATAGTTGTAAAGTAAATAATCTAATTGGAGTAACATACATTCCAAAGAAAATGGTGGCCAACCAACTTTTTTTTTTTTTTTTTTCATTTTGCCCACCAACACCTTTTGATGTGACCATTATGATTAAATACCATACCAAATTGACACAAGACTACAAGAACTTAGCCATGGCCTTTTTTTTTCTTTTAATCTCCACGTTTGCTAAGGCCACTAAATATGTTTCGTAAAAAAATATTGGTGATAGATGTTCAACAAAGCCTCCTCAAATTTGGGGTTGGTGAATCCATTGTCTTTGTTAGGAGCCTTACACTTAATCCCTCAAATAATTTCTTCTCTATTTCCCTCCATACTTCTGTATATCTTCCAATATTTTGGGTTATATCCTAAATGGCGACTAGATGATAGTCGATATACCAAAATAATCACTCAACTTTAAAACATAACGAAAAGAACACTTACTTTTTTTCATTTCATAACAAAATGGTTAGTTGTTTCAATTATATGTCCATTTTTCGTACTTTATGCTTAGTCGTCATGTCAATAAAGCATGCCGCATTGGCATAGTCAGCATCCAAATTGGGCCTATCAAATGCCAATCCTTAAGTCATCCACACATGATCCATCCCTCATCCAAAACACTAAATTCAAACTTGATCTGCCATGACATTAATCCACCCAACCCAATCTCCCCCCGCTAGGAAATATGGATTGAGAATCAAATCGTTGTTCATTGGGGGACCGAACATAGGTCAAATGAGTTTTTCACATAAGCTACTCGCGGTTCATGTGTCTGTTGTTATAATTTATTTGCTTAATACAAGACATGAATCATTAACAAAACTCGATAGAGATGAATGAATCACTATCGTATTAGTTACTCCAAACGTTAGTTGAGAAGTTTAGTGACTGATTTGTTAATACGAATAAAGTTCAATGGCCACTAATTACTTTTTTTCCCCTCCCGTCTTCCCTTTAGCTCTTTTTCCATTTTCCCCCAATCATTTCTTTTTTCCGCTAAAAGGATATAAAAAAAACGAAGACAGGAGAGAGAAAGCAGAGCGAGAGTGAGGGAGGGAGCGCAAGAACAGCAGTATAAATGAGCCAAGTCTCCAACCCCATATTCTCGCCATTCACATCTCTGGGACGCAAATCCATTGGCTCTCTGAGTTTCGCCTTCTCCCTCCGTTCCCCCGCCACCCCATCTCCGATTTCCGTTCGTTTCCCCGTCTCTCCTTCTTCCCCACCACCGTTCACTCGCCTTCGCTTCACTTCCCTCAGGTAAACGGATTTCTTCGCCTCTGCTTCGCTTGCATGCTCTGCATACCCTTTACGTTGCGTGCGATCTTTGTTCTATCCCAGTTTTGATAAGGTGGGATTTGATCGCGTCTGGCCGGCCTCTGTTTTGAACTGGGTTCCATGCATACGTAGTGTTTGTTAATTTTCCTCAATGAACGTAAATGGAGTTTCACTGGATTTTCTTCAGCCGCCGTAAATGATTTTGCTTGTGAATTGTGATCTGATGTTGGCGTTGGGTATTTATATGGTGTTTCTGGGTTCCATGTTTTCTCGGATCTTGCTGATGAGGATGCTCCGGGACTTGTGAGATTACTGGTGTCAGTTTGAACTGTGTGTATCCGATTTTATTTCACGTTATCTGATATATTTGATCATGTGGTTGCATATGACCATATGTAGCGACTGCTTAATATCAAACAACAATGTAAGATATAATTCGCGGTGGATCCTTGTTGATCAGCATTCTTCGTCTTGTGTTCATTTGAGGTTTCTTTTGAAATGTGTTGACATGCATAATTTTGTTTCTTCTTGCTTATAAGAGGAAATAGTAATCCATTTCTTAGAAGTTTGATGATCCTTTTGAAAATCGCTCTCCTGTAGTTGGTAAATATCTTATCTTGGAGTGATCTTATGCATGTATGGTTGCTGCATCCTTTTTGGCATGCTTGTATGATTAAAAATATAATGCTGGTGCTTTCATTGGCTGATTAAGATTCTCTCGTATTGTGGCGTGACAAATTCCTCTCCGTCATGTATGCATATCTACCAACTCCCTAATATCAACTCTATTTTGGAATAAACTCAGTTTGGTTCATTGGCCACCTGCATTTCATAGTATATATTCTTCTTCCTCTTAGCAATTGGTATCATCATCTTTGTTCATGATTGTGACTTGTGAGAATTAATGTTATTCACTTTATTAGTTTTCTCATCCTTTTCGTCATGGCTAATGGCTTCCCATTGTCGATGGCTTTTACTAAATGCCCTATATTGTCTCTGCCCGTTAAAGGGGTGACACAATGTCCAACGTTATGCAGGTGCTTTGATTGGTTGGATATGATTCTTTCGTATTCTGTTCTAACAATTTTGTGCTATTGTGTATCCATATCACATGTTTGTTTGAAGATTTCTTGTGAGACTTGATTTTTTTTCCATGGCATGTGGTGTCACAGAACAATGGCGTCCCACATTGTTGGTTATCCTCGCATGGGGCCCAAGAGAGAGCTCAAGTTTGCTTTGGAATCTTTCTGGGATGGCAAGAGCAGTGCTGAAGACCTGCAGAAGGTTTCAAAGGATCTCAGGTCATCAATCTGGAAGCAGATGGCTGAAGCAGGCATCAAGTATATTCCCAGCAATACATTTTCATACTATGATCATGTGTTGGACACCACAGCAATGGTTGGGGCAGTTCCTCCTAGATACGGCTGGAAAGGTGGTGAGATTGGATTTGATGTATACTTCTCCATGGCCAGGGGTAACGCCTCTGTTCCTGCTATGGAAATGACCAAGTGGTTTGACACCAACTAGTACGTGTTTATTTCCTCACTGGGGTGTCAGATGTTACTATTTGTTCATTTTCTCCCATTTTTGTAATTTACAAGAATCATTTGCTGCAGCCACTACATTGTGCCTGAGTTGGGACCAGATGTTAAATTTTCATATGCATCGCACAAAGCCGTTGATGAGTACAAAGAGGCTAAAGCTGTAAGTTGACTGGGTGATAGTATTCAGAATGCATCATTGCTCTACATGGTCACAGGATCCGTCTTTCTGGTTTCTAAGTCTCGGATATCATGGCGTGATGAGATCCATTTACTACCTTATTGATAATAGTAGATTGGAAAACTGAATGTTGCTATCTGTGTACAAATATTTGAGTGGGGAATTTTTATTTTCTTCCGTAACCATCTCTTAGTTACCTGGGAAAATATAAGAAGTGAATTTGAGTAAATTAGGCTGATTATTGGCTGAAATCAAGGTTGAACTATCCATCTCTATCTCGTAACTAGTTAGTGGGTCAATGAAGCTTTTACTGGCATCTTGGGTTAAGAACTTGTAAGTTGACAGCTTTGTCTTTCAATTTGTCTATGTTGCAGCTTGGAGTCGACACAGTGCCAATTCTTTTAGGACCTGTTTCTTACTTGTTGCTTTCGAAACCTGCAAAGGGTGTTGATAAGAGCTTTTCTCTTCTTTCCCTGCTAGACAAAGTCATTCCAGTTTACAAGTAAGCCATTGGACTTTCTCATGCTGTTTTATGTGGATGCTTACTGAAACTTGTCGTTTATTGATCTACATTGCTTTGTTTATCATATTGTATGTCTTAAACAAAATTCATTGTAAATGCTCTCTTCAGGCAAGTTGTATCCGACCTAAAGTCAGCTGGTGCTACCTGGATTCAGTTTGATGAGCCCAAGCTTGTGATGGATCTTGAAGCACACGAGCTGAAAGCATTTACTCTTGCTTACTCAGAACTCGAAACATCCCTTTTTGGTTTGAACGTTCTGATTGAGACATATTTTGCTGATGTTCCAGCAGAGGCCTATAGTGTTCTCACATCTTTGAAGGGTATTACTGGGTTTGGGTTTGACCTTGTGCGTGGAGCCAAGACCATTGATCTGATTAAAGGTGGATTCCCTTCTGGAAAATACCTATTTGCTGGTGTTGTGGATGGAAGGAACATCTGGGCTAATGATCTTGCTGCTTCTCTTGACGTTCTTCATTCTCTTGAGGGCATTGTTGGTAAAGGTACGCAGTCTTTATTTCAGTTGAAGCGTAACATAATGACCCTTTTCAATTGATGATTAATGATTTGCTTTGTCATTATTCCTTATGCAGACAAGCTTGTTGTTTCCTCATCCTGCTCTCTTCTACACACTGCCGTTGATCTAGTCAATGAGACCAAGTTAGATATAGAGATCAAGTCATGGTTAGCATTTGCAGCTCAAAAAGTACTTGAAGTAAATGCCTTGGCCAAGGAACTTAGTGGTCACAAAGATCAGGTAGTGTTTCATGTGCTTTGGTATATTTCGTGGCAATTTTCATTGTTTTTACTTGGCATAGAGTTCATACTGTTCGTTATTTTAGCTGAACACTTGAGTCTGTTTCATGGAAATGAGAACCAATTTGATAGGTGATTTTCATATGTTAGCCTGCAATTGTTTCTTTTTTCTTCAACTTGATCTCTTCTTGTTCTCTGTCCAGCCATTCTTCTCGGCTAATGCTTCTGCTCTTGCTTCGAGAAAATCCTCTCCAAGGGTGACAAATCAGTTTGTGCAGATTGCTGTGAGTGGTTTCTTGACTTACAATTCAAATTCAGTGTCATGAAGTATATTTGCTTGCTAATGCGTCCACTTGTTTTAATTTGAATAATTGCTGCACAGGCTGCTGCATTAAAGGGCTCTGACCGCCGCCGACCCACTGCTGTGAGTGCTAGACTGGCTGCTCAACAAAAGAAATTAAACCTTCCGAGTCTTCCCACAACTACCATTGGTTCTTTCCCACAGACCATGGATCTTAGGAGGGTCCGCCGTGAATACAAAGCTAAGAAGTAAGAACATTGTTGCTTAGCCTTTTGTTCTCCTTTAAAGAACATACTTGCTCCTTATCCTTTTGCTGAGAAGTTTGTGTGTTTTCTCTCTAGTTGATAATGTCTTTTGCTTTTTCTGTTCCTTCTGTCAACTGTAGGATTTCTGAGGATGATTATGTTAAGGCCATCAAAGAGGAAATTAACAAAGTTGTTAAGATCCAAGAAGAACTCGACATCGATGTTCTGGTGCACGGTGAACCAGAAGTAAGCATTACCACTGAAACTTAATTACTAATTTTCAGTTTTCTGCATGGTCGCAACTTTATATATTCAATTCAATGTTCATTTCTAAATATCTCCTTCAATGCAGAGGAATGACATGGTTGAGTACTTTGGTGAGCAATTGTCTGGCTTTGCCTTTACAGCTAATGGCTGGGTTCAGTCTTATGGTTCTCGTTGTGTTAAGCCTCCAATCATTTATGGTGATGTGAGCCGCCCTAAGGCCATGACAGTCTTCTGGTCAAGTACTGCCCAAAGTATGACCAAACGACCCATGAAAGGAATGCTTACTGGACCGGTCACCATTTTGAACTGGTCCTTTGTTAGAAATGACCAGCCCAGGTATGACAATTGCTGAAGCAACTAACTTTTGAAATCCTTGGGGTTCCAGATCTTTCTGTGGAGAACCTTAATGTATTACCCTCTCCTTTTGTTAGGCATGAGACATGTTACCAAATTGCACTTGCCATCAAGGATGAGGTTGAGGATCTTGAGAAGGCTGGAATAAATGTCATCCAGATTGATGAGGCTGCTTTGAGGGAGGGGTTGCCTCTAAGGAAGTTGGAGCATGCTTTCTATTTGGATTGGGCTGTCCACTCATTCAGGATTACCAACTGTGGCGTCCAAGATACTACCCAGGTCAGCATAACTTCCCTATCCCCTTGTTCCGGAAACTCACTCCAAGTTTTGTGGATTTGATCTTAGCTTTTGCAGTGTGGATGCTGGCAACTAACTAAAAGAGTAAAATTTTCATGTTGGTTCACAGATCCATACCCACATGTGCTACTCAAACTTTAATGACATCATTCTTTCAATCATCAACATGGATGCGGATGTAATTACAATCGAGAACTCCAGATCTGATGAGAAGCTTCTCTCGGTCTTCCGTGAAGGAGTCAAGTATGGTGCAGGCATTGGCCCTGGTGTATATGATATTCACTCGCCTAGGATCCCGTCCACTGAAGAAATTGCAGACCGTGTTAGGAAGATGCTTGCTGTCCTCGAGAGCCACGTCCTCTGGGTCAACCCTGATTGTGGTCTCAAGACCCGCAAGTACGATGAAGTCAAATCTGCCCTCAGCAATATGGTTGCTGCTGCTAAGCTCCTGAGAGCTGAGCTTTCAAAGGCCAAGTGAGAAAGTTTGGTCTCAAGTGGTGGAAGAGTGTTGCTGAAGCTCTCCAATATGTTTGTGAAGCTAAAGAAAATTTATGTATTAAAGCTGGAATAATGAGCTTGTTTTTCTCTCTCTTGCGACGAGGAATGCATTTCTTCTCCTCTTTTCTCTTTCTCTTCTCACTTCTAGGGTTGTGCGGTTATGTAATGTCATTCAAGGATTTTGTCCATGAAAAATGAAAAATGTGATTTTCATTCTATCCCCTGTTTTATCAGGATGTGTTGTTCCTTGAATGAATTGTTGGCTTGATTTCTCTGATGCCGTTGTCTTTCTCATAAGCAGATCTTGTTCAGGGAAAGAGATTTTCCAGACCCTGAATACATAAATGACTCCATGAGATGCAGAACTGTAAGAATGTATCTTTTAATGAATTACATCGGTTCATCTGTTCTTTTGTCTTCATTTTGGATGGCAAATTATTGTATCATAAGTCTATTTTGTTCTTCTTTCGGTGGCATCCAAGTTGTAAGGGAATACAGGATCATGCATCATCTGAGGCAGCTCTGGCACTGGGACTTCAAACTTGAGATACTGGATTACTTGAGCAGCTGAGGGCCTTTCGCTGTCAGTAGGGTGAGTACACAATAAACTCACATTCAACAAGCACCTCATTTCCTTGATATCAAATTCAATCCTCAATTTCTCATCAGCAGCATCAAAAATATTCCCAGTTTTGTGATGTGCCCATACCTCTTTCACCAAGAGCGAAGGATCACCTTCTCTGTAATTCCTCTGCCCACAAGCAAGTTCCAGGCCCACAACCCCAAAGCTGAACACATCAGCAGCTTTGCTTGCCTTGCCATCTGCCAGGTATTCAGGGGCCACATAGCCATGAGTCCCCACAGGATTCGTCCTCTCTATTGGAAACTGAGTGTCTATGTGTTTGGCGATCCCAAAGTCACCTAGCTTTGCTGTGAAATCCATGTCAAGTAGTATGTTCTCTGGCTTAATATCTCTATGAAGGACACATTTCTCAACCTCTTCATGTAGATAGTGGAGGGCTGAGGCCAAGCCAAGGGCTATGCTGTATCTCAAGTTCCATTGCAGGGTTCTGCCATTACCGAAGAGATGAGAATCAAGGCTGCCATTAGTCATATATTCATAGACAAGTAAGAACTCACCCTGCTCATTGCACCATCCAATGAATGGAACCAAGTTTCTGTGTATTACCCGGCTTATCATCTTCACTTCATTGATGAACAGATCCCCGGAGTTTCCTGATTGTGCATGGATTCTCTTCACTGCAATTTGGAGGTCTAAATCGCTCAAGTGTCCTCTGTAAACGAGTCCTGAACCTCCCTCACCTAGCCTTCTTTCATCTGCAAATCCATTTGTAGCTGCAGAAAGCTCTGCATAAGAAAATTTCTTTGGTAAAGCTCTTCTCTCCAAATCGGTATTCAAAGAAACGGCTGACTTTCCGTTGGTTTTCTTCCTGGATTTCCTCTTCATCATTAGAAACAAAAACAACCCACCGCCAAAGAACAGAGAACAGAGAGAAACCACAGTAGGCACTAAGAAATGCGACTTTTTGGACCGGTGATGATCATTCTGGGGTGGAACTAGCGTCGCTTTTGGTGTGGGTGCCGGTGCTGGTTCTGGTGGTGTTACTACTCGTGGTTCTAAGGTGGAGTTGAATGTCCAAAAATTGACGAAGTGTTTCTCTGTACCTTCTCCCGTTGACCCTGAGAATCCCACTGTAACCCACTCAGGAAGAACTTCCGTCAGATCAATATGATGAGTAAGTGAAGATTCTGGCCTGAAAACTGGCTTTTTCTCATATGCCCAGAACACTGTCAGGTTCTTGATTGTAGCATTGTAAGTAATCAAGATCTGGATTCCGTCTTCAGTTTCGTTGTCTCTATCCCATTTGGTTGTAGCTGCTGATCTGATGGAGTTGTTATTGATCCCAATGTGCTCAGTTTTCGGATCCCAAGTGTTCACATGTGTATCAAACTCCACCATAACCACAGGACTGGGAGTGTAAGGATTGAAATTTGATGAGTTCATCAATGCCAGGTATTTACACGAGTTTGGCGGGATCGGGTACCCCACTGGAGCAAGGAAAAAGGCTATCCCTTCAGCGTAGTCGTTGCCTTCGAGACCGACAGTGGTGATCGAGAACCGGGTTGTGAAATCTGTAATTGTCTTGGTGGAGTTGTCCCATAAATAGAGGGGGTCAATATAAGTGGCCCGGGCAACACTGCAAGGCTCATCTAGCTCGTTGAGTTGAAAAGCTACAGACAAGGACTGAGCATCACCTTGATAGGCTAACAGGTCTCCATCAGGGCCAAAATCTGTGAGGTTGAAGAATAATGGGTTGGCGAGGTGAAGGAGAAAGTTGAGAACAATAACGATATGAATGAGGCAGTTACTCTTCATCTGGTGAAGCTGAGCTGAATTGACAAATGTAGAAGGTTTTGATATGGTTCATAATGAGATGGAGACTTCATGATCTGATGTATTGGTGAGTCGGAGAAGAAATTGGAAAACAACAGTGATGCGGATGATATGATGATTCTTCATCATTCTGAAACTTAACTGAATTGACAGAAGGGAGAGGTTTTGATTTGGTTGGATTACCTGATTCTCCCAAAGAGATGAGATTTATTAATCTCAATCTCAAGCACACCTAGATACATGGGTGAGTTCAATGCAGTTTTAACACCTTGGAGACTCAGCCCCGTGCTTGGCTCTCTTTCTTAGAGGTTAGTCTTTGTCAGAAATGTCTGTTGTATTCATCTATTTATTTTGTCTGAAGCAGATTGTTATGGTCGTTCACTTTTGCCCGTATAAGGGACAGCCTTTGATTTGGTTCGCTGCGAGATTTCCAAAGATATGGCCTTGTTGATTTTTTGTACTAGGAAGAATAGTGGGACTATGAACTGTGAACAATTGGTGTGCTCTTTTGGGACAAATGAATGAACACAAAAACAAAATGACAATGGCTTGCCTTCAATCATTGAGTTTGACGTCAAATACTGAAAGTTCTTGCTGTTTGTAATGGTTCCTGTCTTTAGTGTTGTCCTTCTCTTAGTTGTCAAGACGGCAAGATTTAAGAATGATAAAAAAAAATTGAACCCAAGGTCTTTTCACCCAAGTCCGGTTCTTGTAAGAAATTGCCACCTGATGACATAGGAGTGACAATTCTCATGAGTCATGACTGAACAATCATGATAATTGAACCCATTTTGGGGCATGCTAATGGAAATCTCATACAACACAGATTGCATGAGAGGAAACGAAAGCAGAATTGCAGCACAGCTTGGATTGCATGCAGAAATTTAATGTAACCTTTCTTCTTCTTGAGAACCAAACTCATTCTCTCTTCAGGAAAAAAGAAATTGTGGGTTTTTTCTCAGAATTGGAAGAATGTTCAAAACACAGCTGCAGGAATTGTGCCAGAAGAAGAGATGGGCTTTGCCAAGGTACTCTGCAATGAAAGATGGCCCAGATCACAGTCCTCGCTTCAAGGCCTCTGTTTCCATCGATGGCCTCTCCTTCCACTCTCCTCCTTCATGCAACTCCTTCAAACAAGCTCAGAATGAAGCCGCCCAAGCCGCCTTCCGCCACTTCACTTCACCACCTCCGAGTAAAAATTACTAAAATCTCTGTATTTCAGGTTTGGAAAAACAAAACAGAACTTTTGAGACCTGTCTTGTGATCATACAATTTGCAGGTTCTGAAGTACCAAGAGATGGGCATCACGATCAGAATGCTTTCAATTCTGGAAATGGCACTCTTGAGGTCCTTCAGGATGTTGGTTTTGTCAACCTCTTGCCTCCAACTTTTCCCTCTTAACTCTTTGTTGTTTTTCCTGAAATTCTCTGTTATGATTCTCACTGAATACTGCTTGTCTCTCTCTCTCTCTCTTTGTTAAATTTCAGGGTGAATCTGTAGCTGGGTTTTACAAGAATCTGTTGCAGGAGCTAGCTCAGAGAGAAAGGCTCCCCCTACCAGTTTACAAGACTACGAAGAATGGTCCCCCACATCTTCCCACTTTCTTTTCCTCCTTGGAAGTGGGTGCAGAGAAATTCCAAGGTGAAGCAGGGAAGTCCAAGAAGGAAGCCGAGATGAATGCTGCTAAGATTGCCTACACCACTTTGAAACTCGCTTCCAACAAATCTCTTGCACCCGATTCTGTTGAAACTGAAGGTTGGAAAGAAGAGGTTAAAGAAGTAATAAACTTGACATCAGCTGAGGCATCAAGGAGTTATGAAGGAGTAGTCACAAAGAAGCAAGAGCCCTCCAATTACTCCCACTCCCAGCTTGTGAACTCAGCAGTACAAATCCCTTTCCCTTCTTCCATTGCCAGCCAACCAAAGAAAGCAAGGAGTGAGTTGATCCTCAACAAGGTCAGGGTCTATTCCTCATACCCAGATATTGAATTCCCTCGAGGAGTTACAGTCATGCCATTTGATGACGACCGATGGGTTGCTATCAGCTTGGAGCTCCCTGATCAACTAGCATAGTGTTAGTTATTTGATAATTACCTTTCATGTCTTTTGATCACCATCTCCGTCTCTCTAGCATTGAAGTTAAGAGTATCTATCATTCTACTTCTATGCCCGTTGAATTATATCACCTAGTAGCTGTTAGTCTGCGGTTTTGCTGCCAAGTATAAATGCTCTGTATTAGACTATATCTGAAGATGAAAGAGGGGGGTTCTTAAGCTAGTCATTTTGAGTTCATCAGGATTTGGGCACAAATGGCTGGTGCAACAACAAACTCAAAGTTGTGCCAATACTTTGTAGTTTAGTTTGAATATGTTGAAGTCAACTGGATTCCAGTTTATCCATTTCGTCCCCGAAAACTGCAGGGTATTTATTTTATTATTGCAATGATGTTTTCTCAGTATGTTTACAAACATACACCATTTCAAACCAATTCCTGAAAACCAAATTGGACATCTTTAAAGCATTCTTTAAGAAGCTGCATCCCCTATTCCTCCCTGGAACACCTGACAGCCTTTTCCAGGCAAAATCCCACTACCAGACCCATCAAACCAGCCGCCATGACGATCCCTGCCGATTCGCTCCCCTTAATCATCTTCAACTTCGTCACGAACCCATCAAAGAACTCCCTGTAATGCAACACTACACCAGGTGAAGAACCTTGAGTTGTTGTTTCCTGCTTCTCAGCTTCAGCATCCTGAGGAGTAGTCTTGTGATCCTCCAAACTACCATTTCCAGGATCACCTGTTGCTGAAACTTTCGGATCATTTAGCTGGTTAGCTTCAGGTTGTTTCGCATTCGGTCCTGAGTCCGTTTGATCTTTCTGTAACACTTGTTCATCTGGCTTCTTCAGAGGCTCAGATTCCTGTCGCTGCTTGATCTTGGGGAGTTTGATCCGAAGTACGCCACCTTCGAACTTTGCCGTGATCCCACCAATGTCATACGATGTCGATGAAACGTGGACTTCATGGCAGAACCGGCTGATTTTGTTGTCCCTGACAATGGGACCTTCTCCACTTATCCTCAGGTTTCCAGCTGATGTCACCTGAACCTTCAGTTGCTCCTTCCTGAAACCTGCATCCATTTATGCATGTGTAAAAGTGTTTGGTTTCAAAAGATATTTTGACACTCTTTATTTACCGAGTAAAAGACTACTATTAATAGGCTGAGTTTGTACTCCAATTATTTAACGAATGAGATTAACTCTTGGTAAGAAAAATAATAATATACGGATGCATGTAAATGAAATTGTTTTAATGAGGTCTAAAGTTCAATGAGATCTAAGTTAGAGGACTATTTTGAATAGTTTTCCAAATCCTTTCCGAACTACGCCCATATTGAGCTCACCGGCACAAGTTAGGGCTTAAGGGGCGACGCCAGATAATTTTCACAGCCTAAATCCCTCTCTTCCCGCCGGAGTTCAGTCACTAGAATAGCATAATAATGGCGGAGACGAACAATACACCGGCGGCCAACAATGAAGCGTCTCCTAATATGACGATCTACATCAACAATCTCAACGAGAAAATCAAGCTCGACGGTAAAGCTCGAAACTTTTCTTCGTTTTTTCCATTTCGAGATATGTAAAAAAATTTCCAGATTTTGGAGCCCTAATAGAACTCTTCAAATTTGCGATATCGGTGAAATCAGAGCTGAAGAAATCGCTGCACGCGGTGTTCTCGCAATTCGGGAAGATAGTGGAGATATTGGCATTCAAGACTCTGAAGCACAAGGGGCAAGCTTGGGTTGTCTTCGAGGAAGTTCAGTCTGCTACGAGTGCTATGAGGCAAATGCAGTCCTTCCCCTTCTATGATAAGCCCATGGTATGTGGAAATCTTCCCCCTTTAATTCGAGCTCCGGTGGGAAGAATGGATTGTTTGATTGAAGATTGCATGTTTCTTGCATTCAGTTCTACATAGGATATAATAGTTGACAGTGGAACGATAGGGCTAAGTAGAAATTTGAAGAGTGGCATCAGTACCCAGTTAATTTCTTAGCTTTGGAGTTTACTTCCTTCTGTGTGATTTTGGTAGTTTTTTTCTTCAGTAGGAACTTGTAGATTTTGATTACATGGATGGTTATTCTCCAACAAATGTGGTGTTGCTACTTGAGTTCTGTATAGTAAGGTTAACATTGTTGTCTATGTTCTGCAGAGAATACAGTACGCGAAAACTAAGTCTGATGTTATAGCAAAGGCTGATGGAACCTTTGTTCCACGAGAAAAGCGGAAGAGGCATGAAGAAAAAGGTACCGTTCTATCCGCCTTATTCGACTCTCCACCTAATTAGAATGTGTTCATCGCCCCCCTAGAATTTATATCAGTTTCAAGAAGTCAGGACCCTTCATGTAGATGTAGTTTGTGTCGAGATATGTGTAGAGACTTTAAATATTGTAATGCTCACCACAGGCATTTTAGTTTGATGTCTTTGCTCCCATGAAGCTTTATTTTTACCCTATGTTAACCAAACTTGACACACTCTAATCTGAAGGACTATATATTCTGGTAAATGATTTAGACAGGAACTGGTGGAACTTATTTTTACGGGATCATTTAAGTTTCACAATGAGATCTTCCCTGTTTGATGCCCTCCTTCTGATATGCATCTTCACGTCTAATTGGACAGGTAAAAAGAACAAGAAGGAACAACATGATCCAAATCAAATGGCAATGGGTCTCAATCCAGCTTATCCTGGTGGCTATGGGGCAGCACCTCCTGTATGTGTATTCTTTCCTTCTATTGAAGTTCATTCTCTATTCATTTTCGGAGTAGTGAATAGAAGCAGGTTATGTTTCTCAATTGTATTGCTCTGTCGTTTTCTCCTTTGCAATTAACACATTTCATATTTGGTTGTAGTTATCACAAATACCATATCCTGGTGTGAGATCACTGGTCCCTGAAGCACCAGCACCACCAAACAACATTCTGTTCATTCAGAATCTTCCAAATGAGACAACTCCAATGATGCTCCAGATGCTGTTCCAGCAGTACCCTGGTTTTAAGGAGGTGAGAATGGTTGAAGCCAAACCCGGGATTGCATTCATCGAGTATGGAGACGAGGCTCAGTCGACTGTGGCAATGCAAGCGCTGCAGAGTTTCAAGATACAGCAGAACCCCATGCTGATTACTTATGCTAAGAAGTAAAAGAGAATGGTGATCTTCCCTTTATCAAATGCCTTCCTCAGTGGAAGAGTAGAGAGATGGTTATTAGTTAGAACCCTTACAGGAGGGATGAATCCATGTAACTTATTGTTTCTTGCATCAGTTGCATGGAGACAATTGATTGAGGGTTTGGTCTTTCCATGAGAGCCAGGTGCCAAGCCCTTATCCTGTGATTGGTCTAAGGGGTTCGATGTAGTTTAGATGATAGAATCAACATTTGGATTTTGGAATGAGAGAAACTTATGTAATAGTATGATTATGTAATCGTAATTTTGATCTGTCAGTTCAATAGGCATAAATATTTTGATTGTGTGATCAGAATCTGTCTAGGATGGAATTGAAAACAAAAGAACAATGAAATCAGAATTTGGATGAAAAGCTCATTTGTCAGAATCCATGGAATCTTGGCAATGAAAGGAAACAAATTGAGAATCAAAATCAATCTAAATTATATTAGCAGCTGAGATTAATTAGGCAAAGTAGTAATTTGGGAGCTTACATTAAACAGCCCAATGTGGCTAGTACAAAGAACTTGGGAGCTTACAATAAACAGCTTAATGTGGCTAGTACAAAGAACGAAGAAAAAGATGAAAGCTTCTAGCTCCATAAATGAGAAGAACAAAACGGTTTCAGCAGTGCCAGACTGACAGTAGCCATTACAAATGTTAGTGTTCATTCATTAGTATGTCTATACTCTCTCCAGTTCGATCTTATGCTTCTCCAACTGATCTTTGAGTTCTTCCCGCCATCCTTGGATCAGTTTCTCCTGCTTATGGATAAGCTCGTCCTTTGTCTTCAACTCTTCCTCCATACCAGCTATTTCCTATTAAATTCACGACCAGAATTTGCACCAAGGCTCAAGTTCATGTGAAAAGGAACATGCTTTTCTACTTATGTTCTAACAGACATATCAAATACCTTTCTCAACATTTCTATTTCAGTCGGCTGGTCTTCTCGTTGGAGGTTGATAAAATAGAGTTGAAGCTTCTTAGCAGCCTCCATAAATTCCCTCGAGAACCTCTCCACATCAACTGGAACATGCAGAATGACAGCTGAAATAGATTCTTTGAAAAACTGAACTCACTTGTTAACAACTTGCAAAGAGAAACAGATTGAAAGCCATAATCGATCCCACATTCCACAGGCAGCATCACAAACTGTTTAAGGAGAACAGAACAGATAGACTTACTCTGATGAGAAGGATGGGGAGAGCGGTCAATGGCTTGGAGTTCTCTGGCGGGCAAGCAAGGAAGCAAAGCAGCCTCTAAAGCCATGACACAAGCTAACATGTTGTCTTCCCTTGGAGGAGACTGCTGCTGAGAGGGTGACTGTAGCTCTTGTTGCTGCTGTTGATGTTGATCCATAGCCTGCCTCTCTGCCATTTTGGTATCAGATTAAACAGCTTCTCCGACTCTCAGATACTACTCCACTCTGCAAACATTTTTTTTTTACCTAGATGTTAGTGGGAGTGACAACATAGTTCGAATCAACCAGCCATTTAGCTTTCATTTACCCTCTCCTACAGGTATCTCCAGAGAAGGATGCTCCACGATTCAAATAGAGCAAGCTTAGCAGAAAAAAATGTCAGTAAGAATATCAGACATGCCCGTTTGACGTTTGGCACAAAAATAACTAAAGACATGCTACATGAAGTTGACATATATGATACAGACATTTTAGAGCAAGATTTGGTGTCAGACTCTACTGACATTCTCTATACACTCAGAAAAACACAAACTTTCTTCTTCTGTAGAGAGCACAAAGAACACGTATATTTATCAAGAACCATAACTGCACAGCCTCGCGTTGTTACTTCCCCCAGCACAAGAAACAGACTAGGCCTATGCACACACCAATGCTAACTTTCTCGCCGAGCAAGAGAGAAAAACCAGTAGAAAGCAGTAATGCTAGCGAGGCTCCACAGGCTTTAACCAGCTGCAAAAGCTATAGCTTAATCCAATTGATGGGATTTTACTGTGACAGGAAGAATTGATCAATTTCGCCCTAGTTCTACATCATGTTTCGAAGCGAACGGAGGAGGAGAAAAGCTGAACAGCATTTACCCAAATAATCAGAAAACCAGAAGCAGGTGCTACCGAACCAACTTCTCTTATCACTTCCCTTCAAGGGTCCGCCTTTTTGCTTCGCCGGAGTCGGCGACAACGATCCAGGTAATGGGCAGTGAGGATTGCTGAAATTCGCGTCGTCGGAGAAGATTTTTTATCAGAAATCCGATTGAAGGAAATTTTATTAGTCACCGGCGATAGGCGGCAAAGATACATGGACTTGATTATTAGCAGGAAAGCCCATGGTTGAAGTTGTGGTGGGCTTTCGCAGGCCCAACCTGAAAACCCATTTAGAAGCTGGGTATTGCAAAACATGATGAAGCCCAATAACAAGTTGTCTTCCCTGTACAGCATTTCTACCACATTGGCAATCTTATGAGAAGCTAACACCAACTTTCATTTAAATTTTCAAGCAATCCCACATTTCAAACCCACGCAGCCTTGCAGTGAGCACATAGCGAACTATTCTTTCGCCTTTTACTAAAGAATACCGTGTGCGCGTTGTATAAAGAGGCATACGTCAATTTTTGGAGGGTCGTTTCATTTTGGAACATCCCCATCAATACAAGTCCAAAAGGTTTTCTTAGCAGGTGTAATGCTCAAATCACTATTGATCTTCATAAGATACTCTTGTTTTAATTTCAGTGTTGGGTTTAAACTCCTGAATTCATGTGTCCATTGATTGCAAGAAAGTTTCTTAAGGCACATGCAGAACACACAGTTGGTAGCAATGAAATCAGCCATTGATTCACATGAAAGAGTTCAACTTTCGCTCATTAAATCTGTTACAAATCCCACCCATTTTGCTTGTCATTAGCTTTAATTCTTATTCCGGTGATCCTAAACCAATTGTTAGAAATCAGCGATCAATGTCAATTTTCACGGTAACAGAGGCTTTGATTCTAGGGGGGAAAGTTATAGTAGGAGCTGATCATCGTCAATGTCAGCACCGCCCTTGAACTTCAGCAGCGACTTGGCCGCGTTCTTGAGGTAGAGCAGGATGACGACGCCGGTCAAAACAGCGAAAACCAAGTTCAGCAGGCTCTTGGGATTCTCCTTCATCTCCATTACCTTCATTCCCAACCCACTCATTGCATTCTTGTACTTCTCACTTGCTATCAATGGCGACGAAATCCTTCCCCTGCTGCTGCTGCCACCTCCTTCTTCTTTCTTCATTTCGTCGGCCTTTGGTTCCGGACTCTGCCCATTTGTTGTCTTCCTTTCATATTTCTCCTTCCTCTGTTCTTCCGAGAATTTATCCGGCTTTGCTCCCATGCCCTGAAAATTTGTGGAAAAAAATGGTGATCAGCAGTACAAATGGAAAAACAGAGCAGCTGAATCTGATTACCCTTTTTGGACATTTACCGTTTCTGGGTTCTTCGTTTCAGATCGGGGAGGCCCGGAAACAGAGGGCTCTGTTGGCGGAATCTTCCATATCGACGTTTCTTTTGGCGGCGCAGAAGCCGGCGCCGGCGGCTGAACTGCAGTCGCCGCCGTAGCCTTGCTGCCATTAGAAGCTGGCTGGTGGGATTGTGGCTTCTGATCCTGCGTCCTCCCTGACGCCGGCTGTGGCGCTGCTGCAGCTGGCGGCGGCGGCGGCGGTGGTGGTGGAATTGGCTTCGGCGCTTCCACCACAGGTGCCGCCGGTCTCGGTTGCGGCGGTTTTTGCGACGGTAGTTGCTGATTGTTGACGGCGGCGGCAGGCTGCGGCTGCTGAGTGATGAGCTTGGGGTGTTTGACGTAGAGAATCCCTTTGTCAAACCTGGCATTGATTTCATTGGTGTCGTAGTTCGATCCGATGGGGATCTCCTTCTTGAAACGGCTCCATTTGTTGTTGTTGTTGTTCCCCATCGGACGTTCTCCCATGATCCTAAGCTGCCGGGAAGAAGTCACCTGCACCTTCATTTGCTCTTTCCTGAATCCTGCACAGTCACAATATTACAATACAGTTTCGTAACACATGCGCGCGGACAAAAATGAGTGCATACTATTCGCGAAAACCTTACCAGGCAGGTAGACGAGCAAGGTATCGGCGGAGGGTTCCCGCTTCCACTCAGTGGTGGGTTCGAAATCTTCGTACGATCGTTGAGAAGCAGCCCTCGTCCCCGTTGCCATGGTTGTAGTCTCTGAGCTTCTGAATAAGAACTTTGAAACTACAAGGGATTTGGTTTTTATGTTGTGATGAGATAGGATGAAGATGTGTAGGAGGATTGTAGGTGTTTTTATATGCACAACTATTACACGATGAGATCCTCTTTGCTTTAAGATGATGTTATTCTTTGTGTACGTGCTTATGGCAAGCTTCTTTGGGATTGGTAATTGAGATTCCTGTCCTTTTTGCATTACTAGCAAGCTATCTAGCAAGTTTTGGGGATCATCTTTCACGATTGTTCATGGTTGGAGGAGATATGTTCATGGTTGTGGCTTCATGCTTAGGCAAAGACAAGGATATTCCTTGTTATTGATTTCCAAATTCCAAACCTTTTCTTGGAGGAATAATGACCTTATTTGCAAACTCTGTTCACTGTTTTTTTCGACGCAAGTTGTCAAAGTAATTCGAGTTAGTAGAGGTAGAATGCTGATACCCTTTCATGGTAGAGAAAGGTCTTCGACAACACTCATAATGTCGAGGAAGATTGTAACTTGAATTTCACACGATGAACCTCCATGCCTGTTCAATGCTTTATAGCTAGCTCTTAGAAAATTAGGTTTGATCATCTGAAGTAGTTCAGATATTCTATCTGCATGACCTCTGTTAAGTTCGAAATGCGAGAAACAAATAAAACAAACGATGAAGCCCGAAACAAATCGAAATCACAAACCAAATTTGAAACGCGATAAAATTGTCAAGAAAGATAAATCGACAATAAATATATATAAAACTTATGTATGAGAACAGGGAAGCAGTAAGCAAACCAGAAACAGCACATAACAGAAACACTCTAGTTACAGACAGAAGCAGACCAGTTTCTAACTCATCAAATGCTATATAAGATTAGATATATGATCACTAAATAAGAGCCATTACCATCAAGATGGACAAATCATTGAATGAACACACAAAAGTATGTTTCTGCCTTTCTTTTACATAATAAGAAAGGCAAGAAACCATCCAATGCTATATCTAAGCCCTAATGACAACAGCTGACAATCCCAGCTGAGAGAAGAACCCTCCAAGGTTCAATCACCATTTCGGTCGTGAGGAAATAAAAAATTCTCCTTTCTGGCTTCTTTCCCTGATCATCCCTTTTCTCCCTTCTAATCTGCACACCCTATAGGAAGCAAGTTGAACAAATGAGGGAGAGCCAGGGGGGAGGGAGATAAAACCCACATTCTAATGAAGGCCTCCTTTCTTATTCTATGTGCATCCTATGAGCTGGTGCTCCCCCTCCTCTGAACAGGTTTGTATAGCACAACCGTAACATACTTTGATCTAAAGCGATGAGTGAACCCGAGTGCCGCCACGGATCGTGGAGGCTCTCGATTCTCGATGTAGAGATGGTTCAGAATAACATTCTGTGGAGGTGGGACCGACTCCGACGAGTCTGCACTTGCCGGGTAGGTAAGCAAGGTCTGTTGCAAATGTGGTGGGACTGCAGGTGGGTCCCTTGCCTCGTCTTCGGTCCCGGGGTAAGGATTGCTGTAGCTTGAATCGGGAGAATTTGGGACTTCGAATCCTGCTACGGTTGGTTCTTCCTGTGCAATGATGGAATGAATGACAAAGTTCAAAACTTTACAATCTAGTTTTCAGCATCCATACTTGCAAATAACAACAACAGCAAAAAAACCCCAGTTTCTTTACATGTACTTCGCCACGCTGGTTGTTCATGTTGAGAAGCCAAGAGGGCTGATCATCAAGTCACAGGTACTTATCAACCTGCATTGACAACATCACCTTCTTCTCATGAGCATTCCATGACAAGAGTAAGATTTACTTTAAAAACCAAGACAACAGAGAAAGACTCTTTCTTCCCCATCAATCTGAAATGTGCAATCTATTTCAATGTGGGAAACTTGAAATGCAGAGCTTTAATGTGTGTAGGTTTGTGAAATTGGCCCACCGCCAACAAAAGGGCTTTCAAGTAAAGGTACATTAGCATTCATTCTCAACTTTTATCTGCAAGCAATCACTGGTAACACGACCATTCTAGGGTCTACCTTAACAAAGTGGCCTGGGATGTCATGACCCTGAAATCAATCACCTTTGAAATACTTTAACTCCCCATAAAGAACCTATCTTTGTTCGAGGTTAGTAAAATCCATCTAAAAAAACTATTGAAACTCATCAAGAAAATTTGATTATGCTCCCAAACCCCATGTACCAGCAATTCAATCAATTCAGAAACAGGTAGCAATCCGAATTAGAAACCAGCACAACTCAATTCTAACACACAACAGCAAGGCGGCAGCTTCCTAGAACAGGCTTACCAGAGAGGAGCGCCGGAGGAACTGAGGAGCTGGTTTCCGGCGAGAGAACCAGTGGCTGTGGCGTTGGCGGCGGAGAGAGAAATTCGCCGCAGCAATGGTGATGATACACAGTGGCGGGCTGGCAACGGCCGGGGAGAAGGCGGGCTGGTGACTGACAGTGAGGGAGCAGCTGAATCGCTGACGAGAGAAACGAAATTAGGGATTTGCTCAGAGGAGAAGGGGAAGAAGAAGAAAGAAGTCGTCGACTCTCTGCTTCGTTGAAAAAGGTTTCAATAGCATTAAAAAAATAATTATTCCCCGCGTTAAAACGGCGTCAGCCGAGCCTTTTTTTTTCTGGCTGGGCCGGGGTCAACCCAAACCAGGTCCGTACGACGGTTCACTGGTTGAACCGTGTGAAACCTTTACCACTTGATAATTAAATAATTATATCTGGAAATTCAAAAATAAAAAAAGAGGGAGCGGGCAGCCGGGCACCGCCGCACCGGCCATTTCACTTTCCACAAGCCCCAACTCTGGCGGCAGCTTGTTGATCCCTGAGAATTAGCTACCCGGAGCCGATCGGCCAATGGCGGTGGATACGAACTTCGCGTCCCTATTCGAAAAGCTGATGGTGGAAGATGCGTGGCTTCCTCCTTCTTCCTGGGACTCCTTCCCTTCTCAAAATGCTGCTTCGTCGCTTGCACTCCGGCCACCTTGATTCACCCAGCTCGTCTCCCCCCGTCTCTTCAATATCGGTGAGCCCCTCTAGGCTTTAATAAGCATAGTAATGTAGCTGCTTTGTACGTTTTGATTCGACCTAATTTTGGAGCAATTTACCGATTAGAGCGGAAATTGTGCTTTTTCCCGTCGAATTCTGTTCGAGGGTTCGGAAGCTTGAGTTTTTCAGTCTTTTACTAGTGATCTCTTTTCTGCTTACGAAGTTCTCTTGGCTGAGATTTAGTGTGGTGCATAGTTGTAGTTTGTTTCCCTTTTTCTTTTTGCTGGTCTTGATTATATCCAGAAATCGATCTGGAATAAAAGATATTGAAGGGTTCTCAGGCCTGAAGTAAAGTTTCTTGCTTTGTCCTCTTGTCTTGTAATTTTTGGTTTCAGGAGGCAAGTTTAGTGAGGTTAGCATTGAATGCTATGCAAGGAGTTGCATCATCTCTTCTAAGCATTGAGAAGCTCTCTGCTGCCTTTTACCCAGTCTCAGCTGATAGAACCTACCACAGAATTCCCAGTCTATGGAGTCGTGCTTCAAGCACTCAAGCTACGAGAAAGATTCTCAACTCAATCGGCTGCTTTGGATGTTTAGTTCTTCTTCTCAGGAAATTTGTAGATCATTTCACTTGTTTGAGCTCTGAAACATACTCACCAGGAAGGAAAGACGGCATTCCGAATGTGGTTGCTGATGGTCGTGACAGTTATGGTAATACTGGAAATGTAGACTATCCTCCTTACACTTTAGTGAATCATGCATTTGCAGTTGCTGTCGGGAAAGTTTTAGAGGGGTACATTTTTAGTTTAAATACAGTATGTGCTTCAGTGGGTTTAAGGCATTCATCAAATGCTGGGGCTCCCTTGGTTCAGTCATCTGTAGGGACAGCGCCTCTCACCAGTGTGGTGCACCCTGAAGTTACCCTGCTGGAAATTTATCTGCACACTGCAGAACTGAGAACAAGGATTGAAGCTCTTGGGAACATATGCAAACTACACAGCATAGCTCTAAGCTTCTCTGTCTCATCATTTGAAGAGTTAGGCGCAAAAGCAAATTCAGAGTTTATCAGTTTCCACAGAGGAGGCAATCTTCTTAGTCACTTGTATGGACAACTACAGGTCAGCATAACTAAAATTTCTTATTCTGTGCTGTTTCGTCTTCCACTTTTTCTGGTTGGATCATCTTTCACATTTTGGGATGTCTGAATACGAAGATACTGTAAATACTGACTGGAACATTTGAAAGGAATGAAAAGTCTTCGAAGTTCTTCTTTTTTTACCCTGTTAACTTCAGTTTTTGCTTATACAATACTTCTCACCCATGATTTTCTTGTAGGTTGCTGATCCTGGTCATTGCACTCTTCTCAAGTTCCTCTTTCTTCGGACATTTGAACCATATTATGGATTCATAAGGTCCTGGATATTTAAGGCTGAGATCACTGACCCATATAAAGAATTTTTGGTGGAATATGTCGGTAGTTTAGAGCCTCGCCCATATGGTAACGTTGGAATGCCTATTGAATTACCATTGGCAAGTATCAAGGTAATATTTGTCCGATTGATATTGAATAATCTAATTAGAAATCTTCCTTTTTTTAATAATCATAACTACCATATTCGGTTGGGGTGTTTTCATTAGGAGCGGAATGGAGTTTCTGTGCCTTGTTTCCTTAAAGACATTTCGAGTCCAATAATCAGAGCTGGTCAGCAGCTTCAAGTACTGAAGAAATTGTTTGAGTTTTGTGCTTATGTTGGTTCAGATAATCATATATATGATGACTTTTTCCCCAGCTGGAATGGACATTCAAGTTATCACATGTTTTGCACAACTCCGCTGACTTTCAGCAAGGGGTATTTAGAAGAAATGGTAATTGCAAGGAACAACTACTATGTAAAGATGCAGGATAGAATTGAAAAGCTGCTGAGAGGGTTGGAACTTAGATACCAGCAGGTAAACAGTAGTCTCCTCATATGATTTTAAACTTGACTTGCATGCTTTGCTGTCACCTTAACTGAGTTTCCTAACACAATGTGTAGAATATGAAAGTTAGATAATAGACCAATATAGGCAATTGCTGAGGAGGAGTGGCAAGCATGACCTACGCGGGTATATTCTCCAAAGTTAGGACAGGGTAATCTGTTAACCTCCCCCCCCCCCCCCCCCCCCCCCCCCCCCCCCCCACACACACACACACACACACACCCACCCACCTCTTTCTTTTTCTTTGCTGTTTACACATGGCACATATTTTGCAGAGCAAGTAGTAACCACATTTTGTTTTTTGCTTGATGTAAGAACTTTTGGTTGTCCAAGTCTAAGACCCACAATTTTCGTAGTATGTTTTGTTTCTTTGATAAGGAGTCGCCTAAGTCGTAAGTGGAGATAAGTTATTGGTTCATAGGTCAATGCCACTTTGACAATACTTGTCTGTTGGTGTTTGTTTTGTATCACAATTATTTTTAAGAGTTTCTCCCTTCTCCTTTCTGCAGTTGCAACCTCAAGTTTTTGGACCTGAATTTCTCGAGAGTGGTAGTGGCAGTGGGAGTGGGAGTGTACAAAATGTTGACATGGAAGACAGGTTGGTTCTTCCTTGCTGGTGGAGGGTGAATCAAATGTTTACTCCACCCTTTGTCAATATAGCATCGCATTACCAGCCTTGTTATTTGTGAATGAAATGGATTTTTCTTTTCTGCTTTCCGGCGATGTGTAAATCCCTACATTGCTTTCTCAGCGTGACAACTTGGTTTCCCTGTTTCTCAGGGCTTTCGATAACGTTGATTCTGAATTGTCCCATATGAAGGTGGATAACCAAGAATTTGATTCCCTGGACACATCTGAGTTTTCAGAATGTTCATCTGCCAGTGATTCTGAAGAGGAGAGTAATTCTGAGCTGATCAGGAATGATTGTGTTATTCAGGATCAAAGATATCTATCTGCTTTGAGGTTATCTAAGTGTAGTACTACTGACAATCCATTACCTATGCCGACTAGAGTTGAACAACCCCTTCTTGTGGAAAACAAGTCGCATGACATTTTTGAGAAGACACAAGCAATTGATCACATGAGTTTGTTTCAAAACGGAACACCTGCGGGAAACTTGTCTGCGTCTTCTTATATATGGGCAGGCAGAGGCACATGCATCAGTGATACCCTACACACAGCTTGTGCAACTGAGAATCAGTGGTTAAATGGACTTGCGAACATCTCTGGTTATAGTGAGCAAAATAACTCTTCTTTGTACTGCAAAACGAGTAGGGAAACTTTAAGAGGAGGCCCCCCACTATTTACAAAGAGGATGTGCACTGCCAATGCTTTGATAAAGGAAGTCCTGAGCAAGGTTTTGGATACAAATGACAACCCTGCTTCAGGACTCTCCAGTATTCTGCACTGGGAGTCCCGTTACGAATCTGATTTTCTTAGTGGAAGGCCAATCTTGGGGAAACTTAAGCACTTTCATCTGGGGAGCCAACTGATAGATGCTAGATCATTAGCTTATTTTAACTTTTCAACTGTGGCGGACCCTTGTAATGTGTCCCTAGAGAAGGTAGATAGCAATGCAAGACTTGAATCATGACGTGAGAAACAAAACCACTTTGATGAAGATGGAGTGATACTTCGTAATTATGCTGAATTGCCTTCTGCTAGCTCGCCTGCAAACTTAAAAGAGCACAATCAAGATACCAGAGTACCTGCATTTGTTTGTGGCGGTAATAGTTGGGAGAAGCTGCTTGGTAGTTCTCATTATACTGGCAATAGAAGTTCTGGAGGCCACAGAGAGAGTGCACCGGGTGTGTTTCAGATTCCACTTGATTTTATGGTTGACAAATGCCTCGTGGAGGAAATCTTGCTCCAGTATCCTGTTATCCTTTGCATTCTTTTGATGTATGCATTTAGAAGCTTGAATCTTCGTATGATTATTTGCCCATTAATATGCATTTAAACCAACTCCCGAGGATCTTTAAACTAAAACGAAACTGCATGATATTGTACTTCGCAGAGCAGCTGTATTGCCAAACTTCTGTTTCCACTTAACTATGCTAGGTATAAGTATGTCAGTAAGTTGGTTATCAAGCTGCTGGAAGAAGGGTTTAAATTGCAAGAGCATTTACTAGCAATGAGGCGATACTTCTTCATGGAATCTGCAGACTGGGCAGATTTGTTTATCATGTCCCTTCAGGATCATGTATTGTTTTCTGGCAATAATCTATCTATTTTCTGGGAATGCTTAATTGCCTTATGGCTCCTGCTCAAACCATTCCTTATGACTTGAAGCGCAGAAATGGTCTGTTATGGAGGTGGATCAGAACGTCCCAGAAATTCAAGGAATCCTTGAATTGTCACTTCAAAGATCCTCTTGTGGAAGAGATCCTAACAAGGATCGGCTATTTGTGTACACAAAAGGGTCTGGTTTGATGATTTCATCTGCAGTTGGTAAAGTAGTTGATAGTTTTTGTCCTTCCCTGTTGTCTAATTTTACAACTTTATTGATTCTGATCCATTGATATTGACAGGAGTCAATGCCCTTGACTTTCTTGGTTTGGGTTACCGAGTAGAATGGCCAATCAGTATCATTTTGACGCCAAGAGCTTTGAAGATGTATGCTCAGATATTCAGCTTCCTGATGAAAGTGAAGCTCGCTGCTTCATCTCTGACAGGCATATGGTGCTCCTTGAAGGTAGGATGCATTACCTATTTGTAGAAATGTTCTCGAGACATAATTATGACACCTGAGCCCACTTGTTAGGATAATAGGATTCAGTATCTGGGTACAGGTTAGATTATGTCTTAGGTATTTTACCTGTAGAGTTTAGATTTTATCATTTTGCTTATCAGTTCTGGTTGATGTTTTACACGCTTCTGGATTTCAGCAGAAAGAGTAAAGGATTCAGTCTCTCACAAATCTACTTAAGGTTGAAACAAAAAAGAAAACTTCACATTGTATATATGATGGCTTTAATTTGGTGCTTCGTGAAGTGGTTTTCAGTCACAAAACAATTGTGCTATGACCAATTCACAGTAGAAGTTTCTAAAGATCGAAAACTTCTTCCCTTTTCCACACTATATCGAGTCAATTTATAATTGCATTCTGGTTATCGGAATCTGGTCAATTTTGTGTACATTTTTTCTACAGGTTGTCAATCAGTTGATCAGCAAAAACCGCCATTCTGCTCTACACCACCAGGAAGTGGGTCATTGGAATATGCTGATAACTATGAGGTACAATCAATAACCAATCACTATGTTGGAAAGTTTGTTCTTCTTTTGCTCTTTCTTTGACATCAAAAGATTTCACTGATTGCATCAGTGCATACCGATGCACTGATAATATGAAGAATGAGTAATAGTCACAATACTATCATTCAGGATGTGCTTCCTGTATAAGTCTTAGTTATTAACCTATGAAAGTATATGATTGGCTTATATTTATGAATACTGAACTTTGATGAATTTTAATTGATATTTCTATCCCAGGCATAAGCTAAATCATTTTGTGTCCACCATACAACAATATGTACAGTCCCAGCTCTCACACGTATCTTGGTGCAGGTTTCTTCAGTCTCTGAAGTTTTAAGGTTTGAATGGCACTTTCCAGCTCTCTACCTCAGTACATATGTATTCTTTAATTTAATAACCTGCTTAAGGGGATCATTAGATCAGCAGCCAGACTAAGAATGAATGTGTAATGATGGCACCAGGCTCAATAAATAAAAAATGTCGATTAAGGTGGGGTCCTAAACAATGTAGCCCGAGCGAGCTATAAGATTCTTTGCTTCATTTGTCACTCAAAGCTGTTTACTGCACTGCTGAAGATGAATTTTGAGTATTTTGAGTTAATGAATTTTGTTCTCTATTTTCTAATTTACACACTGGCTAAAAGCTTCAGAACTTTTGTTCTTGATAAAGAAGGGATCATTTTAGGAGTTTTGTAAAATCATTCAATGTGCCCACAAGATAGCAGAAAACATACGTAAAGGTTTCTAAAGATGCCAATTCCAAAGGAGAGCTTTATTCCCATACCTTTCTCTTTCTCATTCACTAGCTGCTGCATAGGTGTAGATTAGCTGTAGGAAGTTATTAATGCCCTGTGTATTACAGTTTATTTAGCCCGAAATTCACTTTGTCACTGAATTGTTTGTATCTACATCTCCGGCACTTTCAGGTCAAAGATATGATGGATCTGGAGCTAGTGCACATGGCATACATAACTGATTCTCTGCATATGTAAGTTCAAGTCATGTTGTTTCTTGAAAGCTGATATCTCATCTTGCTAAAGGTCTCAACTTTTTTGAAAATTTTCTAGATGTTTAGTTTGTAAACTTGGCAATGTTGACCTTTGCAGATGTTTCCTCTCCGATGAATCACGACAGGTAGCTGGCATCATCGAGAACATGCTGCAATGTGCCTTGGATTTCCGGTCTTGTGTTATATGTGGCACGAGGGATGTACGATTGTATTTGGACCAGGCAAGCTCACCCAGCAGCATACTTTCACGGATCAGTGTCCCACAGGTGATTTTCACGTTTCATTGCAGTGAGCTCTATGAGATCCATATTTCTAACCACAAAAATATATCTCCCATCAACGAAGTAGACTTCTTTCCTCGTAAACAGCTTCTGCAGTTTGCATTTCTGCCCCTTCTCCGCCTTAAGAACAAACCCTGTGATTATGCTTGACAGGTGATGGCAATAAACCGGAAGTTTGAGAGCAACCTGAAAGAATTGCATCTTTGTTATCTCAAGTCTCCCAAGCACAGAAATGCTGGGCTTTCCTGCTTCTGGGGACATCTAAACTACAACAACTACTACACATATTTGGACAGCGAGCTGGGCCTGCTTCCACTCTAAGTCCAGAGCTTGAGAACCCCATGAAGTTTGATGAGAAATGGTGCAGTTCTGCTTCCTCTTTCTGCCTGCTCTTCCTGAGTTACAAAGAAGTTTCATGCTCAAGGGGCCATTCACTATCATGGCCGTATCTTTCTTCGCCAACGGCCGTTGCTACCAGAAGATGGTTTGTCTGCATTAGCCCTAAAATTTGAGTGATGGTTACTTGCTTGCTTACTGAACTTTTATCCACCCTTCATTGTTATGCAAACTTAACAGAATAATACATGGGGCTAATTCATCTCAATTTTTGGACTTTGTATATTGTTTTGGAGAGATCCAATGAGAAGCTGTGAATTTGTCAATCCAGGAATTTTGTGATTCCGGGTCGAAAATGGAGATGTATAGGTTTGAATTATATCCTGCAAAACGCGCCTTCCTTCAGCATCATATACCTACTTGCACATGAAAATAACAATGATGGGATGAACAATGAGTGGGTTAAGCGAGTTTTAGGCTAAAATTTATTTATGATTTTGATTCGTAATGAAAAGATGATTCACACCCATTCATTTGTATCAATATTCAATATGAGTATAATTTTTTCGTTGAATAATATGAGTATAATTTATGTTGTAAGTCAAACAAAATTTATAAAAAAAATAATTATCATAAACATTTTGAGATAGAAAATGATAGGTGTATTATTATTGAATTTAGATCAATTAAACAATATATCAGGTGGTTTTACGGAGTAATGATCCACTCGTCATACATCAATATTATATGTCACAAAAACTGATTATCCACACTCATCTACCTACCATATTCACTATATTTGGAGTGAAATTGAGTGAGTTTAGAGGTTGACCCTATCTTATTGCCTCTTTTTTTAGCATGTTACTCTGTTAGCACTTAGCACAATTCGCTTTATAATGTCGAGAAAATGAAATCAGAGTGGTCCAAAAGAGAACTAAATGAAGATTGGGAAAGAAGAAGGAACATTGAAGGGAATCCCCAGTCATTATTATATTCCATGCAACTTGCAACCGGAAAACCAGGTGGAGAACGAGATGCGGGCGGGAAAGTGGGTAGCTATTAAGGCGAAGATTCGTTGCGCTGAACCGTTGGTTACATCAGTCAGTCAGAAGCCTGTCTGCTTCTCTCTCTCTCTTGCTCTTTGTCCGCTTCCCCCACCGAAAATTTGTTATCTTTTCTTTGATTGAACTCTCAGCAGACCCAAATGGGGCTCTGGTATATAATACATCAGCAGCAGCTACCGTCTCCAACTTCTCTTGCTCTGCCACCGAGGGCGACGCTTCGAGAATGGAAGAAGGAAGCGAAACGGGAACTAGCAAAACCCTGGTTTTTGCTGTTAATGGTCGTAAGTTCGAGCTCTCTGATGTCGACCCTTCGACTACTTTGATCGAGTTCTTGCGTACCAGAACTCCTTTCAAGAGTGTCAAGCTCGGTTGTGGTGAAGGTAAGCTCATGAGTTTTGATTGAAGTCGTCAACTGGGATTTGAGAATTTCGTGGGGTTCTGATTTGGACTGGTTTTCGCTTGATTTGGGTTGGCTTGATCGGAATGATAAGTTTTTAGTTTCTCTCAAGTCTTTTACTTTCCTTTGCTTTGGTTATCCAAGCTGATGGATGAATTTTTAGGTAAAGGCTGGTCTTCTGCATATTTGGGAATCAACGGTTCTTTGTTCTCTTAGATTTACTTATGATTTGCTGTTACTCTTGGTACTCATAACTGAGTGTCAAAGTGATCATATTGTTTTGTATCATAATATGAGTGCCTTGGATAAAATTAAAGTTCCATCTTCTCTTATGGGTTTTGAATTTATGTTATTGTTATGTATTTCAGGCGGGTGTGGAGCTTGTGTTGTTCTGCTTTCTAAGTATGATGATATAGTTGGTAAAGTTGAAAACTTCACGGTAAGTTCATGTCTTACCCTGCTTTGCAGCATACATGGATGTTCAATCACAACAACTGAAGGCCTTGGAAATAGCAAAGATGGGTTTCATCCAATTCATGAGAGATTTGCTGGTTTTCATGCTACCCAATGTGGCTTCTGCACTCCTGGAATGTGCATGTCCCTCTATGGAGCTCTCGTTAATGCTGATAAGACAAATGGACCAGAATCAGCCTCGGGGATCTCCAAGCTGACAGCTTTTGAAGCTGAAAAAGCCATTGCTGGCAATCTTTGTCGGTGTACTGGATATCGACCTATTGTTGATGCGTGCAAAAGTTTTGCAGTGGACATTGACATGGAGGATTTAGGGTTTAACTCCTTCTGTAAAACCAAGGCAAGCAGGATGCCTCTGTATGAAAATAAACAAGGCATCTCTAGATTGCCGGAATTTTTTAAATCGGATTTCAAGAGTAATTTGCTTTTCGGTTCAGAGAAACTCCGGTGGCTTACTCCAAAAGCGTTCTTAGAGCTTGACAGCATGTTGAAAACCATCAATTCCAGCAGAGTTAGCCAGGTGAAACTCGTGGTTGGTAACACTAGTGCCGGTTATTATAAGGAACTTGAGAACTGTGATACCTACATTGACCTAAGGTATATACCTGAACTTTCATGCATTAGGCAGGATCCGGTAGGGATTGAAATAGGGGCAGCTGTGACCATTTCTAAAGCTATCTGCGGATTGAGAGAAGCTTGTAGAATCGAATCTCCTTCAGAAGGTGATATCGTTTGGAAGAAGATCGCTGCTCATTTGGAGAAAATAGGTACCAAGTTCATTCAAAATACAGGCAGTATAGGTGGGAATTTAGTCATGGCTCAGAGGGCACATTTTCCATCTGACATTGCTACCCTACTTCTAGGAGCTGGTGCTTTTGTTAATATACGAAGTGGTACAACTTATGAGACGGTTAGCTTAGAAGAGTTCCTTGAAAGACCGCCTTTGGATTCAAAAAGTGTACTTTCAAGTGTTAAAATCCCGATCCGGGAGCTGAAAAAGGGCAGAAATTCTAGAGTAGATAGTAAACTGTTATTTGAGACCTACCGGGCTGCACCTAGAGATCATGGAAATGCATTGGCCTATGTAAATGCTGCTTTCTTGGCTGAACTTTCATCCTGTGGATCTTCTGGTGAAACTGTACTAAATAAATGTGTGCTGGCTTTTGGTGCTTATGGAAGAAAACATGCAATACGAGCAAGGGAAGTTGAGAAATTATTAACAGGAAGGGTGTTGACAATTAGAGTTCTTTATGAAGCCATTAATATGGTTAAAGGTACAGTGGTACCTGAAGAAGGCACCAGCAGAGAAGCCTATAGGTCAAGTGTGGCAGTTGGTTTTCTATTTGAATTCCTGGGTCCCCTGGCAGATGCTACTGTTGGAATCTCTAGGTGTAATTTGTCTTCCAAGGGCGCTGAAGAGAATTATGAAGAGGGTGACCATGTTATATACCCCAGAATGCTGTCATCCTCAAGGCAGGTGTTTCAGTTAAACAAGGATTACCATCCTGTTGGTGAACCGATTGTAAAATCTGGAGCTTCCCTTCAAGCTTCTGGTGTGTATGCTTAATTTGACGCAATATTACAACTCACTTGTGGGCTGTTTTATTTTTGGTGCTTAGTACACTGTTCTGCTTTACTTGGCATGAAATATGATGGCTTTTCTAGGCATTTTCACTACCTACTTTCTCAGTTTCATGGTGGTGATGTATTGGCTTGATTTGATTAATTCTTCTTTTGATGTATTTATAATTGGCTTGTTTTTCAGGTGAAGCGGTTTATGTTGATGACATTCCCTCCCCTGCAAATTGCCTACATGGCTCATTCATTTATAGCACAAAGCCATTAGCTAGAGTAAAGGGTATACAAGTCAACCCTAAGTCACATTCAAATCGGATATCTGGTCTCATTACTTTTAAGGACATACCAAACGGTGGGAAGAATGTAGGTTCCATGACTATATTTGGACCTGAACCTTTGTTTGCCGATGATTTTACTCGATGTGCTGGAGATCGCCTTGCCTTTGTGGTACATTTTCCTACCCATCAACTCTGTTACCTCAATTCTATCAACTTAAATCTAGGAAACAATGGGATACATGTGAAATATATGGAAGAATGTAAATTTGGTCTTTTGTACTCAATCACTCTGTTCATTTTCTGTTATAGGTTGCTGATACCCAGAAAGAAGCCGATGTGGCATCAAGGCTCGCCATTGTAAATTATGATTTAGAGAATGTGGAAGCACCAATCTTAACAGTTGAAGATGCCTTTGCTAGGTCTAGCTTTTTCCAGGTTCCTCCTTTTCTGTATCCCAAAGAAGTTGGTGATTTTTCAAAAGGAATGGCTGAAGCGGATCACACGATTCTTTCCGCCGAGGTACCTTTACACAAAAATATTTTATGTTTAGAAAAAGGATTCGGCCAAGAATCTCGTACCCTCCTATGTATGCTAGTGATATATTCTCTTCCTCTGATGGTCTTCCCTTGTAAGGTATGTTCACTTGTGAATTGTGACTATGGCATGCAGGTAAAGATCGACTCTCAATACTACTTCTATATGGAAAGCCAAACTGCCCTTGCTGTGCCTGATGAAGATAACTGCATAGTAGTTTACAGTTCTTCTCAGTGCCCTGAGTATGTTCATGCGACAATTGCTCAATGCATTGGTGTTCCGGAACACAATGTACGTGTAATTACTAGAAGGGTTGGAGGTGGCTTTGGTGGGAAGGCTGTTAAATCAATGCCAGTAAGCTACTTCTCCATCAACATCTATATGTTCAATTTAATTAAAACAAAATTTATGGTGTTTTCATTTTGGCAGAACACAAGTCAATTGGAAGTAAGGCACTTCAATCATATTTTTCAAAACAGCTATTCTTTTGATAATGATTCATAGAAAAACTGTTCAACCAAAACTAAAAAAAACACATTCTCTTTAAGTTATTTGTGAATTAAATATTGGTTCAGTTCACTTCAACAATGTTTATGCTTTAGGTTGCTACAGCTTGCGCACTTGCTGCTCATGTATTGCGCCAGCCTGTCAGAATATACGTCAATCGCAAAACTGATATGATAATGGCAGGAGGAAGGCATCCAATGAAGATAACTTACAGTGTTGGTTTCAAGTCGACTGGGAAAATCACCGCACTGAAACTCGACATATTAGTCGATGCTGGAATATATACAGACATAAGTCCAGTAATGCCATCAAACTTCATGGCCGTGTTTAGAAAGTATGATTGGGGTGCTTTGTCTTTTGATATAAAGGTCTGCAAAACTAATACAGTGAGTAGATCAGCAATGCGAGGACCTGGAGAGGTTCAGGGATCATATGTTGCAGAAGCTATAATTGAAAACATAGCCTCTACTCTTTCAGTGAATGCAGACTGTGTGAGAAAAATTAACCTTCACACACATGATAGCCTTAAATTGTTCCATCCTGCTAGCTCAGGTGAAGTACAAGAGTATACTTTGAGTTTACTCTGGGAGAAGTTAGCCCTGTCTTCTGAATATAGCCAGAGAAGGGAAATGGTAATTGAGTTTAATAAGTGCAATTTGTGGAAGAAAAGAGGTATTTCTTCTGTGCCAACAGTTCACGAAGTGATAGTGAGACCTACTCCTGGGAGAGTAAGCATTTTAAGAGATGGGTCTGTTGTTGTTGAAGTTGGAGGAATAGAACTAGGCCAGGGACTCTGGACAAAGGTAAAGCAAATGACAGCATTTGCTCTTGGGTTGATCAAATGTGATACTTTAGAAATAGACTTGTTGGAGAAAGTAAGGATAATACAAGCTGATACTCTAAGTTTGATTCAAGGCGGCTTTACTGCTGGAAGCACTACGTCTGAGTCAAGTTGTGAAGCAGTTAGACTCTGCTGTGAGATCTTGGTTGAGAGACTGAGGCCTCTAAAGGAAAAGTTAAAGACAGAAATGGGTTCTGTGCAATGGGAGATGCTTATTCAACAGGTAACTATTTGGAAATGTGTAGAGACTTCAACCAAAAAAAAAAAGTGTAGAGACTCTTTAAATTCCCATGACTATTATATGGTGCTAAGAAATTGGAATCCCAACAGATTTTTTTCCTGAGACTAAGGGTGTATCTGGATGTCACACTTGCTGATCAATACAGGCACATATGCAAGCTGTGAACTTATCCGCAAGCACGTACTCTGGCCCTGATTTTTCTTCCAACCGCTACCTAACCTACGGTGCTGCAGTGAGTGAGGTGAGTTCTATACAGATAGATTGCCTTCATTTGATTGGATTTTTTGTGTTTGCATAGATGAAATTCATGGATAATGATAAGAGATATGAATGTTCTGGTGATGCAGGTGGAGGTAAACCTGCTTACTGGGGGGACAACAATTCTAAGATCAGATGTTCTTTATGACTGTGGACGAAGCCTAAATCCTGCTGTGGATTTAGGACAGGTAAGCTGGATGTTTGACATATTATATCAGTTGTTATTAGTGCAAAACCTGGAAAGTCGGCTTAACTTCAAAGCCACTTGTTATAAGTTTGACTATGTTCATTTTCTTCTGCTATGTAAGAAATAAAAATTATTATTTTGCAGATCGAAGGGGCTTTTGTCCAAGGTATTGGGTATTTTATGTTGGAAGAGTACACAAGAAACTCCGACGGACTAGTAACCTCAGATGGAACATGGACATACAAGATTCCTACTGTAGACACAATACCAAAAGAGTTCAACGTCGAAATACTAAGCAGTGGACATCACAAGAACCGTGTGCTGTCTTCCAAAGGTACTGAGTCAGCCGTCGCATCTAAGTTCCTCATTAGTAGTTAATCTGTGTAGAACGTTAAAAAAAATGTTTCTGGATTCCTATTCTAGTACTTTATCAGAACACCCATGTAGATTGTTTCTTTGTGCAGCTTGTGGCGAGCCACCACTGCTCTTGGCATCTTCAGTTCACTGTGCGACGAGAGCAGCAGTTAGAGCAGCCCGAGAGCAGCTTCAGTCATGGGGTTGCCACGACCTGTATGGTCCAAACTTCAATCTGGAGGTGCCAGCTGTCATGCCTACTGTGAAGGAGCAATGTGGACTGGACAATGTAGAGAGGTACTTAAAGTGGAAAATGTGCACCCACTGAGGAGAACAATAGTAGAACCCTCTGAGGTTGGACAGAGGAACATAGAAGGAAGGTCAGCTTCCCTTCCAAATTGTGACCCAAGTTAGTTGTTATTTTCATCTAGATTCTTTGTTATTGATACTGATAATCCAAGTGCAGGCCTGTTTCCGATGCTACGAACTCGTCAGCAAGCTCTGTTTAATCCTCCAACCGACACCACTGAAGCCTATGGTTCTGCAGTCGACGAGGTAAGTTTGGGAGGAAACGCTTGAAATTTGTGGTTAATTAAGGACATGAATGGTCCTTGAACTTTAAGGTTAGTAACGAAACTGTCACTGATTATAATTGTTACTGAATTCGTGGGATGCATAGCAAAATAGTCACTTGATCCATCTGACCATCTTCATCAGTTGGCTGTGAAGTAGGAGAAGGATGAGATTATGGCAGTTTCCGGTAATGTAAAGTTGGTCACATAATGGATTTGGTCTGAATTTGGTACGGGTTCAAATGGGTCGTCCATCTCAGCTAGTTTCTGATGGAGCCGGACTTGTTTCAACTGGCAGGAAGAACTGAAAGCTGATGTCTGTGTTCTAGTGTTTTGGTTTAAGCATGACCGATCTTCTGGTCGCACTGTCACTACTCGCTCCTTGTATGTTCAGCCATGCTGTCTTGACTGGCTAGATTTTCCTCCGAATTGGAGCACGTACTTCTTGTGGCCGCAGAAGATGATGAATTGTGGCTGCATATGAACCTTACCTTGAACTCTGCATGCTTTCACCGGCTATCTATCTTTGAAGTTGGAACCAACAAGGTGTGTCAGTTGTGAGAAGTAGGAGAACACAACAGGGGAACACTCTTGTGTTTGTCATATTTTTCCTATCGGTAGCTTGGTTTGGGTGTGTCTAGGAGAATGAAACTTGTGTAATGGTATGCAATTATGCACGCTGTATTGTATTCTTTGTTGGCGCTCTCGATGTATATGAGATGAAATTTTCATCTCCAGTATGTCAAAATAATGCAAATATTAATGAGGTAGCAAGCACTTAACACACTATTGAAAGATGAGTTAACAAAATATGTACTAATCATGTAATGGGTGTATGATTTTTGTTTCAGCAAATCAGAGTGGCGCAGCGGAAGCGTGGTGGGCCCATAACCCACAGGTCCCTGGATCGAAACCAGGCTCTGATACAAAAATATTTCCTTTTGATGCACATCACTATTATTTTTCGATTCATCAGTACGCGTTCATCATTGTTGAAGGCAATATTGATTGAAAATTCGACCTATGTTCACTTGTTTTCAGCATGTCAAGTAGAGAATTGCAAGTTGCCATTTAATAATGTTTTAAACTAAGCTTTAATTATTTTCCTTTTCGATGCAACATCATTATTATTTTTCAATGCATCATTACTCATTCATCATTGTTGAGGCAACATCCATTGAAAATTCGACCTATGTTCACTTGTTTTCGGCATGTCAAGTAAAGAATATCAAATTACCATCTAATAATGTTCTAGACTAAGCTTATTTAATCGTCATTATTGAAGGGGACATCCATTGACAATTCGACCTATGTTCACTTGTGTTCAGCATGTCAAGTACAGAATTCCAAATCACCATTTAATAACGTTTTAATGTTTTAAACTAAGCTTAATTTAATAGTCATTATTGAAGGGGACATCCATTGAATTTTGGATAATTAATGACAAGTTCTTATTCACTCTTGTGGTGCATTTTGCATACACGACAAGGAAGGAACCCCGCAGGCCAAAGAACTCGTGAAAATGGCTGATTGGCTGGTGACCTTAAATCTCCACTGCCAATCCGCCATAAGTATTAAGAATCACTAGCAGCAGTAGTGGTTGGAAAGTTGAGATTTAGTAACAGACGAAATCTTTCGTCAAACACTCTGTCCCTTCCAGAAAAACGGTGGTAGATGCATCAATGGAGATACAGAGTCATCACTACGTAATCGCTTCAGAGGTACCCGCCAAACTTGGCTGACTTATTTTTAGTGTTGTGAATAGATAGATAAGGACATTCAAACGAACGGTGGCCGCCCCGATTCTCCTCTGTTAATTCCAAGATTCAACTCCCAACAGACTGACTGAGCTTGAGTGTGTTCATGGCGTTGAACTCAACTAAGCCTTCATTTCTCCCCCGAGTTGTTGGAACCCATCAAACATCAATGGAAGAAAACGGCAGGGCAACTGGTAAAGACGACAGCAGCCTGGTGTTCGCCATCAATAGCCAGAGGTTCGAGCTCCGGAATCTCGACGACCCGTCGATTACTCTGCTCCAGTTCCTGCGCTCACAAACCAGTTTCAAGAGTCCCAAGCTCAGCTGTGGGGAAGGTACACAAATTCATAGTCCAAGATTTTTACTAGACAAGTTTCTGTATCATGATTCATGACGTATATCGATTTCCAGACCTATGCAGTTAGAAATTTCGTCTGGAATTCGTTATGAATAGTGTCGATTCAAGCTTAATGAACATGTTGATGATGACTTACATGCCAAGTATTGCCAACACTCTTTATTGGTTCAGTTTAGGTTGAATGATGAAGAAACTTGCTACACCATTACCCTGTTTTGCCTTATACTTGTTATGATCATATCATCAGGTGGCTGCGGTGCTTGTGTAGTTCTACTCTCCAAATACGACCCTGAACTAGACAAAGTTGAGGACTTTAGCGTAAGTTCGTGCCTTACGCTGCTCTGCAGCTTGAACGGATGCTCGATCACGACCTCCGAAGGTCTTGGGAACAGCAAAACTGGCTTCCACAACATCCACAAGAGGTTTGCCGGCTTCCATGCTTCACAGTGCGGCTTCTGCACGCCAGGAATGTGCATGTCATTCTACGGTGCGCTGGTCAACGCCGAGAAGGCTGTGGATGACCGTCCGCCCTCTTCAGGATTCTCCAAGCTGACTGCAGTAGAAGCGGAGAAGGCCATCGCCAGCAACCTCTGCCGTTGCACGGGTTACAGGCCAATTGCAGATGCCTGCAAGAGCTTTGCAGGTGATATTGACATGGAAGATTTGGGGATCAACACGTTCTGGAAGAAGGGGGATAGTGTACAAGATAAGATGAGCAGATTGCCTTTGTATAGTCCAGGGGATGGAGTTTGTGATTTTCCTGAGTTCCTGAAAGGGCAGGGGAAAGGGGGTTCGTTGTCGTCATGGATTGTTCCTGGGAATGTTGAGGAGCTTCAGAGGTTGATGAAGGGTATTGATCATGGCAATGAGACAAGGGTGAAGCTTGTGGTTGGAAACACAGGAGTGGGATACTACAAGGAAGAAAAAGATGGTTGTGTTGAAAGATACATTGATCTCAGGTAAAATTTTGTTAGAATTCCCAGTTAAGATCTTAAAATCTTATGAGTTTACAGTTACAACTATGAATAAATGGAACTTTCCGTAATTTTCTCAGGTATGTTCCTGAGCTAAAAAGAATCAAGATGGATGAGACTGGGATTAAACTAGGAGCAGCTGTAACAATTTCAACAGCGATAAAAGCCTTAAAGAAAGAGAACGATGAAGTATACCAGAAGATAGCAGCCCATATGGAGAAAGTTGCTACATCATTCGTTCGGAACTCTGGTAGCATAGGTGGAAATCTGGTGATGGCACAAAAGAAGCATTTTCCTTCAGATATCGCTACTGTCCTTCTTGCAGCTGGCTCTTATGTTGAGGTACTAACTGGTGAAATCCATGAAAGGCTCACCTTGGAAGAGTTCCTTGAAAGGGCACCAATGGGTTCCAAGGATGTCCTTGTAAGCATTGAAGTACCTAAATGGAAAGCTTCTCAAATTGGTAGTAGATTGGCATTTGATACTTATCGAGCTTCGCCACGTCCACTTGGTAATGCATTGGCTCATCTCAATGCTGCCTTCATGGCTGAGATTTCTGAAACTTCAGAAGGAAGTGTGATGAGTTCCTGTCGGTTGGCCTTTGGTGCGTATGGAACAAAACATGCAATTAGAGTAAAGAACGCTGAAGAGTTCTTGACAGGAAAGAAAGTAACTCCTGCAGTTGTATATGAAACTATAAGGCTAGTTAAGAGCACTGTAGTATCCGCTGAGGGTACCTCAAATCCTGAATACAGATCAAGCCTGGCTGTGGGGTTTCTCTTCAACTTCCTTAGCTCCTTCATGGCAGACCCTTTCAAAGGCAATGCCTCTAATGGTTGGCTAAACGGACATTCAATTGCTCCAGATGAGGATTCTGAAGCAACCCAGAAAAGTTGTCATGATGGGAAGTCCTCTCTTCTGTTATCATCAGGAAAACAGGTTTTCCAAGCAAGCAAAGAGAATCGCCCTGTAGGGGAAGCGATTGGGAAAACTGGAGCCGCACTTCAAGCTTCTGGTCTGTATTTTATGGCTTAACCTGAATCCTAGCATTTTGTTTCTTCCCCCACAACTCTTTGCTGAATACTGATCACAGAGCAAATGCAGGTGAAGCTGTTTATGTGGATGACATTCCATCCCCTCCCAATTGTCTACATGGAGCACTTGTCTGTAGCACCAAGCCTTTGGCTAGGGTGAAGGATATAGGTTTTAGGTCCAACTCACCACCAGATGGAGTTGCTGCACTTATATCTTACAAAGACATACCCAAAGATGGCGAGAATGTAGGTTCCAAGACGATGTTTGAGACCGAGAGTCTGTTTGCTGATGAACTTACTAGGTGTGCTGGAGAACGCCTTGCTTTCGTGGTAAACAATCAATTCCTGACCCTCGATATCTTATAAGCACCATATATTTCATGGTTAATCATGTATTTCACATGGGATTTCTCAGGTCGCAGACTCACAGAAGCATGCAGATTCAGCAGCAAACCTGGTTGTGGTAGATTATGACACGGAGAGCCTTGAACCACCAATCCTAACAGTAGAAGAAGCTGTTAAGAGATCTAGCTTCTTCAATGTCCCTCCTTTCCTTCAGCCGAAACCAGTTGGTGATATAACGAGAGGAATGGCTGAAGCTGAACACAGAATTATCAATGCCGAGGTTAGAAAACTTGGAAAAAATGATCAAGTAAGATATGTTTCTCCCCTGAGGTCACGTAAGAAATTGTGATGAATTATGTATGTCATACAGATGAAACTGGAGTCACAGTATTACTTCTATATGGAGACCCAGACAGCCCTCGCTATACCGGATGAAGATAACTGCATGGTGGTTTACAGCTCAACCCAATGTCCCGAGTATTCTGGTGCAGCCATTGCACAGTGTCTTGGTCTTCCTGAGCATAATGTGCGTGTAATCACACGAAGAGTTGGTGGAGGATTTGGTGGAAAGGCCTTCAAATCTTTACCAGTGAGTAGCTTATATGGCGTAGCCAAGAAATACCATTTCCCTTCAATTTGATGTTTTAGTACTGAGCTCACAGTCCTAAAATGATAAGCTAGGCAGCAAGTTCTTTGTCCAAATTGCTAATAAACCCGCAAGTCAATCAAAGCGTTTCCAGCAGTGTCTCACCAGATAAAAACTGGTTTTCTTTTATGTTTTTCAGGTAGCTACAGCATGTGCACTAGCAGCACACGTGCTGCAGCGACCAGTCAGGACATATGTCAGCCGCAAGACCGACATGATAATGGCAGGAGGAAGACATCCAATGAAAATAAGCTACAGTGTAGGTTTCAAATCCAATGGGAAGATCACAGCTCTGAAACTCGATATCCTGATAAATGCTGGGATTGCTTTAGATGTGAGTCCCATCATTCCAGTACACTTGATTGGAGCACTTAAAAAATATGACTTTGGTGCTTTGTCATTTGACATTAAGTTATGCAAGACAAACCACTCCAGCAAATCAGCAATGAGAGCACCTGGAGAAGTCCAAGGATCATTCATTGCAGATAGTGTTATGGAACAAGTAGCATCAACCCTTTCCTTGGACGTTGATTCTGTGAAAACTGTGAACCTTCACTCGCACGATAGCCTCAAGTTGTTCTATGGTCGAAGTTGTGGAGAGCCTCATGAGTATACTTTGACTGCAATATGGGATAGGATAGCCAGATCCTCAAGCTTTAACGAAAGGAGAGAGATGGTGGAGAAATTCAACAGATGTAACTTGTGGAGCAAGAGAGGGATTTCTCGATTGCCTATTGTGTTTGAAGCAGGAGGGATGGCAACTCCTGGGAAGGTAAGCATTCTGAGTGATGGATCCATAGTGGTGGAAGTTGGAGGGATAGAGCTTGGCCAGGGGCTTTGGACAAAGGTAAAACAAATGGCTGCATTTTGTCTGAGTTCTACAAACTGTAAGGACAGTCTGCTGGAGAGGGTAAGGGTGATTCAAGCTGATAGCTTGAGTTTAATCCAAGGAGGAATCACCGCTGGAAGCACCAAATCTGAATCAAGCTGTGAAGCAATCAGACTCTGTTGTAATCTTCTTGTTGAGAGACTGGTCCCTCTGATGGAGAAGCTGCAGAAGGAAACAGGTTCGGTTAGATGGGAGATGCTCATTTCCCAGGTAAACCAGATCAGATAATCTCATATAACTTAAACCAATTGCTTTTCTATACTAAAGATAATCCCACCATCTCACTAAATCGTATTAAATGATCAAATGCAGGCATATATGACTTCTGTGAACTTAAGTGCAAGTTCTTATTATGTCCCAGACTTTGCTACCACGCGTTACTTGAACTATGGTGCGGCAGTAAGCGAGGCAAGTTTGTCTAGAAGCCGAGTTCTTCATACAAAACTTGTGCATGAGAAGATGATATATACGATACATTCAGCCTGCTGCTAGAAAAGTTTGCTGCAAAAATCTATCTTACACATCTTTTATATATGCAACAGGTGGAGGTAAATCTTCTCACAGGTGAAACCACAATTCTGAGATCAGATCTCGTGTATGACTGTGGACAAAGTCTGAACCCTGCAGTAGACATGGGACAGGTTGTACACACAGATATTCCATTAGATAGACTGAAGTTACAATCTTTAAAGAACACATGACGTTTGAGGTCTTGATGTTTTAACTTCTGTCCTTTTTCCGCTGGCAGATTGAAGGAGCTTTCGTTCAGGGAATAGGGTTCTTCATGTTGGAAGAGTACAAGACTAACTCGGAAGGGTTAGTCACAGCAGACAGCACCTGGAGATACAAGGTTCCAACCATAGACACCATCCCCAAACAGTTCAACGTTGAAATCCTCAGCAGCGGACATCACCAGAATCGAGTTCTGTCATCCAAAGGTAGGCTATCCTCTTTGATAATCCGATGAACAAATCAATAGCATTCATTAACTATCAACAATAAACAGAAGCTTAGTTTCGGTTCAACATAGAAACCTATATATAATGAGTTGGAAACTTACATCACAGAGTTTGCAAATTGTTACCTTGAAGAAGAACTGGGTGATAGAAAAGATTCTGAATTTGTTAACTTCTTTCTTTCTTGTATGTAGCTTCCGGTGAACCACCCTTGCTTCTAGCATCATCAGTTCACTGTGCAACAAGGGCAGCCATTAAAGACGCCAGAAAACAGCTGCATTCCTGGGGCGGCCTCGACAGTTCGCACGCTATGTTCAGCTTGGCCGCACCTGCCACCATGCCTGTTGTGAAGGAGCTCTGTGGGTTGGACAGTGTCGAGAGCTACTTGATATGGAGAATGGACCATAAGTGAGCAAAAGCTTATCAGTGTTCTGGGTTTTTTTTTTTTTTTTGTATTATAAAAAGCAGTGTTCTGGTTTGAAGACGAGATAAAACCATCTTTAGAAACAACACATACATAATAAGGGGAATTTGAAGAAAATCGATCAATCAAAAAGAACCCTAAAGCTGCAGAGTAGCAAAAAATTTTACAAACTCTACTCAGCAATCGATATACTATGTTATCAGAGTATAGTGCGCCTACGTTCGCCGAAAAAGGGGTCTGTGTCATGAACCAGTTGGTCCCAATAACTCGAGTTGTTGGGAGAAGGTTTTGCTGGATCTTATACCACATTCTAACACGCCCCCTCAAACGAAAGCCAACTCATGGGCTTGAAGTTTGCACAGGCCCACCATACCATGTGCTTGAAAGACAACGATTAATATTGGGGGTCGTGGAGATTCGAACACATGACCTTTTGGTTCGAGGCTCTGATACCATGTCATGAACCAGTTGGTCCCAATAACTCGAGTTGTTGGGAGAAGGTTTTGCTGGATCTTATACCACATTCTAACAGTCTGTTCCTCCTCAACGCTTTTCATCTCCCGTCGTTGTTTCATCCGGCGGGGTGGTCGCCGGAATCGGTCGTTGAACCGGCGGATTGAAGATCGGGAATCAGGACCGCTGAGCAGTGAGAGAGAGAGAGACTGTGGAATTAGGGAAAGGTGGGTTCGCGCCTTCTTGGGCAGCCCAAATTTCATTCTACTCCATTTTAGTACCTATTCTTTTTTCATTCTCCATTTTAGTACCTATACTTCTTGGGGTCAGTCCAAATTTCATTCTTCATCATATGTTTTGTATAGATTTCCTAAAAGTAAGCCAAGCAATAAATTGATTTTGAGGGAAAGCTCAATCTATGACACAAGTCACCTTGCATTCTAGGGCGGAGAATCTCCTATACTTTCTTTATGTGATAATGAGACATTGGAATATTTGGATTTTTATGTTTTTCTTAATCTTAACAATGTAGGATTATAGTTAAATTGTTATGAATTATTTGAAATGATGATATGTCACCATTTTAAGAGGAAATTGCAAAATTGGAAATAACAAAAGAAAATTTCACATGTGTAGGCTGTTATTGGTTAGTAGTAAACCGTCAAAAACTAACCGGCCACCAGTATAGCTGGTGGTTAATCGAAAATGATTATCTTTGTTCGATCATCGCTGCCCATCTTTTAGCTTTAGTGGCTAGTTAATCATTAACCGTCAAATTGGTTAGCAATTATCTGAACAATCCACTATCGGTTATGAAAGTCAATGATCTGAAAAGAGGAGGGACTGAAAATAACAAACTACGAAAGCGCGATAGGGGACTAATAACTAGCCTCCATCCTATACCACTTTGTAATATTTTTGTACCGAATACACGTATTATAAACTTAGATATAAAAATCTAGGAACCATATAAGCCTGTAACTCCTCATAAAGTAGATATACACCAACCAACATCAATTAATCCACGGTACAAAGTAGAAAGTACGTTACTACGTTGGGCAAATAAAAATGTTAGACTTTCTACACAATACCACCACCACAAGCCAAGCCAGTGAAGCCACACTCATCATCTCTGTGTTCAGATTTGTTTCATTAATTTCCCCTCAACTTCACACCATCACCATTCACCACGTACTTCCCATGCAAGAACCATGCAAAAAACCGAACCAACGTTACAAATTAATGACTGCTGCACTTAATCTCTTTGGCCATATATTCAACAAACAAAAGAGTAAGAACTCTAGCAAGAGTTACTACAAATACCCCGAGTTGTAGACACACTTGCTCTTCACAATAACACCAAAAAAAAAAACTGCTTAACGTGACCAAACACACACACAGCTAGCTAGCCATGGCTTCTTCTGCTCTCTCAGCTGTTTCCCCGCTCACAACAATCTCGTCCTTGACATCCCTTAAGAGCAACACCACCAACGCCATTCCAGCTGCGAACCGTCGTCCCATCTCCATCAAAACTCGTCCTGCCAGAGCTGCTGCATGCAAATCCTCCCATGGCAGCACTCTGGGTGGGGATTGTGGCACTTTCCCGTTCCCCGTGTACCCGATTCCCATATTCGGCCAAACCGGTCAGACCGGCTCGACCGGCGGGGACTCTGGCTTCTGGTCGATTCATTTTTTCGGCAAAGCTGCTGCATGCAATAAACCCTCCCATGGCCGCACTCTGGGTGGGGACCATGGCTCGTTCCCGTTCCCAGTGTACCCGATTCCCATATTCGGCCAGACCGGCTCGACCGGTAGTGGGGACTCCGGGTGGTGTTACCCGGTCGTGTTCGGCAAAGCTGGTCATATGATGACCTCCTCGACCGACGGGGACTCTGGCTTCTGGTCGATTCATTTTTTCGGAAAAGCTGCTGCATGCAAATCCTCCCATGGCAGCACTCTAGGTGGGGACCATGGCTCGTTCCCGTTCCCCGTGTACCCGATTCCCATATTCGGCCAGACCGGTCAGACCGGATCGACCGGTAGTGGGGACTCCGGGTGGTGTTACCCGGTCGTGTTCGGCAAAGCTGGTCATATGATGACCTCCTCGACCGGTGGGGACTCCGGCTTCTGGTCAATTCATTTTTTCGGCAAAGCTGCTGGTCATACTGCCTCCTCAACCGGCGGGGACTCTGGCTTGCACCCGACCATGGCCATGGTCGAGGAACCTGGCTTCGCGTCGAATTGACCATATGAGGACTGACCAGAGAGCCATGAATATAAACTTACCTATCAGCAGGAAAATCATATGTAACGTTTTGTGTGTGTGTTTGTGTTCGAGAAGGGCAGTGATGATCATGATCACTATAGCTAGCTCACCAAGCAGTGTTTTAATTAATTTCCAGTAGTTGAGGTTATGTTGCTCGTAGTTTGTCTCCTCCAATTCGGAAAAGTATCGTTGTAAGATGTAAGTCGGCCTGTTGGAATCCCATATCCAATAAATAAACCTTGTTAAGGAGGGAAAAGCTTGTTAGAATCATGTGAATGCTCTGGATTAGCCTCCCCAATATTGTTACTGGGATAATCAATTGATTCTTGACCTAGTATCGGAGTATTTTGTGACTGAGAGGTCTTTTGTTCGAATTTCGCGATTGACGACCTCATCTGTTCTCTTAAACACATGGTGTCCATTCCATGTGCAAACTTTCAAACCTATATACCCTATATATATATATATATATATATATATATATATATATATATATATATATGAGTGGGTTTTCGTTTAAAGAAGTGTGTTAATAAATTGATATATAATCCGTAATTGAACTATCTCAACAACTCAACTTGTTCTTGACACTGAAACTAGTTTTGGACCGTGTGGGTCGTCCAGGGTCGAATCTCTCGAATAACTCCATATAATGAGAGACACGTTGAGATATTCTAGGAACCAAAGCCAATCATTCATTCCTTATTGAAATAATACAACGACGGCAAGATTCACAGGTACTATACTACGCATGAATTCAGCAGGAAATAACGGAACGCACGTTTTATGATCATAAATTTGAACTAGGCATGGTCGCCGGCGTCGGCGCCATTACCTGGACGGCAGCGGTTGATGGTTAAGCAACCACGGTGGTAAGGATTGGCCGGGACAGGAGTACTAGGAGGCGGAGTACAGCCAATAATAGCGGCGGCGCCGGGACATCCAGCCTCATTAGGGTTTAGGACACACGGACTTATGTATCTTGTTGTTGCCTCCGCCATTAACGATGACGGGCTCGCGAGGAGAAACATCGCCATCACTAGGAGAATCGCACCTTTAGTACTGTTCTTCATCGTCAATATCTCCCACAGACAACAATTAAGCAAAAGGGTATATTGTGCTCTGTGCTGTGTGTGAGTATGTATATATATGGTAGATTTCTTCGGGTCACTCGGCAATAATCGTACATACAATTCATTTAACTCTAAAAGTAGTATTAAGACATCAAATTTTTGAATTTTAATGAGTCGTAGCATTTGTCTGATTTGATGATATACTATATTATCACAACTAACCAATTCGTTATATAACCGTGAACGACGTACGCTACACCCGAAATTATAAACCGTGAACACTTGTCCTAATTTCCTAACTCTAAAACCTTCGAATCAAAGTAAATCTTGAATGATTATTTGAACAAATTCACTTGTTTCCCCCAAACATGCACGACACCACCACGTACTTCACATGCATGAAGACACTCCAAATTAACCAACCTACGTACGTTACGAATTCATGAATGCAGACATGCATGCGTGCACCAGCAACACGTACTTCACATGCAAATGCAAACCAGCCAAACCCTAACGTTACAAAATTGAATGTCCTTATCTTATTTCTCTCTGGCCATATCTCAACAAACAAAAAAGCGTGGGAATCGTGACATTTGGTACTATATATACCTGACCTGGGAACACACTAGCTCGTCACTCCCAGCTCTTCATCATATCTCAAACAAAGTGGTTAACGCAAAACAGCATACAGCAGCTATAGCCATGGCTTCCTCTGTTCTCTCAGCTGTTTCCCCACTCACGATCTCGTCGTTGACATCCCTCAAGAGCAACATCAACGCCGTTCCGGCTGCGAACCGCCGCCCCATCTCCATCAAAACTCGTCCCGCCAGAGCCTCTTCAACCGGCGGGGACTCTAGCTTGTGGGCACCGCCGGCGTTCGGCAAAGACGCCGGAGGGGACTCTAGCTTGTGGGCGCCGCCGGCGTTTGGCAAAGCTGCGAACGGGGACTCCAGCTTGTGGGCTCCGCCGGCGTTTGGCAAAGCGACGGACGGGGACTCTAGCTTGTGGGCTCCCCCCGCTTTCGGCAAAGCCACCGACGGGGACTCTAGCTTGTGGGCACCGCCGGCGTTTGGCAAAGCAACCGAAGGGGACTCTAGCTTGTGGGCACCGCCGGCGTTTGGCAAAGCAACCGAAGGGGACTCTAGCTTGTGGGCTCCGCCGGCGTTCGGCAAAACAACGGATGGGGACTGTAGCTTGTGGGCTCCCCCCGCGTTCGGGAAAACAGCCGACGGGGATTCCAGCCTGTGGGCTCCGCCCGCCTTTGGCAAATCAGCCGACGGGGACTCCAGCTTGTGGGCACCGCCGGCGTTCGGCAAAGCAGCCGAGGGCGACTCTAGCTTGTGGGCACCGCCGGCGTTCGGCAAAGCAGCCGAGGGTGACTCCAGCTTGTGGGCTCCGCCGGCGTTCGGCAAAGCCGCTGAGGGCGACTCTAGCTTGTGGGCACCGCCGGCGTTCGGCAAAGCAACAGACGGGGACTCCAGCCTATGGGCACCACCGGCGTTCGGAAAAGCAACAGACGGGGACTCTAGCTTATGGGCTCCACCAGCTTTTGGCAAAGCTGGTGAAACCTTTTCAACCGACGGGGACTCCAGCCTGCGGGCTCCACCTGCATTCGGCAAAGGAGCCGACGGGGACTCCAGCTTGTGGGCTCCACCAGCTTTCGGCAAAGTTGGTGAAACCTCCTCAACCGGCGGGGACTCCAGCTTGTGGGCCCCACCAGCTTTCGGCAAAGCAGCCGTAGGGGACTCTAGCCTGTGGGCCCCACCCGCATTCGGCAAAGCAACCTCTGGGGACTCTAGCTTGTGGGCTCCACCAGCTTTCGGCAAAGCTAGTGAAACCTTCTCAACTGACGGGGACTCCAGCGTGCTTCAGCCGCTCGTGTTCGGGATAGCTAGCTTCGCGGCAGTCATATGAAGCTCAATTTGACCAAAGAGCCAAGCATCGTCAACATAAACTAATTTCGATTTGATGTTTCGTAGTGTGTCCACCCCTGATCGGAGCTTATGTTATATATTTTCAGCACTGTTACTATGGTCGCTTTTTGTGTTGCATGTGTAATATATATGCATCGTCGTGGAAAGTTATATGATTCCTAAGTCGAAAGTGTATCGTTGTAAGGTGTCTGTATCCGTGTGCTTGTTTCTGTGTATCCGATATATAAAACTAAGTTGAACTTAGTATAAGAATCATGGCATGCATAATCTATATGAACAAACAGAAGAAGAAGGGGGGAAAAAAAGTAAGAATGATGGCGTTGTCAACCAGTATGTGGATCTATTGGATGCAAATTGCAATAAGAGACCATGGACCTTTGAAATACTGAAGTTGGGCCCAAAACCCTTTGGGGTTTTTGGGTATGAAAGTAAGGCGAGCCCGTTTGGATATGGGCAGAGAGAAAAGGCTTTGAGCGAGGGAAGGGAGAAGAAGGGCCGGTGTGTTTGGGCCGGCCCATTCGAACTTTTGGAAAGTGAGTTGGAAGACCGTTTAAATTTTAGGATCTCAAGTTTGACTTCCGACGTTCGAAGGACACGCGGGCTAAGAACAAACGGTGGTGTCGGTGTCGCCATGGCGGCTCCTTAAAGAACGGATCAGGATATCTAAGTCAATGGCGGCTCCTTGGGGAAAATCGAAATTCAAAATCACAGTCACAAAATGAGATGAACATGGCTGTCTGCAGCTTGAACTCATGGCCTTCTAAATTCAAACTCAGACCTTTAACATCACTATCAATTCTAGATGATTTTTACATTAATAGTGTTGGGATCAAGGATTGTAAATAAAAGGGTTATAGGTATGATATGCCCCTCTACTATGTAGTTTTATTGAACATGTCCCTCTACTATTTTTTATATCAAACATGCCCTTGTACTTTGAAAAAATGATCAAACATGCCCTTCTGTTAAAATTTCCATTAAAAAATCGCCAACCATGGTTGAACCGAGATGTAGATGACCCGACATCGGCAAATGAGAGCGAAAATGTCAGTTTTGTTCCCCATTTTATTTTTCTAGGTCTCGTTAAAGTGAAATTATTAGAGGTATTTGGCTCTACAAAAGAACCCAAAAAATTTTAAAGTAAAATTACCGAGGATATTTTAGACATTTGTGTCGCCCAAACCAAGGTACGACCATGATTGACTGTTTTTGGATGAAAATATTAACAGAATGGCATGTTTGATCATTTTTCTAAAGTACAAGAGCATGTTTGATGTAAAAAATAGTAGAGGGGCATGTTTGATAAAACGACATAGTAGAGAGGCATATTACACCTATAACTCTAAATAAAACAGTAACGGAAAGTCCATATATCTCTCGGTCGATTCAACGTTTATAACTAGTAAATTTGTAAATCAATTGTTTCCTATCGTTAAATCACCTATCAACTTAAATTTCATAGAAAGCTTTTCTCCATCATCGGTACGCTACGATTTTTGCAGGACCCTGACTGGAGTAGAAGTGTCAAGAACCAGTTGATCCCAATAACTCGAGTTGTTGGGAAAAGGTTCAATCGTGGATCATATACCACAACACTAACACGTCCCCTCAAACGAAAGCCACTCACAAGGGCTTGAAGTTTGCACAGGTTTGAAGACAAGAATACCATGTGCTTAACAAATGGGGGTCACCGGTAATCGAACACAAGACCTCTCGGTCACAGAAGGCTCTGATACCATGTCAAGAATCAGTTGATCCCAATAACTCGAGTTGTTAGAAAATGTTCAACCGTGATCATATACCACAACACTAACAAGAAAGACATGCCCGGTTTGATCAGATTACTCTGATGGGTCAAACAACTTGGTAACGGGGAGATAGGCACAATTGGCGAAAACAAAAATGAAATTGAAGAGACCAACAAACAAATCATTACTACGGAAAGTCCACCATGCACATGGCTTCTTCTATGTAATCTGCCTTCAATTAATTTCTTGCTCTCTCTCACCAAAACAACCCACCACTGCCATTAAAAAAAGATGCAGACAAGAAGTACAAGCTATAAGTTCTGAAAAAAACTGGAACGGAAGAAATATCTCACAGAAGTTATACTGCACCATCAACCAATCAAAAGCAGCAGCAAGCAAGGAGGAAGAAGAAGAAGACACAGAGAATCACACTCTCCAATGTAACTCATGACTCCTTCCCTCCATTGCTGCCCTCTCTCTCTCTCTCTCTCTCTCTCTGCTTCCCCTGTTTCTTTCTCTCTCTATCTGTGATATCAGCAGCTTCAGTTTATTCAATATAAAACAATAGTTCCCATCTTTCGATTCGTCGTGTACGTAGGCTACAGATACCAATCTAGAAAGTTGCTTTCTTTTACTCTGTTCCATTACTTAAGCTCTTCCCTTGCTGTACTCTGTTTCACTCTGGTTCTCTGTTTTCAAGCATCCAGATTTTCAGGCGAGGTAGATCTACATTTCCGGCCGAAATGGGGAGACAATGGGTTTCCACTTGTTCCATACTTCTCCTTCTATCACTAGTATCCTGCAGCTCATTCGCATCAGCCGCAAAACCTCCTTACTTGAAGTACAAAGACCCAAAGCAGCCCGTCGGAGCCAGAGTCAAAGACCTGGTCAAGAGAATGACCCTGGAAGAGAAAATCGGCCAGATGGTTCAGATTGATCTCACCGTCGCTTCCTCTGCTGTATTGAAGAAGTACTTCCTAGGTAAACATCAATCCTCCCCCTTCAAATCAAGCCTCCCCTAAATCGAAAAAAAGGAAATCTCACATGGTTGGAAGTTGGAACTCTGTAAATTAATGTGATGCAGGGAGTGTACTGAGTGGTGGAGGCAGCGTTCCATCCCCAAAAGCTTCAGCTGCAGCCTGGGTCAATACTGTAAACGGACTCCAGAAGGGAGCTTTATCCACCCGCTTGGGAATCCCCATGATCTACGGGATCGATGCTGTTCATGGCCACAACAATGTCTACAACGCCACCATTTTCCCCCACAATGTTGGACTCGGCGTCACAAGGCATAAAGCTCTCAACTTTAACACTCTCCAATGCTTGATTTATCAGCTTAATCAACAATTAGTAACAAGATTAAGTCAATTCCATCTCTACTACCAGGGATCCCCAGCTAGTAAAAAAGATTGGAGCTGCAACCGCCATGGAAGTCAGAGCAACTGGGATACCATATGTGTTTGCTCCATGCATTGCTGTAAGTTATTGATTACTTTGAAACCAATTGGGTCATTATGATTACCCATTAATGGCGATGGATTAGAGATAAGTCAACTTCCTTTCCTTTTTGGGGTTTTGTTAATTAGGTTTGCAGAGATCCAAGATGGGGTCGGTGCTACGAGAGCTACAGTGAGGATCACACCATTGTCCAGAAGATGACAGAGATCATACCAGGTTTACAAGGAGATCTTCCTGCAAATTCCAGAAAGGGTGTTCCCTTTGTTGATAATGGAGGGTAAAAATCTACAATCCCCTTTTTGTCTCCCCCCTAACCTTGCTTTTTGAAAAAAGATGAGATCTTTGGCTAAGTCTGAATTGACTTTAAGTATTTAAGTATTGGGTAAAGTTGATAATGGTTAATCAATCTTCTTGTTCCCATTGGTCCAATGGTGGATTAGATTTGGGGCCCTCGTTTAGAGATAAGCATAATTAGATATTCAAGACCACGTGCTGATGGTCTGACTTAGGTCAGATTGATTGCATTTCAAACTTTGGACCATAAAAATTATGAAATACGCGACTCGAATATATGTTAAACTCGTACTAACGCTTACCTTCATCAGTATGGTAGCAAAGTCTGTCTTTACTTACAACTTGTCTTGTGTGCATATATTAAACAAAACGTTTACCTCTGATTGAGAGTTTTTGGCACATATGTAACACAAAGAAGGAATCTAAACTCTTCCAAAACAGTTAGTTCTGAAATTTTTCAAGAGTATAATTTATGGCTAAACGCATGAGATAAGAGGAAACCTCCAATCGTGTCGTATTCGGCTGTGTGGGCCTTAGAGTTGTCTAGATATGAAGAAAAAATGGTGTCATCAATGACTTTAGCTTGCAGTTGAAATGTAGGACCTTTTAGTCCCCTGTTTTCTATAAAAAAAATTATTCCTTTCTTTTAATGGCCAATTGGGTCTCTGACTCTCTGCTAGGGGAATTGCATTTCAAACATCAGCAATCTTTGTGGACCTTTCTGTGTACTGTAGTGTAGACGAGGTATGAAGGTTCCAACCCTAGTGGGATGGACAATTCTCTTCGATCACCGGATCGAGGGTTTACGTCTTCATAGACGTTGGATGTTATGTAGTAATCAAGATCAAAGTAAGATACTATCTCGAATTCTCGATCGAACGACCAGTAACACAACATTCCGCAATTCAACGATATTATGTGTGTTCTGCTTATGTAGAAGAAACATGAGCTCTCTGCCCTACCGAGTCGCGAGTTAGATTTCTAGCGTGTATGTTAGTGATCGTCGCTCGCACATGTATGTGCATTATGCAAGTTGTACTAGAATTTTGAACACTTAGAACAGTTGGGTATGAAATTGAATAGGGTTGGGTGACTTGACAAATCTACAATGAAGCAACCATTCTAATACGGTTTTTTGATTATTTGGCTAAAAAAAGGACCAAGGTTGCAGCTTGTGCCAAGCATTACTTGGGAGACGGTGGCACAACCAAGGGCATCAACGAGAACAACACGGTCATCTCCCAGAATGGACTGATGAGCATCCACATGCCTGCATATTACAACTCCGTCAGCAAAGGCGTGGCCACGGTCATGGTTTCGTACTCGAGCTGGAACGGGAAGAAGATGCACGCGAATCGCGAGCTCATCACAGGGTACCTCAAGAACAAGCTCAAGTTCAGGGTGAGAAGGAACTGCATTCCCTTTTTTGTGTTAAACAAATTTTTGGTAACAGAATGAATGCTTAATGTTTACAGCTTTCTGTGTTGTTTGTTTCTCTTCAGGGGTTCGTGATTTCGGACTGGCAAGGAATCGACAGGATCACTTCTCCACCACATACCAATTACAGCACTTCCATTACTGCAGGGGTTGGCGCTGGAATCGACATGGTACTGTACTACTAGCTTGGCTGCTAACATACTAAGCAAAGTCGCATCACCATCATTAATTGTGCTGTTTTTTTTTTCTTTCTTACTAAATTTAGTTCTCTTTGTGTTGCCAGATCATGGTTGCCTACAACTACACAGAGTTGATTACTAACATGATCTACCAAGTGAAGAACAGGATCATTCCTGTAAGCAGGATTGATGATGCTGTGATGAGGATCTTGAGAGTCAAGTTCGTCATGGGCCTTTTCGAGAAGCCACTAGCTGATCTCAGTATGGTTAATGAGCTTGGGAAACAGGTCAAATCACTAAACCCTTGCTACAATTTTTGTGACAAGTCCATATGTGTGTCTTTATTCTCTAATCTCTGCTTCTAACATATTCATATTCTCTGTTTTCTGCAGGAGCATAGAGATTTAGCTAGGGAAGCTGTGAGGAAATCACTTGTGCTGTTAAAGAATGGCAAATCTGCTGACAAGCCATTGTTGCCCCTTCCCAAGAAAGCACCCAAGATTCTTGTTGCTGGAAGCCATGCTGATAACTTGGGGAATCAATGTGGAGGATGGACCATTACATGGCAAGGCCAAACTGGAAATGATCTGACTTCTGGTATGTTTCCTGTTCTGTATCTTTTTTTGTTTCATTTCCCCAATGGCAACTCTTCAGGATTTAAACCTCTCTTGGTAAAATCCACAGGCACCACGATCCTGAAAGCAGTGAAGACCGCAGTTGCTCCCTCCACTCAAGTCGTCTACAGCGAGAAACCGGACCCCAGTTTCGTGAAATCGGGCAAGTTCTCCTACGCCATCGTGGTCGTGGGCGAGCCACCTTACGCCGAGACTCAGGGCGACAGCTTGAACCTGACCATTCCGGCAGCTGGCCTGCGCACCATCAGCAACGTCTGTGGCTCGGTCAAGTGCGTCGTCGTGGTGATCTCGGGCAGGCCAGTGGTGGTGGAGCCGCACCTTGCCAAGATCGATGCTCTGGTGGCTGCGTGGCTTCCAGGGACAGAGGGACAAGGCGTTACCGACGTTCTGTTTGGTGATTTTGGGTTCACTGGGAAGCTGGCTAGAACCTGGTTCAGGTCGGTCGATCAGCTTCCTATGAACGTGGGTGATGCACATTATGACCCTCTGTTTCCATTTGGGTTTGGTCTCACCACTGAGCCGATCAAGAGTTAGAAAGGTTGATCTTTTTTTTGGCCTAGTAGTTGAAACTTGAAGCAATATCTAAAGAGTAAGTCGTGAAATGGAGAAATGCAATTGCGAGGGAATACGGGATTATAGAAAGATGAGGTTATTGAGTGAACGTGTTGTTGACTGCTGAGTGAGAAAAGGGATGGATATATAACTGAAGTCCCTCTTTTCCAACAATTTGTAAGGAATGAAGCTCTTTTTTTGATGCATTGAAATAATTGTTTGGGTGGACTAAATATGAGTTCACACCGGGAAGCTAAGCTCTTTTTTTTATGCTTAAAAATATTTATTATATTATACAACAGGACGCATCTGTTTCGAACTTCTGGCTCCGCCACCAAGGACACGAGTATGAGGAAACTCTGGATAAGAGAAGAGCTAAGGTTACCTGAATGGAGGGCACGAAGAACAACATCTCGCAAAAGCTTGCAACACACCAACAAAGATTGTTATTGAAGTAAAATGATTACCAAGTCGAGAGGCTCTGATATCATGTCAAGATATCAAACAAAGTACAAGAACACGCGAGACATTTTTAACGTGGTATCGTCAGGACTACACTAGTCCACGAAGAGAATCTCCCCCTCTCAGGTTTTAATATTATGTTTCGGCATAATAGCATGATTCTCCACATGTTGAAACATTTAGGGCTTTTAACCGACTAACCCTAGAGCTATCTGTGTCCTTATTGTACACGGGGCTAACATTGATTATACAGAAAACAATAATTAACAGAGAACATCCGTCACACCCTAAGTCTCGAACCTCGAACCTTGAGGCCAACAACCATCATCGGAAAATCTCATACGACCCCATTTCCATAGCAACAATGCTATGAGTTTCTGTCGCCGGCAGCTCCTCCGTCCTCCCTGACCAAAACTCCGAACCCCCACCAAACGACATCGAACAAGATTCGCCACCATTCTTCCTCAACAAACACTCCATCTCCTCCCCGCCGTTATCACCCTTCCGATCAGACTCCCAATATTTCTTATCCAACCTCCTCAACAGCCGTCCAAGCTCCTCCGCCACCTCCTTCATCGCAGGCCGCTTTATCCCACTTGAACTCAAGCACCTCCGCGCCACCTCAGCAAACGCCTCAATCTCCTCCATCTCCCCTTCTCGAACCACCACACAATTTATAATCCTTCCCAAATTCATATCTCCGATCGAACTCAGAAAATACTGAACCAAATTAACCTTCTCCTCGGTTCTGGTCGAGCTTCCAGAGTAAGGCTTCTGCCCTGTCAGAAGCTCGACCATCACGACTCCAAAGCTGTACACATCGCTCATCGGGGTGAGATTACCCGTCACGAGATACTCGGGGTCGAGATAACCCAACGTGCCTTGGATCTTATCAAACATGGCGGTTGCCTGGTCGGGATAGATCAGAACAGAGGCGCCAAAGTCGGCGACTTTGGCGCGAAAACCCTCGTCGATGAGAACGTTGGTCGACTTGATATCCCCGTGGATGATTGGCGGGTTCGCCAGCGAGTGCATGTAATCGAGCGCCTGAGCAATCTCCGTCGCGATTCTCAGTCGGTTTTTCCATGTAGACATGAGATCAGACCTCTGCCTATGAACGTGGTCGAAGAGGGTGCCGTTGGGGATGAACTCGTAGACCAAGAGCGGGAGCTTGGTCTCGAGGCAGAGCCCGACCACCTTGACGACGTGGATGTGGTTCACCTGCGAGACGATGGTGATTTCGTGCTCAAATTCTTGGTTGATGGTTTGAGCCTTGTCGATCGAGCCTTTAGGTTTCTTGATTGCCACGACGGTGTTGTCAGGGAGGATTCCTTTGTAGACACGGCCGAATCCTCCTTCGCCGAGGAAGTGGGTGGCGTCGTAGTTTTTGGTGGCCTTGGAGAGCTCGAATTCTTTGAAGATTCTCACTCTTTGGTGCTTCAATAGCATTCCACCGTTGAGCAAGAAGTTCTTCTCTCTCTTTCTTCGTCTGTAGATGATGAAGGCCAGAAGAACGATCGTGACTAGCAAGATGATGCCTCCGGTTGCTGCAGGAGGGTGAACGAAGTAAGTTACTATAATAACTTTAGCTTAGTTTGGCGTTGAGTGTTTGGCTGTAAAACTATTAGAAGTGCTTTTTAATACGAGAGTTTGTGTAAAATGACTATAAAGGACTTATAATATAAAATATGAATAAAAATTCTAAACAATAAAAAAAAGTAGTCAAAATGGATCTTGTTAGATTTCTTTTATATTAAATAATATGATTTTATAATTTATTTTATTTTTAAAATGATATAAATTAAGAAAAAATATATTTTCTGAAATAAAATTAAAATATGATAAAGATAATCTTGTATTTTCAAAACAGCTTTTCGCAGAAGCTCCAAAACATGTTATACAAAAGCGATTTTCGACTTTTCAAAAGCCGAGCTTTTAGAGGTGTTTGGCCCTGCTTCAGTTTTTGAAGCCGAAAAGCACTTCTAAAAGCCGGGCCAAACATATGCTATAACAACTTTGTCATATGAAACAAAAAAAAAAAGACTAGGGTGATATTATTACGGTTTACAAATTCATTCAAGTTTATATAGAAAAAAGGAATCGATGAGGGCATGCAATCTTCATTATGGATGTCTGGACTCATCAGAACTCATAAGCTAATTAAACATCAAATACTCTCGTTCGTTATAATCTTCGCAATGTCTGTATTTTTTTTTTTTTTTTTTTTTTGTTACCTGCAACAATGGCCGTAACACTGGATACTTGGCAAGCAACTTTGCCGTCGCCACGCATCCCAACCGGACAACTACAAGTATAGTTCCCCTTTGTGTTCTTGCAACGTCCATGACATGGGTAATTCTCTGGCTCCTCACATTCATTGATGTCTGTGGTGAATAAATAACAACATACGCGCGCGTAAAAGCAATGAAATAAGTATTCGAGTCGACACTAAAAAAAAGTTCGAACCTTGAAGTCAACTATGAGCAGAGGTGACAAATGGATTGGTGAATTATCCATGAATCTAAATGACATCCTCAATCTTGGACCAATATGTAAAAATATGAAAAGCTTAGATACTAAAATGTCGTAATGAAAAAATTTAGGTACCAAGACGTAATTTTCCAATTAGAATTTTCGTATAAAAAAATTTTAGGTACCAAAATGTAAAATATAAAAAGTATATATACCAAACCGTAATTTTCCATTTAGATCCATGGATTGGTCCATGAATCCACCAATCCAATTGGATTTGGATCAAATTGATTGGATTAGGTGCATATTTTTAACGGATTAATGAATTGGATTGAGAATTGCCACCTCTAACTATGAGTCAGCGTAGTAAAGTTTTCCCAAATTTTTACCTTGGCACCCAAGGTAGGGGTTTCCTCTGAACCCGGGCTTGCACAAGCACCTGTAACCATTCCCGTTCTCGGAGTAAACGCAATCGGAGTCCTCGCGGCAAGCGTAAGAGCTCGGCGCGTTCGATCTCGCCTCCTCGCAGTGCTTCTCCTCGACCACCCACTCGATCGCTGTGCTCAAACTCGGATTTCGGTCGGGAATCTCGCCCAGGTCCAAGCCGGCGAAATCGAAAAACCTGTTGTCCCCTAGGAAAGCGAAAACGCAAGGATTCGACTCCCAAATGTCGCTCAGGTTGTTCCCCGGGCGCTCCACCGTGAAATCCAGCGTCTGCAATCCCTGGGGGATCAAGCTCTGGCAGCACCCGATCCCGGAGCAGACCGACGCGTTCGCGGCGGCCGAAATCCTCCGCGAGACGTTGGCGGCGGAAACGCCGTTGCAGAAGGAGATGCAGCCGCTTCCGAAGTTGCCGGGGGAGTCGGTCATTACCGCCATGGCGTCGCAGCCGAAGACCGTGAGTTTGTTGTGGGCGTCGGAGAATCTGAAGGGTCCTCCCTCGAGCGAGATCGACTGATTGAAATAGTGGTCCTCCATCAAACCGTTCCCGTCGTAGCAGCTGTAGGCGGCGTACACGATGCTGGATAAGGTGCCTTCCTCGAGGGAGATGTTGGTGACGGGAATGTTACCGAGCAGTAGCTCAGGCGGCGGAGCCGCCGCGGCGACGGCGGAGGAACTAGTACTAGTACTACTAGTGCAATTGAGGAAGAAGGCCTCAGATAATGCGCATTTGGGGTCCCCGATTCCGAAAGGGTACGGAACGGTGACGTTCCCGCACTTGTCGGAGCAGTCGCCGTGGATTGTATTGGGGTAAGTCGCAGAAAGGGAAGTTACTCCAGAAAGAAGAAGAAGGAGGAGAATAGTAGCGTTCATCAATGGAAGCACAGTGTTGTTCTCCATTTTTTGAGCTTTGTGTTGTAAGTGATTGACTGAACAATGTGTGGAGCATGATTATATAACAACATTCTGCAGAGTGGAGAAGATAACAATTAACAAAGCAAGTGGTAAGAAATTAACCAACAGGTCACCTCAAGGAACATTCAACGACAGCAGGGAAATGATCGATGTAGCTTCATATGTGCATCCAAAGTTCTGATTGATGGATCCTCCTTGTACCTTCTCATCCGTCCATAAAACAGAAGAGAAAATTCAACTCAACGACGGTATTCACAGGTGTACTCATACTCATAGCTTTTACATATATAAGAGCGAGAATAATTTTTCTGGGTAAGCTATGACATTTCTAAACTATCAAAATTTTTAGAGTTAATATTTTATTTTGGTCCGAACTATGACCATATAATCAACTTTGGCCCGTGGTTTCAGAAATTAACATCACGGCCTCAACTATATAGCATTATACTCAATTGGCCCGACACATGGTTTGACCGTCAATTTGGATGGTCAACCGTAGTCAACACGCCATGTCATTGCTTCGTCATCCTAAAAATCATTAAAAAAATTCAAATTCAAATTATTTTTCTAATTTTTATTATTTATCATTTTCAAATTAACCAAAAACTAAAATTTAAAAACTATTTTTTATTTTTTGGTTTATTTGAAAATAATAAATTTTATAAATTAACCAAAAATTATCAAAATAAATTTATAAATTAAATAAATATATTTTATTTTATTTTTTGGGTAATTTAAATAATATAAATAATTTGATAATTTTTGGTTAATTTATAAAATTTAACATATTCAAATTACCCAAAAATAAAAATAATTTTTTTAATGTTTTTATAATTTTATTTTTTGGTTAATTTGATAATGATAAAAAAAAATTAGAAAAATAATTTGAATTTGAATTTTTTTAATGATTTTTAGGCTGACCAGACAATAACATGGCGTGTTGACTACGGTCAATAGTGTTAACCATCCAAATTGACGGTCAAACCATGTGTCGGCCCAATTGAGTCTATATGTTACATAGTTGATGCCAGAGTGTTAATTTTTGAAACCACATACTAAAGTTGATTATATGGTCATAGTTCAGATCAAAATAAGGTATTAACCCAAAGTTTTAATACAACTAAAATCGTCATTCACAATTTTTTAGAATGACTTTTTTATATCAACGGTGTAATTAAGTTAGCTCATGAATTACGAGCTACTACAATAGTTCAAAAAGTAGTAGCCACACCACACAATATACAACACACATACTAAAATATACAAATCACCATTATTATAAAAACACAAGAATTTGTCCGACGACTAGTCCCATCAAATCTCATAATCGTATGAGGTTTTGTAATATTTGTCCGACGACTTCATTCCCAAATCTACATCTTTGTGAAAGCGGGAGTCGTCCTTTGATTCCCTTTCTCTCTCAACTGGCTGCCCAATTATCTCAAGTTCGCCGGTTGTGCTTGAAAAAACGCCCACCGCATGGAGCTCCACAACAAAGTGGAAAAAGCAGTGTCGTTTTGTACCCAAGAGAGGAACGGGCGCGATTAATTAAGCTTCTAATTAGCCTCCATTCTCCGGCAACGAACGAACCCCACCAATTTGTTGTTTTTTTTTTTTAATCTCGAGTCACTTATCTCAGCTGATAGAAATTTATTGTAGTTGATAGAAAGTTTAGTAGTAACTAGGACGTGGTTAAGGGTAATTACTAATCAGTTGTAAGGGTAATTTTGACTTGATCAGTGCGGCGTGGCCTTGTTCGACTTCGTTTAGGGTAGATATTTTTCGATATGTATTAGTATGTAGCGGTGTATGGGTATTGTTCCGATGTGTCTTGTATCATACTGCATCGTCGCGTTTTCAAACCGTTGTATCAATATTAGCATCAATATCTATATGTCTTTCACCTCCTCTTATCTTTCATCGTGTCATCAATTTACACTATGCAAGGATTCGATAAGATTAGTTAACTTCAACATAACAGTTATATTGTTTAGATCACATATTAAGGAATACTAGTTTCTTACCCGGCCTGTTGGCCGGAGAGTCTCATTATCATTTATATCAATTGATTTATTTATATGTTTAATTTTTTTTTTAATTTTTTATATTTTTATACTCTCGCTATATAAGCGAGTATGCGATATGCCTATATTAAAAATTTTCAATACTTAGCATACTCACCTATGATGCTATTATTCTCTAATAAAAAAATCATATCGTGAAGGTTTATCACATCCCATCTTTGATGTTTGGTTCATGAAACTGTACTGGACATTGTTACGAAAAAAGTCAGTGGTAGGGTCTTTTATAGCAAAATCGTGGTTTAACCACAGTTCAACCGTTAGTACTTGAAATACCGCCTACCGGTTTAACCTAAGACAATGGTATTTTGTGCTTGAACCGCCGGTACGGTACAGTTTCATGAACCATTTTTTGAACAAAATTTTAATTACTTATCTTAATAACTGATAAAGTGTGTCGACAATGCACACGGATTTTAGATGCATTTTAAACGGCGTATCGTTTGAACAATTAATTTATAATTTTTTTTAAAATTGATTGTTTTTTTTAAATTCAAACAACCATTATGACATTTCGCGTACATATGAATTCATGGATATATTGTAGACACATTTATTGTTAATATCTAAGCATATATAAAGAGTTTAATTTACTTTTTAATCCTAGTTAATACCTTCGAACTTTGCTCGTCCAGTGGAATATGGAAGAAAAAAATAATTGTGGCTAAGACAACTCAATGTAAATACAAATTGCTTACTGTTACAAAGTAAAATATTTATCTTTTGACACTTTGATATCAGAATAATTTTGTTATTGCCAACATTTGGTATGGAGTCATAGGCTCGTAACCGTACTAACAAATGACTTCTTACAATTGCCTTGTTGAACTCATTCTGATTAACGATTCTTTATTTTTAACCCAACAACTCAGTTTAGACTTTTGTAACTATAAATACTTTTGGTGTAGATACTCAACCAACAAACAGATGTTTAGTTATTGTATTGACCATGAATTTTATTTTTCCCACTAATACATCCAACTATTAAACAAAAAATTTCAGCCTGTGTTAAATCAATGCCTAGGTCAGTGGTTGATGATATGTGATGTTTACCGTACATCGTCTACAAATACTTCTCTAACATTTAAATGTGTAATATAATACTTGTACATTGTCAACTTTCTATCTAGATCTTTTGTGATATGATACTTGTTTTATTTGATAGACGTATACATTAGAAATGAGAGAATGTTTTATAGTAAATAGTATAAAATAATATAGTTCATTTTTGAAAGTCGATTGATCATCAAACAACTGTTTCCTCTCTTTTCATCGTATTTGTTCGATCGAATAAAATATTATTATTTAAGTGTATTTTTTCTAAATTTTCATTAAAAAGTAACTTATTATTAAGTTTTAGCATAAATGAGCAGAAATTGACTTAAAGAAATAATCTATTTTTGGTTTAAAAAAATGTGATATATGTCACTTTACAAACATTAGTCTATTATTGCATACATAGATATAATGCAAAAGCAAAAATAAATTATTGAATAAAAGAAAAATTATTAAAAGAAGAGATTGTATTTCATAAGTCTTAGAAAATAATTAAGACACAACGTACGTAAAAGTTATGAAGGGACAGCTGTATTTCATAAGTCTTAGAAAATAATTAAGACACTACGTACGTAAACTAAACAAATGGATTATGTACGTCTTTCATAATGATTAAGATACTGCATAAAACTTGGGGAGACATAATTATTTCCTATGTATAATTTAAATAAGCGTATGATGTATGTATTTTATAATGATTAAGACACAGTACTTAACATGCTCATCTAAGTGATGTTGCGAGTTGTTCACGTACTGAACATCGAGGGACTTGCATGGGACGTCACCAATACCTTCTGTCGACTGAGCGTCAATAAGTTTCCCTAACATATATATGCGATTGAATTTTCATATCTTTTTACGAAATTCGAATTTCAGTCACTTCTACAATTTTATATGTTCATACAAAACCATAAACCATTAAGATCTTCTAAATATGGTCCCTCCATACACATCAGGGTTCGGAAAATATATAGGCCAGATTGTTTGAAAAACCGTGGAACGAATCGGACCACATCATTTGGTCCGGATCGTAGATCGTTGACAATGGTCTGGTCCATGGTATGTACTATGAGATGTATTGATTTCTTGCTACCATACTAAACCATGGACCCCAACCCACTTTTTAGTTCGTGTTAGCAGCTCACTCCACCCGTACTCTTCCAACTCTTCAACGAGATCCAAATCTCACCTCTAATTTTGTGAAAATCTCATCCTCTCTTTCATTTAGGGGTCGGCACGTGGGTGGTTAATCCGCAGATTGATATCGATCCACCCGCAGATAACCCGATCCGCACGTAATGGATGATTGATGTGGGTGGATTGCAGATTGGTAAATCTCACACTCGCACTTATGTGGGTGGATGGTGGGTGGATTGCGGATTGGTAAATCTCCCACCCGCACTTATGTGGGTGGATGGTGGGTGGATTGCGGATTGGTAAATCTCTCACCCGCACTTATGTGGGTGGATGGTGGGTGGATTGCAGGTCACCCATATGACCTGCATCCTATTTTTACATGAAAAAATGTGTTTTTTATAGTATCGAATATTCATCATATTTTCGAACTGCACTACAGTCTGACCATGTACTTCAAAAGGTGAAGAATAAATAATAGTTTTGACTACTATTATTGGTCATTGTGCTCTGCAATATCCATTAGATATTGGATATTGGTATACAGATTATTGTTAATAACCATTAAATATTGGGATGCAAACTATAAATTATTAATTGTATCAAAATCACAAATTAATGATACAGTCTTACTAATTTTGCTTTGAACTTATGATAAATGTTAGTCAACTTTCTTAATGGTTAGTTGAAGAATTGCTTTTGCGGATTGACCCGCGACCCAACCGCATCCATCCGCCACCCACCCAACCCAACCCGCAGAAATATGTGGGTGGATTGCGGGTCAAAATTATTTCAACCCGCTAGTAAGTGGGTGGGTCAATTTGATACCAAAACCCACCAAACCCGCCCATTGCCCACCCCCTACCTTCATTGATACACCACAGTACTCTACCACATATTAGCGACAATCATGTCTCCATATGACATTATGTTAACATTTATGACCTTATGGTGCAAGTTGGGTTGCTTTAACTTTGTGTTTCAGCTATTGACTTGGATTTATGGTATAAAAATATGCATGCTCGTTGGAATTTATATTTTAACAAAAAAATATTTTTTCTCGATTATCGGTAAAGATATTTTTGGTGATTGCCTAAATAAAGTATTCATTTTCGCTCAATGCGGCCTATATTCTAGGCCTTATCGGATCAGACTGCCACAAGCATAATTTGATCTCTGTCGTATTGTATTTTGAATGATCGCTTATCTATACTCCAACTTCTCGGTCTGGACCATAAAACATATGTATGGTTCAATCTGTACAAGACCACACCGTTACCGGATCCTACTTGACGCCAGTCATTATTACATATAATAATATATTAATTTTCCAAGCGGCACATAACTTCGGATGCAATCATGACAAAGAAACCTCGCCAAGATACTTGCATAGTACATGAACTCGCAAACGCCTAATTAATTAAGTCTCGTTGCCACCAATGGCATGCATATTAGATTATTAGTTACCCTAAATTAGATTATTAGTTACCCTAAAACTCTTGCTAACTAGTTAAATATATCACACATTTGTACACATATGAATACACTAATAGCTAGCTACTGTATGTCTCTATACCAAATGATACATTCCATTCCTACTCCACCAGAAGAAAGAGAAAAATAATAGATTTACTCGGAAATGTTAAAAAGGAAGAGAGGTGGTATAAGATTCCTAATTAACATTCTCTCAATAACGTGACTTATTTGAGATCAAATAATTTATGATATGAAATCATAGTTAGTTTGGTCAAGTAGTTGTATGTTCTAATCTCTACGATCTCCAATATTTATCATTGATTTAAGCATGCACAAGGTATAATAAGCCAGTGCAAACTTGAAACTCGTGAGTTGACTATGATATAAGATTAATAATTAACTTTCTTTCATCGACGTAAATTATTAGTGGACCTAACGATTTATGACAACAAGAGAGAAGCACCCCTATTCTTTCTCTTGTTGCCACCAACTGATAACGATTTGAGATCGAAAATTTGTAGTGAGAAAAGTATCTCCTCCTCCCTCCTTTTCATTCATATATAGCAATACAGTAGCAAACGAAAATCCAGCTATTCTTGTTAAAAGATAACTATAAAAAGAAACCCTATAGCAAAAACGAAAAAGATGAATCCTTCAATCATCACCTGCTCAACTCACATGACTTCTAGATACCGTTGACAGATCGCATCAGCCAGGATTCGAGCCTCGGAAGTGACGAGAAAACATAAAGAAATAATCACATTTTCCTTCTTGGGTAATACTAGGGCGGACTATTTGGTCCGGATTATTTGGTTTTACCCGAAACCGGACCGTATAACTCGGATTGGGACTGGATAGTGGATAGTAAACAATCCAATTCAATTTTCAGGCTTAGATTTGAGGTAAAAAAACCGTTTGGGACCGGATCGAAAACCGGATAAAGACCGGATAAGAGACCCCAACACCCAAAACTTAACCAACTCCTCACCCTTTGAGTCCTCAGACAACTCAAATTCCCACAAACTCAATCTAAAATCAAGACCGAATTGGGACCGGACCGGGTCAAGACCAGACTGTATCCAATACAATCTTTGATCCTTATATTTCCGAAAAGACTGGACTGGAACCGAATCAATTCGGACCAATTTAACCGGACCGGACCGTATAGCCCACCCATAGGTAATACCGATGGCATACAAATTATATACCCTAAAACTCTAGCGAAATAATAATAATAATAATAATAATAATAATAATAATAATATATCTCCTTAGACACGTAAATCTCCAAAACTCCATTTGTGACAACCCTCCACACATATCTACACCTATAAAATACCACCCAATTAGATCATCCAATAGAAGAGAAAAAAGGTAGAAGAACACATATTTATACATCATGGACGCAACGAAAGCAGCAATGATATTGCTTGCAGTAGTGCTGTTGCATGCTCAAATGTCAAGCTCACAGCCGCCGTCGGTTGAGCCGCCGGCCCCCTATTGCGGGCCATTGGTCGTCGGCGGGGAATGGGGTCAATGCGACCCCGGCAGCTGCTGCAGTGGTTCGGGTTACTGCGGTACGGGATATCATTATTGTTCCGTGGACTATTGTGTGCTATACTGTCCCTTTTTTCCTCCCCCTCCTAACGAGATGACGGAGGAGGAGGAGGAGACTCGAGGAGGAGGAGGGGTAGAAGTACTGGCCCGTCGTCTCGATAACGCGACGATCGACCAGTACTACCTGGATCGCAAGATCATCACCGACCACCACGATGTTGTTGTTGATCGTCACATCGCGAAAGCTGCTGCTACCGTTGCTGCAGCAACAAGCGCTTCTTTATCGTCTTCGTCTGTGACGACCACAATATCATGTGGTCCTTTCTTGTTGTCTCGCCTCCCGCTGGCTGCCCGTCGGAGGTATCCTTGGGCGGCTCTCGGTGTCCCGTCGTCGTCGTCGCGAAATAACGTTACAGATGGTGCCATTTGCGGACAGTGCTTAAAGGTAAGTAATTGGTCAACTTATAGTAACGAAACCGTCACAATAAACTAATTTAGTTTCTCGTATATTATGCATATAGGTGACACATGCTGGAGCTGGAGGAGCGCGTGCTCGTCAAGTGATGGTGCGGGTTGTTCACATACCGAACATCGAGGGGATTGCATTGGACACCAATACGTTCCGTCGATTGGGCGGCGACGATGGTCGTGAAAGCAGAGGTTACAATGATCTTGTGGTGAAGTATCAGTTTGAGAATTGTTGAAGACTTGTTGTTGTGGGCGTGTGTTTTTTTTCTTTTGATGGAGCGTGGGTTTGATGTAAGGGACCTAGCTATATTGTGGTGGGTTTATGAAGCTAAAAAATCAAGACTAATCAATAAATTAAGGAATAAATGGATGATTTAAATTTCAAATACACATATAGTGAATTCGGTGACAATAAATTACCCTAACACATATATGCAATTGAATTTTCGTATCTTTTTACGAAATTTGAATTTCAGTCACTTCAACAATTTTATATGTTCGTACAAAATCTCTAGCTCGATTCTTTCTTCTCCTTCCTTCGACAATTTACTAATCAACTGCTAGCAATGATCACTTTCAATCGCAAGGAAAAACTTATGCCATTATGGAGTTATTGTTCAGACATATACATCCATACAATTAATGATCAACTCCAAGAAAATTTCTAGTCAGCTCATAATTACGGGTCATTACGGAATATTCAGATATATTCATTGATACAATGTAATGCACCTTAATTTAATTTAATTTTTTTTTTTTTTTTGCGTACAAGGAGGCCGGGGCCAAGAAAAGAAGTTACATCATCAGATGAGAGGTAGAGGCAGAGGGACAAAAAGGAATTCTACGCTCGAACGTGATTCCCCGCATATCATCCTGAAGAAGACCAACTATACCCTGTGGTGGATCGACAAGTTCATACATACCGTAGGGATAGACGAGACTGTGCTTCGAGAGCCAGTCCGCGACTCTATTCCCTTAATTGAATTTCATATGATCATAAAACATTTTTACATTTGATAAACCATTAAGAATTTCTAAATATGGACCCTCGTCATTTGAGTTGAGAAAATAGACCAGACTGTTTCAAAAAAAAAAAACGTAGACCAAATCATCCCCATTCCATTTTTCGGTTCGTCTTAGCAGCTGATCACTCGACCGGTATTCTCCCAACTCTTCAACGAGATCCAAATCTCAACCCTAATTTTTGCGAAAATCTCGTCTCCACCTTCATTCATAAACCACATTCTACCACAGAGTAGAGATAATCGTGTCTCTATATGACATTATGTTAACGTTTATGACCTTATATTGCAAGTTGGGTTGCTCTAACTGTGTTTTTTTATTTTATTTACTGGGATTTATAGTATCAAAATCATTCATGCGTGTTGCAATTTATTTTTTAAGATGAAAATAGTTTTTTTATCGGTTCCTGATTAGATATTTCTTGTGACTGACTAAACAAACCGTTCATTTTCACTCAATATGATTTGTATGGTCTATACCTTACCGGACCAAACTACTACATGAGTGGTTTGATCGGAACTGTATTGTATTTTGTTTGATCTCCTATCTATACTCTAGCTTTTTGTTTAAAATCATGTGTATGGTCCGGTCTAGAGTACTAGACCGCACCATTTTCCGACCCAACTCGAAGTCTTCATTATTGGACAATATATATGACCAACCACATTTCTTTTCCAATCGGCACATTAGTTGGGATGCAATTATGACAAAGAAACCTGGCCGATCGAGAATCGAGATACTTGCATAGTACATGAACTCGCAAATGCCTAATTAATTAAGTCTCGTTGCCACCAATGGCATGCATATTAGATTATTAGTTACCCTAAAACTCTTGCTAACTAGTTTAATATTTCACACATTTGTACACAATATGAATACACTAATAGCTAGCTAATGTATGTCTCTAACTCATACATTCCATTTTCCACTTTACCCAGAAGAAAAAAGGGGAAAATAGATGGATTAGAAATGTTTACAAGGAAGACAGCGGTGGTATAAGATTTATAATTGACATTTTTTTTAACAAATCGAGTTATTTGGGTCAAAACAGTTTATGATATGGAATTAAAATTCATTTGGCGAAGTAGTTGTGTGTTCTAATGTTGACAGTTAATTTAAGTACAAGGTACAATGAGCCCGTTCAAATTTCGAGCTCATGAGTTGCCTTTCATTTGATGAGGATGTGTTGATGAGGATGTGTAAGAGAACTACATAAATTTCATAATTAACTTTCTCTCAACAACCCGAATTATTTAACCAAACGGTTTATGATAACGAGATACACACCCGACCCCTACTCTCTCGTTGCTGTCAACTGATAACGATTTGGGATCGAAAATTCGGAGTGAGAAAATCATCTCCTCCTTCCTCCTTTAATTTCCTTCATATATAGCAATACAGTAGCAAACGAAAATCCAGTTGTTCTAATATTTTACACCGATATGGGGTCTATGAAAATAAAAAGCCAGAATAATCAATAAAGAATATTTTTTTAGAAGGTTTGTATGAGTTTTATATGTCAAATTTTTCTTTTACACGTCCCGCCTCAAACGAAAATCTACTTATAGATTATCGGTTTGCACAAACTTTGACATCATCCCTTGTGATAGATTGTTTTTTACATTAAAAACGTCATAAGATTCTATGTCAACGAACAAACATTTAGTTTCGAGTTATTGGGACACTATGACACATAACACACATGATTTTGATTCAACCTAGGCCCAATATATAACCTACGGTCCTACCCCTCCCTATTTCCAAACCCATTGCTTTCCACCTTAAGAAAGCCCAATACAATCAGCCCAACCTTTTTTCTGAAACAAGATATTCCAGTCTCCAAGCATATTAACAAATGCTAAACAAGGAAAAATGAACGAGTTCAAGGCGTTAAATCCATACGATGGAAAAAGCTTCCTACATTTTAGCTGTAGTGGAGTTTGAGATGTGCCTATCATTCTACTGGTTATTTGGTGAATTTTTTGGTTTTATTCGATATCGGACCTTATAATTCGGATTGAGATCGGACCGGGATCGGATAGTAAACAATCCAATTCAATCTTTGGACTTAGATTTGAGGTAAAAAAACTGTTCGGGACCACATCGAAAATTGGATAAAGACCGGATAAGAGAGCTCATCACCCAAAACTTAAGTATAATTTGCATAAACGGTCACAAACATTTACACTTAGTACAAAACTTAACCAACTCCTCATACTTTCAGGCCTTAGGCCACTCAAATCCCCCACAAGCTCAATATAAAATCAAAGACCTAATTGAGACTGTATCCAATCCAATCTTTGGTCCTTATATTTTCGAAAAGACCGAATTGGTACCGAATCAATTTGGGCCAATTTAACCGGACCGGACCGTATAGCCCTAAAAAAAGTGAGAACCGGCCCGGGGAAGGCTTTTTCTGTTCACAGTTTGCTCAAACTTTCTGCTTCACACACCACCAGCCGCCATCGCCAGGCCACCGGTGTGTAGCAGTAAATGTAAAGCTTTTCCGCCCATAACTCCGAACGCAATCGAAATCCAATCCTCTCAAATTTCTCTCTGCGCTCTCTCCTCCCACTCAATTCCGCCGTCGACGACGACGACCGGCGATCTCCCCCCCCCCCCCCCCCCCCCCCCCCCCCTCTTGACATGCCGCACCTCGTCCGGGAGAATCTGTTCATCGGCAACATCAACGATGCGGCGGAGGTCCTCCTCCAGAGCGGGACCTCCTCCGACATCAGCCACGTCCTCTCCGTATTGAGCTCCGCCTCCATCTCGTTCTTCACCGAGTGGCGCTCCGGCGTCTCGATCCCGGCCAAGGAGATCAAGAAGGTCTACTTCAACCGCCGGCGGGACGGCCCGGCCGCGGCTGAGGAGGAGGAGGAGGAGGAGGATGGTTCCAAGCTCATGTACTCGCTGGAGTACGCAGGGAAGGAATTGAAGCTGGTGAGGATGGCGGTGCCTGTTAGGGATATGGAGAGCGAGGATTTGCTGGATTATTTGGAGCCTTGCTTGGATTTCATTGATCGGAGTAGGAAGGAAGGCTCCGTTCTTGTTCACTGCTTTGCTGGTGTGTCCAGGAGGTAAGTAAACCCCCCAAGCGCTTGAGCATTTCCTTTTGCTTCGAAGTTCGGAGGGTTTGACTTTTGTGCATTTCTGGTCTTTGTTGCAGTGCAGCTATCATTACAGCGTACTTGATGAGACTTGAACAGCTCACTCTGGAAGGTTAGGACTTATATGAGGAATCTCTGTTCTGCTATGGTGGGCTGGGGCATACCAGCTTTCCAAATTGGTTTCAAATTTTCCAATTTCTTGAGCATTTACTGATGGCCGTTTCTGCTTCTTCCCATCATCTTTTTGAGTTCCAACAGATGCTCTTGAATCCCTAAGGGAAAGCTGTGAGTCTGTTTGCCCCAATGATGGCTTTCTAGATCAGGTGATGCAAGTCACTGTGCATCAAATTTATGAACGACTTAGCTTGGTGGTTGTATGATTTTTAGTTTCTTCGTGGTTATAAAAGAATCAAAATTTTCAGTTTGTTCGTTTTTCTTGATTGCAGTTGAAAATGTTTGAGGACATGGGCTTCAAGGTTGATCATGGGAGCTCCATATACAAGCGCTTCCATGTGAAAGTATTAGGTATGCATTTCCCCCTGATCTCATAGAAACCGACCCACATAAAGGACTGGCAACCTACACATTAGTTGCAAGGTGCTGATTGATTGGTGTTGTTTTTAGAATGAACTAGGTGGTCATAATAACTTCAACTGTGGTTTAGCAGTTCTCTCTGTGATCTTTGGTTTGGCTAGTCTTATCTAGTTCAGGGTAAACTTCAATAGAGATATCAACCATGGGCTTTTGTGGTTGAGAGAGCAAGAGAACCGTCTCTTATTTGTCATAGTGTAGGTATCATACTTTTTAATGAAGCAACTATGAAGGGATAGATATTTGCTGAGGCAGAAATCAGTTAAAATAGGAACCTCATACTGCTGGATCGGCATTCAGAAGGTAAGTGCTGCACTGATGGTAGATATGGTCTGAAAACCTCCTCAATTAGTCAATTTAACAGATGATGTTTGAGTTTGCTTTAGTAGGGCCATTGGACACTATCTGTGAGTATTAAATCATCTGAAAACTGAACACACATATATTTATAAAAAAACTTGAATGCAAATATAAGTTGGATAAGTACCTAATTGACACCTAAGCTTGAGATCAAAGGCCTTTGCTTGTTTCTTTGAACAGTAGTTTATGCTTTCATGTTGCTTCAACATTGCTAGTGGATATAAAATAACAAGTGAGAACTAGCTTTTGTATTGTGTAAGATTCCTAAGTGTCCTGTGCTTCCAGGTGAGTCCTATAACAGGGGAGAGAAGATAGACAGCAATCAGTTTGCTGCGGATCCCAGTATAGCTGTAGAAGTTCAGGCACAGACAGCAGCACCAGTAAATGGAGAAAAAAAGCGTGTACAAGCATATCGTTGCAAAAAGTGCAGAAGGCTAGTTGCATTAGAGGGTAATGTTGTAGGCCATGTTCCGGGAGAGGGCGAGTCATCCTTCTCATGGAACAAGCGAAGAAGTGGTAATCCATTTAGCAAGTCTGATCAAACTGATTGTTCGTCTATCTTTGTTGAGCCTTTACGGTGGATGACAGCAGGTATGCACAATGCTTATTCTCCTAATATCTATTGCCTCCAGCTAACTAGTAGTTTGTGTTCAATGTTTAGAAGCATATGACAAATTAATTGGTTAGGAAGATCTCAATATTGTTTGATCAACAACATATACTTCATATTTCTAAAACCAACAGTACACACCCCATCTTTTGATCTCCATCCAGCTTTAAAACTCGGATTATGCAATGAGGGCGTTCTTCAAACTAGTGGCCAAAACTTTTCTGGTGGTCGGATAGTTTTAACTTTAGGGCACCCTTGATGGTGAAATGGTAGTCAGGAATGTGGCCACTGTCTCGAGTGAAGAATTTAAGGCACATGCAACGACTTAGAGATCATCAATAAATAAGTTCAGGTTGTAAGGCATAATAATATAGTTATGTCAGCGGCTTTAAGATCAAGCACTATCTGTTTAATTGCTAGAACATATCAAACTGAGGAACCATAACATTTTAGTGCAGGACTTTTCCTTGTGTCCTTTTTCTTCCCTTTTCAAGTAAGGAATAGTGCTAGTGAGTTATTGTACTTATACCCTATCCAGATAGCTCCTTATCTCATCTATGCATCGCACAATAGCTTTGTACACATATCTGGAAACTCTTTTCGGATAAGTAATGGCTGTACCCCCACCTTTTGTTGTCCAGTTGAAGATGGTGGATTAGAAGGGAAGTTGTCATGTGCGCACTGCGATGCTCGATTGGGCTACTTCAATTGGTCGGGCATACAATGCAGTTGCGGGAGCTGGGTCACCCCTGCTTTTCAGCTCCAGAAAGGCCGAGTCGACATCAGTAGTGTCTAATGCCTGCAGATTCCATTCCATATTCTGCTCTATCTATGAGGAGAAAAAGAAAAAAAAAACCTTTTTGACAGTGGACAAAGATCAGAATTCCCCCTCTCATTGGCGCAGAGACCTTGGAACTTCTGAAGCCTGGTTCTTCTTCAAGCTTGCTGCTTTCTTCCAGGCCGGTTGACGCCTCGAATGCTCTGGAGCTGGAGATAACATACGTGTATGTACATATACGTGGAGTTTCAAAACCATGGTTTGCATTTGGTCTTTTAGCCTAATTAGCTGCATACAGAAGCTTCAAAGTGTTCATGTATTGTGGGGGAGAAAAAAGACTGCTAGATTGTTTTGCCTGGCACTTGGGCAAAGGCTGCAGCTACGCAGGCCTGTGTTGGCCCCTTCGCCATGACGATATCCCATGAACAAACTTGTGTAATAATTTGTTTGACAGCGGAAGAAAGTTCGTTTGCTTGACGCTGAAGTGCTTGCTTTCGAGGGTCGTCTATGATAAAATCTGTCCGATTTCAATAGAATACCTACGGGACTGAGCCTGACGTATTCTTATTTTATCCAAGGCGATAAATGAAGCTAAGTTTTGACCTCATTTGGGTTTGATTTGTGTTTTATTCGAGCTCAACTCATTAATGATTTTACGAGCTCTATTCACGTTCGACTCATCAATTAGCTCGCGAAATCGGCTTAAGTTAAGGTTAATCATTTAGTTCATAATTTTAAATATTCATATCATGTTATTTATTTGTAATTAGTATCTGAGCAATTTATGTTCTCATTTAAATTATAAAAATGACACATTTAATAATGTACTCAAATTCTTAAATGTGATGAGATATATAATAATCTAATAAATTTATGAATTATCAACAAGTCGATGATAAACTATTAATCAATTCTCTTATAAGTTGCTAATTGAGATGACTCGTTACCCGTTAGACGTTAACCAGGGGCAGGTTAGCGTGACAACCCCTAGGGGGTTGTCAATCTCGCTTCCCCCATCGTTGCCGTCCGTTCCCCTATTCCTCCATCTAACGATTCAAGTTGGGCAGGGGCAAAAAGGTACGCTACCGCACTGGATTGTGCTCCCCTATTTCGCTGACGTCAGCGGCTATTTTGAAAAGGCAAAGAAATCGGTGGGGGGAGAGTATTCAGCCATCTTCCCCGCCGAACTTCCCCCCCACTGGTACTCTTTTTTCTCCATCTCCGCCCACACCGACTCTTTCTACCGCCCGTTTCTCCCAAATTCTTCTGCAATATACTTTCTCCGATCGATACTTCAGCATCCTCTTTCTCCGATCGTCTTTGGCGGCGGCGAAGTCTTTGTTGATTCAGGTACGACTTCTACTTTTGCATGGATCGGTCTTCGTTGCTTTGTCGGACTGATTCGTTGGCGATGCCGCTCCTCCCAACTTCATATTTTGCTAACATAGGTTTTTATCTCCTTCTTGTTATGGACGTAGGCGAACCACCTACTTCTGCCGTCGTTCCTTTCTGCGCCCGTGAAGACAATCGGAGGTTAGGTTTATTTACAGTACTGTTATTTGTTTTTGGGTTGCAACGTTGGGTTATGATCCACTGGTATTCGTAAGAGTCGTACCATTGTTAGTGGTAGCTATGGTACTAGTACCATTGTTAGCGGTATTCGTAAGAGTCGTACCATTGTTAGTGGTAGCTGTGGTACTGGTACCATTGTTAGTGGTATTCATAAGAGTCGTACCATTGTTAGTGGTAGCTGTGGTACTGGTACCATTGTTAGTGGTAGCTGTGGTAATGGTAAACGTATAACTTGTTGAGCTCGTATAATTCTACTTGTTCTAACAGTGCTAGTTTAATATGGATTGTCTCATTAACATTCTACATTGCTAATAGTAATTGTAGTGATATCATTCTACTTGTTCTGTTGCAGGGATGGCCAGAACAAAGATCCCAGCTATACCATCTACTAAAACACAACAACCTGCTGGTTATGTTTCTCGGCAGGTAGAAGTCCGCTTGAGGGACTCTAGTGATTCTGGTGCTGGGCCTAGTAACAAACGACCACGCGATGAGGCAACAAAGAGTCACAGCAAGAAGAAGAAGCAACGGACTGTACAGTCAAATCAAATCATCTTGGATAAGAAGTGCAGTCCGACTTCAATCATCGAGATTGTGGAGGCGGGTATTTCAGCTGAGAGACAGGCTCTTATCAAGAAGCTTGGACTAAGTTGTGTGCTTAAATTGAAGACACACACGGGGGCATTGTTTGCTTGAACTTCTGTGAGCCGTGGGAAGGCAAACTTCTGACCGTTTGGAAGAGAACATTGCGTGGCCAAACTTATCTGAGGAGCAGGTCTGCTCAAATGGTTCAGAAGACCATTGAAGACCCGAGTAATTTGCTGCTGCAGGAAATGACTGGTAAAGCTATGGATATGCAAGAGGGACTACTACGTGGATACACCCAGGTGTCACATCAGTAGTAAAATCATTGGTTCATGTATGTTTGCAAGTATGAACAAGTTGTCATGGACAAAGTACTGTTTCATACATTTGGCACAAATATTTTGTTTCTTGATTTTGCTACTGCAATACCTCCTCCATAGTTATCTTGTACTAGTTATTGGTACAAATTGAATTTTATTGGTACCATTTGAATTTTATTCTTATGTTACTGGTACCAATTGAATGGTATTGGTACCAATTCAATTTTATTGGTACCATCTGAATGTTACTGGTACCATTTGATAAAACTGGTGCAAATATTAATATTGGTACCAAAAAAATTGCCAATGGTATCATTATTAATACCGGTGCAAATATTTTGTTACTTGCAACAATTGAATGTTACTGGTACAAGAAACATTGCCAATGGTATCATTATTAAGACTGGTACAAAATCGGTGCTACTGGTAGGATAAATAAGACTGGTACAAAATCAATGGTACACTGTCTGAAGTTATTGGTACGAATTGAATGTTATTGTTACCAGAAAGATTGCCAATGGTATCATTATTAAGAATGGTACAAAATCGGTGCTACTGGTAGCATAAATAAGACTTGTACAAATAGTTTGTTACAAATATTTTGTAACAAATGTTATTGTTAACAATTGAATGTTTCTGGTACCAGAAACATTGTCAATGGTATCGATATTAAGACTGGTACAAAATCGGTGCTACTGGTAGCATAAATAAGCCTGGTACACAATCAATGGTACACTATCGGATGTACTAGTACCACGTAAAGATAATAATAAAAAATCATTCTTAGACATCAAATGTTTTGGTCAGAAGCAAATTATACGTCTCTTCTGATAGGTTGCCACTTCTGTAAAACAAGTAAAATGAAACATGCTAGTAACCACTAAAAAAAAATTAAGTGTTCTTCTTCTTCCTCTTGCTGTTGAGCTCGTGATTCAATTGTTTTCGTACCCGCTCGTTTACTATTTACCGAACCGACACTAGCCTCTTCTTATACATTCGCTTGTCCTGCCGCTGCTTCACTTTGGACCCTATAAAATCTGCTTCATCATTGGGTTCTCGATTTGACAAAGGGTCATCGTTCATGTTTTCAGTCCATTTAGGTGCTCCTACACGGAAAGTTTAATCATGTGTTAGTAATCTTACCCAGTAGATACCTAATACTAGTATCGGTATACAACTAAAAACTCCTATTTTGGTACCGGTAAATTGACTGGTACTTTCTACCAGTGTGACATGTACCAGTGACTTCTAATGATGTCATCAGCTTCTATTGTGAGCTTTTCCAAAGTATAAGTCATCAGCTCATATACCTCATCATTTGCAGCAAGCCGAGTTGCCAAAACATTTATAGTCCCTGTCAACTTCTTAACCCTTGCACCCAAAGAATTTCGCAGTTGTGGGTCAGGCTCATGACTACAAATGAACCTGCTACATGACTACCACTAGCTAACTGGAACTATAACTACTGGTATATGTACCACTACAAATGTACCCATACATGTACCAGTACATGACTACCACTATCTACCTTGAAATCCCAGTAATACTGGTACCAAATCAGTGGTACTTGTGTCATTTTCTGGTACTGCTGTACTGGAACTAAAGCAGTGGTATTGGTAACCATCTAGAAGTCCCGGTACCAATACAGTGGTACTGGTGCCATTATTGACACAATAATATTTGTACCAATAGTAAAACGGTACAAATGAAAAAGAAGTAGTAGCGGCACAGGTAAACCCTACCGCCATAGCTGCAGTCCACGCCGTCGTCGACATCAACGCGATGGCCAGAATGCCGCACGAACTTGTCATTGTTCTCCACGTCGAGTCCACATTGGACGTTCTCTGTGTTATCATGTCGTTCAGGATGATCTTCGTTCAACGCCTCCTCCACGTCCAGAACGGGGAGAACATCCACCATGCATAGATCAGCGTTCAACGCCTCCTTCACTGCCGGATCCGTCTGCTCAGCATCGCCGTTGATTGTCAGTGGGACGTTCAGGTCCAACCCAAATATGCACGTAGATTCGACTCCCCCCATTCATTGCCGTAGTCGTTGCTAATGTAGTCGTTCATGGCGGTGGCGGCCGTCGCCGTCGCGTTGCTGATATCTTCCATAGCTAGATGACGGGTTTGGTTTGCCGAGGGAGAATCCAGAAATGGAAGGGATAGAGTCTATTCTATTCTGATCCCCAAATCACGTCCCCAAAATCACGTCACCGGATTCTCTCCATGCATTTAATTTCCAATTTAAATTATTAGAATTAACCTTGTCCTTCCTAAAAAACCCTTCTTGTGATCCTGGCCGCTAGATGAATAAGGGGAACGGACGGCAACTAGGGGGGAAGCGAGATTGACAACCCCCTTAGACTATCTCCAACCCAAGCATGCAAATTTGGAGAAAGGGAGGTTTTTGGCTTTTTTCATCTCCAACCCACCAATTATTTGGCTTGCAAATTTGGAGAAGTGGGCTTGAGGGTGGATTTGGAGAAATAGACTATCTCCAACCCAAACATGCAAATTTGGAGAAAGGGAGGTTTTTGGCTTTTTTTCATCTCCAACCCACCAATTATTTGGCTTGCAAATTTGGAGAAGTGGGCTTGAGGGTGGATAGATAGAAGCTCATATGGAAAAATGCAAGGAGAAGGTGGGGGACCAACCATGGAACCCAAGCCCACACGGTGGGGCCCTCCACTTTCCAACGTTTTTTTTTCTTTTACTTTCTTAATTTTTGATTGGTTGGTTATGAGTTGGGAAGGCAAATTTAGAAGGTTTAGGGTTGGAGCAAAAAAAGTGTTTTTGGAAGGTAAAAATGCACATTTGAGAGCTTAAGAGGCTAAATATAACCTTTTGGGTTGGAGTTAGTCTAAGGGATTGTCACGCTATCTACTCCCCGTTAACCATATTATCGTACCAACTCATAGCTCAAACTAGCCAGCTTACTTTGCAGCCCTAACTTTATCCCCAACATGAGATTTAGAAGAAGAAAAATGAAGGATATTTATTTTTCTTCTTTTTTTTCGTCGTTCTGCGTTTTTTACTGGTTCTGACTTCTGGCGGGCGAAGAACCCCTCCGAAGGCCGGCCTCCGATTAGTCCCACTCACTCTCTACTCTCTGGTCTTCCTCCTGCCCCGGACATCGGCGCTGCAACCCTAATATGGCCACTGGTTGCTCTCCATTTTCCGTCTCTCACCGTGGTATCCGCCTTTGTCGCCGCCGATAAGTGATGATGTCGCAGGCCGTCCGCTCCCTGAACCTTGATTGTTGGCTGAAGCTTTGAGCTGGCCCAAAAAGTCGCCGTCGACATCTCCAGTCTCAGCCTGATTTTGGGTCCGTCTTGCTAACGCTTTGAGTTGGCTCTGCAAATCTGTGAGTGTGGAGTTCTTCCCATTTCTCATTTCTTATTTGTTCATTGTAGTGTTTCATTAGTCCTAAGATAGCTGCTTGCAGTGAACCAACTAGGAAGAATTTTATTTCCGCAAAGGAAATGGAAGGTAAATAGCTAGCTTGGATAAATCAATGGTGGATTGATGGTAAATGGGACTACTACATTCCAAAAGGAAATTCTAGAATAACTGTGAACTGATTCGATTCTTATGAATGAATGCTGCATTCCTCTATTTTTAGTATTGGTCGGACGTTTTGGGCACTGTGGAGCTATCACATTGTGGAAGAATTGCTTCTGACGGCGAGTTTACTTTGTGGCAGCTTGTTTTTATTTATGGTGGAGCCTCAAAATCAGACTTCATGTTTGTTCTCTGGAAAAAGATGTAATAGACCAAGACAGCATTGGATGGACTGGTTTACCTCTGGATATTGTTCACCGATGTCCCAGTGAGTTAAGCCAAGTTGAAGGGCTGAGGTGGGTCTGGAAATTTTGCGGATGTCTGCCAGAGTGCTGCAGATTGCCAGCCACTTTAAGGTGCACCCATTTTCAATTCACTCACCTAAGCCCCTTGACTTCCATTTTGCACGGGTTCATTCTTCTAGCTTATATTACCTCCATCAGTTTTGCCCTTCTTCCCCTTGCTCCGGTCCTCATTCTTTGAACTCGAATGAATGCCGGATATTGGTCGTTGGACTGTCTAAATTGATAAAATACAAGAAAGGATTCGTCTTGAAGGCCTTTTCTCTGAAGTTCTCCCCTTACTTCCTAGTAAAGACTATGAAATTGTTGGAATCCCGTGAAGCCGCATTTGCATTCTTCAAACTCGCGTTTCAAAATGATTCCCAGGATACAGTTGAGTCCTGTTGCATTGCAGCCCACGCCTTGGCTGCAGAGAATTTCAGGTGTCTTGCACAGGACATTGTGTCATTGGTATTTAGGAGAATTGGATCTCAGAGGAGTAGAGACTTGGTGGATTTTATGTGGGCAAAGCACAGTGAATATGAGTCTGATTTCTCAGTTCTTGACACTATCATGCGCAGTTTCTTGAATGCAAATATGGGTTATGAGGTGCTTGACATTTTAGGCAGGATGAGGGAGGCAGGAGTTAGGCCAAGTTCATCTGCTATCACTATTCTGTTGAAGTTTTTGCTAAGAGATGGTGATTTCGCTGGTACCTGGAAGTTGTTCAGGGACATCGTTCGCATAGGGTATCAACCTTGTAATTACAATTTCAACACTATGATTCATGGGTTTTGTCAGAAGGGACATGTTAGAGTTGCAGAGAGTTTGTTGCACATAATGTGGAGATTTAGGTGTGAACCAGATGTCTATTCCTACAACATTATGATCAATGCATGCTGCATGAGAGCCCAGACTTCAGAGGCACTTTGTTGGTTAGATTTCATGATTCAAAGTGGTTGTAAACCAAGTATACCTACATTAAACACTATAATTAACGCATTCTGTAGTAAAGGAAATGTAGATGAAGCTAGAAAGATATTTGATGGGATTGAAGAGTTCGGTCTCTTACCTATTGTCTCAACATACAATACAATGTTGAATGGATATCTGAAGGCAAAGAAAGTCACTCAGGCGAAGATGCTTTATGATGAAATGAAAAATAAGTGCATACCACCAGATGGTGTGACATTCAATACGTTGGTAGCTGGATATTATAGGTATGGGAGAGGAGAGGATGCTGACCGCTTGTTGATAGATCTATCTGTATCAGGGTTGCTTCCACCTGCTTCATTATATGGTATCTCCATTGCAGGGCTATGTTGGGTTGGGCACGTGGACAAAGCAATGCAACTCTTGAAAGATATTCTTGAGAAGGGAGTATGTCTAAGTAGTGTTGCTTTTAATTCTGTTATTGTTGCTTGTAGCCAATTAGGACAAGAAGAGAATGCATATGAAGCTTATAGACTCATGCTCAGTTTTGGTATAGCTCCTTCTTCTCTTACATGCAGTTCGTTACTTATGGGCTTATCCAAGAGGGGTAGAGTGCAAGAAGCAACAGAACTTCTGCATAAAATGATTGAGAGAGGATTTCGTATCAACAGAAAAGCTTTTACGATTATCTTGGATGGGTATTTCAAGAGAGGGGATGTAGATGGGGCTTGCAGTCTATGGGATGAAATGGAAGGGATGGGTATGCATGCTGATGTTGTTGCCTATTCAGCTTTCATTGATGGTCTTTCAAAAGCAGGCTTGATGGAGGAGGCGTATAATGTATTCTTGGAAATGTCGATGAAAGGATGCATCCCCAATAGTTTTACATACAACTCCTTGATCCTTGGGTTTTGCAACTCTGGGAAACTAAGTGATGCTCTACAGTTGGAGAAAGAGATGAGGCAACAAGGCCTTCTTCCTGACACATTTACAATTAATATCATCATTCGCGGATTCTGTAAAGCAGGGAAAATGAAGATGGCGGAGGATGCATTTGCAGACATGTTCCGAACTGGTTTAACCCCTCCTGATATTGTCACATACAACACTTTGATCAGTGGATATTGCAAAGCATTTGAAACGGTTCGTGCAGATGAGCTCGTGAAGAGAATGTATGCTGGGGGGTGGGAACCAGACATCAACACATATAACATCCGAATTCATGGGTTTTGTAATACTCAAAAAATGAATCGAGCTGTGATCCTGCTGAACGAGTTGATTACAATGGGGATTATTCCAGACACGGTAACATACAACACCATGATAAATGGTGTTTGTACAGATGTTCTGGATCGTGCGGTAATCTTGAGTGCCAGACTGCTGAAAATGGGGTTTGCACCAAATGTTATTACCACCAATATATTGTTGTCTCAGTTTTGCAATCAAGGAATGCCCGAGAGGACGTTGATGTGGGTAAAGAAACTGAGTGAGATTCCGTTTGTTCTGGATGAAATTTCTTATAAGATTATGGGGAAAGCTTTCAGTAATATTGAAAATAAAGTTGAACTTGTGAGGGGAACCTATGAAAAGACCCTCTTTCTGGATTTCCTCATGTATATCACATATGATTATTTTTGTAGAACTAGCCGCCAGACTCAGAGGATTACAGTTGAAGATCCTCTTAAACTGACTGAACGTGCTTGTGTTGGATATTGAGCATTGGGATTAGGTTCTAGAGTGGAAGGGCATTGAATTGCGAAGGTGAATGGGAAAGGAGAACGAAGTCTCCAGGTCCTAGACCAGGTGCATAGTTGAAGCGACCAAAACAAATTTACCATGATTCTGGTTGTTTTGCAAAGATTTTTCAATGCAGTTTTGACAATCGATGTGCACAATTGACTGAACCCAAGTTCAGGCATGATCTTTACTTTTCAAGAGATTGAATTCTGCAAGGACAATTCAGTCCGGCTGTATGTCTGAGTCTGACAAGGAGGCATGTAGCACCGCACCGCATCTGACTGTAAGTATTTATCAAGCAACATTGTAAAGGTCACATAGTTCAGTCTCTATATGAATTCCTGACTAATACTATTTTATTTACCCTATTTTATTTACTCTTGTTTGATGTGTGCATATCAACTAGTCTTCAAGGGTGTGCTAGAGATATTGAAATGAAAAAGCGCACCCTGGAGAAGCGATGAGCAAAATCAGATTTGCAGGTGCATGGAAGCCAAGAATGACATTGTGGTGAGTCGTAATTTACATATTCTTTCATTGTGAATCATTGGAAGCTTTAACTGCTTAAAGTAATTCATGTCTTTAGGATAGGCTTCTACATTTTGGATGACTTACAGCAGTACTGTCGTCTAAGCTTTAACTGCTTAAAGTAATTCGTGTCTTTAGGATAAGCTTTAACTGCAATTTTCACCAAATCTGACTGTTTCTTGTTCTCTTCATTGTCCACTGATGGTGCTTGAATACATTCAGGTACCTGATGCCATTTTCTCTTAGGTGGTTATCAAGCTAGAGTGTGTTGTAGATATTATGTAAATTCCTCTAGCATTTTGTAAAGAATGGCTTGCTGCTGAAATCTTAGAAAGGAAATATCTGCTTTATTTCAACATAAAATTAAATTAGCTCATGCTTTTCAGTTCCCTCTTCAAGTGTCAACTTGTTTGATTGATCTGCTTAAATTTGAACCACTTTCATTAGGTCTCCCAATGGAGATTGCTCGGTGGGATAACCAAACTTTTGAAGCAGCAGCATCCACAACCTCCCTCATGTCCGGTTGACGCCCATCCCTCACTTCCACAAAAGCTCCCTCAAGCCAGGTGTGCTCTCGGGTTTATTTCCCACAGATGCATAGATTTACTAGATATTCATGATTTCAGAGTAGGCTCAAATGTATAGGCTTACCATGGCCATAGTATAGGATACTTTGTGTCAGGATCACTTGGTGTTCTTCTCAACCCGACGGCAAATGTAGTTAGTTCCAAATGGAACTGGAAAACGTTTCAGAAATCATTACGAGAAATGATCGGTTGATGTATGAAACATTCGAGGCTTCGGCTTGTACTGTATGCTTACAGCAGTAGATTGTAACATATCTGAAGCGATATGCTTAGTATTATCAGTGTTATCAATCAGGTGACGATCCTCTGACGCAATGAAAAGGAACATCTTTGGGACGATTTCATTTGGTCACAAATAGACCCTCTGGTCACTAAAGCTTTTGACGGTGATTGTTCATCGTGATTGATGATAAATAGAAACTAACTTATCCCACTTATAGCCACCACCATACAAAAGATACTGTTGCTAACAGTATGGCCTCTTTGAGCACACATATGCTAATCATAAATAACTTAACGACAGGGACTCAAAATAACTGTACCTAATCAACAACACTAATTGACCCTTGCTTGATCTTCACGAAATATCGTTACTGAAGATACTTATAGCAACAAAATAGGACGGCCATCATCTAGACTATACGTAACTCTTGTCAGTTCTTCAGTAACCTCATCTTCAAGCTTTTCTTGTTGAACTTCTTCAAAGCTTTGGCATGCTTCTCCCTCACGACCTGCTCAAGCGCCACAATCTCTTGTAACTGGGCCTCCTTAGCCTGCAAGTCTCTCACGATTTCCATACACGTCTGATCATCCCACGAAGCCACAGGAAAGCATATTTCCGGGTCCCTGAAAAGAATCATCATCAAGAGACAGAACTGAGTTCACTATGGTGAAATATTATGAACATGAGGATAGTGCAGCTAAAGCAACCAAATGGCTACCGTTGTCCGAGATAGGCGACTCCGCTTGCTCTCAAAATCCCTCCATCTAGAGACACAGCACCATGTTTCGTGTAGAAGAGATGTGCACGTGCTTTGTGCATCGATTCTCGGGTATCGTATACCTCAAGCTTCCCAAACAGATGGAAGAATAGTGTTTCCCTCAGTCCATAACCCTCCGTTGTCCTTGTTTTAAGGTGGTCGCTGTCTATTTCGACCATGTTGACCGCATAGCCCAAGAAACCAGGTGGTGTCTTCCCATTTGGTAATTCCAGAGGGGGAAGTGCCAGCTTCCTTTGGGGGCAATTTGCTTCAAGATTCCCTTTGTAGGGCCTGCCAGTAAAGCTAGGGTTCTCAATAGTCTGCAACTCACTTTAACTTTAAATTCTTCGCAGGCTAGGAAATAGGGGAAATATAACTTCAATGGATAAGCTGGAAAGATACAGAAGAAAGCTTACAACAAATCTTCAAGAGATATAACTTGAAATCGGCCAATTATAGATCTTCCAAGGGCAGCTGCTTGTGCATGGACACCGAACTCGCAATCAATTTCCCCATTCTCTCTATATTTCTCCAGGGAACCTGCTGCTTCTTTAAAGGATGTACAGACCACAGCAAGCATCTGATCTTCGCCCAGATACTCGCTTAATAACCTGGACACAAACATAATAGAAGAATGAGAATCAAAGACACTCGAAAGAGCTCACAGTTGAACTGGGCTTAAATGAACAAACAAAAGACCTGCTTAGTTTGCTTGTGCTTACTGTCCCGAGCTTCGCAACTAGACCAATTATACCGCTGAAATGTGGGTCTGGTATTCCACTCGTATGATCTCTTGATAAATGATTGACAATTGCGGAAGCTGAACTACTCCTCTCAATTCTTTCCTCGATCTGCTCCTTAGTTGGCAGACAGTCCACGATGCTTAAGGAGTGACTTCTGGCAGAATCTGGGAATCAAACAAACAGTAGACACGTGAGGGGGAAAATGGATGAGTAAAGAAATTTTCTTTCAATCAGCAATCATATTTAGCACCAAACTATATTTAGCAGAACAAAATGAATAACCAAACCTTGGAGCTGAGATAAGTTTAGCTCAATTTCTTCCTTCTCCACCAGTAATTCTTTCAGCGCATTCTCCAAGTCTCCGATCCTCTTGCCATGCTTAAAAATACCATGCATCATCTGTTTATGAATTAGCAACACACGTTACAGCACCATATATTGCCTTCAACCACGACACAATGCAAATATGAATTATTCCAGATTAATAATTCAAGTTCAACTACCAAGTTCCGACTTAAGCGTTACTAATTACCCAAAAAACAAGCTTATTACAGCAATCTCACCTCATCAATTGTACATAGCGGCATTAAATTTTCTGCACTTCCATGAGGGGAGCAGTCCTGAACCAACATACACTTCCCTTTTGAAGATGGAGACGGAGTTTGGATCTTCTGGCATTCAACATCTGGAGCTAGCAATGTCTCCTCACCAATTGCACTTAATGGCGTTATATTTTCTGCACTCATATGAGGTGAGCAGTCCTGGACGACAAGACGCTTTCCATCTGAAGATGGAGATGGAGTTTGGATCTTTGTGCATTCTACTTTTGGAGCCTTCATGACACTGACCACAATGTTGCACTGTAGTTGCGAGCAGAGAGAGTGAAATGCTGTGATGCATAAGCTCCCTTCCACTGGAGGGATTTGAATACTCGGTACAGTGCAGCATCCATGGCTGAATGCATATGGAACAGAATCCTCAACGTTTGATTCAATAGATTTTACTTTTAGGACGAGAGATTGACAGCTCCCAGCGTCATGGATCCTCGTGTCAACCTCACCGCCAGAATCCACGACTCTAAAGGCTAAGTTTTCAAGCTGAGACCCAGCAGTGCAGAACTTCGGCACCTGAAAACATTATTTGAGTCAGCAGCATGTATCATTAGATTGTATTACGTATATATACATAGATAAACCAGTGTTAATATATAGAGAGAGAAAATAAGGTACCTCTGACACGGTTTGTAGCATCCTCTGGTCAATTTGAAACTGTTTCTGGAACAGAACTTTGTCATTGCCATGACGTGAAACATAAATGGAGGCTGCCAGAAAGCAAAGGTAGTTCCTTGAGTAAACAAAGGTTACACATTCATATTATTATTGACATTGTCGGCTGCAAGTCGTTACTAATTCAGGTTTCTCTTTTCCTTTCTTATTTGATTAGAATAACAAGGTGCAACTAGAGACAATGCACAAGGCTGAGAACTTAACTTCAATCAATGAGTATCAAAATTATTTTCCACGTCAATACAACCCATGGATACATGAGCTATAATACTACATGATGTCAGACGGCTATCAACGAGCCAAATATGGAGCCATTGTTCAAATAATCCAGAAAACTTAACAGAAATGAGTAAGGGTTGAGGATGGTAAAAATAATTGATTTGAACATATAGAAACATCCATCATCAAAGTAAATAAAAACTCTGACTGGGTTCTTGAGAGCTAGAACCTACCGGTTTGCCCAAAACCAGCATTTACTTTCAGAACGCCACCAAGGTCAATAAATCCATCATTGTTCACCTGGAACAGAAGGTGGCAAGTCAAGCAAAACTTAATCAGTTATTGAGACATTCTTCAGCATTCAAGAGCCAAAGAAGATACTAAAAAGGACACGGCATGCCAGAAGGAATTTGTTCTGCGAGAGCTCTGCAATGAAATTAAACACCACAAATATATATTCCACATTACAAGGCTGCTTATTAATCATATCAGGGAGCATAAGCGTCTTTAGCTAACATAGGCAGAACAAGGGAACAAGTAAATATATTCTGATGCATCTTCCAAATGATACATTTATTGCACGCATCAGAAGCATATTTTATTTTAACATTATGAAAATAGCAAATCCCTAAACGCAAGTCAGAAGCATCCATTCTCAAACCTAATTCCAGATCCTTACCTTGCGATTTGAACCTTCTGTATCAATAATCTCAAGTCCGTCAACACTCAGCTTAACTTCTGACCCCTTCGGCACATGATTACGATATTCATCAAACATCTGGAGGGAAAATACGAGGCATTAATGTCAGCAAATTCAAACTAAGTAGTTTCATCTTTAACATGGACACTTAATGGACACTCAATCTTGCATACTTTCCATGCCAAGATTTATTATCAGTTCAGCGAGGAAGCATATAAAAAAATGAAGACAAAATAACTGATACCTCCAATGACAAGTTCTTCAGTATAGAACCGGGTAGCAAGCCTTCTTTATCAGAAATATGATGTGCCTTAATAAGCTTAAGAGGTCCTGGGGAAACAGCCACCTTTTTATCACAACTCTTGCAACTGGAGTCAGTCTGAGCACGCCAAATTTGGTACAACCATAAGCAAACCTTTTTATCACAACTCTTGCAACTGGAGTCAGTCTGAGCACGCCAAATTTGGTACAACCATAAGCAAAGCTTAGTTAATGCAGGTAAAAATAAGAAGTGCAATGGAAAAACAAAAACATGAGGCTCTATAAAGAACTTACTAGGGAGAATGAAAAGGTGTACATGCCAGCTCTTTGAAATAAATCTTGACACTTGTCTGTCAGTTGAAAGATATATAAACCGCTTAATCCTTTACGAGATGTTGGAGACACACGAGACGAGTATATATGTTGAGTTCCTCGTTCCTTCCTATTGCTGCTGAACTTAACGACCATAATCATTTGAGCAGAAGTTTGGACTATAAACTTCTGGTCCAAAGTTCCAGAAGTTTGGGCTGACTCAAAATTTGCTGGCCGAGCAACTGCCACGAGTTCCCTTGGAGGAGCTTTTCCAGCACGGACAGTACCATTAGCAGGCAATTCCTGAAACAGCCATAAAAGAACAAATGAAACTGAATACAAGGAATAGTTGGAGCTGAAGATGCTGAACTCGGGTAAAAGTTAAAGCAGAAAAAACAAGCAGGGGGGCGGAATGCCAGACAAAGAACTTCTCCCCAGGAGTTTTTTTAGTAAAATGAATAGCAAGTGCTGACCTCGTGTATGTCCAACAGTTTACAATGCTCTAGATATAGCAAATTAATAGTTGATGGAGCTTTCAGGCGTTGCTTCTGAAGTTGGTTGGCCCACTCCACAGCTTCAACAGCTAGACACTGAAGTTAAGGGAATGAGATACAACAAAACAATCGATTAAAGCAAATGGAAGACTTGGAGAGAGTCCCATCATATTTGCAACGTAGAGTTTTTGAGAAGAGGGCAATCAGACCTTTCCAGAGTCAATAACACTAATAGGTACCGAATGAGAATCACGAATTTCTAGAGTAGAGTTTTCATTTTCCATGGTAACGCGAGCACCCTTCTCTTCTGCAATGTGCAGTGGCCTTTTGAATCCAATGTAACATAATCAGTCAGTTGCACATACCACAAAATAATCATTGAACTAAAGAAAAGAAGATGAACATGCACCGCATACCTGCATATAAATCGAGCGTCTCCTGTAGAGTGTAGAAATAAGGTGAATGGTCAGGTTTATTTAGAAGCTGTCCAGCATAAGATGAGAGAACAAAAATAAAATGTCTCTCACCACCAGCATCCCCATGCAATCCTTCAATCACAAAGTATTCAATTGTTGCATATACGTTGCTTTTATGGAATCCAACAGCTGCTCCCTTCAAGATTTTGATCTGCTGGCCTCTCCTCCACAATGCTCCTTTTCTGTGCAAAACTTCGTGCACCCTGAAGACTAAAGGATAACATGAAATATTCAGATGACAAATATATCCAGTGTGACGGAACTAGAGAGACGAGATCAGAAACTCAGAACCGAAAGAACATTCAGTACCAGATAGAAATAAAACCAATTACACACTCAACAAACGTGCACACAAAATTGTTGATAAATCTAGAGTCCAAAGGAATAGTTACCATCGGATGAGATGCAAAGTTGATTTTTATTTGTTGGGGAGACGATCATGATTGGTTCATCTTCACCAGATCCAATCTCTTTATCATAAAGTTCGTGCATCTTAAAAATCCATTCTTCATACTGCCTCTCCAGTTGTGAAACAGTGCATTTTTTAGAATCTCGAAAGATTTCAATGTTGATATCTGCATATGGATTTTGTGGTGAATTTCCATGTTGGGAGTGGATGATAAAGGGATAGAAGAAATGAAAGGAGTAAGACCTTGCTTGTCCGAAGTCCTGCCCCCGAAGCATTTCAAAGCAGTTGTAAATCTGTTGTGATGCGCTAGATCAGTCTGCATTATACCAAGTTGAATGCTTCATCAAAGTTTACCCATCCAGAAAAAGTGAAGAGACTGAAAAATGAACAAATAGTTCAATTGACAAAACAAGAGCTGCTTTCTCGTGCACAGTCACTGATTTTTAAGTACTTTCCTTGCTTTCTCGTGCTAGATAAGTACAACACCTACATGCAGCTTCTTCCGACGGTTTTCCCAAGTAAAACTTTTAAGATGATAGAAGACGAATCTTACATAAGGTTTTCATGTGAGGAGCTCAATGGTTATGAATTGGTAAGTCATGACTAACAGTACTAGGAAATTTTTGGCAAGAATTGGCTTGTATCGACAAACAAAGTTAAACTAGAACCTAACAAGTAGCGGGAAGAAGGATGAATTACGTCCACAGTACGTGTATGCCAGCAACACACGGGAAATAGAAGATAATTTACTGTACACTGATGGGACAGCTGAATAACTCATAAGTACCTACTCATATCTTACCTTTGAAGGTGTTGGACTGAAACCAGCATCAGTTTCTTCAACCACAAAAGTGTGAAACCATCAGGAATGGGAGAATGTTTAAGGGTGTAAAAATAAAATGATAACCACAGTGAAAGAAGTATACCAACGAAACATTTAATTCTTGAGCAACATTTCTTCAGCAAATCTGCTCTTGCTCCCCTTTTCAGCCGAAAATCCATAAATGGAAGAGCACCCTGTGATGAAGCAAAAATAACATGATTTAGGAGAAACTACGAGAAGGAAGACTTTTAGGTTATGTTCATGGCCTGGCCTCCACTTTAGATTGATGATAACTACAGTGAAATATGTGGTAATGAATATCATTGATACATGCAACAAGAAACAACTAACCCAGCGAGCATCGGGAAGTAGACGACCCAGGCGACGAATAGATACACGACTGAACGTTTCGAAATTTTCATTAACTCCACACCCTTCCTGATCCAGGGTCTCCAAGATCCTATTAATAGTCTCTTTACCCTGTACGAAGAAGTTTAAATCTTTAATTACTTGCCAAAGCCAAAAAGACAACAACAGGCTTCTGTGTATTTCATCGTACCTCCAATATAGGAAAATAAACACACTTCAAGCGTGCATTAGCTTCTTGATGAGGCGAACCTGAACCATTTAAGTTTCTCGGTAACTAACCTAGGCTGGCACTGGTAACAAGCACAAAACAATAGACGCTACCTGCAGTACCTATGGGGCTATGATCCTGCCCAGAAGAAAACTTAAGCTGGAAGACAAAATTAGGCCCATTGCAAGAATTGAAGTTGGTAACTGCCACCTCCCCACCGGTTATCTCAGCTAAGTCAATACCATCAACCTGCGAAGCAAAGAATTCATTCTAAGAATCACAAACTTGTAGGATGATAATTCCTCGGTAACTCAAATGAGAACGAAAAACTTAGCTTAGAACTTCAACAAACATGAAATTTGAGGAACATGCCAGGAGTATAAAAGGATATGAAAGTTGTGAAAACCACAGAAGAGTGCAATCCAGAACTTTCTTTCTTAATATAAAACTGTGATTCCAAAACATAACTTGCGATTCAAGCTACAATGTCGCTCAATATTAGGAAACAACCACAAGAATTCAGAAAAGAGGTTTCGGATCAAACCAGAAATTCAATTGGTCTTGTCGTCTTCCCAGACATTTCATCACACTGTATTGCAGATTGAACACTAAATTAGAAGGGTTTAAGAAGATGACATATATTCCATAAACAATAGACAACAGAAATATCATTTGTGAGAGTTGTATCTACAGCTTATGTTTTAGCATCTAAAATTTGAGATGAAGCAAACATAGCTAATGTTTATATAGGAGATACCTGGACATAAGGGAAATAAATGTCCTTCAGTTTGCACTGGAGTTGAAATACATCCAAGCTTTTAAGTTTAAGCTCAAAAATCTCGACCTGATAAACATTGAAAATGACATTCATCAGAACAATTGCACATTTGGATTTTACAAAATTACACCATTTATTAAGCTTCAGTGATTAGCTACACTAACACAATAGGAAGAACAACATGCACTCTCAATTGACTCGGAACGAAAAGCAAGTAAAAGCAAAAACGATTTCAATTCTAAGAAAAGGACCCTTTCACTGCAAAGATAAAACCAGAAACTAAAAAATGGATGCAAGCATTCACCTTTGTGAAGCTTCCATGAGGCGATTCTTTATCTTCCTCCTCTAAGGGATCCCTCAAGCCGCCAGGAGTCTAATAATGGATCACCATCAATTAGGATAAAACTATTTATAGAAACTATGGAAAGGACATGCAGCAAGGAAAAGGAATAGCTGAAGCAGTGCTAACGTACACATACTTTTTCCCCAAAGTGTGAAAGGAAAGATAGGGTATGAAAGTAATTTACCTTCCAAGACTGTTCGGAATTAGATTTCTTAAGCAAAGCTTCTCTCTCTAAATGCAATGTGTAAACTTTACTTGATGTTTTGGTCTTGGAGGATACCAAAGCTCGCCTGTGATGCCATATAAGTTATGAGAGAAGCTTAACTTTATTAACGCAATTATGGAAACCGAAAGAGGGCGAAGTCCAACCTTCCCATATGCATGGACGCAATGGGCCCTCCAAATCCAAACATGCCAAAAAAGGGCTGTGTAGTCAACAGAGTTTGTATAAGATATATTAAACCGATAAGATGATCAAATCAAAGCAGAATATAATATAAAGTTTCCAGAAGCCATCTCTTTAGGTAAGGAGCTAAACGTAGCTTAGGAAATACGAATTCATTGTAGCATTATCAGAAACAATTTGCTGATAGTCCGGTGGAGCCTTCATGACATTGTTAGAAACAAAAAATCTTTTCAGCTTTAGACAATACCATCAAGTATGGCGGTTCGCCCCCTATTGCCTGTGCCTTGGACGACCTATGGAGGGACGCCCCCATCTTCCCCCTACATGAAGATTGGAATACAAGTTGAGGGATTATAAATAAAGAATGGTGAAAAGAACATATGAGTGAAAAATATGTCATATCTAGTTTCCAAACAAAAAGATAGCTGGAGCAAGGATAGGAAACAATAACCATACTAATAGTGCATGAGGAATTTTGCAACAGTTTCCAGATTCTCTAACCATACAAGAATTCTTGAGCCTTTGTTCCGACCAATTCTTTATAGGGTGAGCTCACATCAGTGTATTTATCCTCCCAATGATCAAATCATGTCTACTACTTCACAAGAGTATTACTACTCAGGCCCAACGTTCTGTATCATCGATACAGGAATACTCCATTGTACAAAAGAGCAGCAGAAGCAATCAGAAAAGAAAGCTGAAAACACGTACCATTTTGAAATAGAATTTTCCTCACTACTGTCCATTCCAGGACCAGTATCAAAGATAGAAACCCTATCTTCCTTTACATCCACTCTGCAGAACACATGGAAAACCATAGTTTAGATGTGACAAGACTGAGCAAAATTCTATCAAATGTATAATAACAGGTCCAAATTGCACTGAAACAATTACCGAATCAATCTCCGGTCATTTTTACCGTTGGTCCAAACCGCTTGTAAAGAATTATCCTGAAAAATCAGCAACAGGATATCAATTAGCAGGGATGAATTTAATTAGAAGCACATGCAGAAGCAACACTGAATTCAAAACTGTGTCAGTTACTTACAATCAAATCCGCAAGAGCAGACTCAAAAGAATATGCCTCTGGTAACTCCTTCAGCAAGTCTGTGTCCGGCGTGAGATCCCACATATTCTGACCGATTGGTGGAGGAACACGTCCACAAAAGATAGCAAATCGTGTTGATCAGACAAATAGGTTCCCCAAACACGGAAGAAACGCGGGATTTAAAAAGCACCAACATTTTCAAGCATGCCTACTGACCTCAAAAGTCCGACTGATCCTCAGGCCTCCATCCTAATCACACAAAAGAAGAAAAAAAATCCCGAAATGAATACAATGTACCAGGAGGAATGACTAGTATATACAACACCAGGAGGAAAAGAAACAACTGATGTTCATATCAAAAGCCAAAGAACAGCCACACTATTGTGACTGGAACGCAACTACAGGAGAAAAGTAACACTCACGTGAAGACGTAGAACATGGCACTTGTAGGGCTTGTAATTCTCAAACATGATCTTCTGTCTTACTTTACGATCATGGGCATCCACTAGATACAAAGATTCAGAGGTCCAAATCACACCCCGTTGAGGTGTAACCCCTGATTGCCTCCTCACAATGGCATACTCCTCCCTCACCTTCTGAATGAAAGTCTGGAGTGACATCTCAAGTTCAGGGTTACTCAATCTTAGTCCGACCGTCACCCCATTTGGGAGTAAGATCTTGAATTTGTACACCCGGTCTAAGTTGACCCCACCACCGTTCTTCCCGTCCAGGTCCAGCTTCCTCTTAACAGTCTTCTTCAGCATCCTCCCTCCCTTGCAAACAAACTGAAAGGGAGAAAACAGAAACAGGCTTCAAACTTTGCGGTCTCAAGCTTTCTTTCCCACTAGTCTTTCTGAAATCAGAAGAAAAAAAAACCTCTTATCTAGTCCCGCTTACTTCTTTGCCACGCTACTTCGCGAAGAAGAACTATAGAAGAAATCAGGAAGACTAAACGAAATCACAAATTGTAATAACCTAATTCCCCGGACGAAGTACACTAACTCACAACAACAACAAAAACGAAGCAGAGAGGCAAAGCAAAACTCGAATCTTGCTTCTGCTGTGAGAGCTGGAACCAGCTGAGCAGAAGTGAGAAGCGAAGAACTAAAAATAAAGATGTTTCGGACGCCGCCATGAAAACTCGAAGAGAGCACGATCAACAGAGTACACTGAGCAGTGATCACAATAAAGCAAGTTCTCCGAGAAATGTACCTACGGAAGGTGAAGAGCCGGCGAGCGGCGGGATGGATCACCGGCGACGCTTGCTTTTCCGACGGTGTGTGGAAGGAGAAGGAAATGCCTAGGGTTTCAGAGGAAAAGGTGAGAAGATGATCAAAAGAGGGGGGAAGTTGGAGAGGCAGAGAGGGGAAGAGGGAAGGGAAACTGACAAATTGTTGTCTCACTGAAGAAGGAAAGTAAGCAGAAAACAGAAAGGGAACCGTTGTGCGCGGCAGAGGGAGTGCGCACTGTACCCCGCGGGAGAGGGTTTTGCTATCCTGCGCTCGAATCGCCAGTTGTGGGCCCCAGAATCTGGATGTAGGGTCAGGATGGATGGGAAGCACAACCGATCGGCTGCTTTGGACGGCTGGGATTCAATGCATTGCGGAGCAAGCTAACAGTTGTGTCCTCCTCTTCCCTTCCGCCACGTGGGTTCGCCACTCTGGAAGTGTGGGGTCCAGATAGGACAAGCTTTATCCATTTCTTTTATTTTTATTTTTATTTTTGTTCACGGCGCATTTCTCCATTGGGTACTTTTTTCAACGGGCTCTAAGGCCCAAGTGATTTTGGGTGGGACTACAAGTAGGCAACATATCTATGTGTGGGATGTTGAATGGGCTCGTTTTTTCGTTAATCGAAAGCCCGATCGTTTGGATCTAGTGATGGCAATGGGTCGGGACGGGTACCTCAAGGCGATCCACTCTTATATTCTATTTGATAAAAATACATATAAAATTTTGCTTTTTATGATAAAATGAAAGCGAAAAGACTTTATGAATGAATAATAATGATGATATAATGGGTAATTAATTCTATTTAATTGAAAGATCAAATCTAACCAGTCGAAGAGAAACCAAAATAGGAGATATATGAAAGGATGGGGTAAGAAATCGACCTAGAACGGACCGTCGATCCATGCCTTGTAAAGCAAAGTTTGCAATTACAAACCTAACAATATATCGACCCTCCCGCTTCCTCGTTTTACTAGTACTCGAATTCAACAACCGATTAATCTAGATCTTGTAATGAGTCATCACTTCTAATCCAAGCAATTACATGCCGTCGTTAGCCCAACTAATCGGGCTCTAGCCTAGCCTTAAACTTGACTTAATTACCTGCCACTACGTACCTTAAATTTTTAATTCTTTTTTTAAGGCACCTATGCCAATTTCAACCGAATATGAGGCCGTCGATAATGGATTAAATACCTCCGTACATAAGTCAAGAAACAATATTCAAATCACTCGCAAACATAAAATTACATCTCACAATAAAAAAAAGATATTACGCGAGGACCTTATCGGTCGATGCACTACGGAGATGGTGGGTGGGTTGGTGATCGCGGTCAATATTAGTTTAAATTCCAACTAATGAAGCTTCGGTTTTTCGATTTGGCATATGATGTAGAACCTCTTATACTTATAAAAAAAAAATACTTTTACCGTTGACAAATTCAGTGACTAACTTGTCAGTAATCACAAGTTCACTGACCATCTCTGTTCACTAAAACACAAAGGTGAAAGAAAAATAAAAACCAAAATCGGGATATAGGAGATCGGGAGGGACAGATGTCGAAAGCCAATTGGGTAAGACCGGCGCGTGAGAGAGAAGAGAGGGAGGGGAAAATTAAAGGCGCGTAGGTTTGCAAAATGGGCGACCGACCGTGATTCTGATAAATACGGTAACGGCGATCCCGCCGCTTGACAGTTACTCCCCACTCTCCTCCTTCCTTTCTACTTCTTCTAGTCTTCTACTACTCTCTCGAGTCGCCTCTGAAGCTAGCCCGGAGAAACAGAGCATTGTCTCCGGCTAGATTCTCACCACGGAGAGGGAGAAGAAAAAAAAAACGAAATCAGAATTCCAAAAACATGAGGTGAGCAGTTACGCATAGGAATACGAAACAGAGTAAGAGGCAAAGAAGAAGAAGAAGAAGAAGAAGAAGAAGAAGGAAATGCGAGGGCAGAGTCAGTTCACTCGCGCCGAATCCACTTCTGGGTCTTAACTCTTAAGGATCTCCCTCTTTCAAGGTATCCCTAGCTCAATCCCTTGGTGTTCACCGCCGACTATGAAGCTCCTTCCCACTTTAACTACTTCTTTATCGAATTGGGTTTTTTGCTTTGGTTTTCAGATTCCCATTTAGACATGTTTTGATTTAAGGTTGATCTGAACGCCGGGCGGCGGAGAATGGGTAAGAAAAGCGTCGGTGGCGGTGGTGGTGGTGGATGGTTCTCTTCCGTCAAGAAAGTCTTCAAATCTTCATCCAATAAGGATTCGCCCCAGAAAAAGGTAACCGCCATCTTTCCCACCATTAGTTCCAAATTGTGGAAGAGGGTACTCAATCATTCATTAGCGCTCTCCATCAATCCCAAAAAATTTGGACGCGACAATGCACCCATAACAGAGCCTTCCGCCATAAATGAACTCATGGGTCTTATGTGTGTGTGTGTTTGGACTCTCCTTTGTTGGTTCTCTTGTCCCTTTCTTTCTGGGTTTGTTTAATCACATCCCAATAACAATAAGCAAGAAGCAAGGTAAAAGATGGCATTTTTAGGCCTATTTTACTTGTGAAGCTACATAGCTCTGTTTCCAATATGCAGTTGGTTGTACTGATGGTCCCTTTTGTGTCAATCAGACCATCACCACTAGGCCACCACCATTAAAAAGTTGTTCCTCTTAGGACCCCTCACTCCCTTTTGTCTTGAGTCTTGACACATTCTTGTCACGCCACTCCTTTGCTGAATTCCTAACATCCATGTGCGCTCCGCTTATAGAATAGACTGCAAGCAAAGTAGCTTGCTTACTCTCCAAACTGTTATAAACGCGCTGCTACGAATCGGGAAATCGCCGGAATTGATAAAGCAAGAATCGAAAAAATACAGACATACGATTTACGTGGTTCACACCCTCCACCGGGACGTTGCCCCTGAACCCCACTCGCTGACCGGACAGTGAGACCCCCGACTACCAGTCGTAGCGGCTGATAATCCGATTCAAGTCAACTTTCCCACATCCCCTGTTTCATCACCATCAACCCATCCCCACAAACCCCACCCTTTAACGAATCTCCGGCGAAGTTCGGATTTTGAGTGAGAATTTAGAATCAACGTGTCATTCTATAGGTTTCTCGTGTTTGCTCAACATATATCCACACATACCGTATAACAGCGGTGACCAAATATTAAGCTGGTTGTAAATTGTAACCCCTTTTGAATTACGCGTAGCGGTTAATTTTGTCAAATTCTTTGTTTTTGCAGAAGGAGAACAGTAGCGGTGGTGAGAAATGGGAGCAGCACGAGGCGCCAGAGGTAGTCTCGTTCGAGCATTTCCCCGCGGCAGAGAGCTCCCCTGATCATGTGACGTACGACGATACCACCACCGGCGGCACGACGACCCCTGTCTCCGGAGACAGGAACCACGCCATTGCAGTCGCTGCGGCCACAGCTGCTGCGGCGGAAGCCGCCGTTGCAGCTGCGCAGGCCGCAGCCAAAGTCGTCCGGCTCGCCGGGTACGGCCGTCAGTCCAGAGAAGATCGAGCCGCTACCCTCATTCAATCCCACTACAGAGGCTATCTTGTAAACTTTCTCCTTCTCCTGACCAAATTTAATTAAGATTGATATGTCGTCCCTTTCTATGTTTACTTTCATCATTGTGCCGTGTCATTCAGGGCATCCTAACTACGATGCCTTCTGAACCAAGCAATGCGTGACTATAGCTTTTAATTAGGTCTAGTGGTGTGTGGTTTTGTGTCCTTGTTCATTTAAGTTTGCCACCTCCTTTGCTTTCTGGTTCGATGTTGATTGTCCAAGAGACCTCCATTGTTACAGAGACGGCAAGTGACACTATTTTTTTTTTTTTTTTTTTGGTGCAGGCTAGGCGTGCGTTGCGGGCATTGAAGGGTTTGGTGCGGCTGCAAGCCCTTGTGAGAGGGCACAACGTGAGGAAGCAGGCGCAGATGACGATGAGGTGCATGCAAGCGCTGGTGCGAGTTCAGGCGAGGGTTCGAGCTCGGCGTCTGCAACTGACTCGCGAGAAGCTGCACTCGCAGGATGAGGACGAGGAGGAGGATGATGATGCTGGGCAAGGAATGTCGTCGTTTCAAGATCACTTGATGAATTCGAGGAGTTCGTTGAAGAAGAGCTACGTGGTGGAGAGCTGGGATAACCGGCGGCACAGGACCTCTGATAAGACGAAGGAGAATGCTGCGAGGAAACACGAAGCTGTCGTTCGGAGGGAGAGGGCCCTTGCTTATGCATATTCCTATCAGGTAAAACCTCACTTCATTTTGGTAGTCATGATATGACGATGGTTTCCCACTTGAAAATGACGTTAATCAAACTGAGTGCAGCAGCAGCAACCGCAGCCCGGCCCAAACGGAATGGATCTTGGCCTGTACAACGAAGAGCAAGCAAAAGCCCAGTGGGGATGGAACTGGCTAGAGCGCTGGATGTCTTCCCAACCATACCACGCCGGTCGATTCGGCCCAACCGACAACTCCTACATGACGTTGACCACCACGACCGACGACCTATCAGAGAAGACGGTGGAGATGGACGTCGCCACGCCGACCACGGCCGCCGGCAGCGGGATCGGCAACATAAGCATAGGCGTCATGGACTCAGCAGGCGGCAGCCACGTGTACTCGGCCCGGCCCAGTAGACAGCAGGCCCCGCCCACGTCCAACCACGTGCCCAGCTACATGGCTCCGACCCAGTCCGCTAAGGCCAAGGCCCGTGCGAATATGGGCCCGGTGAAGCAGGTGAGCCCATACACCCCGCAGTGGAACTCGTCGACGAAGAGAGGGTACGTTGTTGGGTCGTCGTCGGTTTGCGACTCTTCTAGCTCCGGCGTTGGCACGGCGGTCTACCGTGTGGCCAAGAGCCCGATCCCGAGCCCGAAGACGAACGCGTTGCGGTTCCACTCGAGGCGGCTGCCGGCTGGGTATAGCTCGGATTCGAGCGCCGGCACCGACGAGTGGAGGCTGCCGGTGGGGGATAGATGGCCACGGTTGGAGGCATGATTTTGGGTGATGAATGAAGATAACATATGCATACATACAAATATGAAATATGTGTGTATTGGGTTTGATTTAATTTAAATGTTGTTTTTATTAACGTTTATTTTGGCTTAGTGATATCATAAAGCCACCAGAAGGCCAATGTGACGAAACATTGCGATAGTTTTGTTGAGATTGTCGTTATGCATCGTTTTTGTTTTTTTATTTTTTTAGCATAAACAATACATGGATTGTTTCTGTGATGTGACAGAAACTATCACTCATTTTGAGTGATTGTTATATCTCCACTTTTAGTTGTGATTATTGAAATAGTTGAGTTGAGATTGTTTTGTCCCGGCTTTTAGCTGATGCGACATACACAATCACACATACCAAACGTTGTATTCTACAATGCATCAAATTCGACAATACACGTATAATATTATACATGCATTCTCAACAATACATCTATTTAACAATAGCAACTTCCAAACGACCCCTTGGTGTTTTAATTTTTTTTTATTTAATTGTAATGGTTACTATAATGTGTATTATGGGGGAAAAAAGGAAAGCGGGCTTGTAATTAAATCATTGATGCATAAAATTTTAAGTCGTTCATCAAGAGTACAAATGAGTTAGATAAGTCAAAAGAGTCACAAATCATTATTGTATATCAGATATTGTACAAAAAAAAAATGTTTAGTATCGTTTTGTAGTTTTTTGTTTTCTGCTTTTATAAGTGAAAACCGAAAAACATGTATAATTTTGGTCTCGTTGTGGCAAAATTACATGAATTAGTTGAAATTAGTGAAACCACTGACTTCACTAAAAAAACAAGGACTATGAAACAGTACCAGAGGTTATACAGGAAAAGATAAATAGTAGAATATTTTGTATTAAAATTTAGTTCAACAGTAGTTCAATCATTTTCTACGAGTCCAAAACCACTTACCAATATAGATTTGGTATCCAACATTTTCGGTCCGACCAGATTGTACCATAGGTTTCTTAAACCTTGCTCAAAAGGATAGTTTGAGTGTATCCCACACAATGAACTTTGTCCTCCATGACCAAAAAATAAAAGACAAGGATGTGTAATTCTCTACTCTAGTGTAGTTTTTTGATTTTGGCATGGTCCATTAAATCGTACCGTACCAGCGGTTCAACCACAAAATATCAGTATCGGAGGCTAAACCGATAGGCAGTATTTAACGGTATTAATAGTTAAACTACTATTCAACCACGATTTTGCCGTAAAATACCCTACCGATACAGTCTCCGATACGGTTTTATGAACCATGCTTTTGGGTGTTGCCGACATGGCTCGTACTAGCCAGCAAAATATCAGGAGATTTTTGCTGTGGTCGACCGTCTACGCATCATCTCTGGTACAACGAAAATAAGAGGTCCAAACCCTACCAAGAAGAAAATCGACGGCTTAAAATGGCTGTTAGGCTTTCGCGGTTTTTCTGCCAACTTCCCCTCCTTTTCTTCCTCTCGTCTGGTTCCCATTTCCGAGAAAACAAACAGATTGAGGAAAACCCTCTCTTATTCCATTATTAGTAGCAGTCATTATTCCTTCCTTCCTCTTTTCTTCCATTTTTCTTTTCCTTTCTCCCATCCCATCACTTCCACTTTTCCTGATTTACCATTCATTCATTGATCCCTTCTCCCCCAACTTACTTCACTGAAACTTTCTTTCCCCTGTTTTCCATTTCTCTCCGATGAAGGCCCTGTCAGCCAGATACTGGGTTCAATCCTTTCCCAACCGCGAACCCGCCAAGATCAAAGGCAAGCCGATCAGCCAACTGGGCTTTGCTCACTTCTCCGGTGGCAGAAGCCGCGGCGGCAATGTCGGCTTCCCGCAGCTGGTTGCCGTTGCTTCTGGCAAGGGCTCTTCTTCGCCAACATCGAGTATGCCTGATAACGACACCGAAATTGGGAAGAAGCAGAACATGCACGGAGAAGAAGAAAACAAGGGTTTCGTGCTTGACCCCGAGACTGATGATTCTGGTTCCGTTGTTGGCTTCAATTTGACCTCTTCCCACCCTCTCACTGGTAACACACTCTCCGAATGAATTTTCATTTGGCTGTACTACACCACAATTGCAATGATTCTAAATGCGAATTGATTATTTATCCTGCTCAGGTGATGCCAGTGAGGTGGCAACTGAAGCTCCTGCAGAGGTAATTTCTGGGAAGGTGGAGGAGACCGATGGCGACATTGAAGGGGCAGACGAAGCTCCGACCAAAGTGACACACAGTATTGTCTTTGTCACCTCTGAAGCGGCGCCGTATTCGAAGACGGGCGGGCTTGGAGATGTTTGTGGTTCATTGCCGATTGCACTAGCTGCCAGAGGACATCGAGTGATGGTTGTCTCTCCAAGGTATTTACATAGCCCTGAAGACGATACATTTGCCGCTGCTCTAGATGCTGACTGTAGGATTAAGATTGCTTGCTTTGGAGGGGAGCAAGAAGTGGCCTTTTTCCATGAGTACAGAGACCTAGTTGATTGGGTGAATTTCTTTCTGTCTCTCCTTGATTCTACAGTCTAAACTCGTCGAATGTTTGTGAATATGTAGTAATTTAGTTCCGGTGGACATGTTTTGTTTAGGTATTTGTAGACCATCCTTCTTACCATAGGCCGGGGAATCCTTATGGAGACGTCAATGGTGCTTTTGGTGATAACCAGGTGCTGTTGTGATTACCACTAGTGCTGTCTGTTTAGAATGCTACCTAGTTTTGGATCCCGATTGAATTCGCGATTTTCAATAGCTTTCTTGTTGGTTATATGCAGTTTCGGTTCGCTTTACTCTGCTACGCAGCATGTGAAGCACCACTGGTGCTCCCACTTGGAGGTTTCAACTATGGCCAGAAATGCCTATTCATGGTCAATGACTGGCATGCTGGCTTGGTTCCTGTGTAAGTGCTTGTTCCTTATTCGCCAAGCTAGATATGTATGATACTTGCTTGAGATTATTGTTTCGCTTAGAATATCAACTCGCACCATTAATTTGAATGAAGAATGTCTTCTTCATAGCAGAAGGGTTTCTGCGGTGCTAGTCAATTCCTGTGGATGTGATTGTGGCTCCTCCTTTGGTGCAGACTTTTGGCTGCTAAGTACCGTCCATATGGTGTTTATAAGGATGCTCGATGTATTCTTGTGATACACAATCTTGCTCATCAGGTAGGCTTACTTCAGCTGTATTTTGGTGGTTAAATTTCTGCAGCAAGTTTGTTTCAGGAGCTGTACTTTTTTGTGTATGCAAAAGGCCTATGTGGTGACCAATAGCTTCATAACCAAGTTTTTTTCTTTCTTCTTCTGCGTCGAAGGGAGTAGAGCCAGCAGCAACTTATGGTAATCTAGGATTATCTCCAGACTGGTATGGGGCATTGGGATGGGTTTTCCCTGAATGGGCAAGGACCCATGCTCTTGACACAGGTGAAGCGATCAATGTGCTAAAGGGTGCTATTGTGACATCGGACCGGATATTGACTGTTAGCAAGGTGAAATAATTTATAAATTATATACCTACTTTTGCTGTCGATTTCCTGGAATATCAAGCTCACATATGTTGTGGTAATATGATCACCTCTCAGGGGTATGCATGGGAAATTACGACCGTTGAAGGTGGATACGGTCTTAATGAGTTGTTAAGCAGTCGAAGGATTGTTTTGAATGGTGCGCAATCAAACTTTATAATCATCTGATACATTTGATTTCTTTCGGCCTCCAACTTTAAGCGTTTGATTCCACACTTGCAATCTATTTCTTAGGGATCACGAATGGCATTGATGTTAACGAGTGGAATCCATCGAGCGATAAACATTTAGAAGCCCATTATTCTGCTGATGATCTTTCTGGAAAGGTGGTATCTTCCCACTTTATCTGTTAAGTAGTTGTCATGAAAATTTGCCCTCTTACCAGTATTTCTTTCCAATTTTCAGGTTCAAAATAAGATTGCTTTGCAGAAGGAATTAGGTCTTCCTGTGAGACCTGAATGTCCCCTGGTAAAGTATCGATAAAGTTTGTGCCTTTTTTGTTGGAAATTGAAGTTTTCTCTTCTGTTGCTTGTTGAAATTTTTCACTTGCATTGTAGATTGGATTCATAGGGAGATTAGACTACCAAAAGGGTGTTGACCTTATTTGTTGGGGAATTCCTGAACTTCTGAATGATGATGTTCAATTCGTAAGTGAGTTCATACCTTGAGTTTATTCTACACTATGAGTACTAGGTGAGGTCATATGACTGTTGACCGAGTATTGAAAAAAATTTCTCCATTATGCATCAGGTTATGCTTGGGTCTGGAGATAAAATGTACGAAGGCTGGATGAGAGAAGCAGAGGCAGCTCATAAAGACAAATTCCGGGGTTGGGTTGGATTCAATGTTCCAATTTCCCACAGAATAACTGCAGGGTAATAATCGAAGCTTATCTCCGCGTTTCATAGACAAATTTGGTGCTAGAAATGCTAGTGAGACTAATCATGGAGCTTTTGTGGAATTGTTACAGCTGCGACATACTGCTGATGCCCTCGAGATTCGAACCCTGCGGACTAAATCAGTTGTATGCAATGAGATATGGAACTATCCCAGTTGTTCATGGCACAGGAGGACTTCGAGTGAGTCATTTTCATATATTAAAAAAAAAAAAGAACAGAAATGGTGTCTCTATGACTATTGTATGTTGTACTAAATAATGTGTTCATTGTCGTCTCAGGACACTGTGCAGACGTTCGATCCATATGCTGACGACGGTAAAGGTGATGGCACAGGGTACGTGTTTTCCTTTTAGGCCTTGTTTCCTGGCTGATCTTTCAGCTTCTAATGTTGTTCCACGGTTGTACTGACTAGTCCAATGTATTGGCAGGTGGACATTTTCTCCGTTATCAGTAGACAGCATGTTATGGGTAAGTTGGTGTTTCTTACGATTCACGAAAACTGCTTCGATAGCAAGCTCCTTCTCCTACAGCTACAGCCCTCCTGAACCTGGTTGGTTCCACTCTTAACCATTATCTATGAATGGGAATTGGTGTTGTTGCAGGCATTGAGAACTGCGATATCGACATACAGAGATCACAAAGAGTCGTGGGAAGGGATGATGAAGAGAGGCATGGAGAAGGACTACTCTTGGGATAACGCTGCTGTCCAATACGAGCAGGTCTTCGAGTGGGCTTTCATCGATCCCCCTTACTGTTAGAAAACCACAGGACTACTACTACTACTACCACCACCACCACCAAAACAGCTACTACATCAACCTAGCTTTCATCAGACAAAAGAACCTCACAAGATCCTCTTTTGCTGGCCCAGCCAGGCTTCCGTTACTCATCAGCACTCCCTAGTTTTATCGATGTAGTTCTTATATAGTTGTTAGATGGTAGGACCTGGTTTTAGCAGCACAATGTGATGTGATTGTGGGCTCCATTACCAGGTGATTCTATTTTAATCAAGTTTTTGTACGTGGGTTGTTAGCTTCAAGCTGTACACATTTGATTTGAATGATTTTACTAGATAGAAAAGATGACATATTTGTTTGGTGGCTTTGCCATATTATAAGAGAGTAGAGTAGAATCAGAATGTGCTCTCCATCATTCCCACCACTTCCACATGTCTCAGTTTCTTTATATATCCAACCCTTTCTTTTGATGAACCATCCAAGGAAGTGGTCAATCAAGTAGAGCAATAAACTTTGAAGTTTGATCAACTATTGATTCTATTCCTGGAAGGGAAAAAAAAAAAAAAAAAGACTAACAAGAGCTCGTCCGCAAGAAGGGATCGATTTGTCTGTCCTCTATCGCTCTTCTTCTGTCCGGTATTGGTTGCAATGGATCGGGTAGCATTTAAAACAATTCTAAATGAACGTCATTTGACTAATTATGTACGCTCATTTGTGTACTTCAAAGTAAAGTTATATTTGTTTCCAAAGTTTGAATTTTACTTATATTCATTCGACGATTCACGCTATAATGTCGATTCCAATTCGGTTAAAACGCTAAGATTTTGAAGAAAGGAATCCGTTAAACACTTGGTTTGAGCTATAGCCAAACTCCCATTTCCCTTTTCCCCCCTCCTTTTCATCCTCTTGACTCCTCCATTTCTAGAGAGAGAAGGAAAGAGGGGGGAAAGAAGAAGAAGCAACGGATAAAACAGAGGAAGAAGAAAAAAGGAATCCAAATGCCTATCTGCACAGTTTCAAACAGAAATTCATGGTTGAGAAAATAATCTCTTTTTTCCCGGGAACCCAAAAAACTTCTTCGATCAATATCTGGTTCCCTAATCAATCCCTTCATTTCCCTTCTCCCTCCCATCCCTCTGCTTCAAATGCCTGATCTCTTCCCGTCCGGTTCAAATTCAATCCCTTCCTCTATCCCCACCGCCGCCGGCGCCGCCAATTTTGGCGGGTAATATCTATAGATTATATTTCAGTTCAATCAGGGAATTGGAGAAGAAAAAAGGGGATCAAATGATTTCAAATCCAGATCTGATCTTCTACGCTTGCATTGCCAAAGGATCCACAATCCTCGCCGAGTTCGCCTCCCCGGCGGCGGAGCCGGGGATCGAGGAGATCGCCCACAAATGCATCGGGATCGCGCCGCCGCCGCACCACACGACCTTCTCCCAAACCGCCAAGAAGAAGACCTACACGTTCCTGATCGACGACCCTTTCGTCTACTTCGCCGTCTACCACCACGATCTCGCGAAGCTGGAGTCCTCCTGGTTCATCGACCGGGTTAAAATCTCGTTCTTGGAGCTCATCGCGTCGAATTCCGTCAGGGATTTGGACAGTCTCGCCTCCCTCTGCTTCCAGGCGGAGTTCTCCCCGCAGTTTCGGGAAATCCTGGCTCTGGATTTGGACCTGGGGATGGATTCCCTGACGGAGACCACGTCGAAAGACAGCCGGAACCCTAGCATGGACTCGACGAAGGAGAAGACGGTGCCGTTGCTGAAGAAGAAGAAGAAAAGGTCGTCTGGGGTTTGCTCAATTGGAGGGATGGAGGATAAGAGCAGCGGCGGCGGCGGCCATCGCAGGGGGAAAGACGGGAGCAGCTTGAGCTGCGGAGGGATGAGCGATCATGGCGGCAAGATGATGATGAATGGTGGTGGCGGCGTGTTGGTGGGTGAGAATGGGAGTGTTGATGGTGGTGGGCGGCACCATGCTAGAGAGTTCTCGGTGGCTATGTCGCCGAAAAGCAGCGGGCTTTACATGCTGGAGAGCAGGCAGAAGGCGAAGCAGATATGGAGGAAGCATGTGTGGGTGGTTTTGACATTGGATTTGGTTATCTGTGCTGTTCTGTTCTTCGTCTGGTTGTGGGTTTGCAGAGGCTTCACCTGTATTGATGGATAGATGATCAAAGATTGAATCAAAATGAAGAAGAAGAAGAAGAAGAAGAAAGGAGGAAGGATCCTGATTCAATGTTTTTATCATTTTCTGTACACATGAGCTTTGTATACATTGGAAGAAGAGATGCATATACATGAAAACTGGGACTGTTTGATCTCCCAGAAGGAAGAACAAAAGAAGCTGGTTTTTTTCAGTTTCATGGAGGGGATTTTTCTCCCTCTTTAGGGGGTTGCTGCAAATGCATAGTTTTTTTCTCCATTAATGGATTCCTTCATTCATCCTTCTGAACTATTCTTCTTCTGTGGAATTTAGTGTATATGCTTTTTTCCTTCTGAATCGGTGAAGGAACTATTAACATTTTGTGTATAGCAGGTGTGACAGAAATGTTGAAGGGTGTTTTCTCCTCTGTCAGTTGATTGCAAATGTAGCGTATGTTCAGTTCTTTCATTGACAAACTTGTAGAACTAGACAGCTAGGGTTTATAGGTAAATGCATACTGGTCTTTGAAACTCTGCATTAAAGAACAGAGATGCAGAGAAATTAATGGAGACTCAAATGCGACACCCGAAGTTGTGATACTGAGAAAGTTATTATGATAAGATTAAACTGTTTTGGAGGATTACACATAAATAAAGAGTACTGAGATTAAAACTTTGTTTCTAAAACATGAATACTTGGTATCAATGGTGGCACATCAAAATTTCATAAGATACATTACATCGAAGCCAGGCTTATGGATCGTTGTTCTCTTCAGCGAACAGAAAAGAACACTTGAGAGTGAGCGACATCAGCCGCAAGGGGTCAGCTTCTTGTTGCCCGCACCACGAGGGTTCTCATCTTTCCAATCGTCGAACGCTCTAGCCCGTGCAACTGCATCATCGTCGTCTTCATCTTCTTCCTCTTCACCTGATCTCGGCTTCCCCATGTTGTTGTCCTTGTACCAGGCGGAGTTGGCTTCTTCCATCATCTTAACATTTCTCTCTTGCCATTTGTTCATGATCTCCATCTCTGCCAACCCAGCATCTTCTATGCTCATTGTCGGCAACCTTATTACACATAAGGTAAAGTTTCCCAATATCAGAAAAGAAGACTCATTAGGTAAGCTAAAGACCTCAGTAAGGACAGGATAAATATGTCGAGATAGATGTACCTGTGACCAGGTTGGAAGACCTGCGCAGCGATCCTTTCTCTCTCGTTTGTTGGGCGCGAGTTAATGAGGCTTGCTGGCCCAAATATCATGGGCTGGTGCTTGTGATCGTGTGCCTGGGAAACAGTTGCTCGTCCTTCTAGTACATCTTGAGCAAAGGTAGCACATGTGATTGGAGGGGAAGGTTTTGTAAACTGCACTCGAGTGGCAGCACCACGATGCCATGACTCTGCTTTCTTCGCTCGTTCATCAAGCACTGCCTGAGAAAACTCAGTATCTCCTTCCTGCAATATAAAATAAAATCAATCTTTGGCAAGTAGTTGAAACACCATTCAAGCTGTGAATCTAAGTATATGTTACCTTCAATTGTCTTTCTCTAACAGCAGAAAGCATCTCGTCTTCTTTCTTCAACATTTCAAATAGATCAAGAGCCTGGGGTTACATAACACGGTCATATGGTGACTTGAAGCTCTCAATACTACCTGTCTACTTTACCATTTCAAGCAGATCAAATGGGATGAAACACCAACCTTGCAGATAGCCAACGATATGGTTGTAAGCCAAGCCTGCACAAGGTGATCAAAACATGAGTATTACTAAACAACCAAAGCCCCTGCCGCAATGTAGAATGAGTTAAGAATCGTTCAATCTATTCAAAAGAAAACAAAAACTCAAGTCGAAGAATATGTACTAACGTCTAGAGTAAAGATAAAGAAAGGCATCACATCAAGTATTATTGCAGCCTTAGGAGGACATGGCTGTCTCCTAGTTGTAATACAGGGGGTACAAAGTGTAAAACATAGAGAATTGGTCCACACAATCTAGCACCAGCGGAGAAATGTTAAGTCCATAGCAGATTGCATCACACAGGGATAGAGAGTCAGACAAGTAACTTCAAAATCTTTAATATCCTCAAGGGATATATAACAATTATAGCCATGACAGCATACCTCCCTTTCTTCTTCTCCGTCATCATCCAGCAGGTCTTCTTCTCCAGCTTCAACAGGTGTCGACAATGCAGAAGCCTTAGTTGAACGACCACGTCTCTCTTTCCGCTCCATTATTTCCAGCAACTTCGCCTCAGCAGCTTTTTGGCGCTTGAACCTAGCAATCTGAACAAACTCAAATATCAATTGTAGAAATCTGGAAAAATTAATATGTTGGTCGAAATTTCAAGAAACTTTCACAGGAAATCAAAGCACCTTTTGAGCCCTACGATCCACAACTGAATTTGGACCTCCTTGCAATGATGCCTGCAGCTCCTCCACGGGTGCAAGTTCCATTACCTCACAGAACGCAATGAATTCCTGCAGGGTTCTATCTTTTAGCACTAGAAGAATGTGCCAATGAGCTCCAACTCAATTGGCCAGGTATATACATTGCTCCCCAAGCAATTTTAAGTTCCCTTTTATGATCAAAAACCAAAACCAGTATCTTTTTTTCCATCAACTATTAAAAATGAATCCTTTCAACAACAATGCACATTCCTACGCATATAAAAGGCCAACGTTCAATTCAGTCATAAAAGATTACTGCTAATGAACATATTTTACCTTTAATTTTGCTTGGGAGGCTCTCAGTATTGGAATCCTATCATCCTGAGCAATTTTCTCAGTCAGCTCAGCAAGGTAAAATGGCACCTGCGAAACAAACAACTATGTGAATTATGGATATAAACAAGAAAGCATTTACGAACATGAAGTAGCAGCATAAAGACCGGCAGCATTGTTACGTTTTGCCACACAGTCCATTATTGCAGACCACGTAGTCTATTTCTTACCAGAAAGCCAGAAAATTCAACAATTTCCCACATTCAGTGACTCATACATATACAGCTTGCCAACTTATCTTAATTACAGTCATAGTACTTCTAAAAGAAAAAGAGAAGTAAAATGCACAGATTCAACATCTCTTCGTCAACAAAATTTCTGAGTGCTCCAGACAGATCAAACAACCAAAGCCTACGTCTCTTCTGCCACAGGCCACAGTGAAAATGGCAACATAAGCTGGCTACATCAACAGTTCTTTTCCAGCAACTAATGATACAAGTTACTGCTACATACTCTAGCTACAACCAAAGCTCCTACAAGTGGCATCCATTACCCAACAATACTAGAATTCCAGAATTGTTACAGCTTCCATATTTGCAGGAACTATAAGACGAAACCAACTAGAGCAATGAAACAAAAAGGGGGAAAAAGGATCAAATTACCAGAATATATTTCAGATTGGTGGTGCTGATATCTTCTTTGGTCTCATTAGCGGAGAATAAACCCAGCTTGCCGACCATTTCTTCGCACTTCTCCAGCGCCTCGCACCCTTTTCTCAGCTCCTCCTATAACACGTTCTCGGACAGAAAAAAAAATCCGAAATTAGGTCTCGCAAACGGAACGAAATCACTTCAAAACCGAAAGCAAAAGAACCACCGCTCAATCAATCAGTAAAAAATTCAGCTGGTGATCGATTTTTACCTGATCAGCACTGGACTCCGTGGCAGACGAATGGATCTTCCGAGCTTGCTCGAAGAGCGCCGGGAGCGTAACATCCTCCATCTTCAATTCCCCCATGGAGAACCTAGCACCCAATGCGGAAATTCTAGGTTTTCTTGATCGAGAACAGAACGAGGAAGCAGAGGAAAGGTACTTCAGGAAGGAAAGCGGGATGTCAAGTGAGTTCGCCGGAGATCTTCCCGGTGAGATATAGAGGAAGAAGAAGACGACGGAGTAGAGAGAGGAGAATCCAGAAACCGAGAGAACGAACTATTCTGTTATTACTAGTCGACGCGCGCCCACCAAAAGTTTTACATTTTACTACCCATATTATGGTTTTAATACTGATTGGTCCTTAAACTCTACAAATATGCACACTAGCAAAAATTCTAGAAGAACCACAATTACAAAACAATGCTGAATCTTTTTTTATTGATTCCATAAAGCCCAATACATCACAATCCAGTGAATCCACCCTTTTTTGTGCCAGAAAGTTCATTCAATTTCCCTCCCCTTATCCCACTTTTGATGTCAATCATGAAACAAGAACCAGAAAGAAAGGATTTTGAACACAGATATTTTACAAACACTTGAAAAGCAAAATTATTATGTTGATGTGGTTGAATTGATTGGACAGGGAAGCCACTCGCTGCTTTTGGTGACAAACACAAACCCCACACAAAACAAAAGGCACCAGGAATCTTGGTGCTCTTGTTCCCCATAACAGAATGCAAACCGTCCATCCAATCATATCATTCAGACTACACGGGTTTTAAGGTCGATCTCGGAGGTAGAAACATCATTAATCGAGCAAGAAGTTGATAGAAAATCGAGCGCTGTTTGTACTCGTTTGGTTGAGTTTAAAAATGTTGTTTTTATAGATGACGATTCTCTTGCACGGATCACATTAGCTTAAGAAGTCGATCACTAACATTTCATGCTTCGATTATGGTATACAACCGTTCATCATATCCGTTTGTTCAACTCAAATGATCGTCTTGTAGTTCATTAAACCGAGACACTCATATCGCTCATGATTTCCGAACAATACTTCATTTTCTAACTTACCATGCTTTTTTGGTTTACATGTTTACCATTACTCCATACCCTAATTTAGCCTAACAAGTCATGGTATGATGTTGTTAAGCCTTTCACGTCCAGATTGATGCTCTGTTTAAAAGAAAAACAAAAATAGGAAAACTGTAGAGGAGTGGAAGATTGGAAAAGTTTATAGGAGGCGGGTCAGACTCTGTCTTTCACTGAAAACCAGGCCGCCCGAAAAGGGGAAAAGGAAGGAAAAGATCCTTTTTTTTCCCTAGCTTTTCTTCTCCTCCTTCATCGTTTTCCCTGTCAACCTCTGTTTCCAGTTTCGGTTACTGTGACTTCAGCTCACCAGCAGCTTGCTTTCCTTCCTCCCACCCCTAACAGTTCAATCTTTTTGGCAGCTTGGCTGCCCCTTTTCCCACTTTCCTTCTTGCTGAAGCCAGCCAGAGAAAAGCATGCTTTCCCCATTCCCTTCCTTGACGTTCAGAGCTTTCTTCGATGGCGCTTGTTTTTTCTTCAGCTTCCCAATTTGAGCTGAGTCTCCATTAATTTTCATCTGTAAGTTGCAATCTTTCCACTTGATTTGTGATAAATTGAGGGTTTTACGTAATGGGTTGGCATTGACCTACTGTTTAGAGCTACTCAATTCCAGTTATTTGCAGTTTCGTCCTCCTCTTTTGTCTGGAATGGGCGTTGTCGTGAAGACAGATGAGGGCGAGAGGCAGGCGGTAGACGATGAATGCCACCATCGTCTTCTTCTCAGCAAGCTGAAGGCTGCCGAGATGGAGATCGAAGAGTTGAAGCAAATGAGGAAAGAGGACGGGAAGGCCAACGAGAAAGTCGTGGGGATTTTCGCTTCTCAGGAGCAGACCTGGTTTATAGAGAGGAAGAAGCTCAGGCTGCACATTGGAACCCTAATGAACCAATTGGATTTTTTCCAGAAGGAGAAAGAACAAGTCATCTCTGAATTCCACGGCAAAATTGGGGAAATGGAAGGTTTGTTGCAGGCGAAGGACAAGGCTATCGTGGAAGAAGAGAACAAGAGGAAGGAATTGGACGAGAAGCTGACGAGGGCCGAGAATTCGGTCAAAGAGTTGAGGGAATCCATGAGAAGGGAAGCTCAGGAGCATTCTGCGGATCTGTGGAAGCACAAGACTGCGTTTCTCGAGCTTGTTTCGAACCAGAGACAGGTTGAAGCTGAGATGGGTAGGTTGGTGAAGCAGCTTGAGGTTAAAAGGCAGGAGTTGAATTCTGCTATGGAGCAGAAGGAGGAATCGGCTGCAGAAGCTGTGAAGCTGAGAATGGATTTGGAGCAGAAAGAGAAGATCTTGTCTGCAGTTTTGAGGAGAACGAAGGCGGATGTGAGCGAGAAGCAAATGCTGGTCAAGGAAGTGAAGGTTTCCAAGGCTAGAAGGAAGCAGGCTGAATTGGAGACAGAAAGATGGAGGCTTGCTGCTGCTGCTGCATCAGAGACTAGGCATGAGAAGAAGCAACATTCTTTGAGAACCATGTTTGCAAACGCGAGGCAAGATGATGACGGTCTCACGAAAGGTAGATCATCACATTCTAGTGATAATTATGTGTTTGAGTATGAGAATCCTGAGTTCTTGAACGACTCGGATATGGCTTCTCTCCCTTATGACTACTCGCCAGATGGAATGGCTGCTGAGCTAGGTAAGTCCTAAGCACAGCCCTTAAGTTGCTGATTATCATAGTTTGGTAGATGGTATTCAAAGTTGGAAGATTTTGAGACGTAAGATGGATATAGGACATTGTTAAGTTAATGGACTTTTTGTGATGGGATTGTGAATCTGAAGTCTTTGTGCACTTATAATCATATAGGAAAGCATTAAATATGATAAAGTGAACTGATGAAATGGTAATGTAACTTCCTGTTGATTTTCTTCATGATTAAAAAGAAAAACTGTGTGTTGTTATGATGGCAGCTGATGTTAGGAGATTGGAAGGATGGATTAGAACGGAAGCAGAAAGGTATGCAGCAGCAATTGAGAAGAGGCATCATGTGGAGATTGATGCTTTTGTGGAGCAGTTGAGGCTCAAAGACGAAAAGCTCGAAGCTTTTCGAAGGAAGTTTCTGAGCACTCAGATAGAATCCAACAGACTGCAATCTCACCTCGAATCACTGAACCAAGAGTTATACCGGCTAAGGCATGAGAACATGAAACTCGAAGCTTCACTACTGCAGAGTAAGGAGGAAGTAAGTTGTCTTCAACAGCAAGCAATAATGTCTCAATCAGAACAACAGCCTCTAGTTACCATTTCCCACCAACCCAAGAATGAGATAATGATGGCCGTCGAGTCTCCTGAGAAGGAGTTTGAAGAAGAGAAGCATGTAACCGAGCAGGGTCCTACGATTAACGAGGGAAGCCCAAGCTCCATGGCAGAGATCGAGAGTGTGAAGAGCATAGCAACAAGCAGCAAGGCGTTGGTGATCAACACAAACGGCAGCAGCAATAATCCATGGAGGATGGATCTTCAAGCCCTTGGAGTCTCTTACAAGATCAAGAGGCTGAAGCAGCAGCTCCTGATGCTGGAGAGATTGACAGGAAAGCAGGAGAGTGGTGAAGAAGATTCAGGTGATCAAGAGAATGGGGTAAAAGGCTTCTTAATGCTAATATCACTTCTCAATAGGCAAATCAATAGGTACCAGACCCTCCAAGCAAAGACCGACGAACTCTGCAAGCGCATGGTAAGTAACTTTCAAAAGAAGGCAACTTGTTCTACTTGCAGTAGAAGTAAGGATCTAGACTTGGCATTCACATTGCATCCACATAACTGTTTTCGAAAACGAATGATGTTTGTAGCATGACAATGTGGAGGCTTCTTCTTCTGGGAAGAGGGAGGAGAGAAGCAAGGGAGAGATGAAGAAACTCGAACATTACTTGGAGGAGACGTTTCAGGTGCAGAGGTACATGGTGGCAACAGGGCAGAAGCTGATGGATGTGCAGTCGAAGATCGGTTCAGGGTTCGTGGAGGTGCCCGAAGAGCTGAACAAATCAGGAGGAAGCATCAACATAAAGATGTTTGCAGACAACGTGAAGGCGTTGTTGCAGGAAGTTCAGAGGGGTCTCGAGGTTCGGATCGCTCGAATCATCGGGGATCTCGAAGGGACCTTGGCTTGCCAAGGGATGATACGCTTGAGGCGGTAATTTTATATATGTATGTATACTCAATGTGATGTACAGCCTACGTATATAGCAGAGATAGCCATGAAAAATTGCATTATCTCCTGTAATAAGAAGGAAAGTTGTGGCGTGATTAGCAAGTTTGTAGATGTTCATAGTTTCTTCTTTGTGTATAGGCTGGGAGCTCTATTAGAGAAAACTGCTTTGTAAGATTATCTTGCGGAGGAGGTATGATTGAACCGTCAGTCACGGTTCAAGAGTTTTGCTCGTACCTCACAAGCGAAAGCCTGTTTTATTGCAGTGGTTACAATATACTGGAGAATAAACCTAATACGTAACCTTAGTTTGAGCCGAAACCCTTCTAGCATCTCACATCTCGCGCCACCACATTCACCTAGTCGATTTGCCACGTAGATATCGTCAGCCAAAATCATACTTGCACCAAAACACACTTGGAAATATTATCTTCCAAATGAGATGACATTTTCATAATAATTATAATCCATCGAATTTAGCTTAATCCCAAATCTGTTTTTTTACCCATCCAAAATTCTCTTCAATCTACTAGGCTTGAGTTCAAGTCCTTAAACCTCATTTTTTAAGGAGAATCTTAAAGCCTTTCTATTGGCTGATAGTGGATTAGGTAGTAAATAATGGTTAGTAGTTAATAGATAGTTAAGGATAAATGGGGTTATGCAAATATAATTAATATAATTAATTAATGATTCTCTTTCTCTCTCCTCCCATGATTTTCTCCATAACCCTCTTTCTACATTACAATTAAAAAATATGAAATTAATTTTATTTAATATTTAATAAAATCCAAATTTAATATTTTCCTTTTTCTAAAATGGAAATCTGAAATTTAAAATATATGCCTCTTTCACATCTTGGCAACTTCCTATTAGTATTAATTATTAACATTTTGTAATGGCATTATCAATATTTATAAATTGAATCATCATTAGGGCTTTTTGTTGCATGGGTTTGGGATTTTTCGTTGTTAGGTATTCATTTGTGTTATTATTAATGTTGTTCGACATGTTTTTTAATAATTGTTTGAGCCCGGGCGACTGGGAGTCACTCGGATCCAAGGGGTTTGGGGCGTCAGCCATGACTTTGAGGGGGTAGGCGCCCCACCTCAGTAGAAGTGAGAAAAGAGAAGAAGTATATAGAGAGAGAAAGTAGAGAGAAGTAATAGTAAGAGTAGATAGATTGCCATTTATGAGGAGAGAACTCCTATTTATACACATTTGAGGGTTAGGTAGTGGTCTGGGCGCCTGCCAAGTCATAAATGCTGTGGTCGGGCGCCTCAGACCTTCTGACACTGTACATGGTACTTTTTGACAGAGGGTGTCCCCCTGCCCCTTGTCATTGCTGATGTCAGGTGCCTGGCCTTGTCTTTTGTCTCCTTGCCTTGTCCTTTTGCTCTTTTGTCTTCTTTCCTTCTTAATACCATTAGCTAGAGTTTTGCCTCCTTAGTTACTAGGATACTCTATCAATAATTTTATATGACATTATTAACTTTTTATGTTATGTTTTGTTTGTAACATTAGCAAAAGTGAAATTGTGTGTTTCAATTTGTTGAACCTTGAAGTTTATTTACTATTACATCGTATTATCAATTTGGTTCGCAATGATTTATAATCATTTGAAGTGCTATTATCAATGTTTTCCTTCCAAGCACAATACAACCATTAGCAAAAATTTATTTCATTTGTAAGATTGCTTATATTGAGTGATTTGAATTATTAATATATTTTCGTTTATGTTTGTAACTTTGTCAAATGTCATTATCAAGAAGCATACTTGTTAGGTATTCGTTTGTTTATGACATTATCAAAAGTGAATTTACGTTTAATGTGATAACTATGGTTATTAATCTTTCAGTCTAAGTTAGTAACTGATAGAGTATCCTAGTAACTAAGGAGGCAAAACTCTAGCTAATGGTATAAAGAAGGAAAGAAGACAAAAGAGCAAAAGGACAAGGCAAGGAGACAAAAGACAAGGCCAGGCACCTAACATCAGCAAGGACAAGGGGCAGGGGGATACCCTCTGTCAAAAAGTACCATGTACAGTGTCAGAAGGTCTGAGGCGCCCGACCACAGCATTTATGGCTTGGCAGGCGCCCAGACCACTACCTAACCCTCAAATGTGTATAAATGGGAGTTCTCTCCTCATAAATGGCAATCTATCTACTCTTACTATTACTTCTCTCTACTTTCTCTCTCTATATACTTCTTCTCTTTTCTCACTTCTACTGAGGTGGGGCGCCTAGCCCCTCAAAGTCATGGCTGACGCCCCAAACCCCTTGCATCCGAGTGACTCCCAGTCGCCCGGGCTCAAACAATTGGCGCCCACCGTGGGGCCAAGCATGACTTTGAAAGACGCTTCCAACTCAAAGAAGGGGGAAGAAAGGAGTCCGGCACCAACGAAGACCCCTATCAAGCAAGTCGTTGGTCGAGAAGCGATCAACCCTCAACCACTCACCATCCAAAGTTTGGAAGCATCCGACGACGACGATCCATCAGGAGAGGGAGAAGACACGGAGCGCCTGGAGGGCTAACTAGCGAAGCTTCGGGAAAAGCAAGCACTTCAAATGGCCAGCACGCAAGGCCAACTGGATCAAGTCATGACCGCGTTGTCAGCACTAACAAAGGCAAACAATCACGCGCCTCCCAATCCCCAAGAAGCCACAGAGGAGAGGAGGCGCCTCCGAGGAAAGATGCAAGAGGTTGAGGTGCTACCCATGAACTCCCCACGGGAGGGTGTGGGCGCCTCACCCAACGAGGACGCAATCGAAGCTGACGACGATGTCTACCTGGAGAAGTACGCCCGACTCAACTACGGCGCCTTGGAAGAAAGAAGCGCCCTGGAATTTTTGTAGGGGGAGGGCCGCCCTTTAAGTAGGCGTAACCCAAAGACACCCTAAGAGAGGCAAAAGCGTGCTAGGAGGAGTCCTTTTATTCAATTTAGGTTGGTAATGTTAGGAATTTTCGGGGAAAGGGACGCGCCCTGGCGATACCCCATGTAATTCCCTATTTTGCTCAAGGAATGGATATTCACTACTCGACAATGCAAAGCTATCCCTGTTTTAACAGATGGAGTCACCCTAGACTCGCTTCCTCCGTCGAGGAGAAGCCTAAGCGTGTTACCACCTTCTCAGGGGTACACGTAAGAAAAATCAAGTTTTGCTTAAGATAGTCATCTTAACAAAACCTTACTCGCAACCAGCGGAAGAGCCTTAGTGCTTACGCTCATATCTTCATCTGAGCGTCGGGCGCTCGTTTTACGAGTCCCCATGAGAGGTGGCGCCTTGGCCATATCCCTCGCAAAATCCCTGCCTTGTCAGAAGGGGTCACCCAGACCCGCTTCCTCCGTCGAGGAGAAGCCTAAGCGTGTTACCACCTTCTCAGGGGTACACGTAAGAAAAATCAAGTTTTGCTTAAGATAGTCATCTTAACAAAACCTTTTACCCGCAACCAGCGGAAGAGCCTTAGTGCTTACGCTCAGATCTTCATCCGAGCGTCGGGCGCTCGTTTTACGAGTCCCCATGAGAGGTGGCGCCTTGGCCATATCCCTCGCAAAATTCCTGCCTTGCCAGAAGGGGTTACCCAGACCCGCTTCCTCCGTCGAGGAGAAGCCTAAGCGTGTCACCTCCTTCTCAGGGGTACACGTAAGAAAAATCAAGTTTTGCTTAAGATAGTCATCTTAGCAAAACCTTTTACCCGCAACCAGCGGAAGAACCTTAGTGCTTACGCCCGGATCTTCATCCGAGCGTAGGGAGCTCGTTTTACGAGTCCCCATGAGAGGTGGTGCCTTGGCCATATCCCTCGCGAAATTCCCTGCCTTGTCAGAAGGGGTCACCCAGACCCGCTTCCTCCGTTGAGGAGAAACCAAAACGCATCACCTCTTTTCAAAGAGGCTACGCGTAAGAAAAACGGGTGCCTTAAGACGCCTTGAGGCTGAACCTGCATTATAAACAGGTGCAAGTATCATAGAGCGATAAACAAGGTAAGGAGCTTAGCAAAATCCAAGGAATGGCGTTCGAAAATACGAGGGGCAAAGCCTACCTATGTTGGTAGGCAAAAGCGCCTAAAGGATTGGAGGGGAGCTCTCGGTAACACCTGCAAAAGCAGTAAGATGAGAAAACTAGAAGGCGGCGCCTTCAATTGAAAAAACGCCTAGCAATAACGAAGGGCGGCGCTTACTTGTTGATGCGTCTCAAAAGCACCTAACGAGCTGGAAGGGGAAACTCCCAACAAATAACAATTATGAAGAGGTAACTTTTGCAAAGGAAGCAGAAACAGTTAGAAACAAAAGCGCCGAGAGAAGGAAGAAGGGGAGGCGCCTGCCAGCAGGGGAGAGCAGGCGGCATCTTCAGCGGAAAACTACATAGTAGTATGATTGAGCCCGACGTTCGGAGGCGCCTCTGTTTCAAACAAAAGAAAGAGCGAATGTTCCCCTTCGAATAGCCGAGTTAAAACGTACCTAATCTACGGAGTGAGGCTCCCGACAGAAATGGTCAAAGCGAAAGGCGCCGATGAGAGCCTTCAAGGGGGGAGCGCCTAGGAGAAAGAAGGCGAAAGGTATCTACCGTTTAACAAGAAGCAAAGGCGCCTAGCGAAAAGTAAGGAAGGAGGCGCCCCCAATTGGAACAGAGCAGCCAAATCAGATCTGTCTTCATCCGTTTCAGAAACCAAAGCGCCTAAAAAAAGGGAGGTGGCGCCTCCGACCGAAAAAAGTGGCGAAACTCACCTCGATGCGTGGAAGAGCTTGACACTGAAAAAGTCTCACAAGGGGTGATTGGGCGTTCACCCATTAGCCTATCCTCGTTTTAAAACAAGTTTGACAAAGAAAAACAAGCAAAGAAGTGGGGGTGCCAGACATCCTACCACTAAAGGTCAAGCACTTCGCTGAAGGAGTGAGGTGTCAGGCGCCTTACCAAAGGTCAGGCACCCCGACAAAGGAGCGAGTCGCCAGACACCTCATTGAAGCGCCTGTACGCTCAAATAAACCAAAGCAAGTAATGTTAGACTTACAAGAATAAGGTTCTAAATTGTTAGTATCATACATAGACAAAGAATGAGAAGCCAGGCGCCCCACTGAAGGTCAGACACCTCGGCAAAGGAGCGTCTCCATGTGCCCCACTCAAGGTTAGGCACCTCGCTGAAGGAGTGTGGTGCTAGGCGCCTCGCTGAAGGAGTGAGGTGCCAGGTGCCCAACTGAAGGTCAGGCACCTCGGCAAATGAGCAAGTCACCATGTGCCCACTCAAGGTTAGGCGCCTGGCTGAAGGAGTGAGGTTCCAGGCGCCCCACTCAAGGTTAGGCGCCTGGCGGAAGGCACCTGGCTGAAGGAGTCGCCATGTACACCGCTGAAAGTTAGGCACCTCGCTGAAGGAGTGAGGTGCCAGGCGCCCAACTGAAGGTCAGGCACCTCGGCAAATGAGAAAGTCACCATGTGCCCCACTCAAGGTTAGGCGCCTGGCTGAAGGCGCCTGGCTGAAGGAGTGAGGTGTCAGGTGCCCAACTGAAGGTCAGGCACCTCGGCAAATGAGCAAGTCACCATGTGCCCACTCAAGGTTAGGCGCCAGGCACCCCACTGAAGGTCAGGCACCTCGATAAGGAGTAAAATGTCAGGCGTCCAACTGAAGGTCAGACACATCGGCAAAGGAGCGAGTCGCGAAACACCTCGTTGAGTTTGGGTCTTAGGGAAACTAACGACAAGCTGGGTGACCAGTGCTTAGCCAAAGAATCGAAGCAAGCACTCTTCTAAAAGAGCACAAGCAATCGAAAGAAAAATGGAGCATCTTAGACAATGAATGGAAAACATTTGAATATCAGTGGTATCTTTTGACAAAAAGAAAAAAAAAATTGGAAAAGAGCGCTAGGCGCTCGTTTCAAATGGGCAAGGCACAATCAAAGGAAAACTGACAAGTTTGTTTCAACTTCATTTGATTGTCAAGATAGATTGAATACTCTAACACGAGCGTAGGCACATCCTCTAAGATGAAAGAGTAGTCACTTAGGAAATAATTGATGAAGAACGGAAGAATGCAACTGTCAGGCGCTTGATAAAAGGGGCATGATTGCTTCTTTTGATAGTCTCCGTTACTTGAGACATGTGTTTATTCTTCCTCATTTTACTACACCTTATTTGGAAGCAAGCACACCCACACGGGTGCACAAGCGCTCAACAGATCAGAAGATCAATACGGGAATGAAGCACCCACTTGAAAGGAAGAGCCTGGTGCCGATTAACTAAAGAAAGAGAGCTGGCACTTGATTGTGAAGACGAGAAAGCAAGGTTAGTGAAACTCATTTTATGTTGACGCCGCCATGATACTCATACCGACGTCAAAGGGGCAATTGATAGAGTATCCTAGTAACTAAGGAGGCAAAACTCTAGCTAATGGTATAAAGAAGGAAAGAAGACAAAAGAGCAAAAGGACAAGGCAAGGAGACAAAAGACAAGGCCAGGCACCTGACATCAGCAAGGACAAGGGGCAGGGGGACACCCTCTGTCAAAAAGTACCATGTACAGTGTCAGAAGGTTCTGAGGCGCCCGACCACAGCATTTATGGCTTGGCAGGCGCCCAGACCACTACCTAACCCTCAAATGTGTATAAATAGGAGTTCTCTCCTCATAAATGGCAATTTATCTACTCTTACTATTACTTCTCTCTACTTTCTCCCTCTATATACTTCTTCTCTTTTCTCACTTCTACTGAGGTGGGGCGCCTACCCCCTCAAAGTCATGGCTGACGCCCCAAACCCCTTGGATCCGAGTGACTCCCAGTCGCCCGGGCTCAAACAGTAACGTAGTTGGTGTCATTATTAATAGGTGTGTATAAACATTATCAATGTTTGAAAAATAATATATTAATAATATCTAATAAGGTACTTAAAAATCATTAGTGGCTATCATTATTAAAGTTTTTGGATGCATTATCCATTAAACACATGTTACTTATTAATGCGTTTTTAGTGCTATTTGACATTAAACATTGCATCTGAATACTATTAATATTTTTTATTACAAAATATATTTCCTTATCAGTGACTTGATCAATCAATATTAGTTTTTAATATCTTTATTAAAATTTTGATGTCATTTATAATGTTGAAGTCTGACATTTTTACATTGATGTTTTGTGTTTATTTTCAACGAAATACTTTTCGTTATCAATGATTTATTGGATTGTGTTGGGGATATTACAAAGAGGGCCCATTTGGTCACACGAGCGGGCGCCCAAGCGCAGGACGAGCGTAGAATGATGACAAGGACTCGGGGGTCAAAAGTTAAACTCAGGCGGATAATTGAGCGCCCGCCAAGAATGAGTGGTGCATACTAAGCGTCTAAGCCAAGAGATCAGTTAGGCACTCAAGTAAGGGACTATGAGCGCCTAACTGGGGGGCAATTGTTGGGGGTATTACTAAAGGGGCCCAAGAAGAGCCCATTTAGGTGAAGGTAGCCCAAGGCCATGGGCCAGGAGAAGAAGCCCGGAATTGTTGAGGGCATTACTAAAGGGGCTCAAGAAGAGCCCAGTTAGGTGAAAGTATCCCAAGGCAATGGGCCAGGAGAAGAAGCCGACAAAGCCCATTGCACTCCAGGCAGCATAGGCATGGAGGCAAAGCACTAAGGGCCAAAGAGGTCCAGGCTGGCAAGTGGTCCCCCGCCTGTGGGCGCCTGCCAGCCGACATAAGCCTGACAAGGTGGTTGGGGATTCTGACAGAAGTGAAGGTACAAAGCATTTAATGAGATGGTGACGTGGAGGAGATCCACCTCGAGCTCGGTGAGTATAAATATGGGCAGTTGGTAGCATTTACACAGGTTGGACTCTCTCACTAAAACTTATAGTTTCATACTTCTCTCTCTATAATTGGAACTAACTTGGGCGTCGGAGGATTAATGGGCCCAGGCGCCCCCCTCAGTGTGTGTGTAGGTCAGGCGCCTAAGGATTGGCTAGTAGGACTAAGGCGCACCAAGGAGCGGGCTTCAAGTGCGTGTGTGTAGGTCAGGCGCCTAAGGATTGGCTAGCAGGACCAAGGCGCCCCAAGGAGCGGGCTTCAAGGTGAGGCGCCTACAGGGCGTTAAGTAGGAATCGGGCGCTCAGAAGATCAGGCTCCAAGTGCGTGTGTGTAGGTCAGGCGCCTAAGGATTGACCAGCAGGACCAAGGCGCCCCAAGGAGCGGGCTTCAAGGTGAGGCGCCTACAGGGCGTTAAGTAGGAATCGATCGCTCAGAAGATCAGGCTCCAAGGTAAGGAGCCTAAGGTGTGACCAGTAAGGTGAATTGTATGGGCACAAACAATTGGCGCGCCAGGAAAGGGAATATAACCAAGAATCATGAGTGAGGAGGCGCCTACAAGTGGGAGAGGAAGAGGAAGCGCATGACACAAAATAAAGAAGGAAAAAGAGGCGCTTTCAAAATTAAGAAAGAGAAGGCTTTGTGCCACGACTGATTGGCGTCGCAAAGCTAGAGGCGCAATAGAGGGACATTTAGAAAGAAGGAAAAAAAAAGGCACCGAGTCCATCTAGTCGACACAAGAAGCACTATATTCGTCGCATCATGACAGGCGACTCTAACCCAACATGGGCTTCAACATTGAATCAGGCGCCTATACTAGTGGACTACTATAAAATTCTCATTTCACCGGAGACACCTATAATTAAAAGAGCATTTCAAGCTAGGCTAACGTCTGGGCACCCATCTCCTATTTGGGCTCGACGCCTCCCTATCTGGTTTAAAAGAGGCCCTAAGCGCCTAATTTCATTGAGGTGCCCATTTCATCTATGAGCCAGATGTCTTCTCCTATTTTTATCTTGAAATTTGGGAGCAAGTTTAAAGCCCAAAACAAAGAGGCTCGTTAAGCCCAGGAGCTCGGTCCGAAGCCCAAGAGAGGTTGACACGACTTATTAAAGCCCAGATGCTCAGTTTAAAACAAAGGGCTAATAAAATGCCTGAGTGAAGCTTTGCACCTCATACCTTCTAAAGAAGAACGGGCGCCTACGCCATCAGGCTAAGTTACAAGTTGTTGTCATCTATTCGTATGCGTCATTATTTCACTTAGGAGCCTCGCAAGCGTTAGCATGGGCTTCGCCGCGGTTGGCATGAGCTTCAACACACTCAAAACAAGCTAAGTACTTTGTTTTTTTGTGAAATTTGGTGTTACCTCCATGATATATCGCTTTGTTTTGAAATGTTTGGTGCACCCAAATAAAATCTTTTGATCGTAATACATAAAGCGCCCGAAATATAGCGCCCTTGATTGGAAATACTCTCCACGCCCAAATCTAGCGTCCTAATATTTGAAAGATCTCTAAGGGAGATGTAAAGCGCCCGTAATACACAAAGCGCCCCGCAATACCTAAAGCGCCCGAAATACTCAAAGCGCCCGGAATATCAAAGTTGTCGAGATAGAATGTTACGTGGCACTCCAAGCCTCAAGTTTACACAATTGAAGGGAGGCATTTTATAGGCGCCTGTTTCAAAAGTAAGGATGTGGGGTGTGTGCCTTGCAAAGGGAGGCGCCTGTCATGAACGAGCAACGTATGCAACAGTCAGGCGCATGTCATGAATGTGACGATGAACGAGAGAATGCATTTTGCAGGCGCCTGTTTCGAAAGTAAGGATGTGGGCGTGTGCCTTGCAAAGGGAGGCGTCTGTCATGAACGAGCAACGTATGCAACGGTCAGGCGCCTGTCATGAATGTGATGATGAACGAGATGGGGTATTTTGCAGGCGCCTGTTTCGAAAGTAAGGATGTGGGGCGTGTGCCTTGCAAAGGGAGGCGCCTGTCATGAACGAGCAACGTATGCAACAGTCAGGCGCCTGTCATGAATGTGACGATGAACGAGAAAAGGCATTTTGCAGGCGCCTATTTCGAAAGTAAGGATGTGGGGCATGTGCCTTGCAAAAGGAGGCGCCTGTCATGAACGAGTAACGTATGCAACGGTCGGGCGCCTGTCATGAATGTGACGATGAACGAGAGGGGGTATTTTGCAGGCGCCTGTTTCAAAAGTAAGGATGTGGGGCGTGTGCCTTGCAAAGGGAGGCGTCTGTCATAAACGAGCAACGTATGCAACGGTCAGGCGCCTGTCATGAATGTGAAGATAAACGAGGGGGGGTAATTGTTGGGGGGTATTACAAAGGAACAAGTTCAAGTAAAAGCTCAATGTAGCTCATTGGAGCAGTGGAAAGCAAACCCCACATTTGGGCCCAGAAAGGTGGGTAGGTCGAATTTGGGTAGCAAGGAGAGCACGCAACCCAGGCGCCTAGGTCCAGAAGGAGGAAATCAATAATTAACAGGCGCATGATTCAATAAGACGAGGCGCCTGTAACAAGGAAAGGTGGGCATTTACTGCGTAAGGACGAGGCATCCCACTGAGCGAAGATGCGTGAAGTGCCTAAGTACGGAAAAGTTGCTCAGGAGAAAGCGCCCCACCTTGACAGAACCAAGCGCCTGCCACGAGACACAGTGGGAGCCTTATTCTAGTGGTAAGACGAGACAATATAGTCAGGCCCTCAAGCTTTGGGAACTTGAGAGCCTAACTGGGGGGCAATTGTTGGGGATATTACAAAGAGGGCCCATTTGGTCACACGAGCGGGCGCCCGAGCGCAGGACGAGCGTAGAATGATGACAAGGACTCGGGGGTCAAAAGTTAAACTCAGGCGGATAATTGAGCGCCCGCCAAGAATGAGTGGTGCATACTAAGCGTCCAAGCCAAGAGATCAGTTAGGCACTCAAGTAAGGGACTATGAGCGCCTAACTGGGGGGCAATTGTTGGGGGTATTACTAAAGGGGCCCAAGAAGAGTCCATTTAGGTGAAGGTAGCCCAAGGCCATGGGCCAGGAGAAGAAGCCCGGAATTGTTGAGGGCATTACTAAAGGGGCTCAAGAAGAGCCCAGTTAGGTGAAAGTATCCCAAGGCAATGGGCCAGGAGAAGAAGCCGGCAAAGCCCATTGCACTCCAGGCAGCATAGGCATGGAGGCAAAGCACTAAGGGCCAAAGAGGTCCAGGCTGGCAAGTGGTCCCCCGCCTGTGGGCGCCTGCCAGCCGACATAAGCCTGACAAGGTGGTTGGGGATTCTGACAGAAGTGAAGGTACAAAGCATTTAATGAGATGGTGACGTGGAGGAGATCCACCTCGAGCTCGGTGAGTATAAATATGGGCAGTTGGTAGCATTTACACAGGTTGGACTCTCTCACTAAAACTTATAGTTTCATACTTCTCTCTCTATAATTGGAACTAACTTGGGCGTCGGAGGATTAATGGGCCCAGGCGCCCCCCTCAGTGTGTGTGTAGGTCAGGCGCCTAAGGATTGGCTAGTAGGACTAAGGCGCACCAAGGAGCGGGCTTCAAGTGCGTGTGTGTAGGTCAGGCGCCTAAGGATTGGCTAGCAGGACCAAGGCGCCCCAAGGAGCGGGCTTCAAGGTGAGGCGCCTACAGGGCGTTAAGTAGGAATCGGGCGCTCAGAAGATCAGGCTCCAAGTGCGTGTGTGTAGGTCAGGCGCCTAAGGATTGACCAGCAGGACCAAGGCGCCCCAAGGAGCGGGCTTCAAGGTGAGGCGCCTACAGGGCGTTAAGTAGGAATCGGGCGCTCAGAAGATCAGGCTCCAAGGTAAGGAGCCTAAGGTGTGACCAGTAAGGCGAATTGTATGGGCACAAACAGATTGTTATTAAAAGTTTGGTGTTGAGGTGTGAATGTTGGTTTTCTTGAGCTAATATTTTTTTTGGACAATGTTTATTTGACTGAATCACACAGGTGCACTATGTCACAAGTACCTAAGATGTTGAAAATCAGTATTGTGCTTTATGATCATTGAGAATGATAATGTAAAGCAATATTAATTGATCATAAAACGTTAATAATGTCATTAGAAATCATTGGAAGAGGCATGACTAGATAGTGATAAACATGACTTGAAAATGTGAATCATTAGTACTAAAGATGTTGTAAATCAATGATATTGTTATTCAAACTGTTAATGACCATGCTACATAACTTTAACGATTCATTCATAGGCGTTGATGACGAAACTATAAAACAGTAACAATTGATCCAAAATTGTTAATAATGTAATTGTAAAGAATTGATAAGTATATTGAAGTCGTTAATAATGATGAGGTATAATAATAACGATTCATTTCATAAATGTTGATAATGTCATTGCAAAATGTTAATACTGTATTGCAAGTTGTCACGAAGTGAGAGAGCATATATTTTAATTTTCAATTTTCATTTTAAAAAATAAAAAATATTAAGTTCGAATTTATTGAATATTAAATAATAATATTTAATTAAATTAATTTCGAATTTCCTTTTAATTGTAGTGGAGAGAGAGGGTTATAGAGAAGATCAAGGGGAGAGAGAAAGAGAATCATTAATGAGTAATATTAATTATATTTTCATAATATCTTATTTATTCTAACTAACTATTAACTACTAACTCCTATTAACTGCCTAGTATTAACCAATAAAAATGGTTTAAGAACCTCCTTAAACAATGAGACTTAAGGACCGGATCCAACCCGAATCTACTAATATCCAAATTCCAAACGCAGGCATCCAACGAGCAACGGCAGAAATTGGGAGAGGGTGGTGGAGGCTTCCTCTTAACGAGAATCAAAACCGCTCTTCCGGTCATTAGTATTCTTAATTAATTAGTTAATTATCCCTCACATAAGTAACGAACAAGTGACAAATGAACCGTCTGATAATCGTGATACATGGATCACGCCATCGGCCATTCTCAACATCCCCGAATATAATACGTCCATGGTATAGGATTAGAGCATCTTCATCAATGCAATTGCAAAAGAAATTACATTTGTGTTTTTTATTGTCAACTCAAATTTTTTACAATCCACATCACATTCATTTCATTCAGCTACATCAATGCAATTAACCTGCAATTGCAAATGTAATTAAATATTATGTTTAAATTATAAAAATTAATTAAAAGAGAAAAGAAAATAATATAAAATAAAAAATCCCCATTTTTTTAGTCTTTTTTGACTTGCATATGGAATTTCATTTGTTGCAAGCTTGCAAATATGCAATTGGTAGCCATAGCAATGCAATTAATTTTGCAATTGCAAACACCTATGCCATGTCATTTTGCAAGTGAAAATGCAATACCAATGTGGATGCTCTTAGGGCGGTTAATGATAAGTAGGGTAGGGTAGAGAGTCTTGTTTTATTTGGGGGTATCATGTTATTCACTTCAACTCATTTATCATGGTATCATGTTATTCACTTCATCTTCTTTTTTGTGTGATAGTTCGTAAATTTCACCTAGTTCATATCATGTAATCTCACAGTAATTAGTATTTATTATTTAAACAATCAGCGATACACGGTTTATCTCTTAAGTTATACTTTCTTTTTTTTTGACAAAGGGATCACTTATATTGCTCAACTGGTAAAATTGGTTACAAAGAAGGGATACAACATGAGAAAACAAATCAAGAAAGAACAGCCTCAACATCCAGAGGAACACACAAACCAACGAGGAAAAAATCAGAACAAGAGAAAACCAAGCATGATCCAACTAGACAAGGGCATTCCAATCTTGAGCCGCAAGAATAACTCTTTGCAACCTCATTAATCAGAAAAACTCAAAGGAAAGCTTCAGCTCATCCAATACAGAAATGACCATGATGATTGAACATTGCAACACCATATGCCACCTCCTGGGAGTTGTTCGAAGACGACCCATCACAGTGAATCACCGAAGAGATTACATGGCGGTGGGCAGGACTATACAGGATTGTTCAGAACTGAAACAAAGAGAGGGAGCCGGCAACGAATGCATCCATGACAAACCAGAGAGCAGGGAACACAAAGGATTGAAATACCCACAAAAACCACAAGAAAGAAGACCCACCAGCCTGCAGAAACACAAAGCCAAAAAGAGATCCAAGAACAAGAACACCAACGAGCAGCACAACCCACACCATCAACAACAACCCACACCCACACTGCAAATCAACCCCAAGGAAGAACTCCGATCTCATAGAAACATGGACCATCCGCCACGACATTCGGAAGAGACACCGCTACTAGGGGTGGAAATCGGTACGGTATCGGTATCCCAATATCAAATCCCGAATACCGAATTACACCCTAAAGTCAATCCCAATCCCAATCCCTAAATAATTTTGGTATCCCAATCCCAATCTCTAAATATTTTGGTATCCCAATCGGTACTTCGGTATCCCAATCGGTATTATCGAATACGAAATTAATTACCTTTGCAAGTAATAATTAAATACATAAATTAGATTTGATTGTTTAATTTAGGGCAAAGAGACTAAGTAAAGAGTCTTGAGGTTGCCTAGAGCTAGGATATGGATAAGGAGAATGGATGAGAGGTGATATCTCAAATTCTTGTCATTGGTAATCCTTAATTTGACGAATTGGAGGTTGAGAGCCGACTAATACTAGTGTTTGTTTTTTGGTGTTATTAAAATAACAAGATATTAGGTGAGAAACGAGAGTCACTTAATCTGGAAAGTCAAAATTGAGTTGGATGGGGGCTTCTAGGTTGTGAAAGAGTGTAATCACTAAAGGTTGTGTGTTATATTTCATTAATTTTTAATTTTTGGTATTTCTTGGTATTTCGATATATACCGATCCCAATCCCGTAATCCCGAATACCGAACAGCACTACAAAATGAATCCCAATCCCTAAAAATAAGTCGGTATTCGGTAATACCAAATAGTGATAAATTCGGTACGGTATTCGGTATATACCAAATACCGGTACCAAACTTTCAGCCCTAACCGCTACCCACACTGACGATTGGCAAAGATGCAAAGATCAAGCAAGGAGCACAACGGCAGAGGCGGAACGGTGAACATGATCGCCCACGGGGACGACCACACCAAGAATGGGGTAATCTTCAAAACCGATCCCGCAGAAGCACCCCCAAATTGCATCTTCCGTACCCAAAACAGAGGAACATATCTATAAAACTAGATCTGAACAAGACACAACATCTCCACCAGGGAGGAATGTGGGAGGAACCACTTAGGAACCGAGAGAAAGCCACCAAGGGCTGGAAGAGCCATCGAGGGCGGGAAAATCAGAATAGATCTGCAAAAGTCGATAGGGCAAAGGAAACAGGAAAAGCCAGCGATGATCGGAGAGCAAGGAAACCACAAAGGAAATTCGGCGAGCAAGAGAAAGGAAGAAAAAAGAGAGAAATTGGGCCACCGCCGGTCACCAGAGTGGTGCAGGCAGCAGCCCTGTGAAGAAGACGATGAAAAGCTATAGAGAAGGTGGAGGTTTTGAAATAGGAGAGAGATGGTTAATCCTGCCTTAAGTTATAAATGAAACATAAATGCTCGTGCACCCGCACACTGAAAATCTTAAGCACCATATGAAGTGAAGAATGATGATATCCAACTATAAACAAGCTTACTCATAAGATAACGGATCGATTTTCTCACGTATTGTTATGACTTATATATTTACTATTATCGCATTTATCTAAAGTTTCAAATTCCGCAATCGCGCTGGCTCTTACTAACGAGTCGTAATATTGAGACATCCGATGAGTTTCAAAACTAGACGGTTGAAAGTAAAAACCGGCCAACATCTCGTGAAAACTGTGCGATAAGAAGAAGGAAGAAGAAGGGAGCGCGCAGCTGGTGGTGGAGCGTTAGCATTTTCTCTTCTCACACTGTCAACACACAACTTCCCTCTCCTCTTTCCTTCACCATTTTCACATTCCCTCATTCAATTCCGTCCATATATAGAACTAAAGAACTCCTCTCTCTCTCTCCATTCCCATTTAGATTTCCGTAAAATCCAAACTGTTTCTTCCAAATCGATACCATCAAATCGGCGAGTTAATTGGGTTATAGGTAAAAAAGATCACATCTTTTTTTTTACGATGCGTTTCCACCAAGCCGCGGCGGCAGTCTGGGACGACGGCGGCGGCGGCGCCACACCGCCGCCGAAGCTCTCCCTGTTCTCTTTACCCGCCGGAGTGAAGGGCGCCCGCCACTACTCTCCCGCCGGCCCGCCGCCGCCCACGCCGCCGATCAACCGCCTCGCCTCCGTGCCGTTCAAGTGGGAGGAGGCTCCCGGCAGGCCCAGGCCTCCCCGCCGCCGCCTCGACCACGTCGAGCCCGGCGCGGAAACGCGGTGCTTGGAGCTGCCTCCGCGGCTGGTTGCGAGCGGCAGCAGCAGCGGGAGAGTGTCGAACATGCCGTCTCCGCCGGCGGAAGAGGCGGAGGGCCCGGCGCCGAAGCGGTCGATGTCGTTTACGAGCGGCCGGGCCGGGGTCGGGTCCGGGTCGGGCAGGTGGGGGAATCTGGTGACGAAGATGACGTCATCGTCGGCGGCGAGGAACAGGAAAGGTCAACTAGTGGCCAACTTTGACTCCACGGAGATAATAATCAGCAGTAGTTGCGTGGACGATGATGATGACGACGACGACGATCAACGGAATGTGAAGATCTCGAGGATCAGGAGGCGGCGGAGCTTGTTCAACTTGTCGGCGGCAAGCCGGCCACAGGCATGCTTGGTATAATCCCTCGTTTACTAACCTTATGGTCTACAATCAAGTCAATTTTAAGTAAAAGCATTTTGGTAATTCTAAAAAACGCAAGTGAAAAGCAACAGCCAAAGCGTTTTAGTGACCTGTAAACGCGTGAAGCTGTAAACTTTCAAAGTTTAAAGCGCGATTTTGATTACCTTGGGTGAAAACTTGAGCGTAGTTTTGTTAGTTGATGAACAATTTGATCTGCTTTGTTGTGGGGTCTGCAGAACAGCATTTACAGGAGCTTTAAGAAGATGGTGATGGTTCCAACCAGAAGGAGCTAGTGGCTAGCTGGCTGTGGCTGGGGAGTGAAGTCGTCGGCGGCCTCGCTCGTCGTCGACGGGTGGAGTGGAAGAGAGTATTAATGGAGTTGTTGGGTTAACAGTCAATAAATAATTGCAATTATAAATATGATGATGATGACATATATACATGTGACTGTCGTCGTACGTATGGAAATTGGAAACCATATGTTTTTGTGTAATATAGCCGATAATGTTGAAGTATGGTGGAAGAATTAATATGGAGTTAGTAGCTAGGTAGGGTATGTCTAGCATTTAGGGGTGTCTCGGAAGATCGATTATCCAACCCCCAGTGGTAATTTACGTATAGACAAAAATATATATAACTGGTAGTCTGGGACACTCTAAAATTTGAAAACGATTATACTACTCTCGTTTGTAGTTTGCGTATGAGAATATAAGTGGTAGTTTGGGTAATTCAAACCCGGGACACTACTATTACTAATAAAATATAATTTCCATCAGGCTACAACTTTATTTTTCATTAGCAAAACCATATTCTCTATCTTTAATTATTTTCCAAAACCTAACAATTAATCTAATTACAAGCTATCCTTTAATTTGTATTGATTTTATGGTTGTACGACAAGTGTTGAAATGTGTTTTTTCGACTTTGAGTGACATCATGAACAAATTTAGAAGTCAAATATGCGTTAGTTCGTGAATGATTGTCTAGTAGGATATACCAAGACAAATTTGTTGACCAGTGTAGACACCAAGTATTTTTTATAATTTTTTAGAATATGAAAATACATCATTGACTTTTTTTTTAAAACTTGTAGGAGTTGGGTATTTTCTTATTATAGAATAATATAATTTTTATTAAATTATCTTACAAAATATTAAAACAGTTTGGAAAAAGCCGGTTGCCACGTAAGCCTCGGAGCATTGCCCGCAAGTTTCGGAACTATTAGTTTTTCCCCTTATTTTGTTTTTGTTATGAAAATATTATTATCATTATGGATGACCAACATTAGATGCTCCATGGTATGTTACAAATTCTATGTAACTCATCTCCTTATATTTATTTCTTCATATGACACATTAGATGCACAATTGGTTGTTACATGTAACCCCCCACCCCATTTCTATTTCACATTCATTCTCACATTCATGTATATTGATTGTAAGAATGTAGAGGTTATGTGATGTGTGCCTATAAAGAGATGATCTCCTTGTACTAAGGAATACATGAATAAGAAGAACTATTCCCCTCACTTCTTTTGTGTCTTTCCTCCTGCAATCCTCTCTTGTAGTTGCTTACATTTCCATTAGTTTTATAACACGTTATCAGCACGAAGCTCTGCCAAAATTATCATTGCTCAAGCCTCAAAGACTCTCGACATAATGTAAAATATTGGAGTAAGATCACAATATGATCAAGGTATGTAAATCTTGGATCCTTTCTTATCTTATTGTCTTATTTATGTTGAGATTATCTTATTCCAATATATCAAGATGGGTGATACTTCTCATATCCATTGATATTTTATCGCGTCGATCTATTTGGATTAACAAGAAAAGTAATATAAGTGATGAGTTAATTTCTCCGTTCTCTGTGTTATCCTATTCTTATCAATCATACATTGATATGTAGAAAATGCAAGTTCCAAGAGCCCATATATTCCCCAGAAGTGGAAATTGAAGAATTCAAGGGCAAAGAAAGAAAAGGACATGGTAATAAGAATATTGGTTCTGTATGTTACCATTATAATGGAAAAGTGTATTGGACTTGTGATGATGAGAAATATTATATAATTTGATCCAAAGGCTGTTGTTTCATTCCTGGAAGCGAATGAAAACAAACCATTCTTAAAAGTGAATGGATCGAGACACACCATTATATTAATATAATTTGGTGTTTGGATAATGACAATCAGCAAATGTATCTTTCACCGGAAGTGAAAGATAACATAATTATAAATGAGGATGACAATTCATGTAGCAAAAGTCATGATCATATACTGTAACCTTCGTATGCCGAAATGTGTTATGAAACACATATATGTTGTTGTTGTTGTTGTTATTTTGTATGCTTTTGTATAGAATGAATATTTGCAAAAGTCAATACTGGTATTATATCATGAAGTAAGCAAAATCTCCGGAAGAGATTGTGTTTTGTTACTTGAAGTAACTAAACAATATATTGGTGATATCTATAGTATGAAAATATTATTATCACTATGTATATGCGCTTACAATAGTTCACCGAATCAGAAGGTGCCTCATGGCCAAAATGTAGTACACGTGTATGTGAAGGCTCCAGAAGAGCTAATGTTTTGAGACGTGAATGAACTAAACTGTCAGTTGAAGATGCATTACCGAATTATGAAGATATTCGCAGAAAAGAATATCATAATTGATATTGCATCAGAAATGTGTTATAAGAGAACATATACTTAACTAGAGAAATTTGTACTACATGTATATTAGTACATATGAAAGTGTAAACCAGAAGTTTGCAAGATCGGCTAACTTTTTATTTTGGCATGTCCGGTCATACCATCCCGGATACATATGCGAAAATGATTGAGATATCGTACGAAATTAAGTGAGAGTTCATAGAATTCATCAATCAAAGGATTGATTATGTGATACATGGTCTCGAGGAGAATATAATCGTGAAAATAATTGATTCTGTTGAGATTTTATAAAAGTGTATGCAGAAAAATACACTCACCGTGCAAATCATATATGAATTTTATGATTTTGATTGATTCATAAACTATATCGTCATATATGTCTGTTATCTAAACGCAACCTGATGTTTGCTAGATTAGTTGCCGAATGATGGATATATTTTGATGATTATCCAATCAAACAGAACTTCTCTTATGAGAAGAAACTAAGTCTATCGATCTCTTATCGAGCCATATGATATCATTAATTCGCATGAAGCCAACAAGTTATCATAAGTTCCCCCCTTTCATATAAATGGTTTTGGTCAGGGACCAAACATTTAAAATGCTAGAAAATTTGGGTGTGCAGAATACATCCCAATTGCTCCACCACAACACGTTATGAGTTCCATCAGAACTTATATTGGACATGGTGTCCATTGCAATGAGAGATTTTTTCATGACTCTTTTTGCTAACATCATCATTTTGATGAGTTCCTTTTCGAACGTTAAGGGGGAGAAAAGTAAACAGTTGGGCATAGATATGAGTTGGAATCATCATTATCGCATTTTGATCCTCAAACCAAGAAACATGAACCCGAAGTTCATATGGTGATTCATGGAAAAAAAAAACGTATTGATTGCCAAACGCCTTTTTACTCACTAAAAGGAGTGATTATGTCACATGCCCAGTTGTGAATGCTCCAATACAAATTGATGTCCATATTGGATAATCTAACGAGTCTAAACGAGCGCATGAAGCGTGGTAGACCAATCGGTTCCAAGGATAAAAATCCTCGAGAAAGTAAGGAGCTATAAATTAAGATGGTAAACTCGAGGATAAAATAGCTCTAGAAGAGTCAAGTCATAAAATTGAGATCATAGTTCCAGAAGAATAGTAGGTACCTGAACGTTTTAAAATGAAGAGATCTCAATTAATTGGCTTGTATGAAAAAAGTTGGAACCGAAGTGTATTTATTGTCGACAAGGGTTATGCTGTAGCACTAAACGTGATAGATACAAAGATGATCAAAAGTAAAAGTCTATTGATGCATGCAAAGGAATATATATTGGCCAATATAAAAGAAAGCATTAGGCTATTTGGTATAAGTTTTGGACCAGAAGTCCTTACACCTGAAGATGTAAAACTAACGGGATACAAATAGGTTTTGTGCAAATGCGTATGGAAATTGCGAGAGATATAATGCAATTTCTCATGAGAGGTTTCTGGTAGAAACCTGACATCAATTATGAAGAGACATACTCTCTTGTGGTGGATGCAACTATGTTGTGCAATTTAAATAGTTTGGCAGTTCAAAAGGCATGAACATTTGGTAGATATTGTGATAGCCTATTTGTATGGATCCCTTGATAATGATATTTATACGAAACTCCTTGAAGGATTAGTTTGCCGGAAGCAAACATGTGAAGTTCTCGAGAACAATATCGATCGATAAAACAATCCTTTTTATGGATTGAGATAAAATGGATGAATATGGTATATTCATCTAAGTGAATATCTACTAAAGGAAGTGGTCGTATAAGCATTGCGTGATTAAATTCGAATAAAGTGCATTAGAGCATTTGCATTTTGCATGTGTGATTGTGTAATGACATATAGGCTTATGTGCGTGATATTGTGGTTTTAGTTATGTGTTTGATTTATGAATGTGGTTTGGTTAAGTGATGTTGTGTGTATGACGTGCCTTTTGCTTGTGACCTTGTGTTATGAAGTAATTGCTTGCGTACAATTGTGTTAGCTAAGTTTTACAGTTATTTGGAAGAAAAGAGTCGAGACATTATTTTATAATGATCTCATATGTTTTAGTTGATATGAACTCCAGAAGAGCTTCATAAAGCATGGTTTGCTTAAAGAAAGAAAATTGAACATGGAGGATTTAAGAAGATTCTTTTTGGATCAAGACGACAATGTCGGAAAAGTGAAAGAACAATTTTGTATGGAAAAATTGCATACGTTCAATAGCCAAATGATCATAAGGTCACTAGAAGTGAACAAAGATCAATTTAGGCCTTGAGATAGAAGCGAGTTATTAGGTCCTGAAGTACCATATGCCAATGTCGTTAGAGCAAAAATGTATATTGCTATACTTCATTAAGTTATACTTTGTTACCTATTGGTAACGATGAGGATCATAGATGAGTAATTTGTTTACTCATGGTCGTACAAGTATCTCATGGAGAGTTCAAAGAAATCACAATAACAACATCATCTGATCATGAACAATGGTCAACAATTCATGAGACTTGTTATGAATTGTTTGGTTAAGATTTGTGATTCAAGACGTCTAAATGACTTTTGGTTGCGGATTATATTCATAGAAAATGATCTTGAAGATCATGTATGAAGAAAATGGTCCTAATGGATCATGCATAAAGTGACAATCTAGAAGATTTGTTCACTAAGAAGCTTACCATGACAATATTTGAAAGATTTGTTCACAATACTATTGATGTTGTCATGAGGGGGAGCATATACGCACTGCACTCTTTTTTCCTTAACCATGGTTTTTCCCACTGGGTTTTCCTGGTAAGGTTTTTAACGAGGCAGATTCAAATAGCGTATTATGATGATTATGTACTCTTTTTCCTTCACTAGGATTTTATCCCACAGGGTTTTTCCTAGTAAGGTTTTAACGAGGCATATTCATGTCTAATGGTCATCCAAGGGGGAGTGTTATGAAAATATTATTATCATTATGGATGACCAACATTAGATGCTCCATGGTATGTTACAAATTCTATGTAACTCATCTCCTTATATTTATTTCTTCATATGACACATTAGATGCACAATTGGTTGTTACATGTAACCCCCCACCCCATTTCTATTTCACATTCATTCTCACATTCATGTATATTGATTGTAAGAATGTAGAGGTTATGTGATGTGTGCCTATAAAGAGATGATCTCCTTGTACTAAGGAATACATGAATAAGAAGAACTATTCCCCTCACTTCTTTTGTGTCTTTCCTCCTGCAATCCTCTCTTGTAGTTGCTTACATTTCCATTAGTTTTATAACAGTTTTTGTTTTCCCGTTTTTTGTTTGTTTTTTTGTTTACCTACATTTCAAATTTACCCACCCACCACAAAAAATAACAAAATAAAAGGGTAATTTATTCAGGATAATATTCACCAAGCAAAAGTATAAAAAAAAAGTGTGCAAGTTCCTACTATAGTACATTAAAATTTCATTATTTCAATAAGAATTTTCAAATTTGAAACCACAAAATTTAAGAAACAAATTTATTATAAGGGCTATAAATCATATAGGTTGTACTTAAAAAATCAACATAGGATATTGGTGCTGAAATCATGGTTTAACTATCGTTCAACCATTTCATATTATTTGAAGCTGCCAACCGATTTAACTATTGGTATGAGACCTTTTAGGTCGAACTACCAGTATAGTACAGTTTTAGACACTGATTAACTACCGAACGAGCATATATACACCAGAAATTTGGAGCATATATTATTCAAGATTATGGATTTGATTGTCTTCAATTATACAAATCGTTATATAAGACGCTACACTGAAACTTGATAAACAACCAGTTCATTAAAACAAATAAAATTATAGAAATACTCCCCCAAAAGAATGGGTCAATATTAAAGAGTTTAACCATCATAAATTGACATAATATTTAAAGAATGAGAATTTTTAAGGTATGTTCACGATAGATTTAGTAAATAAACAATATTTTTCGATTAAGAGTTTAATGTCATCGCTTACAAACATGCATTCTTTATATTAAAGAGCATTTCTATTATGCTATAAAGAATGTGTACTTTAATGTACAACTTTGTACTATAACGTTAAATGTATAAGTTTAGATTGTACTATAACGTTAAAAATTAAAATTGTATCGTCACATAAATGTACAAGTTCATGCACTTCATATTGTACCATAAAATAGTATAGGTACAATATGAAGTTGTCACATAACATTAAAGGTAAAATTTCAAGTTGTACCATAAAGACAAAACCCCATACCACCAATGCTATATAAAATTATAAAATTCTTCTATATTAAATAAAAAAATGTCAATTTAGAAATTAGTTTATCTCTTAACTATTAAAAAGATAAAAATTCTTCTCTCTTCTCTCTCTTCTTCTCTGAACCCTAAATCGCGATTTCTGCCCGATGGCGGCCGTCACTGATGGTGCGGCAGCCGTCGGTGACGGCCGTTCGTGGGTGTCTTTATTCGGGATTCCGGAGGATAACAGGTTGGATTACTTTGAGCCGGAGTTTGTAAATGGCTCGCTGAGGATTCCGAGAGAAGTTGTGGAAGAAGGTGCGAAACGTTGGGAGAATAGCCTGGTAGGGCAGTTTATTGATCGCCCGGCGTCGCTATCGGCTATCAGGTACTGGGCAAATTGGATCTGGGGGAAGGATGGGGAAGTGCGAGTATCGGGAATGGGGAGAAGGTTAGTCCTCTTTCAATTTCCAAATGCCGAGATCTGTCAATGGGTCTTCGAAAGCGGACCTTGGCATCATAGGGAGAATCCTCTGTTTCTGCGAAAATGGGAGCTAGGGATTAGCCCTTTGAAGCTAGATAACTCGGTTCTGCCAATTTGGGTAAAACTCACGCATTTGCCAACAGAACTAACTTCTAAAGAGGGGCTGGGGCGTGTAGCTAGCTCTCTGGGTCGGCCACTTTGTATGGATAAATCCACTTCTCGAGGTCTGAAGGTTGGAACTGCTCAAATCTGTATTGAGGTAAAGGCCAGTTCAAAGAAGATTTCGAAGCTGAGTGTTACTCCAGATGGGCTACCTGAGATATTCATTGAGGTTGAGTATTGCCACATGCCGAAAGTGTGTGAAAAGTGTAGTATGTTTGGGCATAGCTGCAGCATGACAGGAGAGACTGCAAAGCAAGAATGGAGGAAGAAGGTTCCTGTTATTGGCGAGATTCAGACGGATAATTTAGACAGAGGAAAGGAAATACAGACAGAGCCTGCAGCAGTACTAGAAGCTGTGGATGGTGTTGCACCTGCAGCAAGTGTGGTTGATAAAGGTAAGGCAGTGCTGATTGAGGAACCAGTGGGTGCTATTCAGAATGCAGATGCTAATACTCCACCGCCACAGGGAGGTTTGGTTGATGCAGATGGCTTTACACTGGTGGTCAATAAGAAGAATAAGGTCTGGGTTGGTTCAGGGTCTACTTCTCAAGGGCCACGCAATCTATCGAGCAAGCTGGCTGCGGGTCAGGCTAATGGGAAAACTGTGAGGGTTGCTGTTCAGCCTCTTCCTCCCTCCCCTCCAAAAGGGAGAGGTAGAGGAAAGAAGCGCAAATGAGAATCCTAAGCTGGAATATCAGGGGTTTCAATGCTCCTGATAAGCACTCAGCAGTACTAGAACAGCTGAGGGCAAAGAATATAGATATTATAGGTCTGTTAGAAACTAGAGTAAAGGAGGTAAATAAAAATACTATAGTGAAGGGTCGTTTTTCTGCCTGGGAGCATTTATCAAATTATGCTAAGTCTGATAATGGTAGGGTATGGATATTCTGGAGGGCAGGGTTGAGAGTTACTCTGGTTGCTGAAGGTAGCCACTATATACAGGTAAGGGTTGATGACGTTAAGCCTTTTTCAGTGGTTTTTGTCTATAGCCCTAACAAGGAAGAAGATCGTCGAATTCTGTACCAAGAGCTGGTAAAACTAAAGGATAATGGAGTGCCAATGCTTTATATGGGGGACTTTAATGCCATCTCTGAAGTAACTGATACTTCAAGCATCCAGGTAATAACCCAGAGTATGCAGGATTTTTGTTATTGGATACAGGGTATGGAGTTAACAGAACATAAGACAACTGGCAGCTGGTTTACTTGGTGGAATCATCAGAGGGACAATCCAATAGCTCGTAGAATTGATCGTATTCTTGTTAATGAGGCATGGCTCGAAGGATTTAAGGATAGTTCTGCTTACACAAACCCTCCTGGAGTATCAGATCACTGTGGTCTGATTGTGAACACAAATCCAAACCTGAAGACCTTACCTAGACCATTTAAATATTTTGTGTTTTGGCAATCCCACCCTAAATATTTGGATATCATTCTACATGCTTGGAAGAAGAAGGTTGTGGGGTACCCCTCTTATGTCTTCTATGGAAAGCTTGCTCAAGTGAAAAATGATCTGAAGCAGCTCAATCGAGTAGCATATTCAGATATTTCTTGTCGAGTAAGGGTGGCAGTTGAGGCACTGGAGAAAGCTCAGGAAAAGGTACTGAATGATCCTAGTGATATTAATGTTGCAGAGGAGCAGAAATTGGGACTGGAGTATGGAGAACTTAAAAAGGCTGAGGAGCTTTACTATAAGCAAAAATCTAGGGCTCAGGCTATTCAGGAAGGAGATTCTAATACAGCCTACTTTCACAAGTTGGTCAAAGTTAAGACACAGAGGCAGCAGATAACCAGAATGCGAAATGATCAGGGGTTAATTGTTACTGATATTCAGGAGATTGGTTCAGTTGCAGTGGACTTCTACTCAAAATTAATTGGGACTGAGGATTCACAAGTTCAGCAGCAGTCAGTAGCTTTTTATCAAGAGTTATTACAGCATAAGCTTACTAGGGAAGAGGGAGAGTTTCTACTGCAGGGAATTACAAGAACAGAAATAAGGAGTATCTTCTTCTCTCTTGGCCGGGACAAGGCCCCAGGCCCGGATGGTTTTCCTGCGGAATTCTTCAGAGCTCACTGGGACATCATTGGGAAGGAAGTGGAAGAGGTAACCCTTTCTTTCTTTGCAACTGGAATTATGCCTGCTATAGTGAACAGCACTATTTTTACATTGGTGGCAAAGGTTCCTTGTGCCGAAAATATGAAGGATTTTCGTCCTATTTCGTGTTGTAACACGTTATACAAAGGAATTTCAAAGCTCTTAGCAAATAGACTAGCAAAGGTGCTTCCAAGTGTTATAAGCAGATCTCAATCTGCGTTTATAAAAGGAAGAGCTATTAGTGACAACATTTTGTTAGTTTCTGAGCTTGTGAGGAATTATCACTATAAAAATATAAGCCCTAGATGTGTGGTAAAGATTGATATCATGAAGGCTTTTGACTCTGTAAACTGGAAATTTTTGTTTACTGTCATGGAGGCAATGGGGTTCCCACCTAGGTTCTTGAAGCTTCTGATTGCTTGTGTAACTACTCCGATGATTAAGATAGCTCTGAATGGGGGGTTGTGTGGTAATGTCAGGGCGCAAAAAGGTTTGAGGCAGGGTGACCCTCTGTCACCCTACCTTTTCACTATAGCTATGGAAGTCCTGGATGGTCTTGCGGGGAAAGCAGCAAGGGAGAACCAGATCCCTTTCCACCCACGTTGTAAACCACTAATGATCACGCACCTTTGTTTTGCGGATGATTTGATGGTCTTCACAAATGGTTCAGTGAGAGGGGTGGCAGGAATTAGAAGGTTGATGGACAAATTCTATACTCTTTCTGGTTTGAAGTGCAATGCAGCCAAGTGCCAATTATTCTGTGCTGGTATATCGAGGGAAGAGCAGCAGTATATCTCCACTATAACAGAGTTTCCTCTGGGATCCCTCCCTGTCAGATATCTGGGAGTGCCTCTGATAACTGGTAAGCTCTCTAAGCAGGATTGTCAAGTGTTAATTGATAAGATTACACAGAGACTTAGAGGCTGGAGGTCGCGGTTATTGACTTATGCAGGGCGAGTTCAGTTGATATCATCTGTCATTTCTAGTACTTTGCAATATTGGCTTAACATTTTTCTGCTCCCTAAGTATATAATTAAGGAGGTAGAAAGGTTGTGCAATGAGTTTCTTTGGGACTCAGCTGATGGAGGTACAAGGAAGAGGGCTGTGATGGCATGGCATAAACTGGCACTACCAAAGAGTGAAGGGGGTCTGGGAATAAGAAATTTTAGTCTCTGGAACAAGGCCTGTGTGTTAAGGCATGTTTGGGAGATTTTGACAAATGGTGGTTCACTCTGGGTAGCCTGGGTCTCAAGGTATCGACTAAAGCAGAGGACATTATGGGATATATCGACCTTATCTGCAAGGACATGGACTTGGAGGCAGTTTTTGAAATGTCGAGATATTGCTGCTGGTTTTATTTCAGGTGTTCCCCCCAGTCTGTGTTGGCAAGGTCAGCAGATGCAAAGATACTCTGTTAAACGAGTGTGGAATGCAATTAGAGAGCGGCAACCTACTGTGGAATGGCACAAACTGGTATGGTCAAAGGAAGTTATTCCTAGACATGGTTTTACCCTATGGATGGCTATGCAAGACAGATTGGTACTGCAGGATAAGCTTCTGTCATGGGGCAAACAGGTTTCTGGGCTATGTCTTCTGTGTCCAGGGGGTGTTGAAACACGTCATCATCTTTTGGTTTCCTGTGCTTATACTGTTTCGGTGATCAGAGGATGTATGAAGCAGCTGGCTCCCCCAGGGGAGGGTGACTGGGCTACGGTGGTGACCTGGTGTTGTAGGCACTGGGGGAAAAAGACTTCCATGCATGGTTTGTGTCGGCTAATGTGGAGCTCAGTGATCAGTTGTGTTTGGCGTGAGAGATGTAGCCGGTTGTATGGCTCAACTGGTATTCGACCCCCTAATGTATTAGTGAAGCAAGTGAAAGCTGATGTAACTCATAGAGTATTTAGTGACCCTGCTCTCCAGGCGGAATTAGAGTATATAGATAGTATACCTTGATAGGTTTTCTTTTGGTTTGGTTGTAATTGTTTGAGAGGCACATCAAGATTTTCCTTGATGTTTTGCCGGTGCTTCAATACAAGCTTTTTTGATTCGCATAAAAAAAAAAAAAAAATTAGTTTATCTAAAATTAAAAAGCAATATTCTTGAAGTAATGTGCAGACATCCAGACACCTTCCGGCCATTGGACACTAAAAGAACCATTGCTGGACACTAAAAGGAAAAACACACGAGACAAAAAAAAAAAAAAAAAACAGCCGTCATAAACTAATTAATAACACTCCGGCCACCGGGAAATTAAAACGGCAGCGGAGCGATATGGTTGTAGAGCCGCCGCTTCTTGTAGTTCGCCTTGAAGCAAGCCTGCCGCAGCCTCTTCGTCTTGTCCGTAAGCTCCATGTCCGGCGCCCTCTCAATCATCCTCCGGTGCTCCTCCAGCATCGCCGTCTCCTCTCCCATCCCCATTTCCTTAACGTTGTCGATGAGCGAATTCAGGCTCTTGATTTTCCGGTGCGGCCACCGCATTATGTTCAATTCCCTGCACCGCCGCTTCAGCACCGTTAAACCCACTTTCATTTCCTTGGCGGCTCTAGTGATGGGGACGTCGAAGTACTTCTGTATTTCCTCCAGTTCCAAACCTCCTCGCCGATGATCCCTTCCGCCGCCGCCGCAGCTCCTCCTCCGCTTCACTGTAACGGTCTCCGGCGGCGCAACGTCGAATGTAACGGGACCGGTGAGGAAATTATCGATATTTGGCGGCTGCGGCGCCGTTTCACTAAATTCGATTATTGGGCTGGGCAACGTGATATTAGAATAGTCATTGGGCCACTGGGCCCATAGTTGATCTATGTCGCCCAGTTCGTACAAATACGGGCCCGAGAGTCCGTCCATATTGCTGTCAGTGTATAAAGCCGGCGCCGGCGCCGGCAGTTGGGGCTCGAGTAGACGTAGTCTGCATGTAGTAAAAAAAAAAGTCATATTATGAGATGAAATCATTTTAATTGAGAAGTAGTAGCGCGATTCCGTTACTAAGAAAACATAGATAAACAATAGCAATAATCGATAAAAATTAATAGTCGGTGTATCGACAGAAGAGGACGTTAAAGAAAAAGGACTTACTCATCGTAATAGTCTTCCACGAAAGACCAATCATCGTCGAGAACTAGCGGCGGCTTTTGCTCCATGGCTGCTAGCATTTCATAAGCACTGTAATTACTGTTCATGTTCATGATATGTATTCCTTGTTTGTGGCTCTAAGGGGGTGAAATTGTGGTTCGAAGTTATTTATAGGTGTGTGTGGGAGAGTGGTTAATTCGTGGGGTGTAAAAAAAAATCAAATTAATGATGTGAGAGTTACGGTGAAAAAAAGAAGAAGGAAGGCGCAGTAATTAATAATTAGTGGGATAAGTGGAGTGGTTATATGTGTAATTATTATGTGGCGTGGTTATTGGGAAATTAAGTTGAGGATTTAATACAATGAGTGTAGGGGGTGGGGGGAAATGAACGTATGTACAGTAATTAATTACGATTAGCGAATACCCAAAAAACACGATCATCACTTGTTAATTAACGGTGGCCGGCATTGGTGGGGCTGCTAATAATTACTACTTAATAGCCCATCTAATCTAAATATCCTTTTAATTGCATTCACTCTACATTTTGATTGATGGACGGATGGATTTATGGGGGTGGATCGAAATGGATGAGTGAATTGTGTTTGTTAGATGTATGAATTGAATTTGAATTGATATCTCTAATAGCATGTGCGATCCCAGTGTTTTTTTGTTACATGTGAATTATTGTCGTGATTATCTCACATATCAATAAAAACTACAAGATCACGTGATTGTAGTAGCCATTTTGTTACACGAATTTAAGTTTCTACGATGCAAACCATAAGTAGAGTTACAACACTACTACTGACTTGACGAGTAGACAGTGTTCGAAATTCGCATATATCACTCCATCATCGTTGTCTATCAGAAAAATCAGCTAACGGGTCGTTTGGATGCATCATTTTGGTTCTATGGTATTTCGAATCCAAATGATGCATTATTTTGCTATGTGGCATTTCATGTGGTATTTTATTTTAAAATGTGGTAATTGGTGTAATTGTCTTGTTTGGATAAAACATTCAAATATTGTGGTATTTCAACACTTAAAGAATGGATGAAGTGGAAAAAGAAGTTGTGAGATGAGGTATTTGAAATAACTAGGGGGTGGGTACAGGGGCGGACTCACCTTTGACCCAAGTGTGTCACCTGACACACCTTGGTTTGAAATCTTTGTGAAGAACCCACAAATTTTAGATGTAAAAAAATACGAATATGGGACCTTTGACACACTTCAATAATTGTAATCGACAGACCTTATTACATTACAAAAAAAATTATTGTCATAATATTATTAAAATATGTAAATATAGTAGTTATCAGATTTCAGATTAGGTAGTTAATTAGTTGGTTGCACAAGAGTAAACAATTAATTGACTACTTAGTACATAATGAGTATTTAGAAAGATAGCTATCACCTTAGAGACAACATCGATAATTTGAATGAGACTTAAATTTGATTAATAAGCTGGGTGAGTCAAATAATTAGATAGTGAATTACAGGCTGTCTTTCTCCATAGCTTCTTCGATAGATTTTTCTTTAAGTTAATTTTCAACTTGCTTTGTAGTTTAGTTATTTCTTTCCACGTTGACGCCTGTAGCCACCCTTCAATTATCAGCATCGAGCCAACGACGTCCTCATGCTCATTCAAATTTCCACGTTGACACATGTGGCCACCTTCCTTCGAACTTCTCATACCAAATTTCTCATCTTAAATTAGTATTGACTTTACCTCTTGCAACTGAAAGCTACAAAATGACATTTTCCATATATGATTTGAATCAAGAACAATCTTTGGTATAAGTTGAGTGACCAATTTATGAATAATTGTTTCATTTTGTACATAAAAAATATTTGATTTGCAACCTAATGGACAATGCAATTAAGAAACCTTTAAGAATATGAAAAAACGTCGTGGTTCACTGTAATAAATAATGAAATTGGTGAAATTTTTGAATAATTTTTTTGTTTATTTTAAATTAATTAATTTATTAACGTTAATTAATTAATTTTTAATTCTCTTTTATTGGTCGACACACCTATCCCAAAATCCTGGGTCCGCCACTGGGTGGGTAGGTATTTCAAATAACTCACAATGAGTTATTTCAATTGACTCATGGACAAAATACCACATTCTACTTTATTTTTCCCAAACGAGTTATTTTGATTGAAACACCTCATTCTGAGTTATTTCGACCAAATTACCTCATCAAAATACTGCATCCAAACGACCCGTAAATAATCTTATCCATACATGGATCCTATATTAACTTTTGATCTGGAATTCTAGGGCACATCCACCAAACTAATTCATACTACTGCTGCGTTATAATTGAATCTCGATTTGTGTAGTTTTAGGAATCGGGATTTGTAGTTGTGAAATAAAAGCTTTGATATAGAAGAAGAAGATTCCCCATGAGATTCAAATCGGATCCAATTTTGGCGTGTGAACATGAATCTGTACGATGCGGCGGTGATGATAGTTATATTTTTGTTTTATGATTAATGGCTGTAACATGAACTTGTAAACAAATAAATCCATTTATTATGAACTCCAAATTGTTACTTATGGTGATTAGTGCTAATTAGACCCAATGCTAACCAGACTTTAAAATCACCCTATTACCGTCGTTAATCTCTTGCAAATCATTGTGTAGAAAGAGATGATAGACACATCGGCAAGTTTAAACAAAAAGTTGTCTCGTTTTGTTCTTTATCTACGCTCTCTCGCCTCCTCCATTCGTGCTTGATAGTTTCTTGCCTTCTCTTGTGGTTCGAGTTGACCCGCACAAAATCTTTTATTGTTTGACACGGTTCGCTTATGTCGCTCATTCTAAACTCAACATTTATGTGTTATATGATATTTCAATGTCGTAAACTGATTTAAATTTCATTAAACCCGTAAGGGACGAGAGCTCCTATCTTAAACCTGCCAATGATCATAATGAGAAAGCGGTTCTAGAATTGAGGAGTTCCGATCCAAAATTATAGCCTCGTATTCCTACTTCTTTTTTAGTTCTCAAAACTTAATATAAGCAAATAGCAATACCCGCATTCGGAGTTCTAATCCCCCACTAGATTTAAGGATATACCAAACCAACAAACAAAATAATTTATAAAATTTTGACTCCCTATTTGATGAACAAAGTTTAAGTCTTTCGAACTTCTTCTCCCACCCTTCAAATTCTCGGTTACAATACTAAATATAATCGTTTAAGAACACCACAAAAACGAACACAACAATAAGAACCATCTCTTGCAAAATGCAAATCACGCATTCATTTTGGTCTTTGATCGACACACACTATAATTTGCTTGTCAACTGATGGCCTACTGTCCATTATAAAAATAAAAATAAAACTGATGGCCCACTGCAGTGATTAGCCCACAGAAGAAAAAGCCTCTCATGAATGGTTGGGGATCCACATCAAAGTTGGGCCCAAAAATAAAGCCCAATTACTAATATTTTCGTATGGCCTGAACTTTAACCAAAATAAACATCCTGGCCAATATTTTCGATCTATAACATCCTGGCCCGAACTATACACCAAAATAAACAATTTGGCCAGATTCGATTTTTGACTTGGACGGTCAAACGCGTTGACCGTTAGTCAACGCGCCACGTCACTGCCAACTCAGCAAGTTTAAACAATTTTTTTTAATTTACACCTATTCTATTTTCTTTTAATTTATCATTTTGACAAAAAAAAATCGGGACAAAACACCCCACCCCGAGCCCTAACCTGATTCTTCCCCTTCTTCCTCTCCTCTCCAGTCTCCTCTCCTCTCCTCCTCTCTTCCTCCATTCCGGCCGCCAAAGATGTTGTAGAGAAGGATAGAATAGCCCAGCGCCTCCTGCAAACCTTCGACGGCGGCGGCGGAGGCATCGGCGGATCGATAAGCTAGCTCGGCCCACGGGCGGCGCTGCGAGAGGCCGTTGCGGACGGTGTCGGAGATCTTGTTGATGAAGGAGCGGAAGGTCGGGGTGGCGATCGAAGCTGGGATTGGGCAGACGCGGCGACGGAAGGAACGATGGTGGTGGTGACGGCATTTTGGGAATTCGAGATCGGGAGGATGGGGGAGATGGAGCAGCCATGGTTGAGAGGAAATTGATTTGAGGGAAGCACAAATCGTGTTTTTCATGGTGGTGCTTCCTTCGTTACATTGGCTCACTCAAATCAATTTGGGGACTTTGGCCTTCCTCTCTTAATCTTGTTTTTCTTTCCCCCAATGGGTTTCGATTTACGTTTTAAACAAGCAGCAGCGGAGGAGAGGACGGTGGCAGAAAAGGACGGAATACCGGAGATTTTTGTCGGTCGATGGAGGAGCTTCGACGAAGGAAGGAGAAGGTGAGTGACGGCGGGTGAATTTGTGGATGGGGATGGGGTTGGGGTTGAGATATGGATAAGGTAGGGTTTAGTTTAGGGCTCGGGGTGGGGCTTTTTGTCCCGATTTTTTTTTTTGTCAAAATGATAAATGAAAAGAAAATGAAATAGGTGTAAATTAAAAAAAATTGTTTAAACTTGCTGAGTTGGCAGTGATGTGGCGCGTTGACTAATGGTCAACGCATTTGACCGTCCAAGTTGACGGTCAAAAGTCGAATATGGCCAAATTGTTTATTTTGGTGTATAGTTCGGGCAAGGATGTTATATATCGAAAAGATTGGTCAGGATGTTTATTTTGGTTAAAGTTCAGGGCATACGAAAATATTAACCCTCGGAAAAAAACAAAACAGGTGCTAAATTTCCCCACTGAGTGCGACTCGCTTCTTCTTCTCCCACCAACCTTTGACCATCAAATTTCTAATCCTTCCTCAAACACCAACAAGAAAATCTCTTTCTTCCCCAAATTCCAAATTCCCACTCTGGCTTTTTTTCTTCCTTCAATCACGCAGCCTCTCCCGCACTACGTGCTCCCCTCAACGCAGCGCTTATTTCCCTTTTCCCTTTCTTCTTCTTCTTCTCCTTCTGCTTCCTGGCACGATTTCTTCATACCACTCTCTTTCTTATCACTCTGTCTCTCTTTCCCTCCCTGGCTACAGTACCGCTTCATTTCCCCCCTTCCCTCTTGGCTTTATATACCTCACCAGCTCACCTCCTCCTTCTTTCTACAAACAATTTAAGCCATTGGGACTCGAGAGCAATTGTCCTCACTCGACTGCTTAGTCAGACAACGCCGTCGTTGTGCTAGCATTAGGAAGCAAGAGGGGTCAGCCACTCTGAAACGCGTCCTGCCTTTACGTCTTCTGCTCGTTTGTCGATGGGGCAGCTGGGTTTTGCAGCGTAGAAGGGTTTCTCGCTTGGGAGAGAGAGAGAGAGAGAGAGAGAGAGAGAGAATCAGGTTAGTCTCTTTGATTCTTCATTGCCTAGAAGGCTAGAACTGTATAATTGACACTGTTTTCTGGTTCTGCTTATTGGGTTGAGGAATCAGGTGAGGGTTTTAGGTGAATCTGTTGGGGATTAAAATAGTAGTTTTTCCTTGTTCCTGCTTTTGATGCGCTTCATCTGGGAATCAAACAAACAAGGGGAATTCACGGGAAATGATTATCTTTTCCCCTTTTTGGATGTACTTAAAGAATTGGGTGTCGATTACTTTTAAGGGTTGTGAATTTATATTATTACTTTGTTTGAGAAGGAGGAGTATAGTTGAAGAATGCAGGATGGCATTTACTAATTTAGGTCTCTTCAGGAGGAGCAAAATGCAGTTGTTGGGAGTGTTTGGTGTGATTCTCTCTCTCTTTCTCCTCTAAATGTATATATTTTCCCCATTCTCTGAGCAGTTTCAGAAGCTTGTCTAATGGCTGAAAGTAGGGTATGGATTATAGAATTCAAATTTTAGAAAGGAATCTGTAGTCTGTAGGAAATCTTGAGCTCAAGTTTGTTGCTTTTGTCTCTTTTCTCTTGTTATCTTGTTGTTAAAGGTTGTTTCTGTCTCCTGGCATTTGATTCTTCATGCTTTTTTTTCCCCCGAGTTTGAACGTTTGCAGTAGATTCATGATGCAGCTCTAGTGGAGTGTTTCTGGTTATTATATTAGCTATTATACTTCTCAGCTTCTTATCCATTTGAAGCTACTGGGACTCCATCATTCTGAAGCAACTATGGCTCAGCTTAGTTGTAGCTTATGATTCAATGTTGAATCATGTTTTTGTCTTGGTCTTACTTCTGCAGTGAGACTGTTCATTGCGGCTCTAGCAGAGAGAGAAAGGGCTTGTTTGAAGAAGTACTTCTCTTCCATGGTTACCATGACCGCATCCTCGGTCTCTAGAGAGGCTTCAAATTATGATGAGGTCTCTATGCAGCAGAGCTTGCTCTTCGCAGATAGTCTCAAGGTACCTCTACTTGTTGAAGCGTTGACATAAAACATTAGCTTATACTTCGTACGAAACTATGGCAAAATTGCTATTTTTGGATGGAGATATTGCGTATACGTGATGTTAGATTTAATGTGATAGCACAATGGTTCCCATGCTCATAGGCTTTATACCACATTCTAGTCTTAGTAGGGTGCCCTTTTGTTACTAGCTCCCCTTCTAATCACATTGAAATCTTACTAGCACATGCTTTTGGTGCTTTTACCTGAATCTAGTTAAGCCAGAGTGTTGAGTTCTTGCTGTCTCTGAACTTCAGGATTTGAAGAATTTAAGAACACAGTTGTACTCAGCTGCCGAGTACTTTGAGCTATCCTATACGAATGATGACCAGAAGCAAATGTAAGATGAAGCAGCCCAGTTCAGTTTTTTTTTGTTTTGTTTGCATCTTTGGGTTCATTTACTAAATCTCAGAGTGTTGATTTTGCAGAGTGGTGGAAACGTTAAAGGATTATGCAATCAAAGCTCTTGTGAATACAGTGGATCATTTGGGTTCAGTGACTTATAAGGTTAATGATCTCTTGGATGAAAAAGTAGATGAAGTTACTGGAACCGAGTTTAGAGTGTCCTGTCTCGAACAGGTATTGCTCACTGGTTCCTTTGATACATGGTTTGCTATGGTATGGTGGACACTTTCTTTGAGATCATAAATGCAATGGCACTTATCTGCTTTCGCTAGTCTGGAAATGTAGAATAAGCTTTGAATCAGTTGTTCATTGTTCATGATGAGTTCATTTTCCATTGTACATTGATTATGGTGGCCTTGACATTGGCTTTCTCCTTTCCTGTTGTGGTGTGTTAGAGATTAAGGACTTGCCAAGAGTATATTGATCATGAAGGCATTTCTCAACAGTCACTGGTGATAAATACGCCAAAGTACCACAAGCGGTACATTCTGCCAGGTAATAATTCTAATCCATGCTTTTGTCTTCTGAAAACAAGTTTCTGTTCTATCCTTACGGATTTCAATGATTTGACATTTAGACTCATACCCAATCTCTCAATTTGATGTCTTAAGTTGGGGAGACAATGCAAGGTTCCATCCGTACTAAAGCAAAATACCAAGGATGCAGTCTAGATGATGAAGATGATTGGCGCCAATTTAGAAGTGGTACTATGAGTATTTTGCTTTTCTTCCGTTTGTTGTTCCTTTGGCAGACACTATTTCATAGTCTAATTTGCTTGTACACATCTTTTCTGCTTTCCAAAGCTGTTCGAGCTACCATTAAGGAAACACCACCAGCTTCAGTAAGGTATGACTGACATACCCTCAGCCTTTTGGAATACAGAAAACTGCAATAGTTTCTGGCTAGTAATAATGAAGTTATTCATTCATACTTGTAGCAAAGCTAGCACACCATCGCCATCTCCTCGAATTCCTCAGCGATCTTCAACCTTTTCCTTTACTGGCACGGCATCGAAGAAAGAACTAGGTTAGAGACCACTTTTCTTCCTTTCAGATTGAAAAATAGTTTTAAGTGTGTTTGTTTTAGCTTTTAAGCCAACTTTACCTTCTTTTTTTTTGCCAAAGCAAACACACCATTTACCTACTACTTGATTTTCTGAACTGAAATAATTTATTTTGCCATTGAATCAGATAAGCGAACAGTGTCACCACACCGGTTCCCTCTTCTGCGTTCTGGGTCTGTGTCAAGTAGACCAACGACACCAGGAGCAAGTAGACCTACTACACCAAGTGCTGCTTCCGCAGCAAGACGACGGGTAATGCACACCGACTATACTTCTCTGTAGTCTGTATCATTCTAATGATCAACATAACCAGTTAACTAACTCGCATTTGCCCGGAACTAACTCTCTGTTTCATTTCTGTTCTTGATCCTCTGCACAGTACCCATCAGAGCCACGGAAATCATTGTCGATGCGAGTCCCAGCCGAGAAGGAGAACTCTAAAGACATTGAACAATACCCAAGCAAAAGCAAACGCATCCTCAAGGCTTTGCTTAGCCGGCGGAAATCGAAGAAAGACGAGATGCTTTATACATACTTGGATGAATATTGATGGGAATACAAAGAAAATACCGTTGATGATCAAACAAATGAATCCAACCCTGCAACATGATTTTTTTTCTTCTTCTCTCCAGCTTCAAGTAATTACAGTGTCAATTTCTATTTTACATCTTATAGCTTTTTTCTTTCTTTCCCTAATGTAATATAGAATCAGCCTGTTCCTGTTTCTGAGCTAAAAATTCTCAGTGTTCTGCAATTGAAGAGAGCTTGCTTTGCTTCCATGGCTGAACTTCAACCCTCGTATCTAATTCATACAGACTGCACTCATTTCTTTTCTCTAGATCCTTACCACCTTATATTGGCTCTTCCAAAACACTCACATCCTGACAACAAAAACAACCATGAGGAGAAAGAATAAGAGTAGGAAGGAATATTCTTCAGAGGCAGCCAACAACAAACGGAACCCAGAAAGGAATATTACCCGCCCGATTCCTCTGCCTCTTTAAACGACTTTTCCTTCAACTAAAAGTCTGACAACTTACTCAAGATAAATACCCTTCTTCTCCCACCCAATTCATGATTGCTGGTGTTCCTTCTCCAGCTATCAGCTTCGCTCTCTCTGAGTGCAAAGCAATTCACAGCTTCCCCAATGGTCACTGCAGAGTAGACTGTACAGAGACAGCAGCAACCGTCCGCCGACGAATTACAACTTCAGGCACGTCTTCTCTCTCTCCCTCTTTTTGCTCCTTTATATTGTCAATCTTGCTCATGTGATTGAATTGAAGTGAATTGTGGGCATACCAACAAAATCTCTTTCTTAGAAAGAAACAGGGGTAACATAAAAACAGAGTAACACATTTTTCTTTTCTTAAAAAGACACACAGCAGAGTTCTTCCTTCTCCAGCGTCTCAAAGATGGTGTATTCGAGTCTCGTCGACTCCCAGCGGATAATTTACGGAGTAGGTGTAGTATTTGAGGGTTTTTTTTTTTTTTTTTTTATCTCTAGAGAAGAAAAGGAACAGTCTTTTTTAAGCTAAACGAGTGTTACAAGCATTTCACAGAGATAGGTTGTGGGTATCATTCTGATTAACCAAACTCTGCACAAACGTTCTTTCGCTAATTAATGCTTATCGTTGGAAATGAAGTAGTAAAGAGAATTCATTAAGATAAACATATGCTTGATGCTCCCCACAAAATGGATCGGATACATATAGTTGCTTCATCAATTCTCACACAAACAATCAACTGTACGTTACACTGTGAGTGTTGTTCAATGTCTTTCACAAAAATTCAACTTTGCATGTATATTTTCCTCTGGTTTCCCATCTTGTACATCTCTCGTCTCTGTGTTTCTGTTTATGTACACCAAGTGGAGGGCGTCGGAGCTTTACATCTGATGATCTCTGCCTTCGCTGATGGCTTGAAGCCTCGGACCATAGCTCTCTTCCATCACCTCTTCCCATTCCTTGCTCTCATGCTCTGTTTCGGGATTAACCACCGGTTAACGAGCTATGTAAGAAAAACAACACAGGTTCTGGTAACCCCTCCTGCACGACATCAATGTACGAGTTGGATCAAGGTGATCATTTGCTAATTAGCTGAGCAATTAAGTGGGAAGCTAGCTAAAGGTATAAACTTTACCTTATATGTTGAAATTTTTTTGGAAGGAGGGGTCTCTTTTGGATTGTAAAGCTCGATTACGTGAGGGTAGGTCCAACTTTGGCTGGTCTTAGGCTTCTATTACCTTTCCTCATGAATTCAAATAGCAACACAAACAGACTAAGTAAATACACAAGCGAAGAATATAGTCTTGTTGTAAGGATGCCAGATGATGTTGACCGAGATTCGGCCGCCCAACCTTCTTTGCTCTTTTTTCTATCCGCTGATTTCTTCCCCAGCAACCACCCTGTTTGACACAACCAACCAACCATACTAACAGATTAGATTTTAATGTTTGGTGCTGTCGCCTCTTGATTCAGGAAAGTAGCCCTATTAGATATCTTGAGACACAAGCAAACCCTTGAGTAGTTAAAAAATGACTTACCGGAGCTTTCATGGACTAAGTTCGTCCAGTCCTCGGGACTGGTTCCTGCCTGCGTAGCCTTGATCAATTCGGCAAGAGCTTGGTTTACCTGAAAAGCATCAAGGATTAGAATAACTATTTATTGAAATAAGGCTCAGAGAAATTGTTTCAGGAAGTTCCATTTCCCAGGGCAGGGGTTTGCGAGACTGATTTGCTACATACACAACCAAGCATATATGCATGTTATAGGATATCAGTGATTTATCTTTGGCCAATGTTTTGTGCAGAAGATATTGCCAACCATATGATAATAACATACTTTTTGCTTTACAGATCTTCATTCTCATGCAATCATCTACTCGAGGAATGTGAGCATACCTCTTCGGTTCTCTCATGACTCACTAGATGGCCACCATGGAGATCAACCATCCTAGCAATTGGCTGCAACTTCTCGGCGAGTCTCCTTGCGTAATATATTTGTGCAATGATGTCATACCTAAATCATTTAAAAGTCCATGGCTTAGTCTTTGAGCAGGCACAGGTACGATTAGCGATTACTTACTGACAAGTAGTTCTGAAAGCTGACTGACACATGAAAACCTAACCTTAGTACTAGTAGGTGCTACATGTTTAGGATTAACTATTTACAGATGGTCAAACCTTGGAACAGTTACGGAACAGTAAGTAGGAACAAGCACATACTGCTAACAGAGGTTGACAAGATAGAGAGAACCATGTTTTACCTGCCGTGAATGACCGACACAAGGAAACCACCACTCCGAATTGCTTCTACATCTGATTTCGTCACCCTATGTGTCCAACATGCATTGATTTGACCATCAAAGCCATACTTCATCTGCATCCCAGTAGATGATATACCTTTCACATACTCCTGCGAGAAGCAGCATCACTTTTTAGATATAAAGGTAACATTTTTTTCTAGAACTGCAATTGGTAACTTTGAGACCAGTTATGGGTTTAGGTGCAAGGATGTCTAACAGGTAAACAGCTTTGGATCGTGAAAAGATGAGCCTCTGAGCTCAGGCAAGAAAGGGTGCAGAAAATGTTGCTGTTCTTACTTGATACAGAATCTGCCGTCTAGTGCTGGAGCCAATACATTCATCCAGATATTCCTGCACGCATCAATCATTTTCAGTTTCTGGTGGCCATCCAGCAATCAGCATCTCTCATTGTAACAGAGACATATAATTCAACTTGAGTTATCAGTACAAAGTTTCAGTAGGGTTTTCTTTCATGCTCCATTACCTTGGTGTAATGGGTGTCCAGATCAACTGCAGCTCTTTGCTCTGGAGTCTTTGCCTTCAAGAATCGGATTGCTACTGACATTGTTCGGCGGTCAAGCTACAAAAAGTGAAAGGAAAGTTAACGCCTTGCTAACCCCCCTTCAACTTCCACACATCCTTGATCAAACTTATACAATAGATAACATACTGGAAGCTAACATTGAACATCTTTTTACCTCCTAAGCTTACGATCAAACGTCGTTTGCTGTTTGGTTCAGTGCATTATTTGTAACCTAATTAAGTATGTACTAACAGTGGAGCTTACCATCGAAAGGTTTGAGCTGCTACGGCATCTACATTGACAATCACATCACTTTCATTCAATTCAGAATGGACAAGAAACTCCATCCACATTTTATGCACTAAAAGAGATTAAACATTAAAGAATTGTCGACATGCAAATCATCTAAAAAATGTGAGGATAAAACAAAAAGAAGGCAGCACAGCCACACACGGTAGGCAACTAAAAAGAAGCATCTCTACAGCTTCACAAACAAGAGCATAGTTCCAATTAATTAGATGCCCCACCGCCACCGCCATGTGGCTTCTTTTGTGAAAAAAAATGAACAGAAACAGAGCATTCTTCAATGACCCACACACACAAAAGAGATTAGATTGAATTTGACTTCTTCAACCGCTGTCCCTGATGCTAAAGCCACAAAATTTGGACATTGACCTTCTACAACGTTTGTCTCAAGGCTCAAAATGTGCCCTTTTCTATTCCCGCGTTCCTAATTCTACAGGCCAACTCTTCTAGCAAGCTAAAGTCTTGTTTTTGGGTCGTTTGAAGATTCCAAAGTGATCAAGGCAGAATGATAAAGGCAAGCATAAATAACCAGAGCCGAGGACTGTAGCCAGCAAAAGTTGGAATTAAGTATTCAAGCATGTGAAATTTGACCTTTCAAGCTTATTGATGCATTCATCGTAGTGACAATATATAATCTCATTATACTAGAATGAGAGTAGTCTCGTAGGCCAGCTGTTTTCTAACTACCTTCTTTGACCTTCAACGTGTACTTTATCAAAGTTCTCAACTGATAGGAATTGTCAAAGAACACAAGTATTCTAGCTACTCTTTATGAAATGAAGAATACTATTCTGTTTTGCATTCTGCACAGTCAACCGATCAATCGAGAGGGCTGACGCGGGCGGCATTCTAGGCCGACCTAGCGTGTCATGTTTGGCAGTTCATACAGACAACAATTAAAAGGTAGGTCAACAGTGCAGCAATCGGAACGGTGGCATAATATTTACCTTTGGTAAGCATTCAAATCCTCCACCGGTGGCGTTAAGCAATGCCAACGAAAGGACTCGATTTGGCACCATCGCAGCCAATTTGCAAGATATCATAGCCCCTGTTGCAAATAGTTTATCATGGTGAGAAACAGTGATTCCCACATTCTGAAAGTCGCAGTAAGAATCAGTCTCCATTTTAACATCAGTTTGTTGCAGGCTCAGCATCACTTGGTATGGGAGAGATTGTGATCAAAGGTTGTGCAGTCACTGCTAAAACCCAATTCTAATCATGTTCCTCGTATTCAGCTTTATAGGACTACTAATGAAAGTGTAATCTTCAGGATGTAATATAGATAAATAAAACCCAATTCACTGTATCATTCAGCCTTACATGGGAAATGGATCAAAATCCGTATACTAAAAGGAGAGAGTTTACAAGTTCAAAAACTCACCCATTGAGTGCCCAAAGACGTGAGCTTTTTCCCAGCCTAAATGATCCATTAACGCAATAGCATCTTTCGCCATGATTGTCGTCCTGGAGAGGTGAAGAAAGAGCAAAAGCAAAACAAAAGCAATCAGAGGAGGGTCTTAATCAAACTTTGAACTCTCAACCAATTGTACGATGAGCTGTTAAGTCATAAATCATAATAACTATCCAACCAACAAACATTGCTGGATCCCTACAGCACGCTTCCATTTCCTTGAACTTTACTGGAATGGAAATCCCATATTATATACAACACTCTTTCAACCCATCATATTAAAAAAACTGGCCACAACCCCACCACTTTAAAAGCTCCAAATTATATATTCAGAACGATGAATTGCCAAAAGAGGAGAAGCTGAACATAAGGGTTTCGAGCCAGTGATTTCATATCGACATCAGCAATGAAAATGACACCAAGGAAAGGTCTGAACACACATTTCTGGTAGGGAAATTAGGCGCAGGAAGAAGAAACTCACGTATATTGGGATCGTTCAACGGGGATGGAGCTCTGGCCCATTCCACGATTATCAAAAGCACAAACCTCAATACCGTCGCCGGCGGTGGTAAGGTCAACCGGTTCCATTTCGTTATTGGCGATGACGGTACCGGCAAGGCTCTTTATCTGAGGACCCCATGAATCGTGAGTTCCCGCCAAACCTAAATCGAACAAACCCCTCTTCAAAATCCATCAGCGAGGATGGGGGGAAAAAAACAAACAAAGAGGAAAATTGGGTTATGACAAAATATACCAATGATGAGGAGAACTTTGGTTGGTCCCCGACCGTATGTCCGGTAAAAAATCTTGACGCCATTGTCGTCGGCGCCGGCGGGAGAAGGGGAATCCTGCTGATACTTTGAAATCTCGCAAAAGGGCATGATGAAACGATCTGGGTAACTCACCAACTGTGTTGAATTAGACAGAGCTGTAATCGCCGGCCGGAAACCCGGGAACAAAGGGGGGATTTGGGGAATCCGGGAGAAGGGGAAGAAGAAGAAGAGGCCAAGGAAATGGGAGGAGGATCGATGGAGGCGTTCTGTGTGCGTGTAATTTATATATAGGAAAGAAAAAAACAGAGAGAGACGGGAAGGAAGGAGGAAGAAGAAGAAGAGTGGAGAGGGTGAGGGCGGGGGAGTGTGGACCAGAGAGCTGATGGGAAGAAGGCGTGGCGGATAAAGGCTGTGAGAGTAGTTTATCATTTCCCACTTCTATTCTGTAAGCTTGGTCGGTTATGGAGGCTGGCTGCCGGTGACACGGTGGCGCTTTCGGCTTGTTTTTTCCCCTTCTTTAGGAACCCAAAAAAAAAAGAAAGGGAAATTGTTTGTGATACAATCATACAAATGTTGGAATCATACTTTGATCAAGTCTTAACACCATACACATCTTTCAAACAATACTTGATACCTTTGGGATTTTGATTTAAATCATTGAGTTTTCTTTCTGTATATCTCGTTACTGAAAACAAACAATGTAATAACTACTTGCAAAGATCGGTAGTCGACATGAAATTAACGTACTATGAGTTTGTATGGAGTTTGATTTTGTAATGTAAGGGAGGATTAGTGAGTGTAGGGAGGATTAGTGAGTGTTGGAGTTTTGGCGAGTGTTACTTGTTTCTCGTGTGAGAAGATAGACCAAACTTTCGTTTGGTTGTTGTTTATAGGTTTCACTTCTTATGGTTGTCATATGTTATTCAACAAAGTGACTAACTATGAGTTGAAGCTACACGTCAATGGAGAATCGACAGTGTTGGTGGACACCAATTTTGAACTCCCGGATCTCTAAATGACAATTGTAATTATAAGGATTGAGAAACGGTGTGGTACAATCTACGTTGGATCATATATACGATTTATGGTGGTCAAGACCGAAGCGTTAAAGCACCTAGTAATGATTAGACCAAACACTATACCGTCCAATCAGGCCACACATGTGCGGCCTAATGATCACGACTAGACAGATCTCGTTGAGCAAAAATGAACAGTTTGCTTGGTCCACCACACAAAACCAAAACAATGATTGAGAACAAATTCCAACAAGCCTTAAACCTAAATTCTAACACGCATGCATAATTTTGATACATTAAACACAAATCAATAACAAAGACACACAATCAGAACAATCAAACTTCTACCATTACGTCATGACATATCAACATAATGACATATGCAGGCGCGATCTTGTATGCTATCTCACAAAGTGTGGTTTGTGTATGAAGAAGAAAATGAGATTCACAAAATTAAGATTGAGACTTGAGTTTCGTTATGAAGTTCAGCGAGTAATCGAGCGAGTTACTAACATGTATAAAAAAGTGAGTTGGATCCACGGTTTAATTCGATAAACTACATTATACACCAAACCAAGAGATCAACACATTCCAAGATACAGACCCAAACTATTATTAGTGATTTACGATTTGAACTTAATGGTGCATTGCATTCTAGTTTGGTCCACAAATTTTAAAACAATTTCGGCAATAGGGTCTCGGGCCGAACCGAAAACCCTCTGCATTTATCCAACCCAACTGCTTCTTCCTTTTCCAGTCCTTTGCCGTACTGCTTTACTCTCTCCCTTCGTTTTCAGGGTTTTGCTCCATTCTTTCGTGCGCCTCCCCTGCCCCAGCTAAGCCAGGAAAAAACCCTCTGCTTTCGGCTCTTGCCCGAACCATCTTCTTTTGCCGCCGCTCGCTCCATAGGCGAAGAAGGGTTTATCTATCTCTGTTTTCCCTTTTCCTCTGGCATTTGTTTTACTCGGTCTTTGGTACGCTATCTTCGGGACTCTGTAGTTATTCTTAAGGCTGTTTTTCTCCCTCTTCCTTTATTCCCCATCATAATTTCCCGTAATTTTTTCGTGTTCAGTTAAAAGGCTGGAACTTTTCAATCCGATAACCAGAAATGGAGGCTTGCACTGGAACTGCAGTTATGGGTTCTCTGCAGCAGCCCCTTTGGAGCAAGGGAACAGCTTTCGCTCCCAAGAAGTCTACTTTTGTTCTCTTCCCGCGCCACGTTAAGCTCCAGTCCTTAAAACCCTGTAAAGCGTCTCTTGAAGGCAGTTTGGTGACTGGCAGGCCTCCCTCATCCGTTTCTGTGCCGATTCCAGAAGCTGAAGGTTCGAAATTTTATCTCAAACACGCACTCTCTCTGTCTCTCTTTTAACACTGCTTTATGTCTACGCGAACTAGAAGAGGAATGATTTAGCCTTGTTGCAATTTTGGTTTACGTAGGTGATACAAGTGGCTTCCAGGACCATGCACTTAACAATGCTGATCCTGAGGTTCATGACATTATCAGAAAGGAAAAGGAAAGGCAGTTCAAGAGCCTGGAGCTCATTGCCTCCGAGAATTTTACTTCTCGGGCAGTTATGGAGGCTGTTGGTTCTTGTCTGACTAACAAGTATTCTGAAGGATTACCTGGTAAAAGGTATATCATGGTTTCGTTTCGTGGTTCTACATCTCTCCATTTGTCCTGTTCTTTTGTGGTGGTTGAAGCACTTGCTCTGCTGAATGTGTTTCAGATACTATGGTGGAAATGAACATATTGATGAGCTTGAAACACTATGTCAAGAAAGAGCTTTGGCCGCTTTTCACTTGGATGGAAACAAGTGGGGTGTTAACGTGCAACCATTGTCTGGTTCCCCTGCCAATTTTGAGGTTTACACTGCGATTCTTAAACCACACGACCGTATCATGGTAAGCTGTCTAGTGGCTATATTGTTTGAATGCTATGCTGTTAGTGTAAAGCTTTTGGTCTTTCGGGTTGCACAAACTCATGTTGTTTACATTTAGGGTTTGGATTTGCCACATGGAGGACATTTGTCTCATGGATTCATGACTCCTAAAAGACGGGTGTCTGGCACTTCAATATATTTCGAGTCTATGCCCTACCGGCTTGATGAGTCCACAGGCAAGGCATCTCAAAACACTATCTTTGAACCTTAAGATATTGATCCATATATTGTCTTATTTATCTAACTCTTCGTGACCTATGATCTAGGTCTGGTTGATTATGACATGCTTGAAAAGACTGCTATTCTGTTTCGACCAAAACTTATCATTGCTGGTGCTAGTGCCTACCCTCGCGATTTTGATTATCCTCGCATGAGGAAAGTAAGTTTCTTTCTTTTCTTTCTGCAACTATTTTCCCTTTTCCTTTAGTTGGCAATAAGGTTGTGATAAATGTTATCTTTGTAATGCCAAAAGATAGCGGATTCTGTTGGTGCTTTTCTCATGATGGATATGGCTCACATAAGTGGACTAGTTGCAGCCTCTGTGGTTGGTGATCCGTTTGAGTACTGTGATGTTGTGACAACAACAACACACAAGGTAAACTCTCTTGACAATCTTAATAATATAAGTTTATAGTTTGTACACTTCAATTGAATCTTGCTAGTTCTCTTGTTTATTTTTGAAGTAGCTCAATTGAACTTCATCTATAACTCCATTTTATCTGTTAGTAAGCTCTATTATGCAATGTGAATGTAAGTGCCTAACAACCCTGGACTTTTTTTCCTTCAGTCTCTACGAGGTCCAAGAGGTGGGATGATCTTCTTTAGAAAGGAACCTGTTCTCGGTGTTGATCTAGAAACTGCCATCAACAATGCTGTGTTCCCCGGATTACAGGTTTAAGCAAAAACCCAAGATTCAGTTATGTTCTCTTCAAGGTTTCTACGGCATTCGCTCACTGGGTTGTGGTACTTGTTGCAGGGAGGTCCTCATAATCATACAATTGGAGGACTAGCTGTATGCTTGAAGCATGCTCAATCTCCTGCATTTAAAAGTTACCAGAAGCAGGTAGTACAAATTTGTGATCAACCTTTGCATTTGAAGAATCAAGAATGCCGTTGTCATCTCTCATTCATTTATGTGTTGCCTGTAGGTCATTGCCAATTGCAGGGCACTAGCACAACGACTAGGCGAATTGGGATATAAGCTTGTTTCTGGAGGGAGTGATAATCACCTTGTTCTTGTAGACGTGAGGCCAATGGTAAGTTTCTTGCTTCCTGTAAATTGGTCTTCTCTTGATGCTCGAGGTTTGATTTCCCAAATAGTCTCTTAGATTTACGTCCATTAACAGGGAATTGATGGAGCTCGAGTGGAGAAAATCCTGGACTTGGCTTCCATCACGCTCAACAAGAACTCAGTCCCAGGCGATAAAAGTGCCTTGGTACCTGGTGGAATTCGCATTGGTTCGCCTGCCATGACTACCAGAGGGTTCAAGGAGAGCGAATTTGTGGCAACAGCCGAGTTGATTCACGAAGGGGTGCAAATAGCACTGGAAGCTAAATCATTAGCTTCAGGGCCAAAGCTGCAGGACTTCTTGAAGTTCGTTGCATCGCCAGAGTTCCCTCTACAAGATAAACTGTCGGATCTTAGGAAACGTGTTGAAGGGCTGACGACCCAGTTCCCCATTCCCGGAGTATGAGCGACGAGGATGAATGTGGGTGGGTGGATGGAACATGGGATGAGTTAGGGTTAAGATGATGCGAAGCTTATGTAGCAAGTCTATCGAAGGCAAGTTACTTTGAGAACCACTATGGTATTAGGTGAAAGATAATGCTGCCGTTATCTGCAATGGCAAAATTTTGCAGCTCGTATGTGTTTGAGTTAAACGACACATTGCCTTTAATAGCTTACCCTGCTTCTCTGAGACCGAGGGATATTATGCTATAGTAGATCTGAGCTGGGTTTAGGACCTTAGGTTCCTTTCTGGTTATGGTTTCAGCACTTCGGCGAAATATGTCTACTAAATATATCGGCAATGGCACGAATCAAGCCAGATTTATTACATCAACAATGTCACGTATTAAACATAACATATCGGCATATCACTCGACCCTGTTACCTGTTACGCACGCAATCCTTCCAAATTATTCCACATATTCAAGGCTTGATTTCTGTCAATGAGCATTCCATTTTAAAAATTTGGAGTTCTACCTTCATACATTCTTGAGGTCCCATTTTATGCAATCAAAATCAGAAGTTTTATTTCTGTACATTCATGTCAAGAGTCATGACGAGCAAAATTGGGAACATTCCATAAACTAGTACAGCAGATCTCATGTTCACATCTACAACTACAACAGAACTGTTGCTTCCTCCCATCCAAAACTGGCAATGCCAGGCATCCATGACAAGTTTAAGCATCCAAATTAAAACGAGAAGGAACAAGTTGCAAGTTCAGCCGTGCAATGCACAATACTCGTCTCCCACGCTGGATTACAGAAATCAAGTCGTCACTGAATGGATTAGTCGATTAGGTACAAACAGCTCCAGCTACCATGTTGTATAACTCTAGACCCAATTTCTGTTAACCAACTGAAATGCAAACAGCCCTCCTGCTTAAGGTCCATCTTCTTGCGCTGTGGGGGAAAACGAAACGTAAACAGTTGAACAAGAGTCGACTTTGGTAAGTCAGAAACGAAAGGAGAAGCGTGATACAGAGAGTAGGGACACTCACTACTCAAGATGAAGCCTTGAAGTAAGCTCTGGGCTCTTTCTGCCTGCTCGGGAGTACCCGAAATTTGGATAATATTTTCACTCACATCTGGCCTGTCTTCTACGAGTTTCACATTTGCTCCAGACAGCTGTTTCCACAGTGACCTCATTAGATTATAAGGAATTACTTAATTAAGAGCCATAACTAAAACAATATTTAGTTGCCCAATACCTCACTTATCTGAGCAAGTTTATTTTTTGACTTGGTCACTAGCTTGGGAACTGCATGGTCAGGTATAACAACTTCCAGGATGCTCCTAGTCACAATTGTCATAGGTCTTCTGAACAGCACAAGAGAAGGTTAAACAGGCAAAAGAAGTACAGAACTGGCATTCCAAGAAAGGAACTACCCTGGAAAAACAGATAACCTATGGTACCTGTTCATGGTAGCTGGCACATCTTCACGTCGTTCACTTTCATTTGGTCTTGCTGTCTCAACAACTGATCCACCAGAATCCTATAGGAAATGGTTATGTCAAATTTCAAGGAATCAGCAGTAAAAGACATGTAAAAATAGGTCGATATCAAACTTCCATTTTCCTTTTCCTAATTATACAACTGCCTATGTGTGCATCAAAGGTAACCTTGGACAAGAGATTGGAAGCAAATAAAGAATTCTCATTAACCTTAGACAATGGTTGTTCAGCAGGACTGAAAGTGTCACGGGAAGGAGTCACATTATTTGATGAAGCTGCTTCCACTGGTAAACCAGCAGAAAGAGATGGTGTATCTTTCGGGAAGAAGTCCTTGTACAGGTAACTTCGCAATCTTGATGTCACTTCCATAAGAGCATCACGAGCTGCTTTTATTTCCCCTTCAATCTAGGTGAGCAGTTATTTTAGGTGGGATATATGATGAGGAAGAAGTACAGTAACAAGGTAGACAGTCTATAACAGGATCATTAAGACTATAAATTACCCCAACCTGAACAAGCTCATCTGTCCCTGATATAAAGGCAGGATTTCTTTCCTTTGCCAGGATCTGAACTTTCGCACCAGTGAGTCTTTCCATCTCTGACAAAGATTCTCTTCCCTCCAGACATCCAACTTCACTATTTGGTATAAGTAGCCTGGTTTTTACAACAGAGTCTTGATCTAGGACAAGGTCGACGATGCGAGTCTGAATATGTAATAATGCTTCTTGAGCAGGGAACATGTCATCGTCAGGTCCCTAAGTATGATGAAAAACCAAGAAGACTTGTAAGCCAACAAGCTTTTCACTTTGGAGAAAGAACAATAGTTGCCATCTCATCAGATGGAAGAAAGTATATTAGTCTGGCAACAGAACTTGTGTATAAAACGATAAATGAAAGGGGAGAAATATCAGCTAATGAATAAACTAGATTATCGACACAGTGAGTTCAGCGAGACAAAAGTGAAATTGTGTACCTCTTCTGACAAAATAGTGACTATCTGTTCGTCTGACCCAGATGAAGGATCAGCAATTTTAACATCTACACCAATTTCATTTTGAAGAAGTTCCAAGATCCCATCTGCATCTCCAACTACTCTATTGATCTTATCCGTAGGGCAAAGTATCCGAAAGACGAGTTCGTTCCCTTCACTTGACTGAGTGCCATCAGGTAGAGAGCTAGAGTCGATACCAAATCCGGGCATCCGTCCAGGATAATTGTTGCCCCTATAATTAGTGCCAGAACTACGTGATCCAAAAGACTGTCCATCACCAGATGATCGCCGTGGGGCATTATTCATGTGAGGAACATAATCTTCATCTGGGAAAAACCGTTCAGGCGAATGTGCTCTCCCATGGAAATTATTGCGGTCACGGTGTTGACTCTCCCTCAGGCGAGAGGAAATTACTGCAACAGCATTTTTTACAGCATTTGCATCTCCAACTACCTGCCAGAAATACAAAATGCACACCACACTCAACATGAGGCTTCAACTAAAAAGATTTCTACGTTCCAGCAACATACTGTCAATCAAAATCAATTCTATGCTCAGGAGTCAGGAGCTATAAAAGTTCAGAAGTATATATTTTCTCAGATACACAACATGGTTAAGAGAGGAAATCAGAAAATTCTAACTTTATGTAAATTACGCAGTACATTTGATAAGAATGCAAATTGCAGATAGCATAACAGAATCATATCGAGTGGAAAACATTAGAAACTCAAATCAGATTGTGACAGCAATACTAGTCCTTCAATCAACTTCAGCAGAAATTTCATTATGGCGCAATCCCCATCTTGCCGAAAGAAAGACCAGAGGATGTAGAGCTCAAAGGCTCTCTAGAAACATAGCTTCCAAACTAGGTCCAGGATCACTTTTAGGGGACGTGGAAGGCCATTTTGGAAATAACTTTTCGTCAGAAAAAACCTCACACAGTATTAACCCTAATGAAATGAGAGAAGAGGTAACAGAAACAGGAGTCAGCTCTGAACTGCTTCCTTTGACACTGTCCTTAAAAACGGGAATAGCAAATGTCATAGTATTCTTATGAACATTTGCAGTTCCTAGAGAAAACATCCACTTCTCTCCAACAGAAGGGGTTCAGTTATTGAGCTACAAACAAAAAGGTTCAGATTCCAGCATCAGAGCCAAGAGATTCAAAGGGTAAAAAGTCCACTGTGTCTCAGTTCCAAGGTCACAGGATTTTAAAACGGCCAAACATTGAGCAGAACCAGTTTATGTTATTGAGCTGCAAACAAAATGGTATTGAGATGATCATCATCACAGCAAGAGATAATGAGGGTGGCAAAATCCAGTAGTGATAAGAGTCATATACTCTCCCCGGTGGGGATTAAACCAGTGTCTCGGTTCTATGGTCATAGGAGATAGTTCCGTTTCAAAACTGCCAAACACTGGGAAGTAACTCACGGCATTCAAAGACATTAACTCCAAAGATTAAGGGCCCGTTGATGTAAGAAAAATCCTCAAAGTTCCAATTTTTTCAGTTTAAAAACTAAGTCCGGGATTATGAATAGCAGCAGCAGCAGCAGGTATAAAGAAGTCTTGCGCAAAACCTGAACAATCTCTTCAGACATGGAAACACATCGCGGCAAGGTATGATCTCTAGGCAAAACTCTAATCTGGGTCTTTGTCTCCATCCTCATTTGCTCAATAATCTTCCCTCCTTTCCCCAACAAACACCCAACATGCATTCTGGAAACCACCAATCTCGTCGCCACTCTGTTATTCCCACCACCACCGCCGCCTCCTCCTCTTCCACCGTAATCCTCATCCACGTTACCATACCCACCGCCCCCACCGGCGCCAACGAACTCAGACTCGCTCTCCAGAATCCTCTCGTGTATCAGGAAAAGGGCCTCCTGGGCGGGAGAGAACGAGGGCATTCTCCCTTCCGGGTCCCTCCGCCTGGTATCCGAAATCTCAATGATTCGCTCCTCATCACCGGCGACAAGCTCGTGGACATTGATCCACGCTCCCGTGTGCTGCCTAATGGACTTGATAATACTCCCGGACTTGCCAATCACTCCGCCGGCTTTCACATCGTGACACAGTATCCTGTACGTAGTGGTAACCATCAGCGAAGTGTCCGGCTGAGGCTTGGAGGACTGGCGAGCCACGTTAGGGTTACTCGGACGGTGGCGGTGATGGTGGTGGGAGTTTGCAGCAGCAGCGGCGGCGGAGGGCGCAGGGGAGTAGTGGTGGTTGTGGTTGTTGTACCGAGGTTTGGTTCTACCGCCGCCACCGCCCATAGCGGTGGAGGCTCCGTCATTGTCGTAGTCCTGGTGGTCGTAGTAGTAGTTCCGCTTAGATCTAGATCTCTCCATTGATGGTTTCAAACAAGTCAAGCCACCGGAAAATGGCAAGATAAACACAAATCGGTCCACGAGAATGCTGTCAAGGTCCCGCGATTCAACTCGGGTTAGAGGATGTATTAGGGTTTGTAAGAATTCATGTGAAGAAAGGGGAAGCCGACGGCGTGTTCGTCGATCGCCGGAACCAGTGCTGTATCGTCGTAGACGAATCTTCCGTTCCGATTCAAAGCCGGATGTGTTTGTTTGCCGAGAAAGTGGAGAGTTCTGGCGGATTTTGTGGACGGAGAGAGCTGCGAAAGAGAGGGTTCGGAGTTGAAGCCGAAGAAGAAGAAGATGTCAGTGGAGGAAAGAAAGAAAGAAAGTGGAGCGAAAGCTAGCTCAGGGCGGAGTTCTGATGCAACCAGATTCATACTACTATTATTGCAACTTCCTTCCCTACCGTTACTTAAGTCTCGAGTTGGTCGGTACCATTTTGATCGGTTGAACCGGTTCAATTGCGTGCCGATTACTGTTTATAAACCCTGGAAATGGGATATGAAATTGGTTCAATCTAAAGTTTTTAACCCAAGAAATGAGGTATATTACCACCTCAAATCCCCAATACATCCAGAAACCGGTTACATTATGAAGTAATTATTGGTAAATTACATTATAGATGAAGAATCATAGGCAATTACATTACAGGCTGAAGGTGACCTTGGGAAACATCTAGCACTGATCAGCTGCTGAACTGTTTACCAGTGAGGCTACCTCCTCAGTGGCGCTCCACACGCAGTAGTCGCGTCTTCCTTGGAGCATTCGATTGCTCGAGCAGGATCATCACTATTGGAGTCGTGGACGTCGCCAACTTGGTCGCCTTATTCGTGAACAACATCAGGTGTCGAAGTTGTGACAGTAGATGGCATGTCGTCCTCTGGGGCTGCACTTGCCATGGATGTATCCCCAACGGAAGCTTCAACCATTCCAGTGGAGTCCGGACCATTCGTGTGATGGATATTGGTTCCATGGCTACCTTCCCGACCACCAGCCGGTGCCTGAGTTTCAGCAGCAGACAGTACAATATCCTCTGTGGCAGGAGATGGTGTGCCGTCCTCTGTGGCTCCATTTGCCATTGATGTATCACCCTTGGAATCTTCAATCATTACAGTGGAATCCGAACCACTCGTGTGATGGATATTCGTACCACGGCTGCTGCCTTCGTGACCACAAACATCAGGTGCATGAGTTCCTGTGGTAGACGATACGCCGTCCTCTGTGGCTCCACATGCCATAGCTGTATCTTCCTTGGAGTCTCGCAAAATTTCGGTGGAATCTTCACCATTTGAGTGATGGATATTGGCTACGTTACCACCAACATCAGCTGCCTGAGTTTCCACAGCAGACAGTTTGGCATCCTCCGTGATTCCACTTGCCATTGTTGTATTGGACTCTTGTAAAATGTAAGTGGAATCTTCTGTGTGATGGATATTGGCTTCATGACCAACACCAGCTGCCTGAGTTGTCACTGCAGACAGTTTGGCATCCTCCGTGACTCCACTTGCCACTGTTGTACTTGTATCATTCTTGGACTCCTGTAAAATGTCAGTGAAATCTTCACCGTTAGTGTGATGGATATCAGCTCCATGACCACCAACATCAGCAGCCTGAGTTTCCACAACAGACAGTTTCCCATCTTCTGCAACTTCTCCATTTGCCATTGTAGTATCTCCAATGGAGTTTTCAATTACTCCAGTAGAATCTTGACCAAAGGTGTGATTGACATTGGCAGTCTGGCAGCCTTTGTCACCAACGATAGCAGGTGTCGAACTTCCCACGGCAGATGGTGTGCTGCTCTCTGGGGCTCCAGTTGCCACAGATGCATTCCCCTTGGAGTTTTCACCAGAGTTTCCACAGCAGAGGGTAAGCCATCCTGTGTGGCTCGAATTGCCACTGATGCCTCCCTCGTGGATATTTACGCCATGCCCGCCCATTTGTTGCAACATAGGTGGATTGTCTAGAGTAGGATAGCTGTTGTTGATGCTTTCTCCTAGGGGGCCTTCCATCACTCTTGGATATTGGCACCATGCCTGTCCACTGAAAGCCATTTGATGAAACTGTGCTCCAGGTTGACCATATGCAAAATGACAAGCATTACTAATAGGTTCAGTTATTCCACTTTCGGGTATTTGGCTCTTGGGCTTCTTCTTCCCACGGCGTTTCTTTTTTGGCGTTTTCTTATTGAATCGTGCCTTCATGGCCTTGGGGTTGGGGATGGTTGTCTTCTTTGGGACACTTGGTGGATTGTACAGAGTAGGATTGCTGTTGTTGATGCTTTCTCCTACGGCGCCTTCCATCCCACTTGGATATTGGCACCATGCCTGTCCACTGACAACCATGTGCTGAACCTGTGCTCCAGGTTGACCATCTGCAGATTGAGAAGCATTACTAATAGGTTCAGTTGTTCCCGTTTCTGGTACTTGACTCTTGGGCTTCTTCCCCTGGCGTTTCTTATTGAATCGTGCCTTCTTGGCCCTGTGGGCGGTGTTGGTTGTCTCATTTGGGACACTTGGGGCCTCCAGCACCCTCTTCCTGCTAGGAATTACTGTCAGCATAGGGTTCTCAGTTGATCTTCCGGATAACTCTGTACTACTTTCCTTAATAGCAAACCAGGCTGTTCTTGCAGCTTTTATCTCGGCTTCTTTTTTGGATGTTGCCACTGCTCCAATATACTTTGTCCCTCCAATCATTACAGAACATTGGTAACAACTTCCATGGTTTCGTGTTTCATGCTTTTCATGCTGGTACAAAGGAATTGCGTAACTCATCTTCTGAGCATATTCCTGAAGCAGGTTCTTACAGAGCCCAGTTTCATGCTGAAAGGTAAGGAAAATACCAATAACAGTCAGGAGACTTGAGCGAAGATGAAGTAACAACTAAACCGAGAGAATGTTCATTCATCATAACAATAGCAATCTTATCCTTCTGCTGCCTTTAAATAGGATGGAATACGAACTAAAAGAAAAGGTAAGATTTCACTACTTGGATTTAACGACACACTTACAACTGGTTGAGAAATGCGACCATTGACATGACCAGATTTAGCTAACTCCAAGAGGGCCACCTCTGCAGCAGACTGCTCTGCTGCTTTACGGTTCATAAATCCAAGAAGAGAGTCATATCTCACTTCATTCACTATCACAGTTGACCTGAAGAAAGGTTCATGAGATAGTCCTTCTTTGGTTGTCTCGTATACAGGTGTAGGAAGTCCAGCCTTTTGCGCATACTCTTGTAGACGACTCTTGAAAATGTAACAACTCGATACACCTGTGTACAAGACAAAAATATTTATATCATACCAACTATTTACCAAAACTCATCACGAAACAACATAAGAAAGAATCAAATGTAGCCGGCAAGATTAGCATGCTACTCATCCATCCAAACTTCAGAGAATTATAAGAGCAAACAAAACTGCTACAGCACATAATTCGCCTTTCGCCTCACACAACCGTGATTGCAAGCAAAATCAAACAATTTTATTACAAACTAGGAGAGCAGTACTCAACAAAAGGTAAAATTCATTACACTAGTAGCTCATTCCATATTTCCTTGATAAGATAACTATCGAGAGAGTTACCAAATACCAACACAAGAACCCACTTAGCTAAATTATCCGAAGCTTGGAATATCATAAGGGTCTGTCAAGCTTGTGAAAAGCAGCTCTCCAGATCCCTTTAGTCAGTATTAACCCAACTTCTTAAATTCAGTCGAAGAAAAGATAACTAATTGGAAAGTGAGAGTTAGCAATCAGCTTTCCCAAACGTAATTCAGCGATTAACAATGCCAAGACAACCAAACAAAGAGTCCGATTGAAACAGAAACGAAGCTTTGAAAAAGAGTAGAATCCACTCCAGTTCCTATCAAAGAGCAGGAACCGGGATTGATTCCATTGGGCAGGAAACGAACCCTAACATTAAGAAAGTAAAGAGAGCACCAAAATCAGCAGCGACAGAAAGGATCGGATTCAGGAAGCTAAAATACCGTCTTCGGTACGAGCGCGTTTTCCGAAGGAAGCCTGCTGTGACGACGGCGCCTGGGGACGGCCGGCATGTTGTCCGTCGGACATTTCTGGAAACCGTCGGACAATCTGACAAACAGACAGTGCAGAGGCCGGAGCAAGGTGCGAGAAATACGGAGACGGGGGAAGCTTGTTTTCACATTTCACAGGGATGGCATCGGCCTCTTCCCTCTTGGACTTAGGACCTTGCTGGGCCCAGATGAGATGGGCCTTGGGTACGGTCACCTCATGGATAAAATTGATGGGCTATGATCTACATGATGGGACTTGACAGGCCCAAATCAACATCGTTGCTTATTGATTGTTGAGGAGTCGAAAATTTTATCGCTATTCTCGAAGAGTTGCTACAAAAGGACATCGAGACTTCAAAGCTCCCTCCATGGTTTGGTTTCTACTTCGAAATAGGTGGTGGTGTTCTAGCGGAAGGACACGAGATCAAAACTAACAAGAAGTTAATCAATCAACAACCTCGAAACAAAAACGCTCGTTAACTACGCTCCAGATCTCGTGAAAGGCAGGTATGATCGAATTTTCGAAGGATCGTCATAAGCAGTATAGTTAATACTCGTAAGACGACAACTAGGCGCCACTCTGTGATGCAAAACCAGGAAGACGCCCCAGAGGCATCATTAGATCTTTCATCACTGCATACTCCTCTGCACCAATACGAGCACCCTCCAACACCTGTTGTTTTTTTTTCCCCCAATAGAAGAGAATTGAATGAACTGCTAACCAAATGAACAAATATGGAGAGAAACAGTGATGAATTGATGATGCAGTTGGCTTGGTTGGTTCCTCCTCACCTGGTGAATTACCCCCCTCCTATTGCTGATGAGAGGGGTAAGAGCCGGAATCCGACATACAGAGAGCGCTTCCAGGAGCAGAATAGCTATCACTTGCCATTGTTTCATTCTGAGTGCTGGAATTGCATCGGCGAATCCCATCGTGTTCAACAGGCGTCCCTGCAAAGGAATCAGAGACCACGTTGAAAAAAGGACCTTTTGTATAACGTATTGCAGGAAAATCATGGCATAAAGAATTTCATAGTTCATACGACTCCTTGCTCCAAGGTAGAATTTGGTATCGGTAGCCTCAGTTCGGTGACCACAGCAGGTAAAGCCCGAGATAGACAACCCTCGACAGTTCGTTTGATCTCGGAAGAGCGACCGTCTCCTAAGACAATTTTATGAGGGTACTCCCTCCCATTAACCGACAGATAATCTTCATGGGAGCTTTCATCTTTCCCGTATATGTAAGCCAAGCTTGATGAGGTTACCCATCCAAAGAGCGCCATCCACATTGTTGAAAATGGGGATAACTGTGAGAGAAGATACAGATATTATTATGAACATTTTGGTATTACGTTGTCAAGGTAATAACACATGACTGCTTTCAATAAAACAAACCTACCTCCAAGCTGAATCCTTCTGGAGGACCATCGTACCAGGAGTCCTCGGGGTCGAACATATCAGTTCGAGGAATACCAGGCTTGTTGGGCCACTTGGTATCTACAGACTCATGTCCTTCCATATTATCATCTTTCATTAGGTTGTTCTGATCCGTAATGTCTGCTTGAGGTAATATGATTATCCCAGCTTCAGAGACTGCACATAGATGCAAAGTGCTAGAAATGAGTGATTTATCATTAAATAAATCTGTAATAGGTACGCCATCTCTTAGCTGCAATTGCATTTCTTATACTTACTGGCATCAGCAATGTCAAGCTCTCCAGATGCAACGGCTTCTGCTGCTTGGCTGAGAGCCATTGCACAGGCTTCGGCCGATTCAAGCAACAAATTGTTCTCATCATCTCCTTTGTCTGTATCAACAGAAGAGATCGAAGTCACAGTGAAGGTGTCTTTCATCTCCGTATCCTCACAAAGGCCGTCACTTTTGGAACTACCAGCTTCCTCATCAGCCCAAGTAACAGATCGGCCAAGTTTCTTTGCACCAGGAGACTTAAGCGATGGTTTCAACCTGGATTGACAAAACCCAGATCGTATGCCAACTTCATTCGTCTCTTTAGCTCCAGTATTAATCAAACCGGAAGTGCTTTGAGGATTTGATGGTGAAGCCACGTCTTCATTGTCCATCCCATCTATCCTGACCGCTTTAGACTTGCCTGTGTTGGAAGTTCTTGAGATTTTACCCAAATTCAGCTTTGTTGAACCAGATGATTGAGCCTTGAACTTTCTACTAGATCCCTTCCCTTCTATATCCTTCACTGCTGCACTAGATGTTGCCAAGCTTGAAGGAGTCTTAGAGATGCTATATTCATCACTGATGATGATGGTGCTTGTGAAGTCCAAGTCGTTGACAAATGAATACTTCTCTGAACTCGATTTGACTTCATCAGTTCTGTGGCCTAGCATTCACATTCAAAAGCTTGGTCAGTAATGTGACTCAGAACAATATTATTGGTGAGCAAGGATTCACCCTCAGGAAAAAGAACAATGAAAAGGTACAAGGTAAATTATAAATGGCGATGGTGACCACAAATCTGGAACCAGGTGGAGAGGTCTTCATAGCTGAATCATCATGAATAGCATACACTTATTTCTCTACTCGCCAATAATAGCAGCACAACAGAATGGTGGTAGATGCAGTAATAAGCACAAAAGCTAAACCAACCAAAGCTCAATGCTAAAGCTAGCTATCACCTTTGGCTGGGGATGAAGTCTTGGAGTTGCGATCTCTTTGAGGAACATAACCTTCAATTGCATTTGATGGACCAACCCAATCTTCCAAAGACACCTCGCCGACTTTGGCTTCAGCTTTCTCCTGGATCATCAAATTCGACATTCCCAAATCACCATTCTTACCCATTCCCTCAGAATCCAAGCTCAGTTTGTCAAATAGCCTTAAAATCTCGGCGAGTTTTGCTGGATTCTGAACCATGGATCGCTCTTCCTGCAAGCTCCCACCAAAAGCTCGACTATTAACAAGACAACTGGATGAGCAGTACATGTACGTCTCTTGTTGGTCGTAAACTTTGTGTTCCTTCAGAGAAATGCGGTACCGGCCCTTTCTAGACTGATCAGAAGGCAGAGCATTGTTGCAAAGAGGATAACCACAGAGCTTTGCAATAGACCGTTCAACCACGACATCTTGATAGTCACCCCGAGACATCAATGATCCAGCTGCAAATAGCTGGTCTTCATTCTGGATACCGTCAAGTAAAGAAAGCTGTAATCTGTGGACAGCGTCTTTGACTTTCACAGAGGTTGTTTGATTCTCTTCCATTTGAAGACGATGCTTCTAACGAAGTATTAGATTACACCTTGTGAATGTCAACCTTGTCACAACTGCCACATCAGAACAAACGAAACCACATAAGAGGGCACGAATTTTGCGTTCGTTCCTTGGCACAATTTTAATAGGAAATTGTCCTCATGACTAAGGAACGGCTTGAAGCAAACCTGGCTTCCCAAATATTGAGAAGCATGAAGGTTCAAAAAGCTTACACAAACAAGCTGACTACCTGCTAATAGTAAAATCTCAAGAAGGACAGCAGCAGAAGGCCTCCTCGCACTAGCAACTCTACTTACTGAATTCAAGCAATCACAGCACCAAGGAAGACCAAACAAACGCAAATTCAATGAAACCCTAACATTCGGAACTAATAGAGCTGCAAAAGCAGCGGCGATTGCAGGAATTGATTTCTGAAACTAGTTACCGTTTTCGGTACGACAAAAGTTCCGGCGGGAAGCTGCTGCGACGACGTTCAGGGAAATCAGTCGGTCGTGTAGGACGGCTACGGGTGATCGGGATGTCGGCCAGACATCTCAGAGAACCGCCAGAGCCTAAGTTGAACGGAACAGAACTGAAGCCACCGGACTCTTCGCTGTTCGCCCCTGCTGCTGCTGTTTAGGCGTAGGTTCACGTTCTATTTTCCAGCCGCCGGCGCTCGTCGCCCCTGACTGGCCGGGTCTGCTCCCGCTATGCGTAAGCTGTTTCCTCGGCGCCGAGAGAAAAGAGAGGTCTGAAGTGCTTGGAGACTGCCGTAGCGGACTGGCGGTGAAGCGGGCGAAATATGAGTCATTTTCCTTTTATATTTAAATTGAACATTATTATTATTATTTATCTATTATTATTTTATTGAGTGGAAGCAAAATAAACAAAGGTTTACAAAAAATTAGTGGGTAGCCTGAGATACAATATGGTCTCCCATTCCCTCAGCTATAGCAAAACTAAGTCTAGTAAAAATGTACGCGGCCTCCCCGAGCCCCTGCATCCTGAGACATGGAGAATTTCTGGATCCTCTTGAGTAAAGTCACGACATCCTTATCCAACTCTCTCAATGAAGAAAAAGAAAATGACAAGAAACCATACCCAGCAGTCATACACAAGTCCCGATACTTGACACACTTTCGTTGAGCACCATCAGCAACAACTCGTCAGGGCACAAAACCAGTCATCTCAATCTGAGTCAGAGGTGAAGATTCGGTCATTGGATAAGTTTTTTGTAGCGACGTAGAGGCTCGCCGACTGGTCAGTTCCGTCCGATTCGGAAAAGGGGGATTTCTCGTTGAGCCCGTAGACGGAGCTCGACGACGCCCAGACGACGGCGGGCTGGGTTTCTGCCGATTTGTAGATCTCGAGTAAGGTCACCAATCCGACGATGTTGGAGTGAATGTACGAATCGGGATTTTCCATCGTTAACTTGCAAAAAGGTTTGTCCCAAAATTGATTTTTTTTTCTCAAAATGATTAAGGAAAGAAAATGAAAATAGGTGTAAATTAAAAAAAAAATTAATTGAAACTTGCCGAGTTGGCAGTGACATGGCGCGTTGACCGTTAGTCAACGCGTTTGACCGTCCAAGTTAACGGTCAAAAGTCGGATCTGGCCACATTGTTTATTTTGATGTATAGTTCGACCCAGGATGTTATAGATCGAAAAAATTGTCCAAAATATTTATTTTGGTCAAAGTTAGACCATAAAAAATATTAACCCTTCATTTATTTTACCTTTAAAATGCCAAAAAAGGGGGGGGGGGGGGGGGGGGGGGGGGGGGGGGGGAAATAGCGGGCGGGATCCACACAAGCACTTGCTTTGCTGTACTGTGGAGCGTGTAGCAGGCAATAATTCCCTTGCTTCATAAGCCATTTTGATTTGTAATTTGTTGTAAAAATTATCATAATTCAGGTTTCATTTCACGTCCGCCTCTCTTTCCTCGCGTTTCCGTCCCTCCTTTTTCCCTTTCCTCTCTACAGCCCCAGCGCTTCTGCTAGGGTTCAGTGGTCGCCGTCGCGCCCCCCGCCGATCTGCCGCGACACCAGTCTCCAGTCTTCCCCGATTCTGTAAGTAACAGTCTGCTAGTCTCGATTGTCACCGTGGTTTCCGATTCACTAGGTTTGTTTTAGGGGAGTGGGGCAGCTTGATCTCGAGTGCTTGGCCCTTTTGGGTTTGTCCTGCTATCCGATGCGGCAGTAGAGTGCTCAGTTTTTTTGTTGGACTGCCCATTGGGATGTTCCTCTCGTTTTAATTGTTCCCAAGCTTGATCGAATTTCATCCTGCTTCCGAGTCCCTTTCTCTTGTCCCCATTCCGCAATCTGAATGCTTTGTGTGGGAAGATTAGCTTTTGGGGTTTTACCTGCTGTGATAATTTTGCACTGGAGATGAATTAGTCGGGTGAAGTGGTGATTTGTTTGAGTTACAATCTAGTTCTCTTTAGCTCTGCTGGGCAGGAATACGACAGCGAAGCAGGGTTTTTGAAATTTCGATGTGTTTGTGTGTGTGGAGTTTGACTTTGCGATGTTGGACTGTGTCAGTTGATTTTGAGTGGTTTGAGATATAGCTTTGCCCACTAGGAGATAGATTCTCTTCCAGGTGTTCTGAAATCATTGCCAAGTCAAAGTAGAGCTTTTGAGTAAAAAAGGGGATGTCTGTGTTGTGTTCTTCATTTATGATACGGCTCCTTGGACATACGTTGGATAAAGTAAATTTGATGTTTTCTCCTCCCGTTTCCTTTACCGTGTGTGTAGATGTAATTGATCTTCCATGTCAACTTCTGTATTATTGTCAACCATTCGGTCATTTACCCCTCCATTTGATGTTACATATGCTTACTAAAAGATGATGGGGTGAGCCGTAGAGCATGGAAAGAATAATAATGTCATGGAAACTTCTTTCCTGTGCTACTTTTCTTCTCTAGATGGCGCTTTGTGCTATTAACCTGCACTTCTGCCTTGAGGTTATATGAGTCATCAGTTTTGAATTTTTTTTTGTTTTTTTTTTTTTGTAGAGATACATCATGGCTATGGAGGTGACACAGCTACTTTTGAACGCACAATCGATAGATGGTAGTGTGCGGAAGCAAGCTGAAGACAGCTTGAAGCAGTTCCAAGAGCACAATCTCCCCGCCTTCTTGTTTTCTCTTTCCGGTGAGCTGGCCAATGAAGATAAACCTGCTGATAGCCGGAAGTTAGCTGGGTTGATACTAAAAAATGCCCTGGATGCTAAGGAGCAACATAGGAAGTTTGAGCTTGTTCAGAGATGGTTGATGTTGGATGCTACAGTAAAGAGTCAGATAAAAGCAGGCTTGTTAAAGACGCTTTCTTCTCCTGTACCTGACGCTCGTTCAACTGCGGCCCAAGTAATTGCCAAAGTTGCTGGAATTGAGCTCCCCCAGAAGCAGTGGTCGGAGCTAATTGGATCACTTTTGTCCAATGTTCATCAGCTACCTCCTCATGTCAAACAATCTACACTGGAGACTCTTGGTTACTTGTGCGAGGAAGTCTCTCCTGATGCTGTTGAGCAGGATCATGTTAACAAAATCTTGACTGTTGTAGTTCAAGGTATGAGCTCTTCAGAAGGAAACAATGATGTGAGACTAGCTGCCATCCGGGCATTATACAACGCCTTAGGCTTTGCTCAAGCGAATTTTAGCAATGACATGGAGCGTGATTATATCATGAGAGTTGTCTGTGAGGCTGCTCTATCGAAAGAAGAGAAGAACCGTCAGGCAGCCTTTGAATGCCTGGTCTCAATTGCGTCAATGTACTATGAGAAGTTAACTCCGTATATGAATGACATTTTCACCATCACAGCAAAAGCTGTGAGGGAAGATGTAGAGTCTGTAGCTCTTCAAGCAATTGAATTCTGGAGTTCAATTTGTGATGAGGAGATAGACATCCTAGAAGAGTATGGCGGTGATTTTACTGGGGACTCAGATGTACAATGCTCCTATTTTGTCAAGCAGGCACTCAATGTTCTTGTACCAATTTTGCTGGAGACACTATTAAAGCAAGAGGAGGATCAGGATCAGGATGAAGGGGCTTGGAATATTGCAATGGCTGGTGGAACATGCCTTGGGCTTGTTGCCCGCGCTGTTGGAGATGATATTGTACCCCTTGTTATGCCATTCATTGAAGAGAATATAACAAAACCTGATTGGAGACAGAGAGAGGCAGCTACTTATGCTTTTGGCTCAATTTTGGAGGGTCCTTCTCCTGACAAGTTGACACCTATTGTCAATGTTGCTTTGAACTTCATGTTATCAGCGCTGACGAAGGATCCAAATACTCATGTGAAAGATACCACTGCTTGGACTCTTGGTCGTATTTTTGAGTTTCTCCATGGTTCAACAATGGATGCGCCTATCATTACGCCGGGAAATTGCCAGCAAATTGTGACTGTTCTACTTCAAAGTATGACAGACGTGCCAAATGTAGCCGGGAAGGCCTGTGGGGCACTCTACTTCTTAGCTCAGGGTTATGAGGACGTGGGTCCATCATCTCCTTTGACTCCCTACTTTCAGGAAATTGTTCAGGCCCTTCTCACGGCCACTCACCGTGAAGATGCAGGCGAATGTCGGTTAAGGACTGCTGCCTATGAAACACTGAACGAGGTGGTTAGGTGTTCAACAGACGAAACGGCAACTCTGGTGTTGCAACTAGTTCCTGTAATAATGCTGGAGCTTCACAATACACTCGAGGGTCAGAAGCTCTCATCTGATGAGAGGGAGAAGCAAGGTGAATTGCAAGGTCTTCTTTGTGGATGTTTGCAGGTCATCATCCAAAAGCTAGGCGCTTCCGAACAGACAAAGTATGGGTTTATGCAGTTTGCTGACCAAATAATGGGTCTCTTCCTTAGGGTGTTTGCTTGCAAAAGTGCGACAGTGCACGAGGAGGCCATGCTTGCTATTGGATCCCTTGCCTATGCATGTGGTCCAGAATTTGCAAAGTACATGCCCGAATTTTACAAGTATTTGGAGATGGGTCTTCAGAACTTTGAAGAGTACCAGGTGTGCTCTGTCACAGTTGGAGTGGTGGGCGATATCTGCAGGGCATTGGAAAACAAAGTTCTACCTTACTGTGATGGGATCATGACACAGCTTCTGAAGGATTTATCGAGCAATCAGTTGCATCGATCTGTTAAGCCACCTATATTCTCCTGCCTTGGTGACATTGCACTAGCAACAGGCCAAGATTTTGAAAAGTATCTGATGTATGCCATGCCAATGCTCCAAAGTGCTGCAGAATTGTCTGCCCACACTGCTGGTGCTGATGATGAGATGATTGATTACACAAACTCTCTTAGAAACGGAATATTGGAGGCTTATTCTGGAATTCTTCAAGGATTTAAGAACTCGACTAAGATCCAACTGTTGATTCCTTATGCACCACACATCCTCCAATTCTTGGATAGTATTTACATGGAAAAGGATATGTGAGTGACTAACCTTCCTTCATATTCATTCTCATTTTTGCGCTGGTGATAGTTTTATCACTTATCTTCCTTTTCGTTTCTGTATTGCAGGGATGATTTGGTTATGAGAACAGCTATTGGTGTACTCGGAGACTTGGCAGACACATTGGGAAGTAATGCAGGAACTATGATACAGAATTCTCTTTCTAGTAGAGATTTTTTAAATGAATGTTTGTCTTCAGAAGACGGTTCAATTAAGGAATCTGCCGAATGGACCAAGTTGGCCATCACCCGTGCGATTTCTGCTTGAGGTTATTGTGCTGCTTTGGCACGTTGTTTCTTTGGTTTTAGAGTCCTGCATGCATCTTGAGAGTCAGGTCCGGGGTTGCATTTCGCGTCAGGTCATCATCTGCAATTTTCTGATAACAGAGGGTCTTCAGTCAGTCACTAACTCTTGAATCAGCACCATGGGGTTGATTGAGTCTCTTGAGGTCTCGGAGGGGGCTTTGGATTGGATTGTCAGTCGCTATGAAGATGGGGGTTCAAAGTCGTCGTAATCAATTGAAAGCGGGTGTCAAGAAGTGTCTTCATCATAATGCATCGAGTCGGGTACACAAGTCAGGAGTTGGTTGATAGAGACACAAGTCAAGTCAGGCAGCCGAATTGTCGGTTAATTGGCGGGTGTAGGTCGGTCGGTCAGGTCAGTCCTTACAAGGTGCTAGAGCTGTTGGTCACTGTATTACTACCTGTAAGGTCACCCCCCTTAGGTCAGGTCGATGGCTGGCTGCATTGGGGTAGTTCAAAGTTTTGTGGCTTACTTGAAGACCTCCTGGGGCCAAACATGCATGCAGAAGATCCAGATTCTGTTGCTCAGTTTCCTTTTCTTTTTTTCCTGGGGGATTCACATTTTTCATTCCTCTTTTTGTTTCGTATCCCCATTTTCCTGTATCTGTCATCATTTATGTCTATTACTATTGTCATGGTCAGGTTGTACTTAGAAGAAGGCACTTTTTTTTTACATCTTTTTATGAGGTTGGGAGGAGGTCTTCTTGTCCTCAACGGTTATTATTGAGGGGGAAATTGCATCTTGCATTGCATTATTCATTTTTGCTTGTTTGTTGTCTTTGTTACAGGTCTGAAAGTCGAAAAAATGATTACATATGTCTTTTGCATTCGTTGAATGATACAGAAAGTGTTGGTTCCAAATTACCTTCATCTTGATTTACATACTTTGTTTGCAAGATAGCAGCTGTTAGCACGAAACTGCAAAAAGGTCTTTGTAATTTCATGTATTTTCTTTGGATCAAACTCGCGAAAAATCAGAAGAGTATTGTTTTGAACCAACGTAAGTATATTCTAGATATTCTTCGACGACGCAAGAGTCGTGTTGTAGGATATCCCTCCCACCTTTTCCATCGAGCAGAATCATCACATGACCACCTTCGAGGGACCATTGGCACCCTCTTCTAAGCCAGGCTCTTTATCGGCGCTTAAACAATCGTCTTCTTTCTCTTAACGAAGACTCACCCTGACATTACTTGTTCGTTCTAACATTATCACCAACTTTAAACAAACCCGAGACATAATAAGTGCACCTATTTAGTTTTTTATGTTCTATGAACCCAACATTACATAATTATTACTCAACTTTCCTTAAAAGGACATTTTGTCTGAGTTCATGGCAATGAAGGAAATACTTAACAAATAAATCCAACTAATTCATTGGTCGTCTATCCACACATCTTCATTTGCAATAAACTATCATGGATTTGCTCTGATAATTAATAATCAATCTTTCTTGGTCTAACTCTGAGATTTCTTGTGCAGGCCACTTGCATCTCTGCAACCCATTAATGGCCATCTCTATCCAATTTTGGTAGTTTGCTCTGCTCTCAAGTGCTGTTTGGTACCACGGATGAAAAGCAAGAAAGAAAGAAAGAAAGGGAGAGAAAATGTGCACTTTCTCGGGAAAATATGGGTGGGAAAATCAGGACCCCCACCACTTTCTGAATAACCATGATATATGTTGAATGATCGACTGCTGCATAACACGTATCGAGTTTGTATGGTCAAATTCCCCATTCGAGTTCTCCTTTGTTGATTGCCTTCCCTTCCTTTGTGTGCTTCGTCACTTCTGAATTTCATGGGTTGAAAAGTAACTAACTCTAGGCCATTTAGGTGTATAGTGCAATTTCTATTCTTCTCATGTGGGTTTTTAGCAAAGAGTATTTTTCATCATCTCCAGTATTCCACTCATATATCATGCCAACTGTAGTCTATAGATGATGGACAAAGTTGCACTACTAAAGTTGCCGGATGAAATCTATAGATGTCAACAATCTTTAACTCACGTTCATCGTCTCAAGTTTGGAGTGGTTCGTATAGGATTCGATGCATTAAGTCATATGTTATGATTTCTGCCCGGGATTTATTAACAGTCGTTGGTCGTTCTGTTCGTAAACTGGTCGGTATGTTTTAGAACGAGCAGTATATAAGGAGGTAGATCTATTTCATAGGAAGACAGATTGCCTCGCGAGTGGATAGATCAACCTTATATCCATATATAGGTCTCTATATACCTAATAGCTGCATCACAATCCCAGAACATAGGGTTATTGCACTTGTTAAGTCGATGATTTTATAATAAAGGTTGAGTGCATGATGAAATTGATGATCAGACTAAACTGGTATGAACTAATATGAAGAAGACGTGACAGTGAGCAATCAAATTGTCATCTTTATTTTGAATCGATCCCATTTTATCTTAAACCGCGTGCTAAGATAAGTGACGTCTTGGTAAACTTCTCATGTTGAAAATTGAAATCCTATAGGAAAGAGATAAGATGGAGTGATATGATATGGGAAAAGAAGAGAGAGAGAGAGAGAGAGAGGGGATGAATGCATGATACATCAAGTAGGCTATTGTCATTTGTCAACCAAACAACAACTATAGCAGCAACAGTGGCACCCAAAAAGGTGAAGAATATAAGTGGGTGGAGAAGAGGAGGGCAAAACAGCAACAACTACAAAGAGAGGAAACAGCTGCCCACCCTCCAAAGTTGAAGCCATGCAAATCATGGGATATCATTGTGTTCACTTCTTGCTTGTTTTGGATGTATACATAGTTGACTTTAGGGCATACAGCAGCAACTTTTCTTGGCCCTAAAAGTGGCTCTTAGAGGGAAGAAAACCGTAGTTATTATGCCCATTTCATCATCATTCTCTGTAGCTATTTGCAGCGAGTGGGTGCACTCAGTAAATCTAAATATTGAATAAATCATACCATATCAGCGGTTCAACCGTAGAAATCTATTATCGGAGGATAAACCGGTAGGAGGTATTTAGTGACATGGAATGCTAGAATGCTTCACTTTTGAATGATTGAACCACGATTTCAGCGTAAAACACCCTACCACTAACTTTTCCGGTTAATTTGTCTGTGGTGGTGAGATTCTGAGAGATATGAAAGCCCATGTCCTTTTCCTTGTCCACTACCAAAGGTTCTATATAAATAGGATATGGCTTATCCCCTCATCTCCCTCTCTTCTCCACATTCATTGCAAGCCCTCCAATAGCAATACTCTTTCTATCCCTCCAACATTAACTTTTACTGCCATAAAATATTACCAAGTTGGAGAAAGTTAAGACACCAACATAGCCATCCATGGCTATAGCAACTAGTACTACCAGAATGCTCACTGCATGTCTTCTGCTCTACCTTTGCCTCTTCACTGCTCCCAGTAGCTGCTCATCTTCAACTTCAGCAGCAGGTCAGTGCAATATATGTTCATCATCTACAATTAGGGTTCTGATCATCCTCCTTATTGTAGAAGGAGTTATCTAATGGAGAAGCCATGCAATTGTGATTATTGTGTGCTGTAGGAATGGTTGAGGGCTCCAAACATGGCATCACGGTGAATCCAAATGATCTCCCTCTATATTACAAGGTACATTAACCCAATCACATAAAAGAAAGTACTATAAAACATGAGCTTGGAGGTCTCAGGTTCGAATTTCTTAAGTAGCAGCTAACTATAAAACATACTTAAATTATATTACCCTCGCAAGGAAATTATTGTAATTCAATCATTCATAATCCTCATCTTACAAAAATATCGTCCACGTATTGATGCTGTTACGGTGGGACCGATCTTAATAAGCATGTCATTGATGATTTGATGACGTACCGTACCACATACATCAAGAAACCCTTCCTTGATTTCATGCCTCACTCATACCTCAACCCAAACTCCACCACGCGATAGATGTGCAAGTAAACACGATAGTCGATGTGTCATTTGACCAGAGTCGGGTTTGAGAGGAGTGAAACACATGAATTTCCAACCTTATACATGAATGACATGTGTGAGTCATGATGAAGAAATATGTGATTTGAGACGACCGACCAACTTACTGAATTGTTAAGAGTTATCGTAATCGATGCGTATTTTTATTTTCCTAATGTGGTGTGGATATTAATGATGAATGTGTAGGATGATGGATACCATGGGCAAGAAGAAGTGAAGAACAAGGTGGAGGTGATGATGATGATGAAGAAGAAGACAAGGAAGGTGCTTATGATGGATGTGGCCGATTATGATGAAACTGGGGCTAACTCTAAACATGACCCACGGAAGGGCAGGCACCCTTAATCATATTATAAACATAATATAAATATAATATAATTCCCACCTTATAGTATATTTATTCATGTTTAGCATCGTCAAACCCACTATATTAATTACGATCATTATTGAGTAATTCCTAATTAAATTCCAGTTTCGGATAGCTCCAGCCTCCAGATTTGAGGGAGATGTATTAAACATGCTTGCTTCATTGACTATAAGATTAATGAATAAGGGAAGCAGCTAATCACATTATATTATATATATGATTAATTAGTTAATGTATCTGTTCTTGATAAATAATATTACTGTTTACTGGTTGTGATGGGTGATGATGTGGCGAGTGAAATTAGAATCCCTGAACGACATTTGGGGAAAACGATTATATTTTTTTTGAGATTAGATGTTACGGTTCATTGAGGGAATTAGGTACATATTGCATGAATGCAAATGACTTTACTACATGGATTTAGCATTATGCATCGAACCCAACTCATAACAAAATCGTCCAATACCTACTTACGGAGATCATAACACCGTATCAGAGGTTGTATCGGAAAAGTCAATGGAATGATATTTTGTATTTAAACCGCGATACCGGTAAAACTGCCTATCGATTTAGACTTCAATAGACAATTTTTTTTGGTTGGACCACCAGTACGATACGGTTTTGTTAACTCTGATACCTACTCAACCATTGAAGACCATTGAAGGTATAGAGGAAGATAAACCAGTCATAAGGGTCGAGTTTGGCATTACCATTACCATTACCATTAATGACTTCGAAACCTTTTCCCCCTTCCACTATTATGCTTGGCACACTTTGGCTACCCACAAAAAGAGGCCAGGAAGCTGCCACCACCATAACAAATCCACAAACACCTTCTCCTGCAACTCAATTTTCAACTCTTTCATCCCTCCACTATACAGCTATGGTGGGCTGCAACTAGTCTAAGAACATCCACTGCCGAAAAGCACACTGAAAATGACCTAATCACAAACACTCATCCCACCATCATCACATTCTTGCATCTGTCACATTCAACCTTCAACAGAGCTAGCTATGGCTGTACCGTGTGTAGCCTGTAAGTAAGAAACATCTCATGTCCAAGTAAGCTGTGATTTATGTAGATGTGTTTTTCTGGCGAGAAAATCTAGATGTACAGAAATGAAATTTTGCACCTTTTTGACTTCCAAACAAACGATTAACAAACACGGTTCATACCTCTTTGAACAAAAAGTTCAAACAAGGGTGTTCGATGTTCTTGATGATCTACGAGACAAACTAAATTACATTAACTCTACTCCTATGGAGGTTCAGTGAGAGCTCCAGAAAATACGACTATGGCTATATTTGCAGAGGAAAAAATAAAAGGATAAAAGTTGGTGGCATTGTGTTGTATGGTGTGATTTTTTGGCGAACCCTTTCTCCGTCATCTTCACCTCCTATTTATAGCCACCAGAAGTAACTGCCTCGAGAAACTGCTTCGCTAACGTGGAGTGACGTTACCCTCTCAACTGCTCCGACGTTACTCTTACGTGGATGTGCCACCCTCTTCAGTCTTGATCCCCTGCTCTTGGTCCTCACTCTCTGCTCTTGGTATTTCTTCCGTAGCTTTGTTTGTCTGTAGAGCAAAAAATGACTAAGGCATGAAAGCAGAATACGTCCCCCATATAGGTGGAAATTGAATCACATGAGTTAGCAATGGCAAAAATACTTCGCCATTACGAGAGTAGGGAAACCGCCTCTTGGCCATACTATGGGGGCATATGTTGGTGACCCCCGGACCATATCATAGGGGGGTGGATATTGATCATGTGGGGCGTGTGCCATGACCCCCTTGACCACCTCATGGGGGTGGTATCTACCATGGGGGTGTATGTTGAGACCCCCCGGACTACACCATGTAGGTGGCTTCTCTGATACCCCCCTCGGCATGTCATGGGGTGGCTCCCATACACCTATGGTGGCCACCTTCCTTACCACATCATGGGGTGGCAATATAGTACCCACCCCCTTACCACGACGTTATGGGGGTGGCGGTATGTGGTCACCTCCTAGGCACATCATGGGGGTGGCTCCAACACTTAGCCAATTTTTTTAACGAATTGGGGAATAGATAGAGAGTGGCGCGCATGATGGTATGGGGTTATGGACCCAAAGATCCAATCCATGTGGCCCACTTAATTGATTTAAACTGTTATAATTAAGTTGGCATTATAAAGCCATTTAATCTTTTGTATTTAACCGATGTGGTACAAAGTTAAATTTTGGTGTAAACATGATGTTATATAGTTTAGAGATTAACCAAAAACATGTGCAAGAGGTCTATGACACTCCGTTGATTGAGATCGATCTTTTCTGTATACAGATCTTCCATGTACATATATTTGAAAGTATCGATTAGAAAAATTATTTGTGTTTATGTAACCTTGTTTATATCATTATGTGTACGTTTATACTTCCTGCATCTGTAAAGTACGATATATGTTTGGATTATTGACTTCTATAAGCACGAGGATAGATAGGAAAGACACAATGCATATAAGAAATTTGGATTATATCCTAAAGATACACAAGGAATATGTACCCTCTAACCCAAAACTGTGTGACAAAGTAAGAAGTTTTACACAAAGGGGGGAGAGAGAGATTGAACAGAATGAAATTAATTTTAATTTTTAGAGTTCATCATGATAATCACCCTCATAAACATTATCATAAATGGTGGTGTAAAATATAGTTTCATGGTCAATCATTTCTTGCAAGTTCAAATGACCATCTCCATCCTCATCAGCCTGCCAATTAACCCACAATTAATTAAGAAACAAAGGTTAATTATAAATTATTAGTTTGATAATTATCATACACATTGAAATAATAAATCGGACCAATTAATTCAATTGTAAAGTTTATTAATTACCGCATCGATCAAATAATGGGTGTAGAATTTGGCATAAGTCAGCTCTCCAGGCTTCAGGTAGGGAAGTATGGGCAGCAATTCCTCCACAGTCAGGAACCTGATCCAATGAGTCACAAAATCAAATTTTTTACATCCTTTGTCGAAATGAATGCGAACCACGACGATCAATGTGTGAATGATTTTTTCGTTGTGAATTTCTTTTTTTTTACGTACTTGTCATGGTCGACATCAAGATCCGCAAACTTTTCTTGAGCAGTAGGGACTCTGGTCTTCTCAAAGTCAACGTAAGTCTTGTAAACGTCGTAAGCGTGTTTCGCAAACTCGTCGAAATCGAGCCTTTCGTCGCCATCACCATCCATCTGCCTGTTCCGAAAAATTTCATTCAATTAATTACGCAACATAATCTAATCAAAGAGATCATAGATCAAAGAGATCATAAAAAAAAAACCAATAGAGTTAATGCGGAATTGATTAATAATTAATCTACTTACTTAATCTTGTCCTTGATCAACCATATCTTAATCTTTCTGTCATGGCTGTCCTCTGGATGCAAGAAGCTGCATATATAAGATGAAACATTCATTAATACTCTTTTTTTTTTCCACCGAGAAATGTTAATTAATTCATCTTCGTCGCTAAATGTATTAAAAAAAAATGAAAAGTTCCCGTTGCTAAAAGTATTAATTACTTGTTAAATTCATGGAAATCGAGGTTTCCATTTCCGTTCACATCTGCAAGTTTGAACAACTCCATCCACCATCCGGCTTGACCGTGACCCATCTCATTTTTCGCTACACATAAAACACACATTCACGATAACGAATTTGTGAAACAATTTTTTTCGCTTAATTCGCGTCATTTGGTGATTATTCACGTCGTCGCGCTGGCGCGATCAGAAAGTAAACGGTTACCTAGGTCCAATGTGGAAAATTGAGGGAAGTACTCGTGGAAGCTGACGGCGCCGTCGCCGTCCCGATCAAGGGACAGCAACTCCTTCTGCGTCCGGTACGCCAGCCGATCGGCGCCCTGCGCCACGTTCCAATCCTCCATCTCCGAGAAGCTGATCTTGCCATCGGACGGCGACTTGTCCAGCGACGGGAACAGCCGCATCAGCCTCTTCGTTATGTTGAACCTCCCTTCCTCCCCGAAGTACTCCTGATTCGCCGACGGCCGCTGCTCCTCCTCGTCCGCCGCGCGCTGCATTTTCTCCACGAGCGGGTCGAAATTGAGGGCCGGCAGCTTGTACCCGAGGCGGCGATGGACCCCTGCCCCTGCCGTCGTCGACGGATGCCGCGGCGGGGTGGAGGAACAGAGGAGAGCGACGGCGCCAGTAATTAGAAGGGCGTAGAAGATAATTACTACCGCCCTTGCCATTTTCCAGCACCTGGTGATCGGAGACCGGCGGCGATGGAAATGTTGGAATGTGGGAAATGGAGAGGAAGGGGAGGAGGGGATCTAATTGCCTCCGCCATTGCTCTGCTTTTGTGCCCTTCGTGAGAGATGGTTGGGAGGCAGGGGAAAATTGGAGGTTATTTGGTATTAACGGTTGGAAGTGAAACAAGCGAAAATAGCCTTCTTAATTTTGGTTTTCTATATTTATTAGTTTTTTTTTTTTTTTTTTTTGCTTTTGTGAAAAAAATTGTTGAATTTTTAGTATGGGATGGTAAGGGTTGGATGGTGGTGGGGTGGAGACCGGTCTCGACAAGTTGGATCATAGGTTTTCAATGTGGAGGAGTCATGGTCGCTTGGTAGAGGGTGTAGATGATTCTCGATTAAGGTGGATTGTACGTTACTTAGAGATATGTAGGGTTTTCTATCGAGGGTGTACACAATGAAACATGTGAAGATGTATTCGCTCGTTGTGGAGCTATGAAGATTGTATGCGGGTCATTAGATAAGACTACAACCATTATTCCATCTTGTATACTCTCAAGGGTCGTTTGGATGGGAGATTTGAATATTTGAGGCATAGAGAAAACAAACAGATCTCGTGGCGTCCACCGGAAGAAGGCTGGATCCAAATTCAAACGGATGGATCAGTCATCTCCCCCACAAGCAAAGCTGCCGCTGGTGCCTCTTGCATGACCACCTTGGACATTGTAAAGGTGCCTTTGTTTGCAACCTTGGTGCCTGTTCAATTACTAACGTTGAGCTCAAGGGTGCAGTTGAAGGTTTGGAGTTGGCTTGGTCAATGGGATTCAAAAAGATTCATCTGAACCTTGTTTCCATGACAGCCATCAGCATCATTAACTCTGGAAACGATGACCGTAGACACAGCCTCCTCGCCAACCATATTAGAGAGTTAATTGATAGAGAATGGGAAGTTAAAATTTCTCATGTGTATAGGGAGAGTAATTTTGCTGCTGACTACCTTGCTGGTAAAGGGCATGAGTTTACTTTTGGCGCACATTCTATTGATGTGAGCGACCCGAAACTGTGTTCGTGGCTCTCCTGTGATGTTATGGGCTTCACCCATAATCGTTTTGTTTCTATGAATTAGGATGCTTGACATCCGTCTTTCAACCCCCCAAAAAAAGAATAATTTCTCTCTAGGGGTTTGCAAGTTTGGACAATTGGACCCTGTTTGAAATGGGTCCTAAACCCCCAAATTTGGTTCGGTGTGATATTGGGTTTCGATTCAAACTAATGCCACAAAGATGTACAACCAACAAACACACTGGAGCAGGGCACATGAACAGAACCTGCACTGCAACTATCTATAAGCATGAAACGGAATGAAACGATCAACTCCATTGTCGCAACCCAACTTGCGCTTCTATATTTGGCTGCTGAACGTGCCAAATGACAAAATCGTTTCATATCAACAAGTCAAAGTTCACAACCAAAATCGAAAGGAAGATGGAACGGTTCACTCCACCAGACCACCACCCCAGTCTTGATCTTGTTTTCTTACAAACATTTCTGTCATTCTGTTTTCCCGGACACAACGATGCCCCAACATGGCTAAAGTTTCAAAGGCTATCTATATGCATAAAGGAAGATTGGCTAGAATGAAACTACCATTAGTTAGTCGTTCTGTTGTGCTCCAGCTGTCTGGAGACAAGACCAGTTCGACTCACACAAATCCCTAGCAGAGTTGCCGTCGTTATCCTTCACATTGATATTGGCATTTTGCTTCACTAGAAATTCAGCGATACCTTCCCTCTCGCAGACAGCAGCGTAATGCAGTGCAGTTTGCCCTTCGTTGTCCTATCAAACCCAAAAAATAACGACAGTCAGCAGCTGCCGACATAAGAAGAAACATTATCTCTGTCTTTTGTTGCAGAACAAATAATTCAGATAGAACACCAGAATTCTTGGATATATGATCAAAGAGTTGAAAGAGTGTAGAGGTCAGAACAAGAAATTGACTTACTTTTGCATTTATATCAGCATTTCGTCCAGCAAGGAGTTCCACAATATTGAGGTGACCGCGATCCACAGCCCAGTGCAAAGGAGTCCGCCCCTCGCTATCTGAATCAATCACCATGCACAGTTAACGTAAGATTCTCCAACAACATTGTGGGAAATACTGTCAACTCATTCAATGGTCATTTAGTAGTTGACTAAAGATTCTAAGCAATATAGATGTAACTTTGATGTCCATGTTTACATAATAGACAACACTAGGTGTCATCTGATTGTACGAAAGATGAAGTATAAAACACAGACAGAAGTGAACCTTTCGAGTTGACAGAAACGTCATCGTTAATAGATTTCAACAAGTTATCTGCATCTCCTTCTCTGGCATATGCATGGACAGCATCCATTTTTCTGAGACAAGAGAAAGAAGTCAAAACTTCTGAAGTAATATATGTTTTGCATCCACAACTAATCATCTCTCCACAACTGTTCAATACCATGTCATATCTTGCAGCTTCTGTAATTTCCGTTACTATATCTTTTTCAATGCTAATGGTGCCCTTACATGCAATGGCTAAGTTATCTTGCATATTCATAATTATAAAAAGAGATAGTCTTACTCTCGCACAACCGTCTGCTAACAAGACAGCATAGCTAGAGATATGAAATGTTGGCAAACTCCTGCTTATTCCAAGGAATTACGGAAATTTTCTAATTAGCTTATTATGCAGAACAATGTACATAACTAGATACTTCAACTAGAACAAAGGTCACAAAGACTACCATAGAGGTCCTCTTAGAAACTGTTATACAAAGATTTGAAGTTTCAGGAAATTCAAACTTGACCTTAATTATATAAAGAATCAGAAAACTTACAGCTCATTCCCAGATTCCTCCTCATAAACGAAGGTACTGAAAACTGGTCCCATGGGTCCTCTGGAATCAGAACTATGTCCATCTCGATCTCCAACCCTAGTTTTCTGGCCACCAACGCATTCAAGAGAGAAACAAACTAGCATTTAGCCAGGTACATAGAAACAAAGAAACAAAAAGTACCAGAGAAGGCTGATTCCTTATACCCCAGATGAACCAGAACACCAAGTAGGATAAAGCTGTGAAACAATGTCAATGTATTTTTCCATGGCCTCTTCTGTCGGCATAGAACCCAATTTCTGCCATGCTCCCCTGTTAAGAATTACCAACAGCAATCACTAAGAGCATCCAAAAAAAGAGACCGAAACAAGCACGAGGGGTCCGCTAATCAACTGATTTTGGTCAGAGATGTTAGCATCGTTCCTTATTGCAGCAGAAAACATTCAACAAATGTTCAAAAGAAAAGTTCCCTTCACTCAATCAACTCAAGCTACGCCAGGCCATGAACTTATTTTCCCCCCAATCCAATAGCCTAAACGATCTTCAGCGTCAACTCAAAGCAGTCTTAACTAAAGAAAGAGGAACTAAAAAAGGAAACTTCAAGTTCAAAGACGGGAACTTGACGAATACCACTTGGCGCGAGCAGTCATCTTGAGAGCAGAAGGGGGCGGAACAGTGCAAGGCCCTTCAGTGGCGATCTTATACAGCCCATAAAGCTGCAACTGCACATCCGTCGACACCCTCTGCGACAGCCGGTCCGAGGCAGCCGCCGCAACAAACGCCGTCGCCGCGCTGAACGTCTCGTCCAACTCGGTGCTCTCCACGCCTTCCCAGTCGTCGTCGTCGTCGTCGTCATCGGTATCCACGCCGTCGTAGTCGTCACCAATTCCCGCCACGCTCTCGTTCCTGACGCTTCCAAGCTCGGCAGCGATCGAATCGGTCTCGTTAAAACCACCGCCGGGGAAATCCCCAGAGCCATGAGCTCCATCGCGTGATTTCAGCTGCTGGTAGGGCCGGCTGGATGAAGCTGGAGCGGGGTTGCGCGTAATCGTGAGGTTGTCTTCTCTGAAGGAGACGACGATGGAGATGAGCTTCGCGACGAGGTAGGAGAAGATGAGGGCGAGGATGATGGATTGCAGCAATGGTTCCCAATCTGCCATTTTGAAGATGGAAGGAAAGAAATCCTAACCCTAATTGATTGGCCGAGAAAGGGGGGAAAATTAGAGGAAGAGACGGAGGGAGAACAGAGAAGTGGGAAAGGTTGAGGAATCAGAGATTCGGATTGAAAGGGGGAGGAAAGGCCGCGGCGGCCGGAGAAAAGAGTGGAGTAATATCCCGGTGGAGATCCCCGGGAAATGGTGAATATGACGATTTCTGTTTTGACGGCGGTTGGTGTGCCTAATGGTAAAATTTTACCCACGTGGCGGTCAATTTTGATGGTTCGATGGGCCTCGCGGGCCGGCAGAATGGGCCTGTCTTCAGGTGATGAACCATCCTCTTCCTTTTTTCTTTTTTGGTTTATCTCTTTAGTTTTAAAAGGATTCATCCAACTATTTAACCTCAAACCAACAAATCTAATTACTACGATATTGTAAAACCAAACAGGAGTTTGAACTAGAAAATGGTAAAATATTTTATGTTAAAATCATGGTTTAACCATAATTCAGTCATTTAATACTACTAAATATGTCTACTGATTTAGCTTTAGATAGGAGATTTTTATGGTCGAACCATTGGTACGATTTTTCAATACATATGATTTTCCCTATTATGAATTCCATAAAATCACAAAAACTCTCCCACTTTTGATCAAAGATATTCTAAAGTCACTAGTTATCATTTCTACCCAATTATGAATGAATATCTTCTCAAATTATGGTTATTATTAATGATAAAATTGAAAAATCTAATTTATTTTCATGATTGGAAATCTGTATCATATGTTCAATGCCTTGTATGGTTATTAGTTAACGTTTGTTATTTGTATGCTAATTTGGCTTCTTTTTTGTTTGGTTTCAGGAGTGTTTGACGATTTATTGTAGTTTGAAGACTTGGACAATTAGCTGGATTTATGACGAATCTTCATCAAAAAAATTTATTAATTGGTTATTTTAAGGCTTAGACCATGTTTATCAGGGGTAATAATTAATTTTGTAATTTGTGAACAAGTACTAGTTTTCAAATTGTAAATAAAAATTTATGCATATAGAATCCCAGCAAACCAGGCAGCTCATCTTTGATTGTTGTACCTTGTTCCCCCCACCCCCCACAAATGTATTCTACTGGTCTCATAGCAACCTGTTTTGCAATGTTGCTGCTGAGAAATCTCATTTTCACCCCCATGTAGATAGTTTAGAAGGAAAACTGAATATCAAAGTGTACCATTTACCCTTCACAGTAGCCCCTTATTATTTACTCTAGTAAAGTCTACATATGAGATTCATTACGATCAACTGGTTCTCGACATTGTTTACAACTTTCTGTGATCGAAAGTTCTTCTTTCTGAATGTCTCATTATATTCACACCTCAAATCCACATATATGGTGGTTTTCTCAATGATCCCATCCTTTGTGGTTACTCGTTTTGTGCATTGTCATATTTGCAGGAAATCATTGAGACTGGAGAAAGTTAACAAAGGATAGAGGAGATTGAAACCCTAAACTTGATTCATTCTCATTCATCACAGGCCTTATATAGGCTGATCAAACACAAGAAGACAACAATGCTTTTACATGGTTTGTCCCTTAGCTTGGAACGGAAACAAGCTTTGTCTTGAGCAAAAAGAAAATGAACAGCAAATAGGGAAACAGAGCGAAACGACAGCATGCTGGTAAGTGAGGAACCAAAGAGCAAAACGGCGTCGGACAAGTCTTCGTCTCTATCAATTGGGGACGACCGTTGCAATTCAAACTTTTAGGGATTGAAATCCTGTTACCCCCCGCAAGCTGGCGGGCAGAGATCGTGGACGCCAAGCTTGGAGACAAGTTGAAGAAATGGCGATGGAGACAGAGGTTTCGTGAAGAGATCAGCCAGCTGATGGGAAGAAGAGACATGGAGGAGTTTAAGCACCTTGGATTGAAGTTTCTCACGGACGAGGTGACAGTCCAGCTCGATATGTTTGGTTCTTTCATGGAAGGTGGGGTTTTCTGCGACATAAATCGCGCTTTGATTATCGCATAAATGTTTGCTGGCTGAGAATGATCCACCTTGAAGTCTTGCAAGAGGTACATCAGCCATTGGACTTCACAGGCGGTGAATGCAAGAGCTCGGTATTCAGCTTCACATGAAGAGCGGGAGACAGTCTGTTGCTTTTTACTCTTCCATGAGATGAGGGAATTACCCAGATACACACAAAAGCCAGTAATGGAGCGGCGGGTGTCAACACAAGCAGCCTAGTCGGAATCCGAGAATGCTTTGAGTTGGAAATTACCCTGAACTGGGAAGAAAATGCCTGTGGCAGGAGCAGTTTTAAGGTACCTGATGATACGAAGTACTGCTTTGTAGTGAACTTGATTAGGAGAACCCATGTACTGGCTGACTTGTTGTGTGGCAAAACTGATATCAGGCCTAGTAGTAGTTAGATAGATGAGTTTGCCCACAAGGGTTCTGTAGTGTTCAGGATTCTCATAGGGGATATCACAAGCAGTAGATAGATGTGCTTTGTAATCCATTGGAGTGGAGACAGTCTTTGAATCAATTAATCTTGCTTCTTCAATGATTTCTAGTGCATATTTCCTTTGTGAAAGGTGAATGCCCTGTTTGTTTCTTGCAACTTCCATACCAAGAAAAAACCTTAGAGTACCCAAATCCTTTATACTGAACTCTGTATGAAGAAGAGCCTTGAGTTGCTCAATGGCAGTAAGATCATTACCACCAACAACCAAATCATCGACATAAATGAGAACACAGGTGTATGAAGAGTCTGTGGCTTTATAGAAAAGGGAGTGATCTGCCTTACTTTGAGTGTAACCCAGTAGTTGCAGTTTGTCATTGAGCTTGTTGAACCATTGTCAAGAAGCCTGTTTGAGTCCATAAAGGGACTTTTTAAGGCGACAAACAGGATTGGTGAAACCAAGAGGTGGTTCATAGCCCTTAGGTAGTGTCATATAAACTTCCTCCTGGAGATCACCATGGAGGAAGGCATTATTCACATCTAGCTGGTGAATATGCCAGTTCCTCATAGCTGCCACAGCCAAGAAGGTTCTGATTGTTGTCATCTTAACTACTGGGGCAAATGTGTCCTGAAAATCCACTCCTTCCTGCTGAGTATGGCCTTTGGCCACAACTCTGGCTTTAAAACGTTCAAGAGACCCATCTTGATGAACCTTAATCTTGTAAACCCATTTGTTACCAATGGTTTTCTTCCCAGGTGGTAATTCCACCACATCCCATGTTTGATTCTTTATAAGTGCAGCAATTTCTGACTTCATAGCAGCATTCCAGTAGTCTGATAGGCAAGCTTCTTTATATGAATTTGGTTCCTGGTAGGAAGAGATGGCAAGAACAAAATTTCTGTGGAAGGGGGTGAGTCTGTCATAATTGAGGAGTGTGGAAAGAGAGTACCTTTTGCCTGAGGACTGAGGCAGAAGTGGTTGATTGGAGCTGCTAGATTGCTTATAAAAATAACAATGGTAATCATGTGTGAGATGAGCAGGAGGTTTAACTGTTCTATCTGAGCGACGGGGAAGATTGGGAGGCTGGGGTGGTGGAGGTGGGGAAGGAGATGGTGAAGAAGAAGAAGGTTCAGAACTAGAAGAAGAGGTGGAGGAAGGTGTGGTTGAAGATGGTGATGGTATTAGAGAGGCAGGTGAAGGAGGAGGAGATGGAGGAGAAGGAGAAGATTGTGGGGAAGGGGTAAATGGTCAAAGTCATCATAGGGAGAGATTTGATGATCTGTTGTGGGGTAAAGGTCTGAAGTTGCTGAAGGTGGGGAAATGGCAGTGGGATTTGCTTGGAAGGGAAAATGAGATTCATAGAAAATGACATCCCGAGAGAGAAAAGTGTCATGAGAGGTGAGGTCATATATTTTATATCCTTTGATGCCCTGAACATAGCCTAGGAAGACTCCTTTTCTGGCTCGTGGCTGAAATTTGGTTCTGTGGTTTGATAGAGTAGAGGCAAAGCAAAGGCATCCAAAAACTTTCAAAGCACTTAGATCAGGAGGAGAATGGTAGAAAAGCTCATGTGGTGTTTTGTTTTGGAGTACTGCAGATGGGACACGATTAATGAGGTAGACTGCATGTTTGATGCAATCTGCCCAAAAACCAGGAGAAAGGTGAGCTTGAAAGTGAAGAGCTCGAGCAACAGCTAGGATATGTTGATGCTTACGTTCTACTTTGCTATTTTGTAGAGGTGTTTCCACACAGGACATCTCATGGATGATACCAGTAGAATGAAAGAAATCATGCATCAGGAATTCTTTGCCTTGATCACTTCGAATTCGTTTGATTTGAGTGTTGAACTGCCTTTGCATTTGAGTGCAAAAGGCAATTAGTTTAGGTTTAACTTCTTATTTTAGTTGGAGAAGAACAACCCAGGTCATTCTTGAAAAATAATCTACAATGGTAAGAAAGTATCTAAAACCATCATAGCTAGGTACAGAGTTAGGACCCCATATATCAACATGCAGAAGTTCAAGAGAGTGTTGAGTTACATGTTGACTGGAAGGAAAAGGGAGCCTTCTTTGCTTAGCAAAGTGGCAAACATCACAAGGAGAACCTTTCTGAGTTTGAATGGATGGAAAAAAAGTAGCAAGATAGGGAACTTTAGAATGAGACAGATTACCTCATCTAAAGTGCCACAGATCAAAACTGGTGGAGGTCACTCAATGATTTTGCCAGGAATAGATGGGACAGGTCTGGTAGACATGCCAGGAGGGTAGCCATGCTTTTGATAGCAAGTCTCCTCAGTATGACCATCACGTTTACAGAAAGTGCAATATGGCCTTCTAACAGAAGAGGGAGGGCGCATGTTGTTGCCCTGAACAGCTAGAACAGTAGAATCAGTTGGTGCAAGGGCCACCATCTTGCCTTTGTTAGTGCCATATAACTGCCTCTCATGTTGTAACATACGTTGAAAACCCCTATTGATGTTAGGGAGATCATCACCAAACAGAACTTGAGAGCGAACAACTGAGAAATTATCATTCAAACCTCGAAGAAACTTAATGACATAGCTAGTTTCCTGGTACTCTAGAACCTTTTGCATAGCTCTGCAGGTAGAGTGACTAGTAGGAGTGCAATCACAAGGAAGAAGAGGTTGATAGTTCTCAAGTTTGTCTCTTAGGGTTATGACCTGACCATAGTACTCTGTGATAGATTGATCACCTTGCTTTAAAGTTGAAAGGGCCTCTTCAAGCTCAGCCACTCGAACAATGTCACCAGATCCATACCTGGTCTGAAGACTTTTCCAAGCTTCTGCAGCAGACTTACTGGACAAGATGGTTTTCCTGATTTCTGACTCAACAGCTTGCTGGATCCAGCTCAAGATCATGACATTGTTGCGTACCCAGGCTCCTCTTCGTGGATCTGTCTCTGCAAGCTCAGGAACATCACCATTGATGAAGCCCAGTTTGTTTTTGGCAGCTAAGCATTCAACATTGCCCTGCTCCAGTCGTTATAGTTAGTGGTAGTGAGCTTTTCACCCACAAGAAGAGAACCAGGTTGCTCAGAACCATGAAGGAAGTAAGGATCTTCCATAGGGTAGACATTTTGTGGGATGGGATCAGGTTGGTTTTGGTTATTGAGAACATCATCTTGGTTGGCTCCTGTGGAGGCCATTTGAGTGACGGCGGCTAGGGTTTAGGCTCTGATACCATAACAAAGGATAGAGGAGATTGAAACCCTAAACTTGATTCATTCTCATTCATCACAAGCCTTATATAGGCTGATCAAACACAAGAAAACAACAATGCTTTTACATGGTTTGTCCCTTAGCTTGGAACGAAAACAAGCTCTGTCTTGAGCAAAAAGAAAATGAACAGCAAACAAGGAAACAGAGCGAAACGACAGCGTGCTGGTAAGTGAGGAACCAAAGAGCAAAACGGCGTCGGACAAGTCTTCGTCTCTATCAATTGGGGACGACTGTTGCAATTCAAACTTTTAGAGATTGAAATCCTGTTAAAAGTAGGCTACGATCGAGATATACTACGTATAGAACATCATGGCTTCGGTGATTGTTCGGATAAAGATCGAACATTTCATGCACGCATATCGAAGTTAAAGAACGAAAGAGAAGAAACATGAAGCCTTTGTTACTTAGTGAGATAGCTCAATAGTAATTAACATCTTGCCCACTACATACCCATCTATAATTTTTGATTCAATCAAAGGACAAAAGAGTTATATGATGCAACCACACTAACAGGCAACGGCACACTTCATTTGCCTGCCGAGATCGATGATGCACTGCAGAATTGCAGCAAGCTTGATCAGCTCCTTGTTTGTTTCGGAACCAAGTGGCTCTGAAAAGTCTGAATAACATGCATCCGCTCCTGACAGAACCGTTGCGACAGTTTCCTCGAGCGGATAATCATTACCCGTCCCGACCAAATTCTCGAAATTCATCTTACATGCCCTCCTAACTTTGACAAAAACGGAATCGTACTCGTCGGAGCACAACTGCGGAATATCCGGTTGTGTATCTACGAACGTCTTCTTATTGAAGCTTGCCTTGAACTTTATGTTAGCCAGGGCAATCCGAGCCAGTCCGCTGAGGTTCGACGCGAGGCTGAATGCGTCTTGTTTGAATAGCTTCTGGCAGTAGGATGAATCGACGTTCTCACCACTGCTGCATACCTTATCAACCAGAGCTTGGTCCGATTCCGCGGGCTTGATCATGAGCATCATCAGAAGGCAGAGCACAGTGATGACATATGGTCGGATTGTTTGCAGAGAAGATGCCATGGGAGATGAATGAATAAGAGCGGTTATATGTGTGTGTGTGTGTATATATATATATATATAGAACATCATGATCCAAAGGGCATGTAAGTGGCAACTCTTTCCATGAATGCATAGATTCAGACCTTAAGCACTAGATATCAATGGAGACATTAACATGACTAGCTTGCTAGATTTGCCCTCAAATCCAATATATTTACTTTATGTGGCAAATTTTCTTCCTTTTCTACGTTATGCTACAAAAAGCTTTTCATTGAATTTCTAGACTTTTAGGTAACCAAAATCCTTCCCAATAACTCTATTATGGGTCATCATCGTCCGGGGGCGGAGGGAGAGGGTTGAATTAGGTTTAAATAAGAATAGTTTACCTTTCGAATATCTGGTGCATATGATTCACCCAGAATTAAAGATGTATTTATTCAACATCTACAATAAATTTTCACCAAATCATATCTAATTGTTATTGTAATTGGATTGTCATTTCGTAAAACGAGAAATATTAAAGAGAGCTACCTACATAGACAAGGTCTAGCCGGTATGGAGAAAGAGAAACGATTTCCCGTATTGCCGATCGTCAAATCATTGTTTAGAATGACTTAACACAATACTAATTTCTATCATTATTGTCGAATTTTACGGTACAAATGATCGCGTAATTGGCATGTCTGTTCCAAAACTAATACTAGAAAAGTATTGTATAGACAATGTCTAGCTGGTATGGAAGACAACTAGGTCTTACTCAAATCAAGTAAACGAATTTTAATGTAAAAAATCGATACTAATGTAAAATCACATATGGAATGGCCAACACAATAATAATTTCATCATTATCGTCTAATTCATGGTTCAATTTTTGTAATTGGCTTGTCGATTCAAAACTAGTATTAAAAAAAAAAAGTTGTATAACCGGTGTTTAATCGACACGAAGAAACATTTTCAACTGAATTTTAACCAAACAAGCAAAGGATTTTCTAAAACTTAATTCTCAATCATGAACCCACAATTATTCCTCTTTTTTCTTGTCAAGTAACCAAAAGAAAAAAATAAAATCAAATGCGCATCCGGGGAATCGAACCCCGGTCAGTACCGTGGGAGGGTACTATGATACCACTACACTAGATGCGCCATTAGTGTTGATGTGGTCTGCATCTGGCTAAATAACCCTGTACCAACCCAGTTTCATGCCCCTGTACTCAAATGAATCAAAAACTTCCATATACAATAGAATGTACTATTGTTGCCTCCGCCTGAATTGAGGAACTCACATTTACTCTTGAATACATAGATACAACAAAACAGTGTTGAGAATGTAGAAAACGAGCAAGTTTCATCGACATCCCAATTCAAGCCTTCCATCAGGGGTAATCGACGTGTTCCTACAGAGTTTCTGCAGGTCGATGTAACCTATGATGGTGTCCTCAAACACAACGTCGCCCAGTTCAGCTTCCTCGAACGTGGAACCCGATAGCACCGTGTTCCTGAACACAGCTCCTTTCAGGTTGGCCTTACCAAAGTTCACACGGTCCAGAACAGCATTCGAGAAGTCCACACCTGCAAAAATGAAGCAATCACATTCTCATAGTCACAACCTTGTTCTCACATATAATTCACTATCACTCTACAATGCAGCAACAGAATCACTTGCCTAGATCACACTACCATAACTCCAAAGGATAAATGCAGAAGTTTTTTCTTTTTTTTTTTTTTTTTTTTTTTTGCAACTGCCACTTTTGGAGGGTTCTGCTTGCATTTTGTTGCTGGTTTTTCTGCAACTCTTGTGTTTTTCGACTTAATAAAATTTGACATCACCTTCATAAACAAAATGCAGAAAGTTTTCACCTTGGAAACTAGCTCCAACAGCATAAGCCTTGGACATGACCACTTCTGTCATGTCGGCACCATCAAACTTAGCATCCGACATTAGTGCTGCAGCAAGTGACTTCCCTTTAAGATTGGACTTGTCATTACTGTAATCGCAGAACCTAAGATCGATCGGCTTGTCATAAACACCGTTTGCTTGTCCAATCGTGTTCCCAACGTACGCCTTCTCGCATCTGTTGGGTTCTGTCGACAGTGGAGGTAGCCTCTGCATAACACATTACAAACAACGCATTGCAGTGATGGTGTGAAACTACGAGAGCAGGATCACTAGCAATACGAGCAAACCCGACCTCATAAAGAGGGATTCAAACGGATTCAAATAAATACATTGTAGGACTACTGGCAGAAAGACTGGAGGGAAGGTTGTAAGTTGTAATCCATCCCCTTTTTGCAACATCATAGCTTAGGAGTTCCCAACCATTCCTTTTTCCTCAATTCAACAACCACTCAATCCTTACTCTTCTACCCATCTCTCGTCAAAGCGAAATCGGTAAATCAGCAAGACCAATCAAACAAAAGCCCTAGAACTGCAGCATCAACTTAATCCAGTTTCCAAATGCAGTAAGTAAACCCACTAAATTCGTCTACCAGAGAGGTTCCAAAATCATTGATACATTTAACCACAAACTAGGGGCTTAATCGCTAAAATAAATCAGCAAGACTAACAAGGACAAGGGCCAATATATGGTTCAGAGCTGGGAATTAGAGAAGCAACCTGAGTCGCAGCAATTACAGGAGAGGCAACACCAGCGGTGACAGCCAGAGCAGCAAGAATCCCACAAGCCACACAATTCACTTCTTTCAACCCAAAAAGCCTTGGGCTTTCTCCCGATCTCGAACCCACTCCATTATTCCCTGCAAAGATCAAATCTTTTTTTTTTTAATTTGGATTCTAACAAATCGATGATTGTCAGAGTCGGTGAGAATTCTTGGGTACGACCGTACGTACCAGAAGAAGATGAGCAGCAAGTGAATTTGGCGCGAGGGTAGTGATGAAGTGCAAGGAGCTGCCTTCTAGGGAACAACTGAAGACGAAGAGACGATTCCGCTGTGGTGCGAGACATTGGAAGCGAAAGAGAAAGAGTCGCCATTTGTTTGAAGGTTTTAAAGTGTGGTGAGAGCTTATCTCTGAAGCTTGCTGAACCGATAGCTCGCTGTCCATTCTTCTTCCAGTTGGGTTTGATTCGTTATCCACTCAGAAGATGCTACGACGCCAGTGACTGCGCGCATTCCTGGCCACGTAGGCTAGTTTCTTTTTCCCGTGGTTCGACCGTTTGGATATATATATAAGGATAGTTTAGACTTGTTAAATTCTTAGAACTTAGAAGACATCCATGGCCACCAATATACACCATAACCTTACAATTCTCCCCCTCCATTTGTAACGAGTTGAAACGTACAATGCCGATGGGATAACACAACAATGCAATGCTAAACATCGTTCTAAATTTAATCCGCAAATTACTGGAGTGTTCATTTTAAAATTTTCGTTCAAACCGCCGATCAAACAAATCCTTACCTTGTTCAACTTCTTTATCGACAACTACTCATTCGAAAGAATGACGCGCATAATCGATTATTTAATCACAAACTTAGCGATTGAATAAGAATAAACACTTACTTACGCCTATTGTGTCAGTGGTCAATAGTCACACACTAAAAATGCTCCTCCCCAGCTTCTCCATTCTCCTCCCAATTCTTCTCACTTCCGATTTCCATATCTTCAAAAGAATACTCAACACTGACTAGTCCACGATCAGAGATTCGCGATAAAGTGTGATCTCCAATGTTTCACTAAATGGATATGTCGTTGAAGCTCTTTGAATACAAATGTACACCCCCCCCCCCCCCCCCCCCCCCCCCCCCCCCCCCCCCCCCCCGATTAGAGTCTCTTACCGTCAAAATTTTGAGAGAGGACAACAGGCAATTCACTCAACGCATCCATCTCCTCTAGTCGTTGAATTATGTCTGTCATCTCAAAATCATTCATTTTAGTTCATTTTAACTAGATGCTGACGTCTCAAAATCATTCATTGCAGAACCACCAATACATGTTGTGATGGTGTAAAGTTTCTTACCCCTCATCATTTCCATCCTCTAAAATGAACTCCAGCCACCAGGTCTTAATTCTCCTCATCTTTTTCATTTCGTTTTTGTTGACATTTATACTTGCTTGAGTGTAATAACGAGTTTCTTTTCGCGTTCGTCTAAACAGGGGAGTAAGCGGGTGAAAGTTGTTCGGATAGATGAACAATCTAGAGATGATCATGATAAGTTGCTTGAAAAGCAAGAATTTTAAGAAGTTATCAGGGTTAAGATATTTGGAGGTACGATTTGGACGATTGATGACACCAGGCAATCTTCCTTGAACGCAACATCTATATTTCAGCACTCCATCCAACTCCATTAAACTTTGTCCTATCTTCGTACATCTCATTTAACCGCTTCTCATGCCCTATAAATGTCCATTCCATCAAAGCCGAAGTAAAACCCCCCACACCTCTCCCACTTCATTCCAAACCACTACATTTTCTCCTTCGAATACTATATTTCAGGTCGAAAAGAGCATTGTGAATAACTATTGTTCAAAGACACGATTTAGTAATCGCAGTGATGACCAAATGTGGCAATGACATTTACCCATTTTAAATATGCTCTGGAGCAAAACTATTTGTTCAAAGATTTCGAAGATTGGGATATTATATTTTGGTATCAGAGCCTCTCTTCCTCTCGCTTAATTTTACAGTCGTATATTGCAGATTAACACGTCTTATCAGACGATCCTCCGTCACCAATCACCAAATACCTACTAGGGCTGACCATTAAAAGTAACGGTCAACTCGTTAGTTGTTAGTAACACAATTGAATGGTGCCTGCGTACGTGGAAGCCACGTCAATGCAGGTTTTACGCAATAACAAAAACATTCTGGTCATGTGGATGACGTGGCAATCATGTGTCATTGGCTTGACTGTGCACGTAATAAACACCATTCGACTACGTCATTTATAGTTAACGGTTTGTTGTTATTTGTTAAGGATAGACTAACTGCAAATGACAAAACTACACATTACAGCAGTAACTAGAAAGCTGGAAACTTGATGCCCCAGTTTCTGGATATTTTCCCAGGGTAGTTTACAAATTAAAAAAACTCCAACCACAAACAGAGAAGAGTGTACATAAGCCAAAATGGTGATCACAACTCTTTTTCTTTTTTTCCCTTTTCCAAATCATTTACAATTTACACCAAAGGACAAACCTTTTACAATTTAAAGCCTTTGCTGACAAGAACTACATGTTCAGGCATGAAGGCAAAGTCCATCTCTTCATACTTTCTCCAGAAAACGGGATGGACATCGATATCGCTAATCCTAATCCAAGAGGATGATGGAAGGGGGATGCTTTAGAATAAGCTTAAAAAGACCAAAATACATGTACAAAAATCCTGTGAGCAAGAGCAGGAAGAACAGAAAAGGGAGCAGGAAAATATACACACACATAGATCATCAACTCTTCAAAAACTCGGTACTTGGTTAGGTTGCTACTGGAGTTCCATGGATGAGCAGACAACTAGATGCTGACGTCTCAATATTGATGCCCCCATGGGTCAGGTGAAGCATATATACCCTACCTTGAGTGCAGGAAATGGCAGACAAGAGCAATTCAATCATTCATTGCAGAACCGCCAATATATGTTGTAATGGTGTGAAGTTCCCTACCCCTCACCATTTCCATCCCCACTAAAATGAACTCCAGCCACCAGGTTTTTGATTCCCTTCATCCTATTTTTGGAAGTGGCTGGCCATGACATGCCTCCATTATGGATAAAGAAGAATAATCTATCGAATACTGGCCTCTCCTCTTCTCAAGACATGGCCCCTGCATATCTTTCCATTAGTTGACAAGTGAGAAAAATCTTCAGTCTTCACCTGGGTATCCATCCAAAAGCAAAAACAAGCCTATCACAGCCACACTTGCTCATTTCCCAAGCATGTATATGTCTGCAGCCAACCATCCCCCACCACATGTCATGCCTCAGCGTTTATAAGACGTGGGCCCAGTGGAGTGTCGAGCATAAGGCATTCACACCTGAGATAGTGAACACCAGGTTGATCCTCGGGAAAACCAAGAACAATCTCAGGTTGGAACTGGCAGGCCGTAACTGTGGTAAGATCGAATCTTGCCATCCCACCCTGCAGTCACAATGACAAGAGCCCACGCATGAGAGCCAGCAGCGCTCTGGCATGAAGCTTTCAGAAACTTGTATTGTGATTTATGCATCGATGCTAATGGCGTGGCTGAAGAAGGGCTTGATCTCGGAAGCTTTTCCTCTGGCCACGTTGCTGAACCTTTGGGATATGGCTCGAGGTAGTACTCTTGATTGAGATTGAAACTTGCAGGGGAAGAAAAAGGCAGAGGTTTCCCATTTTCTGAGTTACAGTACTTCTTGAAACCAGACCAAGGCAGTGCAACCGATGCATCAGCAGAGAATCGCTCAAAAGACTTTATGTTTTTACCATTTGGGCAGAATGAGTTCTCTAAGCCAAAACTATCCCACATGTAAACATTGGCATCCTCGCAAGCTGATATTATATGTTTTCCGTCTGAAGTAAACCGTGCAGATACATGATTTGCAGTGTTCCTCAAGCCTATAAAAAGAGATTAAAGTAGGAAAATTTTATATGTGGCATCAAAAATTTGATTGAAGAGTTGGGTAAGGAATGGAAATCTATATACCTTTGTATTTGGCAATTACATTGAGCCCTTTCAGTATCCTGACTTGTGAATCAGCACAGGTCACCATTACTTTGTCCGAGTCTCGTGGGCAATACTGAGGGTGAAAGAACACATTTCAAGTAAAAGGTTAGTGAAGGATATGCACATAGATTAAGCTCGAAGAATAACTTGGTAAGATGGCTAATGATTACCTGGAAGGCAGTTATTCTTTTTCCAGGCGACTTCTTTTTGTTGTTTAAGCATACTTGTGCATCCAATTGCAAGTGATTGTCTGTGGCATCCAAAAGCAGAAACCTTTGTCAAAAATTATGCACGTATAGCTTACTTCTATACAGCCATGAGAAGTTGAATCTAAAATTCTGAAGGAATTACAGATTAGATATGAGAACATACTGGTCCTATTATAAAAGCGGCAAGTGCCTGTCATTGAGCCAACAATCAATCCCTGCATAATGAAAAAACTTAAATCAGAAAACTGTTCTGCCAAAGGCTACATTGCCATAAAAAGGGCAAGAAAAAGAAAATCAAGGAACCTGCCCATCTGGACGATAACAAGCTGCTGTAACTATTTCTTTAATGTCAATCCAGTCAACAACTTGGCAACCAGAAATTGCCCAAATCCGAACTTTCCCATCTATGGAACCACTCATGAAGTAATTATCATCCCCAGGATTAAACTGAACACAAGTAACTGCACCACAAAGAGTTTGGAACAAAAAACACAATAAATAAGTTATGATGATGACAATGTATATAGAAAAAGAAAGTAACAGATAGCAAAGAAACATTACCATAGTTGCTATGTGAGTAGATAGCGAGGCATCGATTGCATCCTACTTGCCATAGACGAACAGTTTTGTCAACTGAAGCTGATAGTAAATGCTGCATAGCTCAACAATACACAAGCAGACTATTAATTTATTTAGAGATTCTGCATAACAAATTCTGGCGGAACAAAGACAAACATAGAAATGCTGTTACTTTGAAAAATATGGACTTACATTATCATATGACCATGACAAGTCCAAGATATCACCACTGTGACCAACAAACTCGTGCAATGGGTCCTCCAATATTCTACAAACTTTAGGAGGAAAAATTATGCAAGCTGAATCCGATGTCTTCCTCAAACTCCTCACTTTAGCCGTCTTCTCTTGATTACCAGTAAGGGGTTTCAACTCGGACAAATGATCCACAGTGAAATAGATGCATGAAGGATCTATTTCTGGAATATCACGTTCATTCAATCTATCATCTTCAAGAACTTGCCATACTCTCACAATCCCATCTTCGCCAGCACTTGCCAGGTACTGCCCATCTGGACTAAATCTCATCGCCAAGATTGAGCCCCTGTGAGCCTGGATCTCTTGCCCACTGTAGAGTGCAGAGAGCTCCTTCAATTGCTTCCCAGATTGCCTAACTTTCATCCTTCGTACCTTATACAAAAGTAAATCATCAACAGAATGGCTCAACCTCTCGGCTTGTGTTCTTCCATCCACAGCACATGCCATTGACCTCAACCTGCTCAACCACCGTTTCTTAATTGTCTTGGAAGTAGTGTTGCTGCTTGTGCTACTATCCTTGGATCCCCTGCAGCCTGGCTGATGCCGTCGAAGTGAAGGTGATGATGCGCCAGAAGCATTGCTACTACATTCCCTAGCTCTTGCTGAATATGGCGAGTAAAGTTCATGACTTTCATCTACATTGGAAGCCACCCCTCCACCCGAATTTTCATCTCTACCTACAAACTCGCGAGCTGAGCCCAACTCCTCCAGAAGACTGGAACTATCATAGGACCAACTCAGCCTCGAAGACCTTGTCGAGCAAAACTCGCCTTCGTAACAAGAGTTCCTCAACACAGCCCCACTGCTTTCAATCATTCTATTAATCCCGCTTCTTACTGGACTGGGAAAATCTCCATCTGGGCATGAACGGACATCCATCCATTTCAAGAACAAGTTTCGCCGTTCCTCCACACTTTTGGGGGCATCGGCCCACAATTCATAACGAGGGCTAGGGGCAGCTGAATTGCTATCAGCCAAACTCTGCCGGCAATCAGAGATGTCACTACTTACATCGGAGATTCTCGATGCAATGTCATCACCAGCATCGAAGAACCGGAATTCTTCCTCGCTCAAGCTGCCCATTGCTACCCTGTGTGAGTTCAACCCATCAAAGAAGACAGCTTTTAAGGTCCCAGTTAGCCTGCCACCACCATCGAAATCCACACCAGAAGAAGCAATCCCAATGAGCTGAGAAGAGGAGAAATGAGAACAAAACACCATTAGGAAAACAAGGAGAAAGAGAGATGTAAAGAACAACACAGAACTCAAAAGGGTGGTATTTTTTTGCAGCAAAACAGAGAGGGGGTTTCTTAAAAATTAAAAGAACATCCAAGAGACACAATGACTAATAAAATAAACATCACGAGATCCAACATGAATCCCCCCATATCTTCTTCCTTCTCCAGCCCATTGAACCTATCTTCCTTCCAATTCCACAAAAAAACGTTTCCATTATTCTTTTCCATAAACAATGCCAATATCCAAACCCCAATAAAGCCCTTCCCCTTCCCCCATTAAGGAGAATTTTGAGAGATCACATTATTGCATTTCCAGAAACCCGTTCAAAGAACAACAAGAGAATCGAACCCAAGAACAGGAAAAGGAAAACAAATTGGAAACCGAGTCAGGAATTCAATTCAATAAGCAGGGGTGGACATTCCAAATGGGGAAGAAAGAAAGAAAGAAAGAAAAGAACTTCATTTCTGTTTCTTCAGATGTTTATTTGCAAGCTTTCTTACATCCATGGGTATCAGGTTTCCAAGGAGATTTCTTTGAGACTGAAGAAGGCATGGATCGAAGCATCCATTAGAATTCCTTTTGTAGCTTTTCCCTTTAACTCTGTCTCCTTCCTTCTCTATACCTCACCCTCTCTTTCTTCCTCGTGCCTCTGGAGAAAGCAAAGAGACAATCCACTGCAATGAAAAACGCAGAGGCTTTATATATAAATAAACAATCAAAGATCGAGAAACCCCTTCAAGGAAAAATTGAAGAAGAAGAAGAAAGAAGGTAAGGAAGGGGGTTTTGTATAAATAGAATTTTATCAGTTACACATATAAATGGTATTTATTATTATAAATAACAAAGGTTAACAATTAATAACAGGAAAATATAAAATGTGATTTCCCCCGGAAAATATATATGGTATTTACTATTATTATTATTATTATTATTTTCCTTGATATTCGCGAATGGATGGACCGAGAACGAGATTTCGAAGGAGAAGGGAGGGGACACACACTCACACACCCACCCACTCGATCCAACAATACTTCTAAGGGGTGTGTAGTGGTCCGAGCGGTACCTGGTCGCACCAGACCAAGTCGAAGTTTATTTGAAGTGAAATAGGTCATTTGATATGGTGCAAGAACATAAAATAAGAAATTAGAGGATGGTTTTCTATTCCAAAGGCTCATGTGGGTTCTTGAATTTTTTGAATTTTCGACGGTCTTTGACAAATGAAGTAGTTAGCAGCTTTTGAATGGATTATGAACAACTAATAACGAGTTAGACTTGGGACCTCATCTGACAAGACAAAAACTGCTCTCTAAATAACATGACAACAATTCAAGCGTGTCATCATTGATCTCGATCGATGTCGAGCATAGATAGGGAGAATTTACTATTAGATATGCCCACCATGAGTTTCGAGCTGTTAATATGAGTACTCCCAATTTTACAAGCAATCATCAACGACCCTTGTCACATGTCTCAGCTCGTCAAAAGCTTTGCGACGACGATCTAGAGCTTATCCATGTCCTCTAGAGAGTCTGCTCTTCATCTAAAAGGTTTCCCATGACACTTTTGTTAGTTGAAAAAGTAAATAATCGGGGAAAAAAAATTGTTGAATCGTCATGTTTTTCATACAAATGTTGAAGATATATTCCACTAATTTTTCGTGTGCTCTCATTCTAATGAGCTTCGGCTGCAAGGTTGTTTTATAACATTCTTCTCTCACGAATCATTCTGAGTTTAACAAGATCCATCAGGTCAAAAAAATTACATTTTGATTCAGTTCATCGAAACATCGTCTCATTCGATACAATATAGTGGTGTTTGAACCACGACCCATCCCTAGGGAATGGGTGCATTGAGCATGCTTGTTCCCTTGTCTTTCGAAACAGTACCCTTTTCTTTTTCTTAATGTCAAATCGGACCCCAACATAATAATGTTTTGTTAATTAGTTGCACGAACGTAGGCGTAGCTCCTAATAATAATAATTGGTTAAATGTTCTTCGTGCATGATGAGGATCATGAATCTGAAAGTAATAATAATAATAATTGGTTAAATGTTCTTCGTGCATTGCATTGTTCTTACTTGTTATGGTATTGTTGCGTAACAAATTTGTCGATGAAGTGTTGTTTCGCTCCTTTTCGTGTCGTTAGAGTACTATTCGGTAAGTAATTTCGTAATTTCCTTTTTATATTCACGTAAATAACCATGCCTAATTAACTTCTTGGCGAGTGTTCTATCTGGGATCCTGGGAGATCGATCAGAGAGTTTGTTCTTGACATGAATGGTTATTAGTTGGACCAAACTCTAATAACTATAAAGTTTGATATTAAGAAACAGAAGAACTCTGAACATGGAATATATATTAGCTGTAATATTTAGGAACCATCAATAATACAAGTGAAGGCACCCAACTAAAAAATGAATGATGGGAGAATAATTTATTTGATAAGGGAAAGAGGAAAGAATTATTGAATGCCATGTTCTTTTGAAGTTCCTCTTTCATTGCACATCACCATTAATAATCATGGATTATACAGGGTTAGATCTAAATAAATTATGCACCTGATCTTTTGCAAGGGTTTTGGGTTCAAACTCCACAGTACGCATCGTTTAGCTCAAAATCCATCATCGATTTTGCCCTAAATTTTGCATGAATTCGTAGTTGAATTCTATATGACAAGAATTTCCAACAGAAATCAAACATTTTCGATTTCTCAATTTTGCTCGTCCAAACGACCCGTAAGTACGAGAATCTCAGAATCCACATCGGAGGCAGCAATAATGTTACGGTCTCAAAAAACATCGATCTGCACATAGGTCTCATCGTCCAACTAAGTTAGATGTTGTAGTTAGGTTCATGTCCTCACTGTGACAATACAAACACCCCGAAAAGTCAAGTGAAAAAGGGCACCTTATAGCCAAGGTGTTTCCATATTAACCAACAATTCAACTTTAGTGCTCTAATTTTCAGTGATTAACTCACCTAATGACACAACATTAGCAATCATTGTTCCCTTTTATGAACCACCCACTTTCTCAAAAGTTTAAGAGCAACATTAAGACATCATTATTGCTCGTCTTTGGATGTATTTGGCAATCCATTGATTGTGTTTGAGGTGCACGAGGGAGCAAAATCAAAGGTTTGTTCCTTTGTCGAAACTTGGATATGAATTAAGGTTTTGCTTTTGTGGAATGAAAGGTATTCTGCTTGAATGCTTGGAAGATAATATTGGTAAAATAAGTGGTTACCGACATCATTAAATAATTAAGAATCCAAATTAACCGAATTTGGGAAGTTGTTGCATGCTATTTATTGGTTAGTCAAACCTAATTAATCAATTTGTGTCGTTTTTCTCTTTGCTAATTATCTATCCATCGATTATATGCATAGGCGATCCGTGTAACTCCAGCAATCCACTGGTCACTACCCGTGTTTTACAAGCTACCATACGTACTCACATACGTATTCATGTACGTATATTCGACTATGTCAATGCACCAAAGCATCAGTTCGTGTGAGCAAGCTAGGCCGAGAGCCGACCAATACTCGAATAATGATAAATTTGATCCAATTCAGGAATGTGAGTCGATACGTAGTACACCCGACTTCAGCTCGACATCGATCAATAACATCTGGAATATAAATGAACGTACATATAGCAAGGCGAGAGCATGGCCGACTGGAAACAAAAACCCCAGCAATCAGGACTATGTGTGTCATTCTTCCAGGCCACACGAGTAGTGCTTATCTAAGATGTTGTTGGTAGCAAGACAAATCGAACTGGTCAAAGGGTTTCGCGCGAGCATTTAATTTGCATCACTTCTTCTTCTTTATGACTTCATCATCTATGACGATATTCTCTCATGTATAATTATCTCTCACTTTATAAAAGTGAACAAGTACTGGCGTTTAAAAATATCGGTGGTTTTGAGCATGATACCTCTCTATTAGGGTTATGTATCACTAAAAAGTTGTGTGTGTGAGGGTGATATCGGAGACAATGTTCCACCAAACAAGCTTCTGCAACTCTGTTTTAATTGTTTCTTTTCCCCACTGCATTGCCCCACTTCAAAACCCTTTCCATTTCTTTCACTTGTTCCATTGAACCTTGAAATGCACCAAATCAAGAAGCCTTCTCTCCTTTCCTCTCTTTCCTTTTCTTTCATTTTTTCATCACTTTCCCTCTACCCTTCAAAAAAAAAAAAAACATTCATTCCATAAATGGGTCCTCAAGGTAATTCCAAAATCCAGTAGAGAGTAAGTAGTAGTACTATTTGATTGCTACATATGCTAAAAATCAATACTTAAAATGAGGAACATTTAGAAATAAGAAAGCTTAATCAAAGATACACTTAATCAATAGGGTTATAGGTATAATATGCCCATCTACTTTGACGTTTTATCAAACATGCCCCTCTACTATTTTTTACATCAAATATGCCCCTGTACTTTGAAAATTATCAAACATGCCATTCTGTTAAAATTTTCATTGAAAAAATCGTCAATCGTGGTTGAACCGAGATTTAGATGACCCGACATCGGCAAATGGGAGGAAAAATGTCAGTTTTGTCCCCTATTTTATTTCCCTGGGCCTTTTCAAAGTGAAATTATTTGAATGATTTGATTATACAAAAGAATGAAAAAAATTCTAAAGTGAATTTATTATGGATATTTTAGTCATTTGTATTGCCTAAACTAAAGTTCGGCCTTGTTTAACGGTTTTTGGATGAAAATTTTAACAGAATGACATGTTTGACCACTTACCATATCTACTGGTAAGTGGTAACAGATTCTTATTATTAGTGTACTCTTATTATTAGTGTATGTTTGGTTACTCTGCATTAATGTCTCAGTGATCTCTCTGTCTCTCTAAATAACTTTTGGGCCCCCAGCTACAACTGTGGTTAGGTAGGGAGCTAGCTTGATAATGGACCACCCCTAGCGGGCCTCATGGGCCTTTGTCTCATTAAACTCTAGGGTTTGCTTTGAACGTACTGCTGGCTGGGGCATGCAATTAGCAGCAGGGAATTCAGAGAGTAGGATGGTCCAAAATGATGGCCCAACTAAGAACACCCACCAAGCTTTCCCATGGAGAGAGAGCTTTGTGCTGGCAATCCAAATTGCTGCACTCAGTCAAGCTTTCAAACTGACATGGATGCTATGTGAAATGGCTTCAATATCTAGAGGGCTTTTCAAGAATGATGGTTCAAAAAGTCTACATCACAACTTTGTGAGATCCTGTGAAATCAACTCTAATGAAGAACAATGCAGCTGCAAAACTTTTGGTGACTACACTAGAACAGGAGGATGATCAAAGTTTTGTTTCCCCTCTATCAAACGCCTGATTACCAAGAATTCGAGGTGCAGCGAAGGACGACGGATGCTCTATATAGTTAGCTTGTTAGACTGCCGGCAGATGCTAAACAAAGTGCTCGGTTGGGTACTCGTGCTCGTACCCGTTATAGTCATAGTATAGTCTCTCTCCCTTTGGTATATCTCTGTTGGCAATCAGCAAAACTCGGCACTCGCCATCGACATCGTACCTCACACATTTCAAGTTCTGCTTCCTTTTCCCCTCCCTGCAGTGGACAACATGAGAAAAAGGGTTAGGGGTGACTAGTCCCTTTCGAAAACCTTCGGATGAGGCCTAAAAGAAGTCGATCGTGAGCTTACGGGGTGTGATTGTTGATTCCATTGATGAATCGAGCTACATTCCCGTGCTTATAAGGGCAAATGACGAGGCTTTTGGCCGGGTCAGCAGCAGAGAGCAGCGTCATCATGCTGTCCCCGTCATCGTCTTCACGTTTCTCCAAGTAGTCCACATCACCAACGTACTCCGTGACAATGGTCAAGTCTTTGATGAATCTGTCTGCCTCCACTGTGAACCTGCTTCCAAATTGAGCAAAGAGATTACACAAGAATCTCCTTTGATACATACCATTATGCTCCGGTCACTAACATTAATCACATACACATATACCCTTCCAGAGGATCAAAAACGACCATAAGTGGTGGGCATTCTCCTCTATCCATCATTCTCTTGCACAGATTTAAGGTTTCGGTGTCTTCCTTTGACAAGACCTATAAAGTTGTCATTCTGAAAATGTTAGGATTTCTGAAGTCTGAACCCTATCAATCTTCCAAGCAGCACTTTGGCCAAGAAGATGATGAATCAACAATTCTCTATCGCCATATCAGTAACTTTTAGGATTTTACTAAACTAAGCTGAACGGTATTAATAAACATAGGATGCCACTAAGACCAATTTCAAAGTCACACCCTTATATGTCCATCCATACTGGCTTCCAATAATGGAGCATTTCATCCTGCTAATTGTCTAAAAAATGCAAATGGGCAATTACCAAGAAATATATAATCAACCCTGTTAATATCTACCTGCATTCCTGCCTTCTCAAGAGATGCTTGGTTCGCAGACCGAGGTGTCATGCCTCTTCGGTAAGTAAGATCATCAGAAAACCGTGTCCCGGAGGCTAGCAATGCTGTGGCAAGTGATCTCATCTGTTCCAACCTTCTGTCAGGGTCCTCGCTTGGGTTGAAAGGCAATAGCTTCCTTCTCTTTTTGGACATGACTAAACTTCCAACTCTTTTACGCTTCCTTGGGCTGTCTGCAATAGCTCGAAGGCCATTCCATACTTAATTACAGCCAAAAAAACTAAGAAAGCAAACCAAGATCACAGTCTCATGCATCGGTCTAAAGACATTACTTACCCTCAATGGGTTTTTTTCTTGGTGTTGAAGGCTTCTGGATGCGAAAGAAATCGACGATTTTGGTCTGGACCAGAGGAAATGCTGTTCGACAACAATGAACGAAACATGCACAAGTAGCATCAGACCCTCGAAAACATAATTGATGTTTCAATTCTTCACATCAAGAATATTACTTGTAGTCCGCCTATCGAGCAACCCAAATGGACAGCAATCTCATTGATCGATCATGATTCATGATATTAACATAAAGCCCCCATCTTTCTTTTGGTTCTAGCTGTGCAGCCTAGTCCATGGCAGGCCAAGCTATGCACCAGAGAAAGAAGAAAACTAGTTATGGTGACCTTCCCAGGATTCAAATCCAACATGCAGAACAAAACCCACTTGCCTTGCTAAGCTACCTGATTCTTCACCTAGGCAATATAAATTACTAAATCCCTCGCCATTGAAAGAAAGGAACCAAACAATTCGATAAAAAAAAAAATTTATGCTATCTCTGCACACATTGCAGCTGTAATGGATCAATATTCAATACCCAATACCCACATGAGCGTTTCAAAGCCTGGGTACGAAACTAAGCAGACAGATCAAAATCATTCGAGCAACATCAATACTACGAGGGCGGAATGCGAATGAAATGAAAAAAAAGGAGGAACACGAATCGTTCTGGAACCTACATTTGACCTTCTTCTGGTTAGAGCAGGAGTTGCAGAACCAGGAGCCTTTTGGGACGGAAACGAGAATGGGTCTCAAGCAAAAGAGATGGTAGCCTCTGTCACATTTGTCGCAGAGAAGCAGCTCGGCCGGAGAGTCACCGGATCCGCATTCCTCGCAGCACAGGTCGTCGTACTCGCCGTCATCGTCGCCGCCGGGGGAATCTCCGGGTGATGGGGCCGGAGCAGCGGGCCGCGGAGCTTGCGTCCGCCGCCGGCGAAACATTGGGGCGGCAGGGGAAGAGGCCATGGTCAGGCTGAGGAGAGAATGGCACGGAAGAAGGGAATGGTCTAATGCAGCGGCGGGTGCTTACGCGGAAGCCACTCCCCCCTTTGTGCTCGCTGTAAAATTTAGGTGGGTGTCAGAAATGAGCTATTTTTCAAAGGGGGCGATAATTGGATTTTTGTAGTTAAAGTTCAACCACTTATTGGTTTCGGTTCGGCTAGAACAAACCGAAAAATCGAATCTTTCCACTCGTCATAATTCGATCTTTTGGGGTTTTCATCGGTTTTATAATTTAAACCAAAATCGAAAAGTTAAGTTTAAATAGTATCGGGTTCAAATCTCTTAATTATCATGTAAAAATAAATTTAAATCGATATCTCCTTGATATAAAAAAAAATTATAAACAAGATTAAGACCAAGAAAAGTCTTTCTTCCAATTCACTTCATCGTTGCTGAAGTAAAACCCATCCTCTTTAACCAGCCAAGAACACTTCCTCAGACGATCGCACCGTCGAACGTCCCTCGTCGCCTTAAACGCGTCGAATTCCCTCTTCCGCAGATCCCACTTCACCGTGCACACGACATTAACGTCGTCACTACTACTACCGAAAAAGCAGTCGGTCGTCGTCATCGAGGTCCAGCTGAAATCGTCGCCTTCCTGAAGGGCTCGCCCACCCATATCACCAAAGTTCTCGCCACCGGATGAGCACCATATGACCAAGGCAAGCGACGAGTTGTTCGTAAAGCCGTTGATCACTCGAACGTCGTACTCCAGTTGTCGTCGGCGACAACTGGAGTAATTATTCAACATTGTGAGGAAGATGATTCCCATGGAAAGGCCTAAGAGTAGTAGACGGTTTTGAGTGGCCAATCTCATGCTTTTGATGAAATGGGTAATGGAGGTTTGAAGGAAAAAAGTGATGATTATAATGAAACGAGGAAGAAGATGATCAAAGCCAGTAACAAGTTTCTTAAAGCAACTTTGAGCATATATATATAGTAGTAATAATAATAATAATGTTGTCAATAAAGGGAAACATTGTCTTTCTAAAATAAAGATATGTATTGGCAAATTTGTTTGGTTGTTAAAAAAACAAATCTATTAACTACTATACTTTCTTACTATAATTGTACCACAAATCGTGATGTACCCGCCCAACTGTGAGACTGGTAATCAAAATAATTCGTGTTTATCTTATTTTTCACAAAAAGTCACGCATCATAAAAGAAAAAAATCATCTATAATTGTGATTTGGCGTTTTGAGCGGGAAGCGATGGAGGGAAAAGTGGCGAATTAGGTGATCTAAGGTACGTTTAGCGAAAACCAGAGAAAAACGCTGCTCCTGCTTTTCTATGGAAATGGAAACCAAGAACCGACTCCCTGCAGCTCACATTGTCGCGTCGAACGAGTCGCCCGAATTCGGCCGCCTGAATTGGGTCCTGGCTCGTTCTTCAGTAATCGGGCTCGATGCGGAGTGGAAACCCCTCAGAACCCAACAATCCGCCTTCCCAAATGTGTCGCTCCTCCAACTCGCTTGTCAACTCAGGCCTGAACTCCGCTCCGACTCGGCGGCGGCGGAGGAGGAGGACGCGTCGGTGGAGGTTTTCCTGCTTGACCTTGACTCGATTCCCCTGCCTTCCATATGGGAATTGATGAAGGAAGTATTTACTTCTCCGGATATATTGAAACTGGGATTCAGGTTCAAGCAAGATTTGGTCTACTTGTCCTCAACCTTCTGCTCCCATGGTGGTTGTGATCCTGGGTTTGACAAGGTAAAACAATATAAAAAGCCTGCATCTTTTCCCTACTATGAAATGTCTGGTTGTTTGTGTTGCTTTGCTTTCCCCTGTCTTTTGTTTATGAACGAACATTTGGTATTGGTGGCATGTGGCAATGCTAGTTTGTGGTCACTGAGTTACTGAAAATACATCGGCAAGGAGATAATGATGAAATCGTGTAGCTGAAAAAGCCTGAAACTTCCTTTGCACTTTAGAAGCTCTTACTGAGGAACAGAAAACCTATGCTGCTACAGATGCACATTGTTTGCTTCAAATTTTTAATATTTTCGAGGAAAAGTTGCCGAAAAAGGTTTGTTGTCCTTGATAGAACTTGTAAGAAAACAGAAAATCCTGAGCTGTTAATTGTATTTAAAAGTAGTTTGCTTCATTGCAGGAAGTTCTTCTCAAGTTGTAAATGGGCTGGATACTCTGCATATTGGGTTGAAAGAAGTTCTTGAGCAAGATGAAAGTGGTAATAAACATATGAGGATTAGAACTTATGAAGCTTTGGCAATAGTTAGGGCTACTGATTCTCAATGTAGATTTGGTATTACAGTCTGTGATGTGAAAGCTGAAACGAAATGCAGGTGATCGAGACCTTTAATCTAAAGATCAGCGAAAATCAGCTGATGTCGAGGTGCACCAAGTGCAATGGGAAGTTTATCATCCAAAAGCCACTAACAACAGAAGAGGCAGTTGAAGCTGCAAAAGGTTTCCAAAAGATACCCAACTGTTTGTTCAACAAAAATCTGGAATTTTGGCAGTGCATGGAATGCAACCAACTCTATTGGGAGGTACTTCTGCTACTTCTTCCTCTTCCTCTTCCTCTTCTTTGTATGTCCTTTGCTGTTTCTATTTTTCATGTAATCTTCAAATGTTTGAGCTGAAACTGCGATGTTGGTTCCAATTGCAGGGAACCCAATACCACAATGCAGTTCAGAAGTTTGTGGACATTTGCAAGCTGAATGATTAAACACTTGGAACCCTTGTATAACATGGATATTTTGGTATGTAAACTCGATGAAACTATGAAAGAAAATACTCTAGGAAACTCAAACCAGCTGGAGTTAAAACCATGAAATACAAAGCTTGACAAACTTCTACGCAATAACCATGTCGCTGACCATACGATGAGGCTTGCAGTTGAGCTGCAGAGGGATCAGCTTTGGCATGGTAATCCCAGGGCCTTCTGCCATGTCAATATCTTCCTCCTCAACCACCTTTTTCCACTCAAAACACTGGATCAGAGATGCCAGAGTCAACCCGACGAGTCGTCGAGCCAGACCCTCCCCGGGGCAAGCCCTTCGACCTATTCCGAACGGAATGGGCTTAGGACGACGACTACTACTACGATCTCCAGCCTCAGCTTCTCCATCACCACTAATCTCAAACCTCTCCGGCTTGAAACTCGTTGCGTCGTCCCAAACCTGAGGATCCCTGTGAATGGCCCAAGCATTCACCAACAGCATTGTGTTCCGCGGCACGTGGTAGCCACCAAGGGTGAAATCTCGAGACGAGGTGCGAGGAATCAGAAGCGGTCTTGGCGGGTACAATCGCAAGGTTTCCGAGATTGTGTTCTGCAGGTACTGCAACTTAGGGAGGTCCAGTTCTTCCACCATTCGACCTTCCCCGACTTGGGTATCGATCTCGTCCCTCGCTTTCTTCAGTATCTCCGGATGGTTGAGCAGGTTCGACATTGCCCATTCTAACGTCACTGTCGAAGTATCAACCCCTCCTAAGAAGACATTCTGTTTCATCTCCAAAATCTAAACGTCAGTATATATGTACGAATGGGAAGAAGGCCTTTGATGATTTTGTCGGAGTAGTACTCCGGCTGGGATTGCTGCAAGGAGAGGAGATGATCAACCATTGTTGTGTCGCCGCCATTGTTATTGGAGAATCGACTTTCATCGATCAACCTCTGCATGAGCCCATCCAGTCTCTTGGAAAGTCCGGCCAGCTTCCTCTCATACCTTCCACCATCAAGCCAATTCAAGACCGGCAGGAAATCGGCATTGCTAGAAGCCCCAGCACAGGCCAGAACCTCCACCATCATCTCCTTAAATTGTTCCTGGCCGCCGGGCGCCGGTCCATCGTAGCTTTTCCCGGCGATCATCGTCATCATGATGTTGAACATCAGGTCATGAGGATGAGGCTCCTAACTTCGTCCCTCCGGATGCCGGCCAATTCGTTGAGCCGGCCCGCGGAGAGGATCTCGACGGCGCCGACGCGGCGGAGGTGGCGCCAGTGGTCGCCGTAGGGGGATTGGACCATGGTGGTTTGGTTGTAGCCTATGTGCTTCCCAACCATAAGCAGGGGACGTTAGGCCAGAGCAACGTCATTTTTGCAGGTGAAGCATTCTTCGGCGGCGGCAGAGGACGACACGACGACGGCGGGCCGGGAGCCGAACTGGATCCACATGATTGGGAATCTGACGGCGCCGGAGCCGGTGTGGGAGAGATTGTGTAGAGAACGGTGGACGGGTTTGCTGAGGAGGTGCAAGTGGCCGAGGAAAGGGAGGGCGCGGCGGTTGGGAGGGCTCGGTGGCAGTTGGAGGCTGTTTTTGGCGGGAGATGTGTTGTTGGCGCCGCGATGGAATTTGAAAGCTACGGCGGCGAGGAAGATGAGGGAAATGGAGACGTAGATGGAAGCGTCGACCTCCATTGCCAGCTCTGCTGCTACTCTGTAGCTTCTTCACTTTGGCCTCTGGTATCTCTCTGTTTTAGGACTCTGTTTCTCGGAAGAGGAAATGTTGCATGGTTGTTTATTAACGGAAAAATGTTTGTCACGAATGTCTTGTTTTTTATTTTAATTTTCCTACATCTTTTTTATTTTATTTTCGAGTAATATCAATATAGAACAAGAATTATACAAATAGAACTATTCAGTAATTTCATACAAGCAACACCCTAGTGAATCCATCCAAAAATTGGAAGACAATAGCAGTGTTTTAAACGCCACTCTATGGGCAGCACTGTTTGTGGCTCTAGGAACCGCCACAAACTCTATACAAACTAACAAAGAGTCTAGGATTTGACGACACTTTCGGAGTACCGGATCTCCGAAGGAACCTTCTATGACATCTTGCCGGATCTGGTTGATGACCAATCAACTTCCAGTATCACGTGAATCAAGGAACTTGAGGCGAGGATGGTGATAGCATCTCTAACAGGGAGGAGCTCTGCCAGATATGAGTTGACTACTCCTTGATGAAGAATATCGGCTGCGAGCACCACATAAGGGTTGATGGCATTGGTTAATTAAATTAAGATTGCGTGAAACAAATTGATTGGTTGGAAATGAGATTCTTTAATTTTTCAATAAGAAGAGTGTGCTATTTGTCGGAATATAAATAGATTTACGTGCCTAATTAAAAGAGCTGAGTAAAATGATAAATATTATACATGAATAATGAGACTGGTAAGACAAGAAAGTTACTTAAAGAATAACCTGCCTAACTCTAGCTAAATTAGACCTCGTGGCCACGAAGTCAAACTGCCAAACTTTCTACTAGGCCTAGGGGTGGGCAACGGGAAACGAGTATTTGGGTATACCCGTACCCGTCCCGTTTTGTAAGGGTTACGGGTACCCATATTACCCGTAATATTATGAACGGATGGGACTTGGGATTGTACATTCCTAATATGGGTACTCGCGGGTTACCCGCAAATACCCGTTTGGGTAATGTGGGTACCCGTTTTACCCATATGCAAACTCTAATCCATAGAAAGGGAATGTCCACTTCGCCACAAAGATGAAACTTTTCTTACACTATGTTTGGGAAGGGGTGTAAATGGAAGGGGGTGCAAGTTTGGAGGGGTAAACACAAGTTCCAAGGTGTTTACCCCCGTTTGGTTATTTTGTAACAGTAGGGGGGTGCAAAACGTGAGCGTAAATTCACTGTTTCGGCTTACCCCCCAAATTGGGGTGCAAGGGAAGGAAGGAAGGGAGGGGGAAGGGGGAGGAGGGGAATTATGAATTTTTAATTAGACTATAATTACATAATAATTAATATTATTAATTTTTCTTATATCTTTATTAGTGTAGAAGTTGTTTGGGGTTGACCGTTTGACTCAAAGAGCAAGTTTGTCAATGTTCGCCTCGTCAAATCGATATCTCTTAGTTGACCCGAATTTGCATTGAAAATTAGAGATAAGAAGCATTTGTTGAAAAGATAGAGAGGAACAGTTTAGTTAACTCGATTTACTTTAATAAGTAGTTAAAACTTACAGATTCGAACGTGTTTGACTAAGTTTGACCATATTCAATTTAAAGTTAGGCACGAGAACCCCCTTAGGATGACCAGTTACGAGTTGGATTTCGAGTTTCGAGGTTGCACGACCAATGATTATTATTGTTGTTATAAATAATTATATTTGAGCATTATTATATAATAATTATTTTTATTAAAATTATTTTTATTTATTATTTTTATTATTATATATTGAATTTTCATGTTTGTGATAATATTTTATAAATTGATAAATCTATTTTATAATAATATAATTACTTACTTTTTACTCTATTTGCACCCCCCTACTTTTTCATCCAAACAACAATTTACCCCTCCACTTACACCCTCCACCAAGTTGCACCCCCCAACAATTTACCCCTCAACTTGTACCCCCCTCGAACTTGCACCCCCCTTGTTGCCAAACATAGTGTTAGTAAAGAAACAAAGAACGCTATGTGAACATAATACTTGTAGACTCCCTTTTGTTAAATGAAACTTCTTATTTGATAATTTGGTGCTTAGAATGATTTATTTCTATGCGTTGTGATTATTCATGATTCGTGTTGAATGAAACTTCTTATTTGATAATTTGGTGTTTAGAATGATTTTTTCTATGCGAGTGATTGTTCCTGATTTGTGTCTTGTGATTGTTAAGCAAGTACAAGTTAAGTTTAATCTTTTGTTAAAATTTGAGTGGTTTAAACTTTGGGTATTTATGGGTAGTATGGGTACCCGTTATCCGTCCCGTACGGGTAATGGGTACCCGTTTCCCATATGGGTTTGGGATATGGGATGGACTTTGGCCTCCAAATGGGACTGGGTACCCGTTTAAAACAGGACGAGTATCCCGTGCCGTCCCGTTGCCCACCCCTAACTAGGCCAACAACCACTTTGGAGTTACCGCATCATTGATGGCTTCAATGGATCGAATAATTAATTCCTTAACTAAATACTATTAGAATTTGTGAAATGCAAAATTAAGTAATATACATGATAACATATTTAGTACTACTCTTGCCCAAGCTACATGATATAATATTTAATTCCTTGTTTGAAAATCTTGTTTGATTATTAACTTTTTTTCATAATATCTCATTTTCCCTTAACAATTAGTAACTAGTAACCTTCCACAAACAAACTAAAAAATCATTTTTCCATGGACCAGCTAGTCAACTGTCAACGTCCATTATAGATGGGCCGAGAGGCCGAGACACTCGCATAAGCCCAGGGGTCGTTCCATTCCTGACCCATCAATGACTATGGGCCTGATCTAACTTTCTTGGGCCAGACTGCTGTCGGCGTCGATTAGTAGTTAACCCACTCCCGCCGGCGAGCGGTTGATGGAAAACGGCAAAACTCCCCGGCTTTCCCCCTTCATCCTTACAAGAACAAAAACCGTTTCTGTGTTCCCTCCTTTCTCTGTCTCTAACGGTTACCGGAAATTAACGACTGCCTCCGTTTTCCTCTCGTTTCCGAAGCAATGTCCGACGCTTACTGGAGATACGCCGACCCGCGGCAGCCTCCTCAGCCGTCGTTGTCGCAGCAACCGCAACATCAACAGCAACAGCAGTACCAGCAGCAGCAGCAGCCCCCGATGTCTTCTTTCGTCGGGAAACGCCCACGTACCGGAGAATATGGTAAATTCAATTCCTTTCTCCTTCCGCTCCCGTCTCTCTCTCCTTGAGCTTATCTCGAAATTCCAGCTCTTATTTGCCACCTGCTTTTTGGGTTCCCTTTGATTTGAGATTAGGGTTTCCCTCCCCCTTCCGAAGCCATTATCGATCTGGGTTTGTGCGTATTTGGATTTTGTTTGAATTCTGTTGTGAAAGATGCATATTGCGTCAATTCTATGCCCTCTGCCATCACCGGCAGACAATAGCGGGACAAAAGATGCTTAATTGGCTTTTTGTTTGACCTTGTAAAGTCTCCTTGGCTTCTCTTGAGTTGGTGTTAATGTCGAGCTACATGATCTTTGCAGATGTTCCTGGTGGGCGTGATCTCTCTAATTACTATGGCCGTGAAGATGAAAGAGGTGGTGGTGGTGGTGGTGGTGGTGGTGTTCGAGTAATTAGAGATACAGATGCCCTTGGATCATCTTATGATCGTTACCTACGCAGTGTGGTAATGAAATGTTTTGCTTAAATGTTTATCGATATGGGCTGGAATGTTTTGCTATCCCACTTGGTACTTCAACAGAGTTCAGAATGCTTCATTTTTCCTTCTTCTTTGCAGCAAGCTCCGTCGTATGGTGGTAATGGACAATCTGCTAGACCCATGGGTGCAGGAATGGGAAGCATGGAGCCCGGGGGTGCTTCAATGAATGACAGAAACCTTGGATTTGGTGGTGGAAGGAGTGATCTTTCACTCCCTCCTGATGCTAGCAGTACACTGTTTGTGGAGGGTTTGCCCTCCGATTGTACAAGGCGTGAAGTTTCTCGTATCCTTTTCACTTCGATGTGTGATTTTTATTGCAAGGTTTTATTACAAATGATATATTTTTATTGCACAATTCCTTGATCTAAGGTGACAGATATATTTCGGCCGTTTGTTGGTTACAAAGAAGTTCGACTAGTAAGCAAGGAGTCAAGACGCGTATGTTTTCATTCTCATCATCATGATAGTCTATGAATTGTTTATCCTTGGTCTTGGAACTGGTACATATGTTGATTTGTGATTTTGACACTGTGCAGCCTGGGGGAGATCCATTGATCCTATGCTTTGTTGACTTTATGAGTCCTGCCCATGCTGCCACCGCTCTGGATGCCTTGCAAGGTAAAGCATCCTTGTCATACGTTATGCTAGCATCAAAGTCGTCCGCATTTGTGATGTTTTCCCTCTTAATAGTTGCCCCATTTTCATTTGTGTCCTTGTGGATTCAAGTGGTACCATTTAGATTTGATTCCTGCTTCAGAAGTGGAGATTCCGTTATGCTTAAAATACCAAGACCTGAGTGCCCAATTGATTACAATGATAGATTATCTTGCTAAATGGGGCTTTATCTGGTTGTCCGTTTGCAAACTCAACTGAGAGTGAACGTTTCTGCAACACCAAAGGAACTGGTCATCTTATCCCCAAAATGTTTTAATATCCTTTCGCTTGTGGGAAGGAACGAATGGTTGGCTCCTCAATTCTTGCGCGTCTGCGAACTGGTTTAATGTTCGGTGCAGTACGTTCAGTGCAGTATGTTCTTAAGTGTCTGTATTTTGCGGTGAAATGAACTCTTACGTCGCTCGAAACCGTCAGGGGTCATCCTGCGTGCGTAAATAGTCGAGCTCGCTTTTTGCAGGTTATATGTTTGACGAGCACGATCATGATTCACTCCAATTAAGGTTGCAATTTGCTCGCTATCCTGGTGCGAGGTCAGGTAGCGGGCATCGTGGCAAGCGTTGAGTGACAGGATGATTTTGGCAGGTGACTAGTGCTTACTACACTTACTAATCCCGCTCGACCTCTTACTACTGTTCCTGCAGTCGTCAATTAAGTAACGATGAATTCCGCTAAAATCATCCAAACGTCTCTGTAGGACTCGGCTAAACGACAGCCTCGCTTCGAGTATTATGCGATTTCCCTAATGGATGCGTTCACTAGGTCGATAAACTCGATAATGTGTCTTCCAGTGCCGGTGGATGTAGACGTCATACCTTTTCTGTTGAGAGAGTTGGAAAGTTTTCGCTTTGAATAATGATCTAGAGTTCTGGTAAAGTTCTGGAGGATTTGTTGTTCCTTCCTTTGCCATTGCGATAAACGTTTCTCTATGTATTGATATTTACGACTAGGAGGTAATCTCAGGGAAGATATACTTATTCAAGCAAGCACATAACTCAGAGAGTGCATGAAGAATGAGTTATGTATACTACTATGAGTTGCCTGCCTATAGATCTTGTTCTTGTGCTACTCTATTGATGCTAACCCTTCTTTATTAAGAATTATCCAGAAATTCAATCCTTTTCTGATTGCATAGGTAGAATGTTTATTGGACATGCTGTTTTATTGCTCCTTGAACTTGAAGATGTGTTTCTGCTAGTTAGCACCTCGCCATTGTCTGCCCCTTGTCTATCTTTTCAGGAATAAGTGATTATTGCAGGTCTGTCGCATATGTGTTGTTCTAACTAGTCACTTATAGGCTTAATAGTTTAGCAATCTATTTGTCAAGGGTGTGTGCTTGGTTAGTGTTTACACAGTTAGAACGGCTTCTTTTGCAGCATATGTTGGAATGCCATGCCACAACAGTAGTATTCCACTTCTCTCTGCACTAGAAGTGTTTGCAGTTCTGGATTACACTCCACTAGACCACTACTGCTATGTTTTGCCAGGAAAGTTTTAGGCTAGTGCTATGAATTGGTTAGCATCTTGTCATGGTGATGTTATGAGTTGTTGGGCATTAGATATCTCATATATATATTCAAGTGAAGGCGTAAAATACAGGGACTGTCTCTCTCAGTCATAGTCCTTAGCTGACGTTTGTGCCTCTTGTGGGAGCTCCTTAGTGACTACGGATGGTGTTTGCTTCTGATTCTGCTGATGCCATGTTGTATCTGCCACCAGACAGCCAGTTTCGTACGGCGATCTTATGCAGGTCTAGTGCTGCAATCGGATTGCACAGATCGAGCACGGGGGTACTAAAAAGGGTGGTTTTCAAAGATTAGATTCTTCCAACCCTGTAGTACGCAGCAAAGATCGACGTTGCTTTCTGAACTTACAGCTTCGTCTTCTTCGTCCACGATCTATAGCTAGCTGGTTGGGTTGTTGCTGACTAAAGAGTAGACAACGTGCTAGCTTTTATGACACGGTTACTGCTATACCCACATCGACCAATTTCGCTATTGGGAGCCTTGGGAAAGCTTACATATGAAAGGTTAATGAAACACAACAAGGAACAAGAATTTGGCAAGCCAGAGTTGGGGTTTGATATTATCTGGTAGTTATCACTCGGCGCAAATCCTCTTCTTAACAGGATTTTGGTTCTCAAATGAATGTTGCTGGCTCCTTTGCATTCCAAACACACAAGAATGAAAATTCATTCCATATCCACTCCTAAAGAATTGATGGAGTTCATTCTACCAAACGATATGCAAGTGCACATCTATCAGACTATGACATGTTATTGATTTCGGGTTATACAATATGACATGTCGTTAAAATCTGAACTTAATCATTGATGATAATTTAAATATGATGATATAGTCTAGAATGGCAATTAATTTATACATATTTCACTTATAACTTATAAGTTTGTTCTCTTTTATTTTATGAATACAATTTTTTCCAACTAAAATCATAAATCACTACTAGTGAATGTTTACACAAAAAATTACAAACGATAACCAATGACGGAGCTAGAAATCTGAACAGGAGGCTGAAAATCTACACTTGAGAATTTTGAACCATGTTCATTAGGAAGCGAGGCTAGCGACTTACCAAACTAGTCCATTTATAGAATTTGTTACAAATTTTTCACGTAAATTTATATACATTTGAAAGTTGAGTGGGGCTATAGCCTCTCATAGACTTAACGTGGTTCCGCCGCTACAGTAAACACTAAGAAACCACACCCAAAAGTAACCATTCTGCTTACACAAATACCCATGGTTGGTCAAAAGAAACTCTTTTATTCTCTCATACGCCGATACTCGAGATCAAGGAAAGCAGTGCAAAACCTGCGACACATTTTTTCTCTTTGGTTAACCAAGCCTCCCGTTCCTTATAACAATCATTTAATTTGATCAATATATGAGTTACACACGTAGCGGTAGCAAATTTAACAAAAATGTCTAACAGACAAGCAAATCGCAAATGATTATCCGATAAATCTACTTTATTTTGTTCGTTATAATACAAACGGTAATCGGTTGCTTTCCTGCAATTCTATAGTTCTCCCATTAACAGATCTCGGATCAAGCAGTGCCTTTCTCTAACTTGAATGACTTACTTCTTAATACGTTCAAAAAATGATATGTTATATAAACACCAATAAGATACCGTAGGACCGTGCGCGTCCACTAAATCTAAATTAAAGCAGAAATCAATATGAAAAAACATGGGAGAATTAACAATTTGAGCCCACTTGCTGCAAAGCTAATTATACAATTAACAATTTCACTCAGCCTGGATAAAGTGAAATCATATTTTAATTAAGAAACTAAAAAGGTGATGGATAGGAATAGGACCGAAAGAGAAAGAAATAGACCAAGTCGTCCTGTTTCTGTTGTTGGTTTTAAAGGTCGTAGTCGTCCCTGCAGAGGAGCCGAAAACCAACAAAATGAGCATATCTTATTCCTCGCACCACCAACATTCTGAGAATCTCCTGCCTGCCAACCACAGCCGCATGCCCTGCTGCCTTATCAGCGTTAGACAAAATTGTGTCGATAGTTCGATCGGAAAAAAATAGTTTACCTATCTTAGCTCAAAACGGTAGACGGTGTTAATTAATAGCATGAAACGGTTGGGTTACAGATAAAGCATGATTTCAGTATGAAATATACTCTCCCACCGATGTTCCAGCAGATACAACCTCTGGTACGGTTTTACGATTCTTGTTGTGAAATCTATATCCATAGAAGTTACGTGTACCAAAGAGAAGATCATGAGTGAAGATACGTACCAGTTAATCATGTGTAGAAATACATATGGTAATGGAGAGAAAAGCATACAAGAGTGATATTGATTCGGCTCGGCTCCGATCGTACGGTTTCCCTGCTGCCACGCCGGTCGGCGGCCGGGGAGGGAGATGAGCCGGACCAATATCACGCCATGTCTACTTTCTCCGGCGAGGCAATGACCAGTTTTCTGGGCCATTTCTGTTTTTGCTGATCGGCTGAGTGATGAGGAGTTCTAGTCGATGAGAGGCCTATAAATAGCACCAAAAAGAAGGATTCGTATTTTCCTTTTGATAAGGTTGTTTTTGGATGTATTTAGGGCACAACGTGATACCAGCTGCAATAGTTTTTAGGTGTAATTTATTGGAGCTGTGTTTGAGACCATCTCAAAGGGATTAAAAAATAGTATGGCCTAAAATGATTGGAAGATGGAGTCATTTGAGATTATATTGTACAATAATAATGGGTCTCACATATTTTTAACCTTTTTCGTATTATTTTAATGTTACGAAATCAATAAAGTGATATGTTACGAGTATGAGCCCCGTTATTATGATTATAAGCACCGGTGTATTTTATTTACGGAAAAAATGTTACTAAGTACTATACACGTTGTACTTGTACCTTTAACATTGTGGCACAAATTCAGCTTGTACTTTTTTTTCCTCTATGGTACAAATTGAATTTGTACATTTGACGTTGTGATAAAAATTCAGTTTATGCTTATACATTTTTGTACAAATTCTTTTATGATACAAAATGAACTAGTAGTTTTAATATTATGATACAAATTCAACTTATATGTGAAAACACGGATGATTATGATTGTGATAGAATTTGTAAAGTATTTTAACAGAGTATAACTCGCATGTTAATAACATGCAAATTGCAAAGTGAAAAAGGGTTCGTCTCGGATTTGATCTAGATAAAGCCCTAGCTAGTGCAGCCTCTTTTTGTTTATTATTGTGAAAAGGGCATTATAAAGTTTAGTGAAATTGAAAGATTCTCATTCAAAAATAAAAATTGAAAGGATTGTCCTTTCATATTTGACTTAATGATTTCTGATGGCTCCTAGTTGAAAGAGTTGTGAGACTTTGCAAGTAGTGGAGTCCCGTTTCACGAGAACAAGAGTTGCTGATGTTAAGGGTAACCAAAAGTTGTGGGTGGTCATAAGACGTAATTGGAAGTATCGAAAGCGTGTATTTTTTCGTCCAGTTCTCACTGTCGTCCATTGTAAAGAGCGAGATATCTTCTTTTTCATCGATCCTGGTTGAGACGTCGCTAGAACTTAAGGGACAAAGTTCTTTGAAGGGAGGAGGATTGATGCATTATCATTCTCGGCGACCAATTACTACTACTATTATTATTATTCTACTTTTGTGAGTCGGTTTTAGATATTTTTTCAGAATTGTATTAATTAATTGTTTAAGGTAGTTTCTTTAATATTAAGTTACATATCCTTGTAGGATTGGTAAGTCATTAGGTTTTCTGGTTCTACTACAAATAAGTACTTTGTTTCTACATTTTAATAAATAAATGAAGAACACACAAACCCTAATCTCGCTCTATTTAGTTTCTAGTTCTTACGATTTACGCGATGGATGATACAATCATCCATCAAGCGCACACACAGGGAGGCTCGACGATCGTTTTCCAACGAACTCAGTTTGGTTGTTCACACATAACGTGGGGGGTTAAAAAAAATGTCCTCCATATAGAGGAAAATTTTCATCCATTTCTCACTGCCGTCCATTGTAAAGAGCGAGACATCTTCTTTTTCATCGATCCAGGTTAAGACGTCGCTAGAACTTAAGGGACAAAGTTCTTGGGGGGGGGGGGGGGGGGGGGAGGTTGATGCATTATCATTCTCGGCGAGCAATTACTATTATTATTATTATGCTTTTGTGAGTCGGCTTTAGATATTCTTTAGGAATCGTATTAATTAATTAATTGTTTAAGGTAGTTTCTTTAGTATTAAGTTACCGTATCCTTGTAGGATTGGTAAGTCCCTAGAAGAAAAGTGCATTCCGTCACCGGAGCTTCTGCTTCCTCCATAGTTTGGCCAAAGGCGAATGATTTTGTCCCCATCGTGTGAAAGGCAAAAGCTTAGTTTGGCCCTGTTGTAGCTTTTGCAGAAGCATCTTCTGACTGAAACTTTTAGATAAGTACTTTTAAAAAAAAGCAGTTGAGTGTTTGGCTGTAAAACTATTAGAAGTGCTTTTTAATATAAGAGGTTGTGTAAAATGACTATAAAGGACTTATAATATAAAATATGAATAAAAATTCTGATCAATAAAAAGTAGTCAAAATAGATCTTGTCAGATTTCTTTTATATTAAATAATATGATTTTATAATTTATTTTATTTTTAAAATAATATAATTGAAGAAAAATTATATTTTCTGAAATAAAATTAAAATATAGTAAGGATAATCCTGTATTTTCAAAACAGCTTTTCGCAGAAGCTCCAAATCGGAGCTTCTGCATTTATGTTATACAAAATCGCTTTTCGGCTTTTCAAAAGCCGAGCTTTTACAGGTGTTTGGCCCTACTTCAACTTTTGAACCCCAAAAGCACTTCTAAAAGCCGGGCAAAACATAGAGAAAGTCTGAAAGCTCCCGCTGTTTTAATCTCCTTGGCAATTTTCCTCTGGCCTTTGGAGCTTGTAGCAGTCTATACCACCAAAATTTTTTTTAATAAAGAGTTGCCAGCTGAATAAGAGTCAATTGAGGGAGGCAATATCTAACATCTGACACATCTTACCTTGGCTCTAGTCTAATTATGAGAGACAGGGATATGAAGAATAGAGTCACTGGGCCTGATGAATTACAAATTAAAATCCAATACGAAATATTAAATTGTTGCACTGTAAATATTGAGTAAACTGAATTTGAATTTAAACACTTACTCTTCTGATTCATAGGCATGGACAGATTTTGTCACCAAAATTCCATGCAAAATGTCAAAAAACAAGGGCCAAATACAATATAACTCATCCCATCCTTTGTCTTCTAGATCATTGGGATGGATATACAAACAAAACAGGGTTGATTCAGTCGGTGGTTATTCATCAATAATAAAAGTTATAATGAAAAAATCAAAGTCAAATACTTACACCTTATATCATGCGCATGTGAAGTTAGGTTTCTACAAAACCTCAAAAAACTTGAACCCGTTGTCTTGTCATCCAACTTCACATTGGGATGATGTAACAACACCTTACTGAAGTATTTATGTTGGTTCATTGTAAAGAGCAAGAGAGCTTTTTTTCATCAATCCAGGTTGAGACCGCTATAACTTAAGAGACAAAGTTCTTTGAAGGTGTGTGTGTGTGTGTGTGGGGGGGGGGGGGGGGGAGGATTGATGCATTATCATTCTCGACGACCAATTACT